CTCCCCCTCCCCCCTCCTCCCCACTTACATTATCAACCCAATCCATTTATCTCCACTGATGGTTCTCCTATCTTTTTCCCATCTCTTTTTCTCATCCTTTATAAAAGTCAGGGAGTTATTCAATATATAAGAAAGTTCCCAAGCGAAGGCTATGATTGCATTAGGACAATAACGTCACTCGGTAAACTCGTACAAGTTACTTGAACGAAACGAAGTTAACACTCGCGGAAGCGACGTGTTCGGGCCAATCGTATAGTTTTGTTATAACAGTTTTTACATGACAGGTACTTTCTTTTTGTTGATCGTAACAAACGTCAGTGTCATTTTATTCATGTCAATGATACGAATCAACTTTTCGTCAGGCTACATCTATCTTTTTTTGTTTTCATATTCACCTACGAGGCTCAACGTCACTTTTCTAATGGTTGATACGAACGATTTTTTCCAATTGATGCGAATTTTTGGTGAAAACTAAAATTTGTTTTATTTACTTTGAACATGCCGTAGGATTTGTTTATCGACGGGTGAATACAAATTTTACATGAAAAAAAAAATAAATTTTGAAAAATCCTACCCACCGAACGAGAGGAGGACTCGAATTAAAGAGATTAACAAATTAGCGAAAAATATTTCTTGCATAATTCTATGAGGTGTAGATAATGAAAGAAAAATAGTCACGAGGAGAAGTATCTTTTTTTATAAAACAAGAAAACAAACAAAAAATTGATTTCAGGTATACCTTTCTGATAGTATGCGATTATCATGTGACTGACGATAAATAATAAATAGCAAATTCGATTTCGAAACCCCCAAATTTATCCTTGATATCGGAACCCACGATAATTTTGGCACTTTGTTTCGCCGCTATCTCCAAGCAACAAATTTTTTACACCTAACGTGAAAGTTGTGATCCAATTTAAACGGCATTATCTCTTTGGCTTAAATTTGAGCTTTGTGACTTTTTTTGAGCGAACAACGTCTTTCCAGTAAAACAATATTTTTATTCGACCCAATTCGTGTTGCACTTTCCATAAAATCATTAGACAACGGATCGTCCCTTCAAGTTTTACAGAAAATGCAAAAAATTAATAATCCAAAGCTTTACGGCACCAATGAAAAATGATTGAAAGTCGAAAAAATTGAAAAATTGAAAAAAAAAATTAATTCCAAATTTGTGAATAATTAAAAAAGTTGGTAATCTACCTTCGAAGAGGGTGGTTGCTAGTCGTCCAGATATTTGCTGGGGTCAGTCGGTCCAGTTGTTCCTTGACGACGTCGAGGTCTGATGTGTCAAGCAGTAGCACGTATTGCGTTTATATAAGCCCGCGGCTTGGCGATTCAACCCCACCAGGCGAAGCGTCAGGATACACAAGCCAATAGAGAGAGCTTATGCCCCACCCCGTCATCCCCTTCGTCCCCTTTGAAATGCTCCAAAGCCAAAAGCAACCCCTAACCCCATAGCCTGAACTCTCTATGATATTCACGCCATGCGCCACAGGTGCCCGTCTTCTTGAAATCGTTCTCCGTGTATCCGGTGTCCATAGGGAATAAAGTTCCAATTTCTAGAAACAGTCGGATGCACAAGCAGAATAGTTTAAACGCACCAGAGCATTCGGGACGATAAATACGACAAAGTGGACTTGTTACGGTAAGTATAGCAATAATAAGGGATGGAATTTCTCAAATGACTTTTTTCATAGTCCTAGGGTCACAACTTCATAAGAAATTCCAAGCACAAAAATACTATCAACGCATCTGCCCTTGACGAGATTAGAAATTCTTATCAGTTATTATCAAGTTATTCCATGTCAGGAGGATGTGTACGAAATGGGGGGACAATATATTTTCCTCTGTTAATTAGCCAAGACAAATCGCTGATCAGTTATTATTCGGTATTACGGTCCCTGAAGAAAAGGTGTAAGTTCGTCAAGTTAAATCACATTTATCCTATCAAACCTTATCACAAAGGAAGATCCAATGTTCGTCCTAAGTCTAATTAATGACAAGTCTATCCTTCGAATTCTTGCTCCAAAATTCCTTCCTGTCATTTCACATTAATAATAACAAGACTCACCTTACTTTGGTATGTGACCCAAAAATTTTTATAATCCATGAATATTTTATATTTAACATTAGAACGAGCCACCCCCTAAAATTTTATTTTTAAAAATTTTTTCTCAAGATCGCGTCTACCGATGCTTCGATACAGCTTCCTGTAAGTGAAAGTCAACTATTTCTATTATTCTTCAATTACCATGCTTTTGCCTTGTAGGCACTCTGTTGTCGGTGACGGCAGTCAGTTGATAATTCCATATATTTTGTTGCTGAAGAAATGGCAGATTTTGACATTAAACAAAAAATATACGTCATGAGACTTTGCGCGTGGAATCTTTGAAAATAATTTTAAACATTCTCGTGACCTTTATACATGAAATACAGATTTGAGTATGCAGAAGATATTTTTTCAAATTACCCTCGCACAGTCTTGCTGCTACTCCATTGCGCTCAAGTAATGCACTGTTATCGTTTATTATTTTTTATCCGCTTACTTTAACGCGACGCCTCGCGTCGTTGTCGCGATGCAAATCTTCTGATAGCCCATTGTAATAATATCTGCATAAGAGTGTACCATACGCTTTATGCGAATGGGTACTGTAAACTACTGTAGGCTACTTTGAACGAATAGACAATACGTGAGCTAATGCGGTAGATGTTACTAAACCGCCCTATGATATTAGAAGCGAATAGAAACTGTACTTGAGTAAGGAATTTGAATTTGCGCGACAGAGAAAGACAGAGCATGAAATTATAAAATGAACTTTAAAATCTCTTTCAATAAATAAATAAATAAATACTGAAAGCCACCCTTGCCGAGAATAAAATTTCCCTGGAGTTCGAATGCACGACCTGATCGTAAATTCGAAATAGAATTTAGGTGGGTTGTAGGAAACGACAGTAACAACATCTGCCTTTGGAAATCCATTTAATTGACAGCACAGTCTAACTGCTTTCTGCCCAGCAGATCGATTGATTATTGATTATCCCATTTATCACTTGTCAATAACCTCACTGGCAGAGGTACAGCTTTTCGAAGTTTCATATATTTTCTAGAAATTCGTAAAAGACCATCGATAAAAACTTGAAGTTTGTAAAAAAAAATTTCATTTCAAGTTTTCTAACTAATCACGTAATTATGAAATATCGAGAATCGTAAGAAAATTTTCTGATGCTACTATCGAGTTTATGAAATTGTATCTACAATATCTTATTGAATGGTCGTAATGACTTTTTTTCTGAAAAATAAGGAAATCCTGTGTCGTAACCCGTGACGCAGCGCAATCACGTGTGCAAAGGGCAGCTTTTAAATCGATATCTCATTCGATTTATTACCAACATAGCGCTACTTGATAAAGCTCCTTATTCAATTGCAGAAGTCGCCGTAATGTGTTTCAAGTCGTACGGGACACACAGTATACGTATTTACATATTGCGTAATTGCATGATAGATTTCTCCAGGGTATTACAAGTAATGATGAAATTCTCTGGTTTTACGTGAATATTACGAGCGACAAATCAAATCCGTTAAGTGTATCGTACTTTGCGAGGGTTGACTTCATGCCCCAGTTATTAATAACGAAGTTCGACTTAAGCGTCTAAAATCACGACGACTTATGTTTTCGAGCCGAATTATATTGTGAATTACTTTTTAACTTTTCCCTCGCTCCGGATACACCCAAAAGCTACCAGTAATACGATTCAAAGTGTTACACGGAAAGAAGCCCGAATTAAATCAAATACAATTTACAATAACGTTGTTTCATTTGACTCTAGATTTGTTTTCCCAGATGTTGTTGGGCTTTTTTTTATTATTATTATTCATTCAACTTTTACTCGTACTTGTATACGAGATTTTCGTTCAGTTTCTTCGCACAGTAGGTTAAATACCAGAAGAACTTTGTAACGTGAGAAATTAATGGAAGGCTAAGAACAGAATAGGATAAGGAAAATATATATATATATATATATATATATATATATATATATATATATATATATATATATAGATTTCATGAGTGTTTTTTTTTATATAAGAGCCCAACGAGAGGCTAGCCGCTTTCATCGAAATTCGCCCAACAATTTTGTTGCTGTTTGATAGAACGACTGAAGTGGGTGGGTTGCGTTTATGAGATATTTGCCGAGATATAAAACAGGAATCAATCCGGCTTTCATAGGTTTTATACAGTGCGGGATAACTAAGGTCGATCCTTGGATTTATTCCGGGACTGATATAGACATGTCAAGCATCGAGTTATATCTCATTGTTTTTTTTGATTAAAATAACTTTTATTTGATCTACAGTCGACTCACCCGCTTTGACAGATTCGACTATACATTTATGAGTGAACAAATATTATGGTCATTAGTGGATTAATGCGTGGCAATGTTTTTCTTTAATAAAAAAAATGAAAATTTGCATATATCAATTCTATATAGTTTAATATATCTGAAAATTGGATTGATTAATGTTGATTGAAAATTTTGTATAATGAAAAATCCTTGTTTTTTTTTTTTGTAAAATAGTCATTCGTTTTTACATACGAATTTTGAAAAATTTCTAAAATAGCTACAGAACAAGATCCAAGTCGGATTATACTAAGTCAAAGTACCCAGTGCGAGTCACGTTCATTTGCAATTGGAAACCAACCCTAATTGATACGAATCCTTTAACGTGTACAATATCGAACCATGATTGCCGGGGATATCAATTCGTACCTCAAGAATTTTCCTGTCGATGACCATCGCGTAGATGTCGTAAGCTACAATTTAGTTATCGAGAGAAGATAAGACCACCATTTGCTTATTGCGTATTAGCTTAAATCACAAATATAAAAAAATATAGAATCAGATTTTAAAAAATCTTTAAAAATCCCATTATCGATATATCCGAATAACTAAAATACAAAGAATAACTAGTTCATCCGTATTATGTGCATTGGAAATACAATCGCTCGTACGATGATAGAATGTTGCCCAATGTAAAGGGCATTAAATTCATTCATGTTTAATGAGGGTTTAATCCTTTTGAGAAACAGAAAAGATATTTTTAATCAAGTATCTATACAGCCACCGCAGTCCTTACATGAGTTCTGTCCCTACTTGTGTGTCAAAATCACAATTGGTGCTAATTCTTGGAAACCTGAATCACCATAGTAGTCAATGCCAAACCGCCCACGAATACTTTACGTGTCAATAGCGATCATTATGTATAAACGTACAGATATAACAATAAACGTATAAAGCATTATCAACGTATTGCGTATCCGTTGCAAAATTCGATAACGAGAAAACCATCGTCACGAACCTAGCATCTAGTCTATAGAAACAGTGAACCATTAGAAATTCCTTATTACTTGATATAAGTACAAATATATTTCGAAGGATTCGAACATTTCGACATTCATGTCATTATAATACAGAAAACTGCTTATTTTGAGTACATCAAATTAACGTTGTGGTAAGATCAACAATATGTATAATTATGTCAAATTATCTAAACAAGTTAAGATCAAATGTTGAATTTACAACAAGTACAATATATATCTAACTCGTCTCATATAGTATAAGTGCTTATCAACAGTTTCTCACTCGATAATATATTATCTTACGTGTAAAATTAATTATTTGTAAATGACCATCTGCACGTCATCACACTGGTCGCCAATGAAAATTTATTCAACGCACAAATCTGGTAACCTGTGGCGACAGCGGTGGTCGATCAAACTCTTGTGCGATAGCTCGCAGAATCTTGCGATGTTGATATAACGTTGAACAAACATTATCTGTCATAGTGTATTAATTACCGTACGAAAGGGGCCTGCTTGTCCACACTTTGAAAATCCTCGATGCGTAGACAGTGTCAACCGGGCTCGTTTTCCCGAAAATGCCATAAACAGCCATATGGCATGAAGCAACGTAAAGGTGGCCTCACAGCGGAATCCCTATAATGTATAAAATATACCTGTACAAATACCACTTTTTCATCCTCCATAATGATATATGTATCTATGATCGTTAACAAGTAAATTTGACTATCGGAATATTCTATAGTGAACACGCATACCATTTCGTGTAGAACGATGGAACGTGTAAAAAGTCGTTGATTATCTTTATATCGATACACAACTTTCACCTTCTGACAGATAAAGCACGATATGTCGTTGGGACAAAATATAACGAATATTCGATCGTTGCTAAGGGACTCCACGAAATTTTATAAGAATTAATCTACTCGTAGCGAAATGATGTTCTGTTTTGATTTCATTGATAATTTGACTGTTTCTACTGGAGTCAAACGAGATTTGAAATACGTTAGATCAGAGAACATGATATGTTAATATAATATGGTTAGACGGTTAGATGTAACACGTATTTCTTTTTTTGTTCTCAATTCGACTCCGTTTAGAAACATTCATTGTGGCTGCTCTAAATTTTTCTTTATCTCTTCAAAAGTGAGGAGACTGTGTAAGGTCAGTGCATATTGATTCTTTAATATAAATAAATGTCTTACACTAGTGGATTGTTAGTCTAATGGAAAGTAACCTCAAAATCTTCCGCACGCTAAAAGCCAAAGATTTAGAACCCTTGGCGCCATAATTCCTCTATTAAAAATAAGCCAAGAGTTAGTAAATTGCGTAACAGCTCGTTAAATCTTGAATCTCCATACTTCCTGTATGTATATCCAATACGAATATTTTACGACAAAGAGTTTACGATGTCGTCTAAACATTTGGACGATCATTAATTACGGGACACTTCAATGAAATTAATTAATACTACTAATCGAGGTCGAGTTTTGATAATGCAATGTCCTCGATGGGGAAGTGGTTTTTATCTAATAATAAAACTTATCTTTTTTCTCCCCTGCGTCTTATCTAATCTCTGAATTACATAGTATTCGATGTCTTGAGAAATTAATAAAATCTGAGGATGAAAGTTAGGTAAAATATGGTTTAAAAGTGTAAAACATTTCTGTAAAATGGTTCTGCACAGTAAATCTGATATCAACAATGTGCATTCTAAAGTCGTTCAGAATATGTTCACCAGGGTGTGCTACTTTACTGGGTCTTCACGGTAGTTTCGTCAGGATTGCTTCTGGTTTGCCTTTCCCAGTTCGTTGACGTAGCACTGCTGATTCTATCTGAACGTCGCTTGAGTATTGTCCAGACTGTTTCCACGTGGTAGCACTTCGTATTGTAAGAAATTTGTGAAGCACAATTTGAAGAAAAATTAATCAAGATGGTCCTGGATTTAGATTTATTCCGTGCTGATAAGGGTTTCAACCCTGATAAAGTACGTGATAATCAAAAGAAACGGTTCAAAGATGTTCAACTGGTTGAAACTGTCATTGAAAAGGACAAGTATTGGAGACAGCTGCGGCACCGAGCAGATAATTTAAATAAGTTAAAGAATGTCTGTAGCAAGGAAATTGGTGAGAAAATGAAGAAGAAAGTGCCTGTTGGTGATGATGACAATGTTCCCAAAGAGATTGGTGATAATTTGGATGATCTCACTTCGGAGAGCCTAAAAGCCCTCACTGTTACTCAAATAAAGAAAATTCGAACACTTATTGATGAAGCTATTCTCAAGAATACTCAAGATCTTTCCAAGACTGAACTTGACAGGAATACAGCACTTAGGGAAGTTGGGAATCATCTGCATGAGTCAGTACCGGTTAGCAATGATGAGGAGGAAAATAAGGTGAGTATTGTCCTTTTCAATTTTTCATTAATTTGATATTCTCTGTTAAATTTGTTTCTCAGCATATGGAATATAAGTTTCATAAACAAGTGTGTCTTGCAAATATCATTAACGTATGATAATTCAGATGTTTCTCTTTGTTGCTTATGTCTACCAACTGTAATAACTAATTACATCAGCCATGTCACTTGTGCTACTAGTTGTCTGCATTTATTTCAATCCATAATTCATTCTTCCTAGGTTGAAAGAACTTTTGGAGATTGTACACAGAAAAAGAAGTATTCACATGTGGATTTGATTCATATGATTGATGGTATGGATGGGGAACGCGGTACAGCAGTCTCTGGAGGCAGAGGATATTTTCTTGTTGGGCCTGCAGTCTTTTTGGAACATGCACTCATTCAGTTTGCTTTGAGAAAACTTTTTGATAAAGGATATAAACCACTTTATACTCCATTCTTCATGCGTAAGGATGTGATGCAAGAAGTTGCACAGCTATCACAATTTGATGAAGAATTATACAAGGTGATTGAACCTTAATATTATTACTGTTAAAATACAATTTCTATATGAAATTTTTAGACTAATTAATATTCTATGTATTTTTTATAACTTATATTTTTTATTACTGTTAAAATACAATTTCTATATGAAATTTTTAGACTAATTAATATTCTATGTATTTTTTATAACTTATATTTTTTATTACTGTTAAAATACAATTTCTATATGAAATTTTTAGACTAATTAATATTCTATGTATTTTTTATAACTTATATTTTTTATTACTGTTAAAATACAATTTCTATATGAAATTTTTAGACTAATTAATATTCTATGTATTTTTTATAACTTATATTTTTTATTACTGTTAAAATACAATTTCTATATGAAATTTTTAGACTAATTAATATTCTATGTATTTTTTATAACTTATATTTTTTATTACTGTTAAAATACAATTTCTATATGAAATTTTTAGACTAATTAATATTCTATGTATTTTTTATAAGGTCACAGGTAAAGCTGGTGAGCGCATTGAAGACAAAGACACGGAGGAGAAATACTTAATAGCTACTTCCGAGCAGCCAATTGCTGCTTATCATCGAAACGAGTGGATAGCAGAGGATGCATTGCCTATAAAATATGCTGGTTTATCCACCTGCTTTAGACAGGAAGTTGGTTCCCATGGTCGAGATACGAGAGGAATCTTCAGAGTACATCAGTTTGAGAAAGTATGACTACCATTCTATTACATATTTTTATTATTTACATTAAATCTTCATAAAATACTGTATTGAACTTAAAAAGTCAGAAAAAGATTCTATTCTTTATTTACAAAATAACAGGTAGAACAATTCTGCTTAACATCTCCACATGATAATAAATCGTGGGAAATGATGGAGGAGATGATAAGAAACGCCGAAGAATTCTATCAGGAATTAAACATTCCATATCGTATAGTGAATATTGTTTCTGGTGCATTGAATCATGCAGCTTCGAAGAAGCTTGATCTTGAAGCTTGGTTTCCTGGTTCTACGGCATTCCGCGAACTCGTCTCCTGCAGCAACTGTCTGGACTATCAAGCAAGACGTCTTCATGTGAGGTATATATATACTTTGCGTATCACTGTGACTGGTTTTAATATCCATTAGCAAGAACTAATATTTTATTTCTTTATAGATACGGGCAAACGAAAAAAATGAATGCTACTACTGATTACTGCCATATGTTAAATGCAACAATGTGCGCTGTGACGCGTGTGATTTGTGCGATTCTTGAAGTCAATCAGACTGAGACTGGTATTCACGTACCAAAGGCAATCGCACAATTTATGCCTACTCAATATCAGGAAGAAATTCCATTTGTCAAACCAGCTCCAATTGAGGAAGCTGAGACGAAGAAGCAAAAGAAGCAGAAGGATGGATTAAAGAAATGATTGAATCAAAAATACTATAGGCGTTTTCAAGTCATAGCTAATTTATTCCAATCGCATTTTTTTTAACCTTTGCAAACGTCAGATGAACGATTGTTTCGATAAATAAATGCTTTACAATATTAAGTTTGCTCTTTGTATATTTTATTCTACATAAAGAATCTCCTTTATCCTTTTGAAATATCGAGATTTTGAGACATGTTGTAGGAATAGTAAAATTCTTAAATTCCTTGATAGTTGTGTAAAAATAAATACATTTATATAAATTTCTAATAAGTTCACAATTCTTACAAGCACTTATTTTCAGTGCTATCATGTATTTTCCTGATCCTGCAATTTTTGCCGATCTGCTGCTTGTCTTAATTCACCTAAGACCATCCTTTCATAATCTTCAAATGACATACTCGATTGTGGTTTATTCTAAAAAGGAAGTACATGGTATTTAAATGTTGTTGATCACTTTTGTATCTTTTCTTACAATTTAGCAGATATACTTACCACTTCCGGTGCAGGAGAAACGAAGGAAAATGTTTTTCTACTTGGTTCGGTTGACTGTGGAATTGAAGATTTCGAATTTTTATTGGTGGTCCATAAACCCTTTAATGTTAAGGGATTCTTGACGTGACCAATTGCTTTCTGTGCTGCTAATTCCTATTAAAAAATATTTATGCATGTCAATCACTTCAAGGAATATTATAATTTTATCAATAACCGGTATGCTTACTGCACATCGTTTATGTTGGAATTCCACCATAGCTCGTCCTTTATTATTCTTGGAAATTACCAGAGCCTCTATTGCCCCATACTGAAAACATTATTATTTGTTAAATCATATAAACCAAATGTTAATAGTTTAAAAATGGAACATAAATTATTACCGGTATTAATATATCGTACAACGTGTCGTAGTCATAGCCTCCATTATTTTGATCATCCTTCACAACTTTCCATTTAATTTTAATTCTACGTTCTTCTACACTACTTTGAGGTATATTATTCTGTTTGCAAAATTCTTGCTTTAATCTCTGAAGTCTTTCTTCATCCTTTTTACGTGCTAATTCTTGTTCCTCCATAAACAATCTTCGGGATTCTTTACGCAGTTTTTCTATTTCAGCCTATTGAATAAATAATAATAAATAATGGAAATTACTAATCCCAAAAAGGTGGAAACAAGAAAATTAATATGAACCTTTGATTTCACTTCCTGTCTGTGAGCTTCCTCACGAGCATTTAATTCCTCTATAAGCCTCTTGCGCTTTACATCGTACTCTTGTAAACGGAGTTTAGCCTGATGCCGAGCATTGAAGGCTTTATCATAAGTTACCTATAATCAAAGACAATGATAAATGTTAATATACAAATCATTATTACGAATGTTAAGACCTTTTTAATGTCTAAAAATTATTTTTATACCTACTCTAGTAGACTCTGTAGTCAATATTTCCAAAGCTTTCGACAGTTGATGAAACAATTCAGCTGCTCTTGGATTATCCGGATTTTTGTCAGGATGGCATGATAACGCTGTTGTGCGGTAAGCTCTTTTAATCTAAAATGTAAGAAATTGATGAGTATTGTTTAGCAGCAACGTCTTGAGTACGATTAATTGACATCTTCAATATAAATATTAGGTTTACCTCTTTTGTAGAAGCTGTTGGAACAGTACCAATCAACTCGTATAAGTCTAAATGCATTATATCCTCCATGGTATTTATATTTACAAAATTACGCAAAATATAAATTTCAACTTTTACAGAAATGACACTTCTTGGTTAACCTTCTGATACACTTCCCGACAACAGTGTACGGACCAGTGGTTACGAATCATAGGCTGTTCGCCAATGGCGTTCCAAATGTGATATTTACCGCCAGTTCTAAAGTTCGTAATTCAATAAACTAAATATTCGTAATCAATTAAAGACAAATTACACCGTAAAGTGTTCATTTCACTCTATTACTCTATACGAAAACTGTCTGTCGATAATATACCGACATTATGTAAACCCATGTACGCTCCGAACCCCGTTATCATGATTATCCTCGATGGTTCGTTGTAATGAAATTTGTAGGGTTTAAATAGGTCAACTTTTTGTAAAAATCTCAATCTGGCGAAGAATTGGTAACATTTTTTATGTACATCAACGTTTAACTTAAAGGTAACCAAAGAACACCAGTACTTCTATGAACTTGTATTCTCCAAATGTTTTGAATATTTTTTAAAAGTTTTACCGACAATGAACCTACCAAAAAAATAAGATTCAAGTGAGAATGTTTTCGGAGTACGTATACTCTATTGATAACATTTAAGTGTCTCTGTCAAAAAATTACCGAAAGGTCAACCGTTATACGCGTCTTCGGAAAAATGTTGGTAACTTTTGCGTAACAAAAATTCATTAGGTTACCAGTATTTTTTAGTCACCTTTTGGCTAAACCGAATTCGCAAGAGTAATCCTTTTCCTAATATGGTTGACTAAATACAAACGCACTAGACATTTCCATGTATTCTGTGCCGCGCAATTCTGACATGTAAAATATATATCTATACATAACACTTCAATTGGTAAAGTTCATTTGTAAGTGTCCGACACCTAGGCCCGCGTGACGCCATATTCCATATGATGTACAGTATATTTACTTCTTCAGTCAACGCTAATATCCAACATATCTTATTTCGTAATACATTTTATAAACTCTTATTATACCTCTCTCATTCAACAAATTAAATTCCCGTTCCAAAAATTTTCTCATCAACCAAAACAGCTGCATTTCTTCACAAAGGAATTAATAAAATAATGAATAGAATTCTCGAATAAGATGTATAAAATTGTAGCTCAAACTATTCAGCAGTTGCACGCGCCACGGGAATTAATTAATAATAAGACATACGACACGTACATAACTAATCTGGTGCCCACGCTCATTAACAAATCTCTCAAGTATTCGCACAGCGACAAATTTCAAGAGCGTATAGACATGGATGATTCTTGGCATGGATGACAAGCTCAAAAAATAAAGTACAAAGAAAGAACAGGACGCATCAGGATGCACATACGAGGTGTGTACACAATAAATAGCATATGGAGCGTGCAAAGGGCTGGGCCAGGCACTCCCACGATAAAATAGGATGTGTTCACCTCGACCGAACGCGTTTAGCCATTTTTCTCCGTATTTACCAGTATCCAAGGGTTCGAGGAGTTCCACTATTCGTCCGGTTTGAACAACGAAGAACCAGGTGTCCCGGACGAGCGGTAGATAACCTATCTTATACCGGGTGACTAAATCAATAATAAAACAGTACCGTAAAGGACGGACACCAAGTTACCCCGAGAACTGATCCCGTAATTTCGAAGCAAAATAATACGAATAAAAAAGACAAACACGCAAAAGGGAGCAGAGTGAGCATTAAAGAAACAGGACTCTATTCACAGGATCAATAAGGACTCCCTTTCATCGGCGTATTAATCTCAATGTCTGTCCAGCAATAACTAAAACATGATTTAACTCCATTTCCTCGAGCAATATTCTCCTAATCGTATTTGATGAAATTATTATTTTTTTTTTTGTTATTACATACAGATTTCTTATTTGAGATATAAAAATTCCACGCACAAGTTTTCTAAGGATGCCTACGGCGGTTTTACCATGAAACAAGGACACTCCAAGCAGGATCGATAGACGACGGTAACAGGACCCTTATTCGCAAGGCCTCAACTCTCTTCTTACCGAGCTACCCCTGTTCTATCCTGTGCACTACTTATATAACGTACGTACAACTAGGTATACTTTGCATGCATGGTACGTCAGCTGTTGAATGGTAAACGTGTACAGACGCTAAGACGCACGTGTGTCCTGCAGTTAATAGGACTAGAAACTACCGTCAGTATAGACGCCGGTAATATTACCGTGCAATCATTTCTACACTTCTAAACAGTTAGACCGTAATATGATTGGGTCTAAGGGAATCATTAAATAAAAGGATCCAATTAATTTACGTGCAATTAGGCCTAGAAAACAATAGAACATTTTATTATATTTTTAATGCAATAGATTTCACTATTCCTCAGGAATTGACGTGTGATACAAAAATTCCCTAGAATATATCACCAGGTGATTTTCTAAATATATATATATATATATATATATATATATATATATATATATATATATATATTTACGTTGACGAAATGACGAATCTTTGTATTTTTATTTTGCAATTATATTATTTCTTTAGATTTGTTCTAATCTCTGCTTTGTTGACAGTCACACAACTTCACCTGGATTTATCCTTGTCAATTTCCTTAGTCAGTATAGTGTCTTTTCTGAATAGAGGACAAATAGAATGGAAATGACTACCGAATAACTTCAATGTATAGTAGTAATATTAACGGTTGGTGGTGGTGCTACTTGTGCTAGTACTCGTGGTGGTGCTCGTGTTTGCCTTCATACTCTTTTCAGCCCTCCTCGCGCAGTTCATCGCAGTCTGCAGACTTCGTCGGTGCTGTGAGAAACGCTCGAATGCCATATACGTGAAACGAAACAATAATCGCTGGTAAATGTTTCCAGTTAATACAAAATTACTTATAAAAGACAATGTGTTACAACAGGTGTATATACTGTCTAATTAACAATTGTCATCGTGTCATCAATTAAATAAGTATCCAGGACGTAAAGAATTGTATACTGAAGAGTGACATACTATTTCTTAAAAAATTTCAAGAAAATAATGAAAATTTATAATGAAATCAAGGTACGTTAAATGATTATAAATAATTGTTTCATATAAATAAAATTATATATACTTGTTTACATATAGGAATTTCAGATATATTTTATTCAAACAACTGGTGTATATTGATAAAGAGGAGCAATCATATTTGTACAAGAGCAATTAGTACAGAACATAATAAAAAAATCTTTTCAATCCGGGGTCAAGGATCAATGTCAACAGATAGTGTCGTTATCAGCATTTAATATTCCTCAATATATACACATATATATATATATATATATATATATATATATATATATATATATATTGATATAGAGTAAAGTCTATAATATTCTCACACAATTTTGCGAAGCATCCAATCACTAAGATTCTCTTAACTCGTCGCTTCTCGACGTAGAAGAAGATGACAGCATGACGTAATTTCTAAAGTGGATAAACTATGTCCGCTTTCTTCCAGATAGCGCTAATTCTTTAATTAGGTTTGTCAGTCTTAACTAGGCGTCGGATCCTTTGTCTTAATCTTATATCAACCGAATGAAAACTGAAGAAGCAGAGAGAATTGGAACTTTTATCCAGTAAAGTATACACGGCTGATACATATTTTCATTTTAATATTTTGAAGTTAGTGTGCATATTTCGCATTGAGCTTGTAATTGAGTTTAATTAGCGAGCACATGTAGTATCATTGGAATGACTCATTCTACCTAAGATATAAAAATAAAAATTGCATAATTCAATAACAATACACGTATTAAGATCTAAAGTTAAAAAAAAATAAAAAGTTAAAAGAAATATGGAAAGTGGATAAAATTTTCTTAAAATCACATAAAAGACTACGAAGACCATCCTTCATGTATATCATAATTAATACCTTCTTGCTCTAATTAATTGAGGTCACACCCGTCCTAATAAAATACACTCACGAATATTTATTCACTATACGCACTGTTACTCTTACGTGTAAATATCGATACGCAATTTCCCATTAATTTTTTCTAAACAAATTCATCATATATCAATCTTCTACCACATCACTGTACTTTTCCAAGTACCCAAGATGGACCATGTTTGACTCCAGATAACTCACGCGTTACTGTTTAACAAAAATGTCCCTAGTAAGATGAACTTATTGAATGTAAAAGTAATCATTTTTTTTCAAATTCCACTACAACTAACTACACTGCGTGCGATAAGTATTTTTGTATTTTAAGATTGTACGAATTGACTAGGGGGTGGCTCCCTACTAAGGGAGATGAATCATACCGTATAAAACGGAAGAACGGATCGATATAAAAACCATTGCCAGCACCTATGTATCATAGCTACATAGTATATAAAACCTCTGACTAGGAACTGGAAAGAGTGAATTTCGTTGGCAGAGTCTCCTGATGATGTTCCACCAGTTCCTAGCATGACTCGTTCTGGCATCTGGACATCCCTCATAATGCTCATCCTCCTTTTTGAAAATCTGGAAGCTGTGACAGTTGTCAACCATCATCCAGACGATGAATTCATACTGGACCACCAAGTTCTCTATGAGGATGCCATTAGGGAGGCTAAGAAACTCAAAATCTTTCCAGGTAAAATAATTGAAATGTTTAAAATTGCAAAAAAATATTAAAAAGCCAAAATTGACATTTTTCTCATACAGTTCTCAAATCCCCCTTGGGTATGTTGGGTATGTTCTTACCTATTGCTTTTTCTTCTTCTTTCCCTCTGTCTCTCTTTCAATTACTGTGGATAGTCGGCATGGATCGAAAAGGTACGAGAGACTCGTCATTCGTATTCCTACCTAACGTACTTGTTATGCAAAGTACTTAGAATAGATGTTTCGCTCGAATGGCTTCCCCGTCCTCAGCAAAGGTTTATATACGGGATCGCAGCAGCTGAATCAGACATACATAGCAAAACAAATATGCACTATCCAAGATGGATTTGAATTTAATAAAAAAAAAAAAAAAAAAAGAAAAGTTAAAAAAAGTATATAAAATTATACCATAGTCTCTTTCGCACGCTCCTTCGTGATACGTCGATGCCATCCGAACGTTGCATAATGGCTTTAATTGACGTGAATTGTACTTTGAGAAATTGTATGCAATTCCATGGATCTGTGTAATTCATGATATCGGGTATAATTATTAATTACTTATATTTATATGGCGAAGGGCAACGATATTTGTATATAGATACTTACTTCGTTAGTCAACATTTTTTAAATATGTTTTTTCTCTTAATTCCTTATTAATTTAAATATTAACATTTTGCTTTACTCTCTTTACAGCACCAATTCCAGGATGCAACCCTTGTACGTCCGAAGAGATGGATTACTGCAAAAATGGAAAAGTCATAGAGGACCATTGTTGTTGCGACGGCAGCTACTACAGTGGGTATTATTATTGATTAATCGGATGGATTTTGTATATGTTTAAAAATCTCATTCAGATACTGTAAAATTACGGCTGATTAGTAGGACGGACTGCAAGGTCGCTTTCCAAAGTGGCGAAATGATATTTCCTTTGACAATTGAGCGAGAATCAACGAAAAACGGAAGGACGTGTCGAGGAATTCGTGCGTGAAGTTAGAAGGTGACGGAAAGGACAAAAAAACCGTCGCTACTTGTGCATGGAAACTTACCCAGAATGTCGTACAAACGTGAAATCACCTTACCGTACGATTACAGTACAGCGATAACAATGAGATTCCTATAGTGAAAGCCAAAACGGCGTCTCTCGTTTGAAATTGAAAATTTTTCCGTTATCAATGTCCTAGAGTTTTTACGAAATTCCGTAGATTACGGTTATACGTCCTTATCATCAATCTAACCTCATTCACTATGGTGCTACCTACCTTCGTTCCACCCGGTATACCGTCTATCACAATGCACGGCCAGATGCTATTCCAAATTAAATACGCAACCGGTTGTGACTGTACATAGGCCGAATGAAACGCAAGGGTCCCTGCCAAAAGACTACTGGATCCTTTGGATTTGCTTTTCTTCAATGAGAACATAACCCTGTGAACGGATAAATAATTCTACCCAGTGACGTATAAGAACCAACTCAAGACACAAGCAAGAAAGTTTAATCAGAATATTCATACGAGTTATATTACAAAATTTCTATAAGATTCTCATATACAGCAGTATAATCATCTTAAGGATATTTGTTTTTAGCTAATCATGCAATTTTTTAAATGAGAGATACTAATGGTTGCTCAGTTTTTTTACGTGGTTCAAATGTTTCCTTGTATAAGGTTAGGGCAGTCACCTGTTCAGGAAACTATCGCCCGTTGCCCTGCCGCACTTACAATTAGTCGTAAGAGCTCACGTATGTATGTGCATACCTACCATCTTGAACAGGGTGACTATACCGGGTGACTCACAATAAATGGTCTAGACTAACCGTTAACGGTAACTCATAGATATTCATTGAACGTGCTTTCAAAAAGTATCATACGTTGGCGATCATTGACTAAAAGTTTTCTTCTCGAAGTTTTATGTCCGTATTCTATACTGACACAAGGTATAATGTGAGCGGAATTTTTAAAATAAATTCATACCTGACTTTTGGGGGATTGAATTAATTCATTTTAGAAATAGTAGGTCAACACCCACGTATCGTATTCTGTTACGAGATGTTGTAAGATCATTTTTTCTCTCTCTCTCTCTCTCTCTCTTCTTTGTCATTCTATTTGAGACACCCTGTAATTCAAACACACGTACTCGTACGTACGTGAAGCCTGAGAGGCGAGCGCAGAAATAAAACTGCGTTTCCTCACGCACTTGGGACCTTCTTTGTCATTCTATTTGAGACACCCTGTCATTTTAGAAATAGTAGGTCAACACCCACGTATCGTATTCTGTTACGAGATGTTGTAAGATCATTTTTTCTCTCTCTCTCTCTCTCTCTCTTCTTTGTCATTCTATTTGAGACACCCTGTAATTCAAACACACGTACTCGTACGTACGTGAAGCCTGAGAGGCGAGCGCAGAAATAAAACTGCGTTTCCTCACGCACTTGGGACACGTGTCGAATACTAGGGGCTTAATTCCGCCTTGTTCTCATGAATCATTCTTCCATTCAACCCCATACACTGTCCCGTCACACATAAAAATACCCCAGGATACGATAGAATTTTTTTTTTCAATTTTGTTACGATAGAAAATTTTTTTAAATCCTTACTGCCTATCCTGAAATTTGTATGAACGTTATACTGGAATTGATAAAATCGTGAAACGGAAATGTTGATAATTTTACTTAAACGATATCATGGATTCATTTGGATTATATGATAAAGAGAAATTCAATTTTTAATAAAATAATGATTGTTTTCAAATTTTAGAAGTATTTCCTTTCGTCGAACATATATGTCGAGTTGGACCGGAAGCCTGTAATGTTCATGCTGGAGACTGCTCAGAATATTCGAGATTACGTGAATGCTGCTGTTCTCCCTATCTGGCCTCAGTATGTAAGTACCTGTTTATGCATTAATAAGGATTCATTTTGTTATAGTAATTTGTCGTGATTCTGTATTATTGTAATAATCAATGTTACCTCTTTAGGGAAATATCGTGCAGGCGGTGCTAACAGCGTCAGGACGAATCACTGGCACATCCTGACCATCCCAATGTTTTTAACTATCCTAAGAGAAATTCCAAGGTTACTGGGTCTGTCTTGATGCAAGCACATAAGACAGACCGACTATTTTGTATAGTATGAATTATTTTAATAAATTATTTTTACTTATACTTTTGCCTAGCAACGACAAAAATCACACGCCAGTTGGTTAGACTCAGGCATATTTGTTATCCAGATATATAAATTAACGACAAATCATTGTTACATGAATCCAGACACGCGACCATTGTCCGTTATTCTATGTATAGGTATACGTTGCATCAGAGCAATCAACTCTACAGCCTTTAAAAAGCCCAATTGGCACGCAATACTTGAATTTACCTGAAGCCTATAAAAATATCACGAGATTGTTATTGCGAATCTATGAAAATATGCAAATCAAACATACTTTCTACGATTCTAACCTCGCTTTGCGACCTACGCATGGATTGCACAATTTAAAATGTGATGCCAGAAGCCATTTTGATATTAAAGGAAATAATGACAATGGAAATTTCACAGAAATGCATCCGTTCGTGCATCTTCGTTACAGTACTAACGTTCTATTTCTTCGAGCTAAAAATTATGGAAGAAATTGTATTTTTTTAACCTTAAGCAAGTCTCACACGAAGAACAGCATGGGGAGAGGCGCATAACGGAGTCCACGATCTACATAGACTTTTTAAGCCAAGGTAATCCGCGTGTGGGGGATTAAAAAGAGGCTCCTCGAAAGAAACCCAATTACAAAACCAGTCGCGCAACACTCACTCGTGAAATCCCACAGAGAGAAGAGCAGTGCCTTCAGAGATCATCGCCATGTTGCTTAGAATTGTCATTTCGTTGCTGTTGATTTACGGTTGCAGTTCTGACGTACCGAGTGAGTAAACGTCAAATAAAATTAATAAGTGCAAATATGTAAAAATAAATGCAAATCTATGAAAAATTTATCACGATACTCTTGTCATAATCTTTATGATTAATTTACCTACTTTTATTTCCTAATGTGTCAATTATTCGTCTAGACGAATCCCGCGGCAGCGACATTACCAACAGACAAAGCCGTGCGGCGGGTGGCCTATCGACAGGCGCAGAAGCACAGAAACCGTTAGGAAGCATCCAATCTCGTCAGGTCTACGAAAATTACAATTCAAATTATTCACCAAATTATCGTCCGTATCCTAACAAGTGGGTATAGTTCGTAAAGAAATTCTTTCCCATTCTTTCCGCAGACTATTTACTAAGAAGGATGTATATGTATTTCAGGAAAAAATGTCCACTCTGCGACAGTTCTGTCTATCCATACTGCAGTGAAAAATTGTTGCACGATGCATGTTGCTGCACGGATCCTTACACGTACGAGTTGCCGTATCAGTGTCGATTGGCCGATTGTGGTTTTCTGCACGCGAATTCCTGCAAGGAACATAGGTTGATTGCAAACTGTTGCTGTAACGACGAGTATCGTACATTGCTACGAAGCGCTGGCGCTAATAACTGATAAATTCTGAGGACACTTTTTTCATCTGAGATGCAGTTTTCTTTTAACGTTGCAATATATATATAATGTACGGTTCCCCGCTCGAACCATTTCTCCAGAAATTTTCCTCTTCTACAATAACATCTGTACAGAAGTAAGTCACTGGAACTGCGATAAGAAATCAAAACGCATGAATGGAACCACTATCGCGTTTAGTCTTGACATAAAAAAAATCCATGAAAATAACTCGGAGAAATGGTGCGTTGATAATAAATTAATACGGGCCGTTTGAAATGTGGGACGAGTATATGTAGGCACGATAAAAATGTCGAGGTCGTTTCTCATCATATTCTTTTCTGCATTTCATTTATCTGTACGTGTTTACACGTTTCGTATTAACGTCTTCTGAAGAAGCGAAATCCTTGCTGGTAACTCGGTTGAAAAATTATTCACTTTGACAGACAACCCCAAGTGTCATTATTGCTCGCCGTATTACTAATTAATTAATATTTATTTTAATTATAGTCACACTGTTACATAAATCATATATATATATATATGAGAATAAATGAAGAAACAAAATTTGAAGTTATGTTAATTGTCAATCCGTATGATAATTCTACCGAATGGTTTGACTGTGATTATGCAATCAGCAACAACTTTCGCGTACTGAAATATTTCAGCAGAACTTGTTCGTGACGTCTTGGTCGATAGAGTCGGCCGAGAGCAGCGAAGTCTATGGTAAAATATGAAAATAAGTAATAAATATCTATCGTTAGCCTATTTATAGATAATTCGAAACTATCTTAACTAGATTCCTTTATAGTCCTTTATAATCCTATTGCCAGCATCATTTGTCTGCGGGTCAACGGTTAAATTTTCTTAACGCCTGACTCCTTGATAATTAACGATATCCTGTTGACTGGCTAACCGATCTCCCCCTACTGGAGTTTTTCAAGTTCAAAGTCAAGGTCATACACGTGTCGTTGGGCGGGGTATACAGGAACGCAGCTCATCCCTAGTTGCTTCCTATCCCTACTCCTGTTGACAAGAAAAATCATTCTTTTTCTTCCTCGGTATCATTGAAAATGATGTCTGTCTTCCATGCTATAAACATCTTACACTAAACATTGTCTCTTTCCTGTTTTTAATTATGCGCCTTTCCCTGTGTCCGTCACTCGGTGGTTATTAATGAAAAAAAAAAAAAACTTATTTAATATATATTTATACCTCACATAATCATTTTATATTTCAAGAACACGAGTCCCATTTTCAGGACTGATTTCCTTTGCTTCCACAGAGGTCCGTTGATCCTCGAACGAGCCTGGATTATGAATTTCTGATAATTCGATGCCACGTGGACGTTATTGCGCAACGTTCGCAAAAAGAACCTGTTCGATAAAGACGCAGGAGGTACAAAGAGAGGAGAAAGACGAAGACGAAGAAGAAGAAGAAGAAGAAGAAGAAAGGTGAAACGTAGATAAGTCTCGTATGAGTCAGCTGAGAGTGTGCCGTAGTTTCTCACACGTTGTTTACATATCGTAAGAGACGCGTGGGTCCGTCCCAATTGGAGCCAACTGTACATACGGGGGACTCTTAAGGCCCCGTTTCAACGTGAACACTCAAAGAGAGAACGGAAGGTTCCTCAGTGACGACGTCAAAGGCTACGGAACGTCATTTCGACACGGGGGAGATGTCTTTGATTCCGGTATCTTCGAGGGGTGTTGGAGGCCCGAAGGCTCGTAAGCCTGCGGTCAAGGCCCTACAGCTACGCACGTGTAGTTCCCGGCAAGGCATTAATCATGAGGCTATCGAGAAATCGGGGAAACCAACACACGTTGTTTTTATCGCGTGAACGTAAATGAGTATCGAAGGAATATTTCGTATAAATATTCCGTGACCTTTGACCTTCCAAGTTTGCGACTCGCTCGGTCCTTGGTACCTTCGCTCTGACCTCGTCCTGTGGCGACTGATTTCCTTGAACAAAAAGTTAATATACACTTTTCACGTATACGCGCGACAGATCATTCCTGATTAACACTTTGACGTTTCAATGTTCGAGAACGAATCCGGAGAGCTGGGTCGTAGAAGCAGGTATAAGCTCCTTGTGCGTCAAAGTGGAATTTTTCTTCTTGACCATGCATGACGTCTTTGATAATTTGATGAGAAAGAAAAAGAAGAGGAATGACAAAGTGCAATTCTACCTGTGAGATTTCTTAAAAGGACCAAGACTGTGGACTTTATACACGTGGTTCACAAAGAGCTGATTCGTCTGGGAAGGTCTGGTCACCTCGGGACGAGTGCTTTTCAAGGCCGAACGGGGGTTACACGTGCCGACTACCTCAGGACGACAACCCTCACACCAGAATCGAGACTCCAAAGAAATTCCAATCCTTCCTTTCTCTCCTTCCTCTTTCTCGGCTTGTCTTGACTGTTTTTCTAACTAGCCTAGACCCATCGTATCAGCCCCTCGCTAGGCCTAATCTACCCAGCATGGACCTTACCGTTCTATCGAATATTTTTCGGACTGGATCATTCCAAAATATACGACTCAAAACATAGAGTAAACAAACGAAACGACAATCTGCTGGTTTGTCAACTCAATTGTCAGGGACAATTATTTTACAAGCATATTATTAAAGTCAATTAGCTATTAGCTTTCTAATGGGCAACAGTATTCATTTTTACCGTTCGCTTCTGACACGGTGTACTCGGAAGTCAAGTATTGGCATTCTCGCAAGTCATTGAATACGAGAGATATTTTCACGACTGGTAAACAAGACGACGTGGACACGTGTCGTAGTAAAAGCGCGTGGCACGGAGTTGAAAACAGTTTACTAAACGACCTTACGCCTTTACCTAATTTCTAAAGTACGCCTGGCGAACTATTTTACTTCGTCTCGTACTTTAGTCATCTCTGCGCTCAATTGACATTGCGATTATTAGAGCTGATGTACAGTGGCGGTTCGCGTATAGGCACTGTGGAACTGCAGCGCCCTCTATTTCCACTTGATATTATCGATAAAGGCTTAAAATTTTCTGGAGCAGCACCCCCCAATAATTTTAGCCACGAGCCGCTACTGCCGATGTAATAAATCTCGATTATCAAGGCAACGAAGTACCACGCGCCTCGAATGAATGAAGCAGCGTTGTGCAAATGGCAAAAATTAATAAAGGAACCGAGCGGTTCATTGACCAAGGTTTACATTGTCCAAATACAGCAATGTTCATTCATCATTGCGGTTCTGTGACATTTCACGATCATTTATACATATAGGATTCGTCATTGCCACTGATAAGTACTATTAATATCGAATTAACAGTTATCCGGATAAACATACCAAACACGTGTCTCTCGTGACACGTGTATGGTTGACAATTATATTGGTTATAATTTTTACTTAAAAATTCAATGCAATTCTTTCAGATGCAGATTTCATCTCTCAGTGAATATTCAGTCCTGAACTGATAAGTAGCAACGGTCGATAAACTGTTCCATTTTTTTGTTATCTATCTTAGGTACAAGGACGCTTCTTTGTAACAACAGAGCTACATTCAAAAGAACGTTAAGTCATAAAGGCTTTGCATAATCGCATAGAGACGAGCACTGCTCTGTTACAATGCATACAAAGACTCTGCAAGATATCCAATAGATAAATCTCATTATTCTCACTCTGTACGGATACAAGTCGTACGATGCACTCGCGAGACTCGACCAAGCGTCTTGATGTTTTTAGCTATTAATTTTACATTACCTAATTCTTATGCACTTTTTCTTAGTATAGTATGCTTTTTTATCAAGGATACTTGCACGAGTCATTGGCATGTGCTAAATAATTATTTTTGCTATGAATTCCATAAGGAAAATATACATTATGCAGATCCTGTTTCAATACCAACGAGTATCGTACGAATGATAATTTTTACCAGATACTACATTCATTTATTATTGAAGCAGTAGAGCAAATGACAATCCAAGGAATCTTTCTTATATCCATTAAAGACTGGCACGTAATTTGGATGCTTGATTTGCAATTAGTTTGATAAGATTAAAGAAGATTGAAATATTGACAGACGCACTGGCGTGTCCTGACTTAATAATAAATGCATTGTATATGGTTCTCTTAATTTGTATAGAGAGCTTGGCTCCAGGTGAGAAAGTATGAAAATCCTTTATCTGCCAGCAGTGAAGTAAAATGATAGCCGGGGGACCAATCGAATCACTCGGTCTAGGCAGACGTTACGTTGAAAATCCTTGAAGGTACATAACGCATTCGGAGTGCATCAAAGAGGACGAAGCGAGAGGAGAATAAGGCGTGTTTATTTCTATTGGTGGAGCAGATAGCCGCACGACTTCCATGGCTCCGGTGGTAGTCTTCGTGGTATATAAGGGCGTCTCTTTCGAAGCAGAACTCACAAGAAGTTTATCCATTATGCACATTGTGTATCCAGTGCGTGACCACTTTTGTACACCCCGACTGTTCTACGCAGAGAAGTTTCGCCAACGAATTTCTAAAAGAAATAATTTTTCAAAAATTACAATTTGCCAAAGCTAAGAGAAAGAGTGCATAACGATCAGAACTCACTTTTGAGGAGAATCAAGTGTGGTGTAAGAGATAAGAAAATTTTCCTTGACTGTTCCACGAGCATCGGCTGTAACAAGGAAAAAAGGGAGCGACGGGTTACGTGGGAGAAGCTTTGTACAGAAAATTGTTGAAAATTGAGAAAAAAATAATAATTTTTAAGAAAAGGAGAAATATTTAAATTTGAAAAAATAATTGAAAAGTAATACGTATCATTTAATTTTCGCTGTAAAATGTCCTCGGTAACCTTATTCCTCATGGGTATAGCCTTTTCGATTGTCCTCGCACTATTGGCGAAGAGGCTGAAGTTCCTTTACGCCTTGAGGAGGATACCCTCGCCGATGTCTTTACCCTTGATCGGGAATGCGATACAGCTGCAATGCAGTCAGGAAGGTAAGTTTTGATGAGAAAATAAATATCACCTTAAAGAATGGATCTTGTGTGTGGGAATCAGTAGTCGGTTTACCGATCGTAATGCGAGTTATTGATTCCGATTAATCCGATCGAAGTAGGACACGCGTGGTGTATTATCGTCAATAAAGACCAATAGAGGCGAGTTTATACTTTTTGGAAGACCATGCCTATTAATAACCTACGCGTCGAATGACTTACGCAATCCTAATATGCATTTTTCAAATCGTTTGCCATAATGATTGTATTTCCGTGGGTGCCGTACGATTTCCACTTATAACGGAAGCTATTTGCGATCTGATTGAATTCACAATGCATCCCGTGCGATTGTACTTTTTAATCGGTATTTTCAGCCATGACGTAGCCACCTAGGCTAAATTCCCAGACGATAATAACACCACGCAAATAGGGTATAGAACGTAGGAGCCATGACTTCACCATTCACGCGAGACTAATATTAACAACACTGTAGTATATGCTGCATTGGCATTAATTCACAATGAGGAAACTTCGAGTCTTCACGAACGAATACAAACACGTAATATTATTTAAGCACCTAACCTACAAATTAATCAGCCGCCGCGAAAGCTTAACGTACCGCGCGACAAACAATATTCATACCAAAGGTCCACGGGCTTCTTACGTCTCTCAAACGTAGTAAACAATTGCGGGATTCAGATAGCTAAATATCTGGGAGACGTGACGGATGGTTAATTGATTAAAAGTAGCTGAAAACAAAATTTTACTCGTCTCGAGGTAACTGGTGTACCATTTCGGAAAAGGATATAGGGACTGCGTGTTGCGAAAGTAAGGGAACAAAGAAGAGATCAAGTAATGGAGGCCTATGGAGAAACCGAATTGACGAAGGTACGACGAATAAGGAGGTCGAGGTCGTTTGATAATTTGCTGTTGAAAAACTCCATTTGGTAATTGTATGTATTTGCGAAGTTACCTCAGCAATTTGGAAGTGGACATGCAAGGAGTGAATAAAGGAATTTTATCGAAGAACAAGAGCATGAGACAGAAGTCAAAAAGATCGTTGAAATAGTGAATAATATTCATGAGATAAACCTGGTCGCGACGCCCTCAACTACTCTTGAAGGACGCCAAGCGTCTGCTTGCAGTAATACTCTTTCAAGAAAGTTGTTCTACTGCAAAAATCACAAGCATTTATAACGGTCATTGGCCGGTCAATAGTCGAGTACCAAGGTCTATTCTAGAGAATGCTGTTAAAAAAATGATCTTTCAGCTAGAAAATAATTGTGACTCTACGTTTTTTTGTATTATACATTAATTAGCTGCTCAGTTTAATTACAATCAATTGTACATTAATTCAAATTGATAAGATATACGTGACACTTATCAATCTATTCTTTCAGAATTCTTTAAACGGTTGCTTCAATGGAGTCGAGAATTTGGTGATATTTTTCTTATCTGGGTAGGCGTGCAACCATTCATCTTCCTCTATCGAGTCGAGGATATTCAGCCATTGCTCAGCAGCAGCGTGCATATAAACAAAAGCGCTGCCTATGAGTTCCTGAGACCCTGGCTAGGCACAGGCCTAGTTACTAGCAACGGTAAGTACAAATCCTGAATGAAACCTATCCTTTTGATAATGGTCATGATCTTGCGCCATTGCAAGAGAATCCATCAAGGTACATAAATTGCCCCAGTTTTTGTACACGGCGAACATTTTCCTCGGATAGTTAAAGGAGAAACACGAGATTTCGCGAAAGTATAATGAGGGGATTTGTTGTCAGTGAATAATAATTCATTCACAACGAGTCGTATTCAAAAATAACAGAAGAGCCCAAAGCCTTGTAGTACAAAAAAAAAGAACTGCATATCGATGCAATCGCCTCAATATTATTGGCAAAGCACCATGGCCATGATTAATTTATACGTAAATGAATTATATATTATAATCGTCGTCTTAATGGCTATTCTGTCATCCTCGACCAGTGCTTAAAAAACGTCGAGTAAATGTCAAGCGTCCCGACGCCTCGAATTAGTACTTATAGGTGCCATTTCTTTATTCAATGTGTATATATGTGTATATACATTGTCGTCGCTCTTCGTGTCTTTACAATTCTACGCCATCGCCATGACGCGATCACGTCGATATGCATTCCCGCTCGAATTTGTTTTGGTACGAAAATGTCGCGGTATTCCGAGGCCGTACGAAGTCACTGACGAATAGAGATCAAGACGTGCCGTTAGCATCTTGGTGAATTTTAATAGTCGTTTTGCACTTTGATAACTACTTGTTAAACACTTCCTTTTTTGTATAAAAGACAATTTAAGTAATAAAATTCTGTCTATGATTTACGTAGGTAAGAAATGGTATACTCGAAGGAAGCTCATCACACCCAGTTTCCACAGTGGACTATTGGAACAATATCTAAAAAATTCAATTCGCGAAGCTGACATACTTGTCACTAAACTTCGTGCAGAAGTTAACAAGAATGGATTCAATATTGTTCCATATGCGAAGCTTGCAGCTCTTGACGTTATTTGCGGTGAGTATTCAAAGCTCTGTATTCATTTCCTCTAAAATTGCTTGTAGTAGGAACAGTTTTAAGACGTCGTTTCTTCGAATTGAGTCCCTTCTTCTTATTTCCTGTTTTACTTATCATATTAACCAATATCACAGACCTAGTAGAATCCGTGACATGTACAGTGCGTCCTTTTTTACTAATTCTCTTGCGCTTTTGAAGTTTACCATCGGCAGATCGAACTTTCCATGAACACGACCACCTGGATAAGATTTCATAGTTTTTCCATCAAATACAATAACACTCTTGAGAGTGTTACTCAATACCATTTTCGTCCTTGAGAGTTTCCAGGTCTCTCAAACAATCCATGCACTATACGTTTTCCCACACTGCACTTAGGCCTGGCGAGATGCGTGATCCTCGGACTGCAGTTTCTACGGCGTAACCTTCGTTTTTTAGGCGGCCTCGGTGTTCGCCTTTTTCGCGGTTTCGAGAGCTGGATCAACCGCGGTGTGGCTGTCATCAATACAATATGAATAATAATACAATTCTAGATGGAGCATAAGGGGAAAAATAAAAAAAGAAAACACAATTTAAACTCAGCCAACTTAAACGGGTAAACTAACCTACAGCTGTCAAAGCACTCCGCTCCACATAACCAACCGGTCTTGGAGGCGGACTATAATTTACTTTAGGACGTGACAATTCCAAAAGACGAGGACTCGCTTCGGGAAGTTTAGCTAAATCAATACTTTTGTTTAATTCACGTGAGGAAGTATTGATCTTTGGTATCCTCGGTTTAGCCAATGCATTGGTTCTTTCGCTAATTTCGTAGAGCAGTGCCCCAAGCTTAACCTAAAAGAGTTTTCAAGTTGATAATTACATATATTCATATGTATATTGATCATTATCATTGAAACGTCTATATCGGTAAAGCTATATTACCTTAGTCGGATCTCTCTGGATGACACGAAGCTCAGTATGCTCCTTTGGCATGGCTAAAACACTCGTCCTTGACACAGAACAGAACTTTTTCTTCCTCTTGTTCTGCGGACACTGCACGTGCTGCTGCAATCCGATAATCAAAGCATGTTTCTGCGCTCCACTTAAAGTGCTAATAGAGGATATCAGTGATAATAAATAAATATGGGAGACGCTCACTTTATCCGCGTGCCAATTTCGCACGTGTAACGAGGATTCGTCTTTTTTATTGCTTTTCCTCGAAAGGAGCTCATTTGAAATAGACACGATTGACATCGCGGATTCCCAGGAACGTCTTGATAATAGAGAATCCATGAATACATCTGGCATATGTGTATTCATGTTGTCAATAGGTAGAATTATCTTTGCATAAAAATTTTCGTTTTATTGGTAAGATTTTTTACAAATTTTCACTTTTTTTTCTTATTCTTTTTGAACATTTATTATGCCAAGATCCCAGAGATACGCGGACATCTTTTTTTTTCCACCTTTACATATCTTACAAATGAACGTCACGCGTCAGTCCCATTAACTCTTTCATATGCATACTTTGATCATTAATCACTGAATTGTGATGATACTTGTTTTATTTTACAGTTAGTGCTATGGGTTATCATATCAATGCGCAAAGTAATTGCACGAACGAGTACGTTCTCGCTGTCGATAAGTAAGTAAAATCGTTTATCGTCTCTCAATATTATCCTTCATATATATTTAGCCGAATATAAATAGATTCGATATGCCCGTGTATTTTGTGCCTCGCGATTCTGATATGTAGAATATATATCTATATATGGCATTTCCACGGATAAAGTCCATTGGTAGATGCCCTCGAACCCAAATTCGCGTGACATCAAATCCCATAAGGTGTACAGTCTATTTACCTCTTGAGTCAAGGCATATATTTTATGTGGATTATTTTTGTCTATCTTTACAGAGCCGCCAGAATCACTCAGGAAAGATTCGTTAATATCTGGATATCACTGGACGTGATATTCAAGCGAACTACTGCAGGAAAGGAATTCAAAAAAGCATTGGAAATAATGGATAGGTTCACGGAGAAAGTAAGTTTTTGCGCAGAGGATAAAAATGGTTTAAAATTTATCGCGATATGAAATAATTTATACGCCGTATCGATGTAGGTAATCACTGGCAGAAAAGCAGAATGGAGATCGAAGAGAGATGGAAACTTTAATGAATTCCCAAAGAAACGAAAAGCTTTGTTAGACATGTTACTGGAAATGTCCGACGACGGCAAAATTTTATCGGACGAGGATATCAGGGAGGAAGTAAATACTTTTATGTTTGCCGGGCATGATACAGTAGCTACAAGTGTTTCCTGGATTCTTTATGCACTTGGAAGATTTCCAAAATATCAGGTAAAGCGAATGAATTTTTCCCTATTCTGATTATTATACCATTATTAGACTCTTGTAAAACCATAGTCCGTACTTCTTGCAGAACCTCATTCTTGAGGAATACGACAGAATTATCGGATCGAATGATATCACTTTGGAAGATTTAAATAAATTGGATTGGCTGGAAGCATGCATCAAGGAATCTTGGCGACTTTATCCAGTAACGCCTCTCATAGCAAGACAAATATCTGATCCATTACGTTTGAGTATGTACATATAATTTATTTTATATTAAACATTCATTTATATATAAATGGGAACAGTTTTTACATAATATTATTTTTAGGAGACACAGATATACCATCGGGATCGACAATTCTGATAAATTCGTATATCCTCAATCGGGATCCTCGACATTACACCCAACCGGAAATGTATTATCCAGAACGCTTCCTGCCGGACAAGCCGAAACCGCCGCCTTTTGCTTTCATACCGTTTAGTGCTGGTTCGCGTAACTGCATCGGTGCAAAGTTTGCACTGATAGAAGTGAAGGTCATGATTTTACGAATCCTTAATGCGTATAATATACATTCGTTAGACAGTGAAGATAAGCTGCGACTCACGGCCGAATTGGTGCTTGCGAACACTGGTGGACTTCGTTTGGCGATAACTCCACGACATTCGCCAGCTTGATGATAAAAATGACATTTTCATTAATTAGAGAAATGAAAATGGATGAACTAAGGCTGCATAATAATTTTTTTTTACCGACACATTTTGGCACACAATGAAACACTCGTGTTTCATTTATGGCTTATCGACTTTGCGCACCAAGGGTAGCAGGCTACGACCAATGGGCAAAGAGGATCGAGCTGAAACGTCGTAAACCAGAACCAAAGCATCTTGCAAAGCCATAAATGAAAAACGAGTGTGTCGAAGTGCGTCGATAAAAGAAAAACACCCAATTTGTAGAAGAATTTCATTTTTCGAAATTTACCAAGCAATAATCGACTGAAGGATTAACTGCATACTCAAAGAATCGATGCGGAAATCTACGTATATATTACTGATTAATTGATAATTATTATTAAGGCAAACATAAAATATTTTACTCATAGATATATCTTTCTCACCGTCGATATACCGAATATTACAAAAAAAATAATTGTGATTATTATACATGAATTGTATATTACATATAAGTCTATATGATAACTTAATTATTATATAATTCTAATGAATTGCTTCGACATTGAGTGACATCATTTACATATTTATAAATAAATAAAAATAAATTATCAGTGAATAGACATTTTACTGCACGTTCATAAAATCGTCGAAGTAGCTGTATATGACGAAAAACTCGAAATTCTTACCAGTAAAGAATAATTACTCCTAAGCTTTCAATACATACTTATGTTTCAATAATATTAATCCAACAGAATTGCGAGCAAACAATCGAAATCAAATGAAAAACTGCGAACACATCGTGACAATTTCGCTCTCCTTTCTTGAAGCTCTTATCACATCACTAGTATAACTAGTGGATTTGCGTTCACTGGCGTTCGTTCAAACTTTGATAACGTTATAGTCAATTTTCGGCGATAGTTGGATTTTGGTGAAATTGTTGTTAAATCTGAGTATATTTTAAGTGCTTTCACAGAAAAATCACTTAAATTGACAGTTCTTTTGTGCAATTTATCTTTAACTTTTATATGATCAATTAGGGTACAATTTTAGTACCTACATTGTAAGTAATATTACGGTATTTACACTAAATTTAATTTAAAGTCTAAAATAAATTTGGATGAAATTATTGTAAATTTTAAATGTTTTTTAGTAAACTGGAATCAACCTGGGAAATCAGACATCTAATACAAGCTAATAATGATGCTTAGGGACTGATAAGATATACCTAATCGTGGTATCATGTCGATAGTTGAACAGCAGAAATAACAACATACGTAACTTCAGTGTATGCGTACTGATGGTATCAGCAACGGTATCAGCTGGTATCAGCATTACTAGCAGACGTGGATTCACTCGGTCGTGAGCGTCGTGAGTCTTCAATAACTGTGGCCGTCCTCGTCGATATTTAGTAGGTTAGAATTTTTGTGATATTTATAAAAGTCTCAAGACGATGAGAATACCACTCGCGATAGCATGCGTGTTTTTGGGCTGCTGTACCAATGTCGTATTTCTTGAGCTGTTGGTTAAGTGAGTATTCAAGAACTCCTCTTTATTTTCTTTGCATTGACTGTCATAATTGAGAATGACACTCATACTTCAGAGAGGACCCTGGCAGTGGAAACCTGATCACGTTTTCTCAATTTTTCTTCATCGCCTTGGAAGGATTCCTTGTCACATCAAAATGTGGTACTGTCAAGCCAAGGATTGGAATAAAGGATTACATGATCCTAGTGTCAATGTTCTTCGTTTCTAGTGTTTGCAATAATTATGCGTTTGACTTTAATATACCCATGCCTCTTCATATGATATTTAGAGCGGTAAGTTGCAATATAATTATTTCAAAAGATATTTATGTGATTCGCTTCATTATATTTTCAGGGTTCTCTAATAGCTAATATGATTTTGGGAATACTAATTCTTAAGAAGAAATATACCTTTAGCAAGTATTTATCTGTGCTAATGATCTCTTTTGGGATTGTTATATGTACTATTATTAGTGGTGCAGATGTGAAATCAACGCAACCTGTAAAGGGTGATTCTTTACCGACCACACCTTGGGATGATTTCTTCTGGTGGATACTTGGAATTATTTTATTAACAGTTGCTCTATTTATTTCTGCAAGAATGGGTATTTATCAAGAAGTTTTGTATGCACGTTATGGTAAACATGCTAAGGAAGCTTTATATTATACGGTATGTTATATACAGACATTATTGAAACCATTTTTCAAGTAGATAATAGATAATTAATCTAATCTAATGATATTTTCAGCACTTACTCCCATTACCATTATTTATAACTCTGACTTCTAATATATGGGAACATACGGTGCTAGCTGTAAACTCTGCACCAATGGCTGTACCAATAATTGGTATAACAATGCCAAAGACAATATTGTACCTTATTGGGAATGTGCTTACACAGTATCCTTTACAATATGGTGTAATCGCGATTGCCAATTCTGTCGAGTCATTACTTCTAATCATATAGAACACGCGATGACGACGTTCGACGTGACGACGATGATATACCCGTTCTAACATAACAAGGCATGATGGCAATAACAGAACTCAGTTGTCACAAATTTATTCGTTTAATTGCGTCCGAGATTACTAAATAATTTTTTATATTGCAATATTTTTCACGAATAAGCTAATATAAAGCTCATTTTTAATTAAGCAATGGAAACAATTGTCCATCAAGCAACACGCCAAAGCAGATTATTATTTCTACAAATTAAACCTTTTTTTAATAAACCAACTTATAAATATTTTCTACATATTCATACATTGCTATGACACAGATAATACTCAAACTTTTCAGCATTACAAGTGATGAAATAAGAAATATTATCATCAATTCTATATTTATAAAATTGATTTTTAATGTATAAAATCCTTAACCCAGTTTTTTAGGTACATGTGTATCCGCTCAGTATTCGTTCTGACGACGGAATGTCCGTCACTCACCGTCACCCTAGTAATAACATTACGAAAATTCATATCTCTAATCTTCTCTATAGTATACTTTCAAAATCCATTCACAATTTATCACTGGGTGGGTACAGTGCTGGTATTTACCGGTACTATAATATTCACAGAATTAGTTCCGAAAATTCAACAGAGTCTGCAAACTTCGTCCAAAACTGAAAAAGTACAATAATAAGCAAATACAAAAATAAAAATGATGTGCTTACTCGTTTGTTTGTTAATTTTAAGAAAAAAAAACTCGAGATGCATAGCAAAACTGTATCTTAAGCTACATTTTTATTGTCCAATTACCACTACTCAATGGACTGAAAATATAAATTCCTACAAATAATATTCGAACTATTCATTTTTTCATCAGTGGAAAAATTAATTAGGAAACGTCAGCGTCAATTTAGAAAACAATTTTTGTATTCACTCGGAATGATTAAAGAGATTTGCAATCACGAAATTCATTCTTTGTAAATATAAATTCACATAGCTGCTACAACCCCAATCCATATAACTAATATAATTAAAAAGACTTTGATAACCTCGTCGAAGGCCTTTACATCTAGACGTATCACGTAAAGCGTGCAATGTTGTATTTATTTGAGCAATAAAAAAAATCATTTATGGGGATAAATGTGTAGATATTTGGATATGCAAATACAGTAATATTATTAATAAAAAAAATTTTGATAGAATATTTCTATACATATTCTACAAATCTGCTAATTCGTTTACCAGTTTTGTGTGAAGCAATGTGTATATCTTTTTCTCCTTCTGTCCCAATCACAACTGGTATATGAACGTGTTTATTGTGCCCGTTATTTCTTCTAATGTGACAACTGTATTTGATTACGAAGACATTGTTTCGCTGCTGCTGCTGTCCGTGCTTGCCTAATACTTGTCGCTTGTTAAATGCCTTTTCATGACTTATCTGAATGTTCGTTAAAACAAAGTACACTGTACACCTATGATCAATTCTCTCATCAGCAATTCTCTGCTTTAATTTTCTAGATATTACGAGAAAGTTTATTGGAGACCTCGGCAGAACAAGTATGACGACAGTTACAGTTTACTTTATTCAATGAAAGGTTTTAGAGCGTGTTCATTTAACAAAGCGTAAAAATGAAACTTAAAACGAGAATAAGTGTGTGTTTACATAGAAAATTTCTGCAAAAAATGGCTAATAACACGAATTACTAAGTGCTCGAATAAGAACATCATAAAAAACTAATAGGCAATTCAGATAGAAATTAATTTGTTTTGTACAGCTCTAAGAGATAAAGTACAGTCGATTTTTATGTTACAATATAATGATTAACATTTATCTCCATGATAAGATGAATCATCCATCATAATTGAATTATGAAATCTATGAGATCTTAACTAATTTATTCTGTTATCGTGAAATTAATTTATAAATCAACGAACACTATATCATGTATAGGTTAAAAAAATTTAACCCTTTGAAACATCGCGTTGCAGAAGAGCAATGCCTCGTAAGTAAAAATTCATACCTATTCGTATAAATCTAACAGTTCTTATAATTTCGTTCCACAATGTTAAATGTATAAATTTGATTTTGTAAATTCTCACAATCAGCGACTCAAGATAATCCCAACAGATCAATTTTTTAAAAATCGCATGTAAGAAGAAATGTATGCTTCAAAGGGTTAATGTGACATAACGTTTCAACAGCGATCAATGACAATTTCAAACTTTAACGTTACAGGTATATTTATACGTTTTATTTTTTTTTCTATAGAATATATTTTATACAATAAATAAATGATCTTTTCCATCGATCTGACAATTATTTCATTTAAATATTGGATCACATCGGTAATACCTAAGGAAACTTATCCATCGATAGAGAGGCTCGCGATCAAAAAGCACAGAAATTATTTTCAATTAAACAATTGTTAAATTAATTGAAAATCCTTTAAATATGTTTGTTACACAAATGAAAATTAATGTCAAAGGGCATATTTACTGCCTATCATATTATTATATATAATATTATATGAGCTTCGACCTCGAGTTGCCTTGAATTTAATAGGAAATTTTATTCAACAGAGTACAAAAGTTGTCTATTCAATCGCGAGCCACGCACACGTAAATCCCTATAATAAAACCAATGAAACGTCATACACAATTACGGTATAAACGTACAAAAATATAACAAAATAATAAAGGTAAATATTCAATTAACACAAAAGCAAATGGATTATCACTTTTTTTTTTATAATGGCTCTCGTGCCATTACACAAATAAACGTAACTACCAGCTACCAGCTCGCAACGTAAAACGTAAGATGACTTTTGGCCGCATGCATTAACAAGTCAAATACGCGTTTCATACCATCCCGACGCTATGGAGTTACCGTTGCTAAAAGCTACTTTTAAATTGGTCAACATTGCTGTAAGGGACTTTTTAGCATTCCAGTCCCAAATTCTATCTATTTCGTTCTTTTATCCTTTGTCAAACCTTCACACAGTGGAGAACGATTCATTACAATTAGGTAGATAATACATACTATTACAGATAAATCGATTATTATCCAGATACAGATTTTTCTGTCCTTTGGAATTTTTCGTTTAAAGAATCAATATGGAGTCACACCAGTAGAGGAGAATATGGCCGATCTTGTCCTGATATAGTCGGCTAACGAAATGGTTGATGACAGTTGGAATATTTAGATGGTGGGGATGTTGATGAGGAATAAGGTTGTTAGGATGGCGGATCACATTAGTGGGAAATCAACCAGGCCTAAAGTTCTCGCGGTTCTCTTGGCGTACTTCATTGTGGCCATCTGTGGGCAGGCAAACATCGGGAATTAAATCGAGTGCTAAACATAGAGCGAACACGGTCGCGCGTGAGACGAGAAGGACTAGTAAGACTCAGGCTTCTCCACGACCTTAAAAATGTTGGAAAGCTCGTCGAGAAGTGTCTCGTAACGATAGGCCACCCGGATATCCGGTACGTTGGTTCTGGTTATGTCATTGCCCGCGACACCTTCCTTCGTGTAATTCGGACCCAGCCAGTACTGCTTGCTCTGAAAATTGAAGAGTAATGATCGTATGTTATCATATTGTTGTAATTAAGATCCTCGTTAAAATTACCTTATGTGGAAATCCGCTCATCAGAACAGAATTTCTTGCAAGTTCACACATGTCGCATGAGCTTAATTTCCATACTTGAGCTGCAATGCTGTACTCCTCCATCAGTGGTTCCTATATATAAAGAAAGAGAGAGAGAGAAAGAACACTGTAGTTAGATGTAAATTTGTGGAAAATTCAAATAATTGTAAAACTTGTTCGCACCTTAGTGAAGTGGAATTGAAGTGGATCGTCAGTCGACAAACTGACGCACAGTCCTCTCGCGAGATACTCAGGAAGTGGATTGCGATGGTAGTTCAAGAAGAGAGAATTGTTGCTCAGAGGTGACATGGCTATTCCAATTTGAGCCAAGTAATAGAGATACTGCAATACCGGAACCTTCCTCAGGAGCAAACCATGAGAGATATTTTCCGCCATCATGAAACCACAAACCAGATGTTGAATTGGACCGGCTTCTCCACAATGAGGTCTCAGGACAAAAGTGTTGAAGCCTTGTTCTCTGTTAATAAGAATTATAACATTTCTATGAATCAAGAGCCATTCATTATTACAACCTAAAAAGATGTACTTACGCCCTGAAGAGATTAAGGACTGTCATATTCGCATATGTGTAATACTGATAGTATCCGTATGGAGGATTCTCTATGTCTTCCCATTCAGCTGGAGGGCACACGTCCTTATCAAAGAGAGGATTTTCCGGTTTGCTCTCATCATCGACCGAGTCAAAGCCAATGACCTATGTAAGCAAAATATACAGATACAGACGTTCCCATAAAAACTTAGAGAATAAGATATTTTCGCTTTACTTACGTATTGAAGAAATTTGTGCAACTCCGGATGTGTGTTAGGGTCATTAGTCGCCTCAAAGAGAGGTAGAAAGATGTTATTCAGAATTTCTTGGAAGTTTGACATCAATTTGTTCAGCTTAAAGATATCACTGTGATTATAAAAGACAAAGAAGAAAAATACTTAGCACCCAAAATGATTAGGCCATGATTTATAATTGGTTAAAAGAAGAAAAAAAAGCAATTCTCACTAGAGTCGAGGAATTTGTATGAGCCAGCGCACGTTGTCCGAGTAGACGTCACTTTGAATTGCCCATCGTGCAAGTTTGTCCCACTCGTCGGGACTCTTGCCATAAATAGACAGACGCAATTCAGCGTTTTGATACTTGGACTCCTCCAAGTCGCTTGCCACTTCTTTAATTATTCTGGCAAAGTACTTGCCATTCAGATAATTATCAGTTTTTAGGAATACCTCGCGAAGCCTACTCTCACCAATGGGATTGTACTTGGCATTGAATTTGTCGAATCTATGAAAAGTATTCCTGTCCTGCAAACACGACGCGAAATAATTCAATAAGAAAAAATATAATAAAATTACCATTGGATTTTTCAAATTTGTAAAATTCTATTAAAAACTTACTGCATGCACATCGAGCATGTCGACACTGAGATCGTAGGTCGTTAAATTCATCGATTGAAACACTTCACGCAGTGTCATGGTTTCTCCAGTCTTCGAGCACGTGACAACTTCGTCTGCGTGATTCTTCAGGGTCTTTTTAATGAACCTGAGCAAGTGCTTCTGATTCATACAGGAAGCCGCATGAATATGAGTATCAACCTGTTACAAGAGAGTAGTACGTTAAAGTCAAAAAAGCTCTCGTTACCATCGAATAAAAAAAAATTCACTTGACAATCATCACAGTTACCACGCACCTTGCGTATATTATAGAAATCCCTGTGCGGAACTGCTTTCTGACTAGCAAGTTCTCTAAGCTCATTAAGTAGTACATGAAGTTGAAATTTCGACGAGAGATAACTCAATCTTCTGTAACAGAAAGACTTGAGGGGTCCATCGGCGATCATAGTACACAGTATGTTCATGTCTCTGACAAACGTAGCCAAATCCGGATAGGAATACGGCACAGGTTTCTTATTTTTCAGATCCTCTTCGGTCTCGAACAAATTGAACACCCCGTTGATAGGCGCTATCTTATAATTCTTGGACGGTGGAAATTTACATTCCCAAGGATCGCCACGCGATGCCGGCGCATGCACAGGATGATCTGTTGACACAATAATACACAGTACCGTCAATGACAATAGTGAACCAACCAAACAAACAGATTGAACTAGCTTGTTTGAAAACCATCAATTTAATTGGACAATCCGGGAATTCAAATTCCCAGTTGGAGAACTTGGACGAGGAGAGACTGAGATAGAAGGTAAGGAAGGAGAGACAAGGACCTTGCCCGAAGACATCTTTGATGAGAGCGTCGATATCGGCGTCGGATCGAACTTCAAGAAGGGAGTTCTCGGATATCGCCACTTTAACCCCTTTCAGGAAATATGGAATTAGGAAAGAGAGTTATACGAAATTTCAATAACGTACAAATAATACATTGCAAATTTTTAGAATCACAAATATACCTGCTATATCTTTGCGATCATCATGCTGGACTTCGTCGTCGATATTGAATGGCCTTTCGTCGGCGTTACGCAAAAATCGCGACGTAATCGAAGGGAAGCTCTGCTTCGAATTGCACATGTATTTTTCACGAATTACCAACGCCTGTACAAGCATCTGCGATGCTTGCTGAAGATCCTCCAATGGTACCTGCAATCATTAGTTAAAAATATTTAAATCTGATCCGGCTGATATAAGCAATGTTTCGATATTTCATAATAATAATGAAAATCCCACTTTCCCCCACTACCGTATCCTTCACAGAAATTTCCTTCCGACCTTCGCATTTGTCCTCGCAAAATACGTCATATTTAGCTGGACGCGTTGTCAGTTTATCGAACCATTTGACACCGAGAGAGGGTATGGGTTGAGCAAGGTAAAAATTAAAGGGGATGACACACCGACCCCTGACTATGTTTATGGATAGCATATCTAAAAAAAAACCATAATCAACTCTAAAAATCGTGACCTACCACATTATGAAATTACAATACGTTGTTAAAAAAAACCTGCAATTTTTTAACCCCCCCCCCCCACACCCTATATTGCCAATAACCAATTGCAGTGGTATAGCACGTGTTACGTGCGACGTTACCGAGAAAGCTGACTCGCGTCACCGTAATCTAATTCTTAGTATCCATCCCCTCCTTGACACCCTCCCAGCTACCAACCCCACTCGTGTTAAGACCTTATCGTCCTGAACGAGGTCGCACGATTCGACGCAAATTACAGGTAGCCTCAAATATCAGTCACGAGCGAGCTTAAGTAGACAGTCTTATTTCCTGGAGAATTGACATTTATTCAACGACAAAAAGAGTTAGTGAACGACGAGCGACATACACATGTACATATGTCATAACTAAGAAGGATAATATTACTACTGCGAAGGGGTTTCATTGCGTAAGACCTCCATTTAAAAGGCTTCCAAGCTTAAGAGAGTAACGCAGAAGCACCGACTGTACCTGATACTACCTATATGCACACGCGTATGTTAAGGCGTAAATTAATTCAAATAAAATAAAATTCTAGCACTCACCCCCGACGTATCCTCCCCGGATATGGAGACACGTTGAAAATGCGGCACGAAGTCATTTTCCTCTAGACCGAAGGGATGTTCCGCGTCATCCGGTACACCTGGACCCAACGATGGTTCGTAGTGGCTACGACGCTCTTCAAGATCCTTGGCGGCTCTGCGTTAGAAGCAAATTATTATTCACACAGTCTAGGAGTTCCAATTCAAGTGATTGCAGTTTCGTTTATCCACAAGATATTTTCACAGTACGTCAGGCACAACGTAATCGACCAGCAACATATAAAAAGATGAGAATGCAGATTGGGTTATCGGTTCTACCACGTATCTCAACGTTCTCCACTGACATGGACACCGAGTGTAGATGTGATAACGACCCTGTAAACAGCACGAGTCAAGATTGCGCCTCATTAAACGAGATATGTCGGACAATAATTTCGTGATAACCTCCAGAGTCAAAAAGTGTCACGGAGTAAAGTCGCCACCTGCCGTGACCGCGACGAACTCATCGATATTTAAAAAGGCTTCGTAAGATCAGCAAAGTTCCTGTTGACCAGTGACTGGACCGAGGAATCAATACAGTACTGACTTATCACATTGTCCAGTATGATCGAGCATGTGAAATAGTCGCCATATGTAATACTAACATCAATTACTATTGTCAATAGGTTCTTGGAATTTTTTTTCACAATTTCACATAAAGATACCTAAAAAATACCTTACCTCAGGAGCATCGTATTGTCCCTGAACCATCTTTTCGAATCGACAGCCCCGGCGAACATATTCAAATAACAATTAACACGTAGGAAGAGACGCGTTATTAAATTAAAATTGCTGTTCGAACGGTACGACGTAAGCAAGACTGCTCGTAAGGTTCGATAATTAAGCTACGTGAATTGGTCACGACCCCGTAAGGCACATAATTTCCTTGTCCTGATGTATTACCATGCCGAATTATGTCTGTATACTTTAAGTAAAATTTTAGTTCGACAGAAATTCACGATTTCTCGATGTCGCCACTGTTACTAAAATCTTATCGTGAACGATCTACATGGTCTCCGTGTTTCCGTCGGAGCGTATTAATCGGCTATAAGCCGTCTGCGTAAACAATTCTAAGATCCCCGTAACGATTGCACATTTCTGAGCAAGACGCGACGCTACGGGTCTTACCGGGACGACGTTCGCGCAAGCACTGAGATGACCCACCAGTTACAACCCCTCTTTTACGGACGGTGGCGCAAAGTGGGATACTGACTGCGGGGACGAACCCACTACCCACAGCGTCAGAACCATTGTCATATTGGCAGCGATGCCGTATTGCCCACTAGTAAGGCTAGAGAAGCTGGACTACTGCAAGTATAATCATCCACCACAGCCAGGAACCACCCCCTACGCAGAGAACATCCATTATTGGTAGTAGAGAGGTTGATTGGCTGGGTCGCTTATAGCTTTTGTACATATAACGACTATTTTTTGTTGGTTGGATGATGGATTCCACCGAGTGTCTATAATATCCATAACGTCGTCAGGCTCGTGTGTGCTCAGCGGCGTACGAAGCGGGCAATATGTTTTTATCACTAGTGCGAAATTAACTGAGATAAAACTTTCGAAAACTCGTAGCGATTGATTGCAGAGCTGTGGGTAATTATTTTTTAAAATACACGTAAGTCCGTGTTATTTCGTAAACAGAAGGTGAAACGCGGGACGTACTGGAGCTGTGACGCAGATGGTATGCATATATCGTGTGTCAAAATTAAATTAATACTTATTGAATTAAACGAGACGATACGTCAACTGGATCTATCACGGGCTAGATAATCTATCATTTATCGATCGATTCCATACAGCCTGTTGGACGTCCCACCGACACGGTATATATATATATATATATATATATATAATTTTCGTTTAATTTCATTCAAAAGCATAATACTTATTTCGAAAAAACAGAAGGAAACGTTCCTTATCCAAAGCATTTAATCAGAGTGCCCCGTGTGATAAAGACACGTGACACTAATAAAACGCGACTTTAATTTGCAATTGCAACGTCTAAAAATAAATCAATTATCCGTCTCATCGATAACTTCCATTGAAATCGCGCCTTACATAGACCCACTGGTAATAAAAGCGATAGTAGACAGTCCTGCTGACGTATTTCTACGTTCCCACTTGAATTACAATTACATCGAATGCTGCTTGGTGTATTCTGGTACGATTGCCCATTGTATCGAGACTACCAACACAACAACAAGAAAAGTGAACGTCTCACGGGTGCGATTGGCGTTTGTTCCAGTATTAATTGGAATCTATTGTTCATTGCCTTTTTCTCAGCTGTTTTAATAAATTCATATACACAATTACATATAACGCACTTGCATAGATCGCATCATCCTGTTCCGTGTCGCAAAGCATATCCTACATAAGTCACGACCTGAAGCCTGTTGAATTTTCATGAATTCTCGAACGAGCCCGAGAACCCACTTCCGTGCAGCAAAAGGTAACTCAACGTGTTTCTGTCCTTCAATAATTTCTTTCCTACTCGTTTCATATGCATCCTGTATGTCAGCTTGGATGTCAACGAGGAAGATTCGCAGAAAATTCCAAGGGCCTTGTCAATTTACGTACTGTGCTTTCCATAAAGCCTCGTCGCCGATAAGCAATAATACCAGTATACGATTTACCTGACGAAACATAATAATCACAAACTTACTTGACAGTAAGCTGCCTCTGAATGAGTAGCTTCTTCTCGATCTGTTCAATGGGAAACTGTGGCACTTCGTACGGCGCTGAAATTTCATTGGGAAGTTCATGGGGCACCAATCTGAGGGATGTCCCACCACCGACCCCAGCGACGCCACCCTCGAGACCAAAGACAGGACTCTCGCTTCCTAAAAGGTCAAAAGGATAAAGCTTCAATGACTAGGAACGTATACAACATTAACAGGATTGACGCGTAGACTTCCTCTATAGTCTTGACTATCGACGTATACCATGGACTACGAATAGACGTAGGAAAAATGGTCGGCTGAAAGAAAAACATGGCGACCGGTGGCGGCCAAACCCTGTCTCTTTCTAATCAGCAGCCGTACTATGAAAGTATAGAGAACGCAGCCAATAGGAGCCTTAGAAAAGGAGAGCGATTGGCCGCCACCTCATTTCCTCTTTGTTTATTTGAGCGGACACTCTTTTCAAAGGATTTTAAGCAGGGATCGCGTAGTCCATACTATACGTGTACATTCGATGGTCTTGACCCTAGTCAGTGAAAATTCCAACTATTCCCAGTAATCATCAATGCATGTATACAAACACCTAGATTATTTCAAAGAGATTTACCATCTCCTTTCAAATCTTCTGTCTTCTCTAACCATCCGCCGACGTTGGCATTCGACTCGCCACTGATCATATCGATTTCCTTCCCTAGCACCATCATGACAATAGCACAAAGACGGCAGTCTCAAAAATCCTATGGAAATTCACACGGTGGAACCTACTGGCAATTTCCGCAAGTTCTAACACGTCAAAGGGGAGCCTTCCAACATGAAATATACAGGGTGTTCCGAAACTACCTGACCCGGTGGGTATGGCGGTGTTCGGGAGGCTTCACTGATCACGAAAATGGCCTTCTTTTTGTCCGGAAGGTCATAGTTTTTATATAGCAGCAGGTCAAAGTTGACCAATCAGAGGGAGGCGTCAAGAGAAACGTAGGCACCTGCGAACTCTGAGTTTTCTTCCCTCGCTTTTGTTTCTCGGTGGCTTCGGGCAGGATGACGTCAGCCGAAGACATCCCCATTGGAAACAAGAAACAAGCCACCGAGAAACAAAAGCGAGGGAAGAAAACTCAGAGTTCGCAGGTGCCTACGTTTCTCTTGACGCCTCCCTCTGATTGGTCAACTTTGACCTGCTCCCATTTAAAAACTATAACCTTCCGGACAAAAAGAAGGTAATTTTCGTGATCAGTGAAGCCTCCCGAACACCGCCATACCCACCGGGTCAGGTAGTTTCGGAACACCCTGTATATTTCATGTTGGAAGGCTCCCCTTTGACGTGTTAGAACTTGCGGAAATTGCCAGTAGGTTCCACCGTGTGAATTTCCATAGGATTTTTGAGACTGCCGTCTTTGTGCTATTGTCATGATGGTGCTAGGGAAGGAAATCGATATGATCAGTGGCGAGTCGAATGCCAACGTCGGCGGATGGTTAGAGAAGACAGAAGATTTGAAAGGAGATGGTAAATCTCTTTGAAATAATCTAGGTGTTTGTATACATGCATTGATGATTACTGGGAATAGTTGGAATTTTCACTGACTAGGGTCAAGACCATCGAATGTACACGTATAGTATGGACTACGCGATCCCTGCTTAAAATCCTTTGAAAAGAGTGTCCGCTCAAATAAACAAAGAGGAAATGAGGTGGCGGCCAATCGCTCTCCTTTTCTAAGGCTCCTATTGGCTGCGTTCTCTATACTTTCATAGTACGGCTGCTGATTAGAAAGAGACAGGGTTTGGCCGCCACCGGTCGCCATGTTTTTCTTTCAGCCGACCATTTTTCCTACGTCTATTCGTAGTCCATGGTATACGTCGATAGTCAAGACTATAGAGGAAGTCTACGCGTCAATCCTGTTAATGTTGTATACGTTCCTAGTCATTGAAGCTTTATCCTTTTTAGAATAATCGTCCGTCGTCTCCTACGTTCACCACGTCCCACGTTCTTTCCTTAACGAGTCTGTCTAGCAAATCGCTAAATGATAGACGCAAGAATAAACCGTCCCACGTATCCGTCTCGTTAAGAACCAATTGGTTGAGTTAATTATGCGTTCAAGATATACATAAAGGGGTTCTACTATACGAACGAAAAGTATTTTCAATCGCAGCGCTGAGCTTATAAATTTATACTGCTACAAGATAACGCAATACGTATATGATGATGTTAAGTTAATTCGTATCAGTTTATAATTATTGTTGACTCTTTGAACTCGAGATTTACTCATTTTACATATATTTCGCTGCCTGAGAGGGAACAATCGAGTGCAGAAAATTACTATACTCCAAGCTTAGAAAAGTCACTTTTACCGAACGTATATACGGACTTTTGTATACGACTGGTAATATTAACGAGCCGTGATTGCATGGGAAAAACATTCGGAATTTCTACAATCGAAAATCTTTGAGCAGCTGTTACAATTCTATGACAATTTCGATAGCCGTGAACAGCGCTACGTAAGATACGTTATCTGATGAATCATGACGCCTCGCTTATGAAAGCCTACTGGATTTGTCCAAATCTATTAATAGAAATATAGTCTACTGTAATAGATACGACGAATATACATATAGTAACGACTTCTAGTGATTTTTATGTCATTCGCGTCGCTTGAAAATACATATTTTCGTGAAAGATCAATGATTTTCTATTTTCTATGTAAATTTTGATAACAAATGAGAGAGATAGTGCGATCTTGACGTTGAGAAAAAATTCTTACGAATTTTAACCTATAAATAGACGTCCTGGAATCCAAGCATCCGGTCTGTTAGCACGAGCGCGTTTCCCGCTAACTAAAAATTTATATATCCAACAACCCCGCAAATACGAACCCTCGAAACGAACGCGATAAATATAATCCGAACCCACAACTTTTACACTTACGACATTGATGCCGGATAACCCACATGAAAAACTTTTCCGCCACCCGCCATTATGGAGAATATACCATGTAACCGTCACAACATTCTCATAATAGAATGAGCAGAAGTATCGCTCGTGGTATCTAAGAGAAGTTTGTGGGCTTTTGACACGACCTTGACCTTAAGTCATTAACGAGAAACACTGTCAAAAGGAAAAGAAGCCATTTTCTCTATGAGAAGAACGTGATAAATTGCTGTGAACATCTTCAGCCAAGATCCTGGTCTAAGGAAGTTTTAAAAAAGTCTTTTCAAAATATCACGGAAACATCCAGAATCACGACTGAAGGATTAACCAAACTTTTTCTATATAATAAAAAGCCGTTAAATTCAAAACAATAGTCAATGGAAGGCACCACTTAGTTAACCATAGAAATTTCACTCACAAACCAGCCCCTTTGTAACTTTATTGATTACACAAATAAAATTTTAAACGAAGCACTATCTCGAACCGAGTATATGTAACGTAGTATCACAACTGCGTCACTGTTTCACAAGAGCTGTTAATATATTTATCGAAAGTCAAGAGAAATAATATTAATCCTTTAGAGAGGGCACTGTGACTATGTTAATCGGTCGACAGCACCGAATACACTGACTCAGGCACGGAGTTGGCAGTTGGGACTAGAGACGCATCGAGCGATCCGAGTGACGGCGAGCTTCTCGCCTATGCAAGTACACAACACGTACCGAACAAAGGAAGAGATAATAAACTGTAGGAAGTATTAAGCCCCCTGTTGTGAATAGGCCTTCTTTTCTCGGAACACATTGAATTATTATGCTTATAAGCTGCGTCTCGTTATTACGATAGTATGTACGTGAAATGGAACATACATATACTATATGTATATACATATTATATATATATATATATATATATAGCATATACAAGCACACGCGGGGTGTAGAGACACTGGTACGAAATTTTTTTACGATTTTAGCTTAGAATCAGGAGTCTGCATCGGAGCTGCACCCAGCCAAGTTGAGTAATAATGTAGCATATACAAGCACACGCGGGGTGTAGTGCTTATAAGCTGCGTCTCGTTATTACGATAGTATGTACGTGAAATGGAACATACATATACTATATGTATATACATATTATATATATATATATATATATATAGCATATACAAGCACACGCGGGGTGTAGAGACACTGGTACGAAATTTTTTTACGATTTTAGCTTAGAATCAGGAGTCTGCATCGGAGCTGCACCCAGCCAAGTTGAGTAATAATGTTATTCTGAATCGCATTTACATATTTAATTCTTGACTCTCTCCGTCTTTAATGACGTCTAAAATATTCTACTTGCATTTACGGATTGTTACGCGTACCCTGAATGTATTAACGTTCTCTGAGACACGTCGTGTTATGTTCTTCTGAAATAAATAGGTAGGAGATATAAATGCCAAATGCGTCGTATGTTATTTACCGTATCGGCAGAAAGTGTCTATTGAGAGTACTGGCGTCACGTGCGTAATCAGATGACACAATTTCTCTTGGTATGGAAACGATATAATATCACACTATTGTGTAATGGATCTTCGAGTTTGTTGGTTACAGATTTTTGCGTTACCACACTAAAATGCCTTTGTAGCATAGTATCAGTTAAGTGATATATTGCAGAATAGAGGTTAGTAGATATGTATCGTTTATAAATTACGTCGCAGCGGTTAGCTTCCTGTTTATATCATGTGACGAAATATCTTTTCCACTGTACATACATAAAAACGGGGTGGGAATGAAAAACAGATAAAAGATTTGGTAATATGTTATAGATACTATAGTAGCAATGTTATTTTGTATAGAAATAAAACGCGTGACGTATCTAGTCATGTTTTTTTTCCCTTGAAATTCTATTCCTTTAGATCAATATTAACTAAACTAATTTGTGACCGTCGTGTAAACGTAGTCGTAGATGTATTCTTGTTGATACAGATATTTGAAAATCACAATATGATAACGGACCTTAATTGTGAGAATATAAAAAAACCAGTCGGTTGTCCACTTCAGCGACACAAGTCTGGGCAAACTAATAGCTGAAGAGAATGACTATGGGAATTCTGAATGCTCGTCGCATTGGCCGCTAGCCAGAAGATTCTCATGAAACGAAGTTGAAAAATATTCTTGAATCATATTACTAAGGAACCGTAACGACATACTTGCATTGCTCGAATGATTTATTATTCGAACGGGCATATCGAATCTATCATGGACACGTTTCTAGAGCTGATCAATATATCATTTATCGACTATCGATAAAGCAACTGATTAACTCGATACAGAGACACTTAAGATACTTAGTACCTCTAACTTTCAATGACAGGTCCGTAAGTCTTACATGGCTTCTTATATAAATACGGAATATTGTATGGTGAAACTGTAGTAAAAACTAGAAATTTCGAGGAACTACGTTCAAAACATTTCCACGTAAGGCAAAGCTGACTCAAGTCCTGGCAACGTACCAGGAAGCTGTTTTCCAGCCAAGAATTCTTAGATCAATATCATATATTGGCAAACAAACGGTCCACTAGGGATGCTGCTTCCGTTGTTGTCAAAATCATATAAATTTTCCAATGACTCCTCGACCTGGTCAAATTTGTCTTACAATTTATTTCGACTCACCGTCTCTCTTAGGATGATTCTTATGCATGATACTTCTACGATACTCGTTGAGAGCACTCATGGTTATATCTCCTTATCGATATGAAATATTTCTTTCACTAAGCGGGTAATGTTTTTGAGAGAAAAAAATTGTGGTTTCAGGTAATTTTTGAAATTCAATTTATTCCACAATGTGATTGACACACCGACGGCACTAGGCAGCGATATACTGACAGTGTCTTTTGATAATACACAGTCCTACCTAAACAACGGAGCGGGCTAGATCTGATAACGTATCAGAAACTTCAGCGACTTTGGGAACCGTCGGAAGACTAACTCCGGGAGAGAAACTGCGAGACTACCGTTTAAAGCGAGTTACGCAACTAGCGTTCAATGCCATTTGCGTTAAGCATTACTACTGAGTTACTAGGTGATAAGGACATCTGTCAAGTAGTAGAAATTTCGTAAATAGGTGGTTATTAGGAGTAAGTATAGGGAGATGTTATTGGACAAATGATGACATCAGAATGTGTTAATTATCAAAGTTTCAATTGAAATTACCTTCATCAGGGTCGATAAGAAAATTTGAGGTTATCAAAATTCCTAGAAAACCTTCGTTTCCTATAGGATTTACTCCTCTGCTTGACATATCTGCCTTTTTTTTTTTTACTGAAATTATTAAAAATTGTTTAAATCTGATTTCCACTTCACACACGATTATCTATCTCGATCGAGCGACGCACTTTTCTGTCCCGTTCAATATTCACTGCGCTAATATCGACGTCTGTCCTAGAAATAAAGGCAGGTGTTCGCCCAAGGTGTTTTACGTGCACCGAGTACATTTCGTCACACTGTACTTATATACTTTAAACTAGTGTTACACACCTATAGAATAGAAAAATCAATAAGAAATATTTTATTATAAAAACAAACGCTACTCCAAATACTGAGATTAGAAATAAAATCAGACACGAAAATTTTTCAAGAACATTTTCAACACGGAATTCGCAAATGAAAGCACGTGTGAAATTTAACGTTATATTTAATGCCAACTGCATTGATACTAAAAATATAACACAATTGAAATGTAGAATCGCAATAGTACACAAGAAGTAAGTTCTAAATAAAGATTTCAAACAATAGCCGAGTAAATTTTGCTCGATCGAGATTCGACTTATGCTGATTTTACACAGATATTAGGATAATCTTTAAATACTTTCATGAGCAAGATACCTGCTAAACAAGCAGAACACTATGCACTGAACTTGAACAAACGTTAAAACTCGAATGTGGATCGTTATCATAAAAAATTACAATACCTGATAACGGGCAACAGAACAGATTTAAAATAAATTAAAAATCGATCGACCTATCGTAAAATACTGCACTGCAAGCTACACGAGGCTCTTGAATGAACTTTGCGTGGAAGTTTTACTTCTCTTAGCCAGAGAATGAAGAAACTAAGCTCAACTGCGTCTGCTCCTCTTGTTTCTATTCGTGTACGCGCCAGAAACATTCGAGACAACAGTACAAGTCTGAGAAACGTGTCTCGTAAGGTGGAGCATCGAAGATGGGTGAAAATATACGCGTATCCAAGAAGAGAGAGACAGTCAAAATAAAAGAGGAAAGTAATAGGCAGCATGCCAAATAACCAAGTTTATTCTAACCTAACACGCATCGTATGCTTCATGGCTTTAGAAATAAGAATATGAAAAACTAACCTAATAATCCGTAAAATTCTTGCGATCGGCCCATATCTGCCTCCAGGGAGATGTCATCATCGTTTATCATATTTACGTATTCTACTCTTGATGTCCTCTTCTATAATCCATATTATTCATACAAAAAATATCGTTATTTACTCCCATGATAATACGTTTTTCATGGTAAAATATTAACCCACATTTCGTCATGTTGCAATTAATTCTGCTTATTCAGAATTTAATCGAGGATATTAACAGGGGTGGGTGTCTAATGTCACTTCCAGAATGATAAACACGCAAACGGGAGTCACGAACGAATCGCCAAGATGAAATTAATGGATTCTGTGCGAATGAAGTTGCAAAAAGAATGAGAACGTTCATTGCGCGTGGCGTCTGACAGCCAATCGATTTCTTTGCAAATTGCATATCTCGGCTATGTTCTCACGGATGGCGTGCTCGGAGTTGTCATGACATTTAGAAAGGGTGTCGTTGATCTTTTATAATACTACGATATACATATAAACGATACTGTTTATACTGTATTTTGAAGATTGTGGTATAGCGATAACAATCTGAATATAATTACTTACTTTCACGATGATGGTCTACGATATTTCCAGGTGTTGTGGAACTATCGGCATCTCCTTCACCGTCCAAATCGTAATAGATATTTCCAGCAGAAGCTTTGTTCACATCCTGCACTCCGTTCACAGCTACTGGTTCTTCCATAATTCGTAATTCCTTATAAACCTCACAGATGGATCACGAACGAACGAACTGCCTCTTGTTTATTTTATCTAAATTATCACAATAATTATCCGGAAATAGGTTTCTTGTTATGAACAAATACAGTAATACCTATTACCACGATTAACAAATATAACTTGAAACTACCAAGTATAAAAACACTGTTATGTTCTCAGTATAGCATGATATACCCAACAATAATTCACAATTATATTATAATCTATAAATATCCATTATCTGGATACAAAAGATTCTGTCTTACCAAAAATTCAACGAGTTTAAACAGCCGTTAAAAAAAGGTTCGTAACCTTTACACGTATACACCAAAAAAAGTTTCTCTTAATTGCTCAGCCACTTTTAAACTTCACGTTAAGACGAAATAACAAGCTCGATGTGTCTGTTTAAATAGTATCTTGCGTTCCAGTTGTATACAATTGCACAGTAGTGGTGTCACGTTATCTTTAAGAATATGTTTTTTTAATATATATTAATCCATTCGCAGCTATAATTCGAACTGGATAATAACACAAGTGCCCGCCCAACTGACTCGCGATCGCAATGAAGCTGCACAGACTGTTCTGCACGCTGGAAGGAAAACGTGGGACTGTTTTACTGTTGGTTCACGCCAACTAAGCCGCGATGCGTATGGTGAAGAGACAGTACGCGAGGCTAGTGTAGCTGGATTCGCGATTGGTTCAGGCCGTAGACGATTCACTCAAACGAGACACGTGATTGGCGCAGACTCGCGTGCTGGCCCTACGAAAATCCATACCGCCCCGGGACTGACCGCTGCCGACGTTCTAGAATAATAGCAAGCAACCAGTTCTGGATAATGCAGAACACTATAATAAAATGAACACGATTATCAGTAGGATGATAGATATAGAAGCAAAATATATCAGCTAAATTAAATCTTTTATTAACAGTGTATAGATATACAGCGTGTGATACTTAAGAGTCATACTGAAAGTACAATTTTAAAAGTTAGATAGTTACTCAAATATAGTATTATCGGCTGAGGCTAATTATTTAATTTAAAAAATTTGGTTTATAAGGACTTATGGATTCATTTCCCTGCGCAGCTTTTCTTATGATAAACACTATCTTTGTTTATGGATTTTATGATAATTGCTACTTAAGCTAATATACTCTTTTGGATATTTGAAAATAATCCAATGCATTTATTGTAATTGGTTGCATTCCTTTAAGAAATTTTATTGACTAGTTGAACTTGCGAGGAAGTTTTTTTATTTGAACTTTTCGAATTAATTGAAGTCAAAGTCGCTTTCTGTGGTGTTGGATACATTGCGTTCTATAGTACTATCGGTGTCTGAATCTAATAAGGACTTTATCACGTCCTTCTTCTTCTTCTTATCCTCTACTTGACCTTCGACCTTCTGCTCCCGATCGATGCGCTCCTTATCCTCCAATCGTAAAACATCTTCTTTTGGTTCAGACACTGCACTTTCTATTCCTTGAACAACTGGATCTTCCAGGAGTTCTTCGACACCTTTGTAGCCCTCTTCATAGGGTTGAGATTGGTCAGGATTATATTCTGTATTTTTGGGGGCTGCTGTATGGTCCTGTTCTTCAACGGGATAAGGTTGTGCAGACTGTTCGAAGTATACTTGTTCATCGGGATTGTAAGATTCATTATTGACAAATTCATTTTGATTATGTTCTTCAGGTTCATACTGTTCTTGATCCTCGTACCCTTCAGTAGGGTAAGGATAGTGTTGATCAGGGTTGTACGGTTGTCCTGAATCGTACTGTTGATTAAGATTATAGTGTGGACTAGGATCCTGCTCATAATGTTCATATTGCTCATGCGGATCAGGCTCATATTGCTGATGTAGATCATGTGCATATTGTTGATTAGGATCTTGTTCATACTCTTGATTTGGATCTTGCTCATACTGTTGATTAGGACCCTGTTCATACTGTTGACCTAAATCATGTTCATATTCTTGATTAGGATCACTCTCATACTGTTCATTGGGATTATGTTCATATTCTGAATAATGCTCTCCAGGATACTGTTCATACTGTGCCTTTGAATCTGGTATATATTGTTCATACTCTTCAGTAGGATTATGTTCATACTGAACGTTTGGATCATATTTATATCTCTGATTAGTTTCATCAATATACTGTTCTCCCATGTCATATGGATATTGTTGGTCAGGATTTTCTGAATAAACTTCATTTGGACCATGTTTATATGGCTGTTCCATATGATGCTCATAATCAGAATCAGGTTCACGAACTTCATTAGATTTACCAATTTGTTCAATCGGAGAATATTCAATCGGCTGTTCCAATCCTTCTCTTGATTTAAAATCATATGAGGGATATTCCTTTTCCCTAAATACTTCAGTTTTACTGGAATCATAATCTGGGTGACCATACTCCAAAGTTTCAGTTGGATGCAACGCATAATTTCTAGGAGCTTCATCAAAATTTTCATAATCTTCGTCCCTATGTCGCTCCATCTGTTTATTAGTCTTAGGCTCGAGCCCAGAAACATGTTCCAAGGGAATATTTTTCTTATCTTTAATATTTAAATTATCATAATCATCTCCCTTCAGGATTTCACTACTTTGTTGAGGCTCTCTTAAATCTAAATAACTTTCTTGATCCTTAAAATCATTGTCTATATCCTGAATAGTACTCTTTGTTTTTATCTTCTTATCTTCAAACGATCTCTCTTCCGGAATATTTTTCCCAATTTTCTCTGCGACCGATCCTGCTCTACTCAACATCCCTTGTCTTTCCAGTGCGCTCTGAAGAACTTCATTTCCGGTGTCATCACGCACATCCTTTTCAGTCACGAAGTCTTTCTTCTCCTCTTGCTCAACTTCTTGAATATTTTTCTCAAAATGTTGAAGACTAGTCGGCTCGACTTCCTTCTCAACACCAAGAACCTTCATGCCAATCTTGGGCTTCTCATCTAGTAACTGAACTCCCTTACCTTCAATATCCTCCAAGAGCACAGAGCTCTTTGATTCATCCAAAGTATCTTGCCGTTCATCCAATTTTACTTTACCGAGTTCTGCAGCCAAGTCAACCGGTATCTCATGAACCGCTTTCAATTGATCTTTCTTAATCTCATCACTCTGTTTACTTGGTATCGTAACGCCTACATTAACGCTGCTATTCTCAACATGCGGTGTCGCAAGTTTCCTAATATTTTTATGCGGACTCGCTATTTCCAATTCTGATGTCGCAACCTTAGCTCTAATTCCGTCAGCCGCAAGAGTCGCTAATGCCGCGCACGCGCTGTCCTTGATACGAAGTGCCTGATTGCCTGTCTCGTTTACAGTCATATTAGTTAAAGTCACTTGGTAGCCAGAATCTTCCTTTTTCACGTTTGTTTCAGCAGAAGACATTCCCTTGGGACTCTCTCCAACGGTTTGACGTTTTTCATTGGTCGGCCCAACTAACACGTCGTCTATATTTGCCGTACTGGATGCTAGGTCATCCGCTAGTGCCAAGACTTCCTGAACTTGTTCAGGTACTTGATTTTCTCTTGATTTCTCTTCTACCGGTAAATCAGGTCCATCGTCCGACAGTGTTACATTCAGAAGATCACCACTTGTATTCTGTTCATGATCCAATTCCTCCAGACTTTGTTGATCCAAATCACGATGAAGAGTTCTGATCTTGCTGATATAATTGTCCAATTCACTTTCCAAAGCCTTTGTCGATCTGCCGTCCGAAATTACGGAATTTTTGTTTATGATCGAAGAAAATTTAGAGGTACGTCCTGTAGCCTTCGGTCTTTCGTTGCGGGATGGATAATTTTTTGGTAAAATACGTTCATTCCGTTTTATTAAATCTTCGAGGTCGCTCTTTGTCATTGATCGGGTTTCTTCCTCGACCTTGGGCTCATCCCGAGTATATCTTATTGAATAATCCAAGTAACTAGGTAAAGGAGTACTCTGTCTGTGCAGATTAAAGCTAGTGTCACCCGTCAAAGCGTTTTGCAGATCACCGCTGCCAGGTACCAACTGAGAAGGCATGAAGTGTCGTTCAGGATCCCGTTGATGATCTTGAAGTGTCATGCTAGGAAGAAACTCTGTCACGTTACCACCAGAGGGTTCAACAACTTCTGGTGCCCTGGATGTCACAACTTGAGGAATGTTCCTGTCGATTGGAACATGTGGTACAGAAGCTGATAAATATCTTGAAACACTTTGCTCAGGCTCAATCTGAGGTAAACGAGCAGTAATTTCTGTAATCTGATGCTGGGATAAGACTGGCTGAGAACTAGGAGCAAATCGTCCATACTGAACTTTCTGAGGATTAAACTCTGAAACACTTTCAGGACTTCCTGCTACTTGGGCTGTCCTCACTGCATACGGTGAATACTGTTGACGCGTACTACCCTGACCCTCCATAACAGAGGTTTCATAAGCAAATGGAACCTGCTGTCTCTGAGAAAATTGTATCTGCTCATAAGGCAGGTTTACTTGTGAATTTGCCTGAGAAATTTGCCCATATTGTGATACACCTGAAGGACCCATATATCTTGTCTCAGTATATTCAGCTGGTACAGTCTGACTCTGCTGGAAGGACGTTCTGGAGAGGTTCACGGTTGGGACAGTAACACGCGACATTTCCACAGATTGATTGATAGACTGTGCTGTTCGATTGACTTGAGGTATATCCTTTTTGGACGGCCTTTCGTCATTCTGACTAGCGACGCCACTGTCCCCCGTACCAGTCGGGCATCTGTTGGCATATACGCGTAGTAGATAAGCTTCGTACTGCTTCTGTAAAAATATAACAGAAATGTAGGTAATACGAGGTAACAAAAAAAACAGAAATGTAGGTAATATGAGGAAAAAAAATGTAATGAATTTCTAGTCTCATACTCATCATTTAAAAGACTGCTATGTGCGTGTCGGGAACTCGGTAAAATCGATTTCTACTAACGTCGGTAAACACAGGCTTATGTTGCTATTCGAGGTAAAACGATTTAAGCCGTTCTTTCAGTGTCACGGATTGCGTGACTGCCTCATGCACTGTTCAAAGAATCAGGGAGAAACTCACCCGTAGAATACTGAGTCTATCTGTTTTGGCAGTCATCAAGGCTAGACTGCTATCCACCTTATCCAGGGCTCCAAGTAATTTGTGATTTCTTTCATCTCTGGCGCGTTGTTCTTCCAAAAACTCGATGTATCTCATACGTAGTCTGTTGATACACGCTTCGTGCCTGCGAAAGAGTAAAAACGTTATGATTCAGGAAAAGTACGGATCGCTGAATAACAATCGAGTCAAACATCAAGAAATTGATTAAATTTTGAAATAGGAGTATTGTCATCGAGGCAATAGACTTTGATGGTATCTAATGAATAGTATTGCTATTTTTAATATCGATGCTTCAATAAATTTACGAAATGTCCGCGGGACACAAAACCCGCTTTGAATACTTGTCTGATATAGAGTCAACCGTAATTCGAAAAAGGAGAATTTCTATAGTAATACTATTGTATAACATATCTGATCGATAGGTTATTCGTTAATCATTCGAGATAGGAAAATTTGGCACAGTGAATTTGACTCGAGTAAAAAGTAACGACTCATCTTTTAATAAACTAAACGTATTCTACGACATTCTTCAATGTCCTGATAATAGGCATCTCACAGTAGACCGGCTTGTATTTCGTTTTCTTTTTGCATACTAAGTCAAATCGAATATCCATATTTTTGTTATATATTACAATGGAATCGATGACGTACTTTGTTCACATTCGAATGAGGTACCGTGGCTTTCATATCTTCTGTGTGTCACCGAAGTTATGTTTGCGCTATCGATTGCCCACATTCCCTAAAAGCGGGTCGGCAGCCGATCGATACAAAACGTTTGGTTTAAAGCTATACAAGAGGAACGAGTAAATTCCTTCAAGTTTCTCAGTCGAGAAGGGCAAAGGTCACGTCCATACGCTAACGTCAACGTGTCCGCCTACACGTAGTGCATGATCCGTACACTGGCCATGAGATGGTAATTTCCAAATTGCAAAAATCATCAGTGTGCGAGGTAAGGGAAATCGATTCAGGGTAAGAATATCATTAATATTATACACCACGTAGATTTGAGGTAGCGTAAAGACAGTGCCGTGGTTTAATATAACATTCATAACCTGTATCGATTATTAGGTAAAACTTCAAAGTAGTAAGTAAAGCTAAAAGTCACTGGTAAGAGTCACACTCAAAATTCGCGCCATTGAATAACCGTTGTATATATTGTCAATTTACAAAAATTTCGTGCTTACCTATTGCGGGATTCTTGAACTAACGTATTGAATCGTTCCTCCAGCTTCATCCTCTCTTCTTCGCTACAATGTTTATCGACATTATAAAATCTATTCTTATCGAATGTTCATGGCATTTTTTTCTGAAGTATATTATAAATATTTAATTGAAAACGTCAGTTACCTTTTGCGTAATCTCTCCTGAAGTTCCAACATCTTTCTATAATAATCTTGACCATCATGCAGTGGCGTCATATTATACTGAAGATTTTTTGTAACGTGACACACAGTTTGTTCCCTTAATGTTTACACAGAGAGACGCTCTATCCCCATAAATCAACTTGATAAAAAAATATGCGTCGTTGGTTATCGACACAGAATAAAATTCTGTCCTTGTTTTTTCAATTTTCAAAAATCCTATACCATTTAATTTGATACATGGAAAATACAATTCGACAATGTATTCTCAAAAGGCTAGATCCAGCTAGATCCTTCGACATCCCGGCTCAGCGAGCGACTGTCGCATGTGGCGTCGCGACGCCGTGAACGTGGGGGTGGTTACCCCAGATGGTTGTACAGGTGTGCTATCCCCTACTCCAACCACTACGTCCATTATTCTACAGACAGACTGTAGAAATATAGGATAAACTTCGTAATACTCTACACCACTTTATACTTGATGTTCAAAAGTTTGCCGATTCGTAGTGCCGGTACATTTCGCGCCTTGTGTCGTTTCAAATTTGCTTATGCAGAACTTGGATGATTAAAGTTACTACTGTGATATCTATACTTTATTGTAATTTTAAGTTTAACGACAGTTGGTCCTCCGTCTGACGAATTGCATGTAAAAATGAACACACACGCATTCGTCGAAATTTACGAGGCCAGACACTTCGCGTGCCTCTGGTAAATTTACTTTTACCCTTTACTTCGACCGCTGCTGTTTCATTAATATGCTCCTGCCCTCCCCCCCACACTCGTGGAAGTCAAATGAAACAAGACAAGATGCGGGAAGCAAAGTCTGTCCATGGGAATCCGACACGGCATCGCAGACTAACAGGAGAAATTGCAATTATGATGAGTTGTGCCTTTTTCTTTTTTTTTCCTACTATCTCAGGTAAGTTCTGAGGGTTGAGAGATATTTCAAATCTGTTATAAAGAACGTGCTATTTGAGTATAATTGCTACTAAATGATTTGTTGTTTTTAATATATTATAGTATAATTTAAAGCTACTGTTATAGTATACAGTTTTTTATACACGGTTATAATTCAATACAAAGATACCACTACGATGATTCTACTAAAGCAAATGGGCAGATTCATTTTAGGTGGTGCGTTTGGCTTGAACAGTCATGTATAATATGATTAAAAATACCTCTGAGACAATGATTATTAGATTACTTTAAAACCGCTTAAACTATCGCAGTCTGCTTGGTGTATACTGCTTGCAGATGTTCAGTTTCTTTTGTTGTTGTTGTTGTAGCCATATAAACTGTGTGATGGAGCTTCTCTCCAATTAATTTGAATTTTCTAGATATCTGTTATAGAATGTAAAACTCTATGTTAGAATTCTATATATAATTTGAATATTAATCTTTCTATATACCTTTACCACAGCAGGATCCTTGCATCCCATGGTTAATCTAGTAATACTCGAGCTCTTCAACACTATTTCATTATCTCCTATTTCACCTTCTTCAATGGTGGTTAAACCAAAGTTGTGTGCCAAGAGCAAAGAAACTTTATTTGTTCCTGGTATCACTTTTAAAAAACCAGTTTCACGGTGCATCGGTGTCTTTTTCTCAGGATGCCAACTTTGAGCAACATAGTTGAACATCGGCTGGCCAATACTTGCAAATACAATCTCCTCATGATAAGTAAAAGGTTTAATTGTTGGATATTTACCTTGCCCAACATATTCAGTTTTCCATGTACCTTCTAGCCATGCTAATGACTTCAAGGCATCATGCATAGGTAGCTGATTCATTTCTACAACAAAATTTGAACAGGTCACGTCCGTTTAGCCGCTTATCAGAATGTAAATATAATTTCCAATCAATATTTATCTATAATCCTACGCAAACTATACAAAACACTTGTTAAAAAAAATAAAAGTACCTTGCAAAAATCTATTGGTATAATTGACTAAGTTTCCTTAAAGTAATAAAAAATATAATGTACAGAATCAAACAAAAAGAGATACTGGTTTAAACATAGTTAAATAGTTTATTATATAAAAAGAACCTTATGGTTATGTTTATCTACCTTAATATATTCAAAATATAACGTTCGATTTTTATATCAAATAGAATAAGTAACACCACAAATCTAAATACAAGAGAAACAAAAGATATTTGCGAGAGGCATGAAAACGTAACTAAATGTCATACGATATTTACATACTAATTGTTATAATATACAAAATTCAAATACTTCTCTATTATTGACACCAAATTTCGCCTCGGCTATAACGTTCTGTGCTTGAATAGTTTTGTATTTACATGAGAACTGAGTGTAATGTTAAATTAAATAAACTCCATAATTTTTATATAAAAATTTACATTTGTTATTATAGGAAATTATTTAATTGTTGAGGGTGAAATAACATATGCAATATTTTGAAGTTTGGGTTAAAAGATAAATACATATGTATCGAATTGGATTCACCGCTATTTTACTTGATATACTATCTATTCAGAAAGCATCTGACCACATCTGACTTAAATGATGCTCTTACCACTGCTCAGAACTGTAGGGTTTATACAGAAACGTCATCACTGTAAATAGCCGTATATTCAGTATAGAAACGCAGATCGCCTTGCTATGCGCCATAGTGCGACGTTCCTTTAAAACCGAATCTCTGCATTGATTTCAAATTATTATTTTTGTATTGCATTTTACAAACAACGATAAAAATGGCATCTTCACCAATATTAAATCCGGTAGGTAATTTTGTTAATAATAATCTGAAAGTGAAATTTTATTTTTATTTTACTGTTCAAACTTTACATTGACCCCAATGTATAATAAGGTGACTGCATGAAGGATCGCAATGCCGTTATTCTATAAATTATGTAATTTGTCCAAAGTTTGGACACCACCTCTTTTTTATAATTTTTTTCAAAATAAGTTTTTTTTTGGCAATAAGAATAATAAGAAAATAAACTATCTTAATTGTATAAATTTATATTTACATTTTTTTCTATGCTTAGAGACTTGTTTATTTATATCAAAGTTTAGATAAGTATTTTATGTGTAAATGTTTTTTCTTTCATCAGGAAATTCCTTATGTGGGTGAAGTGGAAAATGGTTTAGTACCTGGAAAGATGGTCAAAATTCAGGGCAGAGTACCACCACAGGCAGTACGATTTGCTATCAACTATCAACTAGGCCCAAATTTAAATCCAAGGGATGACATTGCTATTCATGTATCTCCAAGATTTCCAGAGGGATTCATCACCAGAAACCATATCGAATCCATGAACTGGGGACCTGAGGAGAATGAAGGGCCTCTGTGGCTTGTACCAGGACAAGGATTTGAAATAATTGTCCTTTGTGATCACAATTGCTACAAGATAGCTATCAATGGCAGACACTTCACAGAATTTGCACACCGTCTACCTTACCAAAAAGTCACTCACCTTGTCATTGATGGAGATGTGGAAGTAACTTCCATTATTTATGAAGGTGGGATTAGTGATGCTCCACGTTCTCCAGGATCTGTGCCCCTGCCTAATGTACCTCCAGCAAACTTTGGACCACCACGTAAATATTGTCCATTTCTTCTTACCTGGTAATATGTATGAGCATCCTACTAATAATCATGGAACAAATAGCACCAGGAGGCCTGTATCCAACATTAGGGCCACAAGGACCTCAACCAGGCTATGGACCTCAACCAGGTTACGGACCACCTAATGCTTACGGAGGTCCTGATGGGTACAATCCTCCACGGGCTTACGGTTATCAACCTGGTCAAGAGAAACCTGAAGAGGAAGACGCATTTGGCGGTTGCCTTGATAAAATGGGTCTTGCACTAGGAGGTCTAGTAGCTGCGGGAGGCGTTGCTGCCGCTATGCACGCGATGAACGTAAGGAAATTTCTAAACAATGTAAATTCAATGTAAAGAAAAATGTTTAATCTCCTGTCTTCTCGTTAAAGAAAAAGAAAGACCAGGAAAATGACCATGAAAAGACAGAAGCCTCGAAGGCAGAATCTGGGAATGAAGGTGGTTTTGGCGGACTTGGTGCACTGGGTGCAGCACTGGCTAGCAGTTTAGCCGCAAATGCACTTCAAGGTGATAACAGGCAACCCCAACCTGGATACCCATCTCAAGAACCTGCCGGCGGAGGTGTACTTGGCTCTATTCTTGGAGCACTCGGTATGCTATTTATTTATAACCACCACAGCAAAATTCTCCATCCCAAAAAATCGCGAACCTTTACAGCACGTGTAATTAAATTTTCAATTTTCTTTTAACCTTTGATAAATACAGATATGCGCAAGTTATTTCGATATTATCACGCTACTTACAAATGATTCGAAATGTATGACTCGTTGGAATTCGTGGAATTGCAGAGTAATGGAATGTTGAAATAACTTAAGCATGACATCATTCCCAGAGTCTATCATTATATCATCAAGGCCAATAATGATCTTGTAACGTGCAGCATTAAGAATGACCGTTCTTTGGTTCGAAAACACTGAAATCTGTTTTATATGGGTTTTCATATTTTTGGAATTTACGTTTTTATATACTTCTTTTTATTACAGGTGGTGGCGGTGCTTCTCAACAACCAGCCTATCCTCCTCCTCAACAACCCGCTGATCCACTCGGAGGTGCTCTGGGATCTATCTTGGGCGGTGTTCTCGGCGGCGGCGGACATCAACAACCTGCATACCAACCATCCGGAGGATATGGTGGTTATCAGCCCAGTGGTGGTTACGGAAACCAACAAGGATACGGAAACCAGGGATCTGATAATTCTAATTTACTAGGCGGAATCGGATCTGCTTTGTTTAGCTCTGCCCTCAGCGGACTCACCAAACATAAAGACGTGAGTAGAAAAGGCAAAAATAAGCTTAAATGATTTTCGCTTACACTTTCTTTCAACTATTACCAGAAATGAGTAGGTACTCATCTCTGCTATCACTATCTGCTTTTCTCTACACATATTATATTTTTAGCTTTAAACATGGTTTAGCCTACACATATTTGCATATTCTTTTATATTCATATTTAATTATACAATTTTTTAATATTTGTTAATACATTTTTCGGATCATTAAATTTAAGAATAATAATACTTCATAAAAAAATCAGTTGACTCATCTTTCCTCCTTCAGCATTAACATCTTTCAGCTATTGCATGTCCTCTCGCACTTTTTCATGCATTCAACTGCTTGCAGCTCTCGTGACTTTTGTATTCTTAATCTTTAAAATATGAAGTAGAAATCTATTCATATGCGATTCTATGCAGAAACCCCAAGATAATAATTATCCATCACCGGCTCCACCATCGAATTATGAATCACGGAATAATCCGTCTCCACCGCATTCAGCACCAAATTCTGCCAGTCCATCTACACCGGGAGGCGGTAAACTTTCTGCAGCTGAAATTTCGCGAGGTCTTGGTCTTGATGCCGACGAGGACTAAGCTTCATATTTTTAAAAATTATGAAAATAACACAACGACCTGTTTCTAAAATTGATCGCACGCTACGTAAGTGTTGATGCTCTCTTTACTTGTCTTTGACCTCACAAGAATGAATATTGTAAAATAATTAGTAGCTCGTCTTAATGTTTCTTCGTGGTTCCAGTACTAAAAGTACAGATAAAACGCATTACATTATGAATTATGTCAGAAGATATTATAAAGGTTGCGACAATCGCACGCAGAATAACCTGAAAATACTTATGGGCACATGCATCTGAAGACACCATAAGAATTTCATTTGAATGATATTAATAATACATGTACGATTAATATTTATTGAAAATCTATCGAGAAAAGGGCCGTACTTCGTTTCGAATTATAATGAGATAAATGTACGCTCTTTTACGATTCTTATTATGCGACAGCAGCTAAGCCAGTAGTCGTATCATCGGGAAAGAATAGGTTTTGACAAGTTGCGATAGCAAAATAATTATATTTTGCAATAGAAAATTATACAGTTAAACTAAATCTTTCGTTTCGTACAAATTATGATTATTTTTATAAAGATTTTAGTGGCCTTAGGAATCCTATGCCTTATACTTTACAGTACCTATACACTCGCTGTATTCCAATGAAAAAAATATTTTACAAAAAATAAACCTATATGAAAAGTTACTTAAAGAATTTTCACTGACTATGTATAAGTCTTTGATGATCAATCTTGATCCAATACTTCTCTTGATGACGTTGTTTCCAAAATAATCCCATAGCTCGTCTGAATGAAGTATATAAATAAATTCTATAATATCTGCATATATAAAATCTTTTTACTCCATATAAAACTTACATCAGTCTGAGCTTTCAATGCTTCCAGTTCGTCTTTTTTCTTTCTATTGAAAAATCCAATCTTAATCAATGCTAACGTAAGTAATATCAGCAGCAATGCTCCCAATAGTACAGAGACAATTATTATCCAAACAGCAATACGATCTGCAACTGGTGATCCTACAAATGTTGTTCCAACCAAAGCAGTATCCGGTTTGGATGGTTGACTTTGGATAATACCCTCAGGCTGTGTAATTGTAACGTAACCTTTGGATACAACAAATATAATATCCTTGCCCTCTGTCATACTCGCTGCAAAAAATATTTATTTAACTAATAATCATAATAGGTCTTAAAAAATAAATCATTGATGTGCAACTTACTCTTGAAATTCAATAACTGTAAATTCATTGTCAAAAGAATCTTGGCCTGAGACAACAAATCTTTAAAAGTTCCCAACGAACATGTGAAATCAGTACATGTCACTGATGGACTCGTACAATTAATATACAAAGTTCTATTAGCAGCAGGCACATTCAGAGTAATGTTCTCATTTATAGAAAACGGTTCGGACATTCTGTTTTTGTTGTTGAACTCCGATGAACTGAAATCTGCGTTATGAAATTTTGAAGTATGCAGTATCGCTGATGCAACTGGCAAATCGATCATCGACATTCCATTTTCCAATAATGAGCTTGAACTGCTGCAGTGAATCTTGTGACCATCTTTATAGCCAATTGTGTTGTTAATGCTGATAACTTCGACTTGACCGTTATCATCTGACCACATAATTGGTACTGAAATTGTCACTTCAGCATCCATAATGGGACTGGCACCAAATTTCTGAATCTCATAAATGTGTTGAAAAGTTATACTTTCCAATTGTTTTTCATCCTTCTCGTGAAAATAGGAATAGGAGACTTCTTGTGCTTTTCTGAATAATTATAGTTCTTTTTTATATAACTTACTTTGAAATTCATTAAACAATACTCACCCTACGATTGCAATGTCGACATCAATATCAAAGAAGATTGTCAACGTGTAGTTATTATCTTCGGGATTACTTTCCTCACTCTGTGTAGAAACCATAGACTGTACCTCCACTTTGCCCATATCAACTAGATCACCAGTTTCCAGATCTATGATTAATGTTTTCTGGAATGCAAAATCATAATTCTTATCTGTCAAGTGGCTTATTCATATTAATATGACTAAAAATTAATTAATATTAATATAAATAAATTTGAACTCACGTTGTTTCTGAAAGGATTCTCAATGTAACAAAATATCTGCAGAGTGTTGTTAGCACCTGTATTACTTTCCGTACATTCTGTTGGTATGCTAGATAACAATAAGGGCTCCGGAATATAAATGACAGCTAGCGTCCGATAAGCAGGTTCACCATTATTATGTATATGAACAATTAATTGAAATGTTTTTCGTGAACCGATAACGTATGTATTATCCGAATTGAGATCAGTACTCATTGCTATTGAAAGATCCGCATTGCAAACATTATCATCGCCGCATTCTACGGCAAAGGGCAACTGGACAAACGCCTCTGTCTTCGACAGAGCTTTATTAATGACTGGACAAGTCCGACAGAATGTATAATTCGTTAAATTAGGATCTTGTGACATCATTTCTTCCAGGTCTTGATCGGATTGCAATTTTACAGAAGCAGAAATATCCACAGGATCGATGAAGTTATAAATATTTTTCTGTAACATTGCAACATTAATTAACACCACTTTGTAGTAATTATACATTAAAAAAAAAATGTTGGAATTATTTTTGACATATTTGTCAATGACACTCACGTTAAGATCTATTCTGAGTATGTTGCAGTGTTTTTTATTTAGTGACAAACTTTGCGGCTGTATATCAGTTCCATTTGTTCCTTCTTGAACATGTCGTGCTCTTCCATGTATTTCGTCCACCTTCAGGATCGTAATTATCGCTAAATTAAAAGACAGATAGAAATTTTGTTTTATATTTCCTATAGATTTGTCACTGAAAAGACTTTATAAATTTCTAACTAAATGTACTCACGTAACGAGTTATTGATATGTGCTCCGTATATTTCACAGCAAAATTTCAGGGAAAAGGATGTTGAATTCCTCTGCAATTTAGTCTCCTGCGAAAGCTTCAATGTTACCTTCACGATAACTACAGGACGAGAACGCAACAGAACAGCTCGATTGGATAGATAAGCTCCGATTGCAACGTCCGAATAACCATTGTTATCGATATCCCGAGGTTCAGAAATAGAGATACCAAAGCCACGCAATCCGCCAGCAAACTGAGCGCCAGAAATCCTTTGACTGTGTTTCTTTGAAAGTCCATCTTTATCGCCGTTATGTATATAGACAGCACCGTAACCATCTTCATAGGGTGCGGCAATTGCAACATCGCCGTACCCATCATAATCCAAATCACCCAAACAAATGACAGTAGTACCAAATCTTGCTCCTGTGACTTTACCATTAACAATTTGCTTATTGAAGTGATCATTGTATTTTGAAAACAAAACATAAACACGTCCTTCTTCCATATTCTTTGACCAGAAAGGAGCACCGACAATTAAATCATCCTTGCCATCGCCATTCACATCACAAGATGTAAGAGAAGCACCAAAGTATTCGCCATGTTGTTCCCCGTGAACAATTGTTTTGATTAATAATTTCCTGTTACTTTTTTCAGCAAACTTAAAAACTAGTACCATCCCGTTTATGGTTCTTTTACGTGGAGCACTGGCAACGTACAAGCGTTCTCCCTTTCTGAAGTATTGACCAGATGTAACTGCATATCCAGTGTATCCTGCAAAGTTAAATATTTTACAAACTCTTAAAAATATGTTGCAATATAAAAATGATATTAAGCATCATGATTTCTTACCGAAAAAATAATTATAGATTGTTTCGCCTCCATTCACTATGCGAGAATCTGGGATAATATATTTGGATCCAGTGCTAAGTACAGCAGTACCTTTCCAAATGTAAGTACCTGGTGCACCAAACATGATGTCCCAAGGAAAATCATCGGATATTATATGCAGAGAAAAACCACCTTGGGCCATTCCATACTTAAAAGCTTTGTCTTCAATTTGGTCTGATGTACTGGAAAATGCTTTTATACTGTGCTTCGCTAATGTATTGAAAGCAGTATCATTTTGTGCGATGCTCCAGAAGCACATACCATTCATATATGATGACTGAGACTTCCAGTTTGGAGCACACACCTGAGTAAAGAAATTCATAAATAATTTTTTTTAATTGTATCATTAAATGTTATCTATTTCACATTCTATTCTAGAAAATATAAAAATCCATACCACAACTTTAGGAGATGTTGTGTTCTTGACAGCGATAGAAGCGCCGATCCAGGCATTATCCTTGTTTTGTATAATATTATTTAGCTTACCATTTTTACTAACATCCAAAACCCACTCTTTACAATCTCCTTCCACAAAGCACCTATAGACTACTCCTGGCTCGGTAACGGATAACGCACCACTTGAATTTCCACGTGGAGCACCGATAAGTATTACTGCCTTTGAATCATATGTAGTTCTTGGATAAAGTGCTACAGAAAACCCAAAATAGCTGCTACGATTTTCAACTGATTTGCTTGGATCCGCGTAGATGATTGCACTGTGCACGTCTAGATTATAGCCTAACGTACTGATCGGCAATATTATTAGCCATAGACCAAACCACCAATTCCCACAAGAAAGATACATGGTATTATCAATTAATCTTTTGTAAAAAATAATGTATTCTGTTTGATCACTGAGGAACGCTATAATAGTCGTTGAGAAGAAACTAACTGAATGAAGATTTAGGATGTTTTAAAATAACGTCTGAAATTTTACAGGAAGGATGTGGTATTTAGTTACCACAACATTATGCCTGATGCATATGTGATTTAGATCATTTTAGTGAAATACACAAGTATCATTCACATAATTTAGATGTAGATTGAATTGAATTTTGTACTGTAGAGGAAGGATTGCACAGTACGTGATGCTCAGATGGACCTGATAGTGTAATGCAAAATTTTCTTAAATTAGTTAATAGTATTTATTGGTAGTCAATGAATATAAATGCAAGATTAATTAACGCAGTGGGCACAACGATTATCCGGATATTCTCAATGTGCTGGAAACAATTCATATTGATTGACCTTTTTTTATTATCATCCGTCACACTCAAAATTATTTCAGTATTATGTACTAGCTTAATTAGCATAGCATTCATTTATTTACAATGTAATTAAAATTTGCTTATTCGAGACTTTGAATGGACAAAATTATAGTCATGAATTATTTCGAAAAAAAAAAAACCTAAGGTAATTTATCAAAACTCGCAGTAATAAATCAATTGATATTGGAAAATCAAAAATACCAAGACACAGCTATTTTCATTAGTACAAAACACACCCTCGTCCGTTACTTTGTATTTGGAAGAAATTCGATTACATCAGGAAAAATGAAGAATCGTCGAGAGTAGTGAGTTGTACCAAAAGGGGTACGTTTCGAAATCTGGGAGCACGATTGTGTTCCACTTTGTTGCACGCAGGTGAAGACGGGCACAACGATATTTCTAGTACTAGAAGTGAATTTCGGAACGTACTCCAAGTAGAAAAACGGACGACGTCAAGAACTAAGGTAGATACGATAATAAAATCGAAATGGGAAAGAAAAAGGAAAAGGAGAAATATAAAAACTACATGAGAGGGTAGTAGTTGCGAGGGATCAAACTTAGTATTATAAAAATATACTTCAAGGAATCACAGATCCATTATGTACAATAGGGTGACACGCTTTGCCATTACGAGTGACATGAAGATTCTAATCGGAAGAATCAGTCGTCGTAGAGGCGACCTGAGGCAATGGCGTCGACCTATTACGATAGCCTCTTCGTGCTACGTCGACCTTTTTTCTAAAACGCTCGAGATTTTTCAATTTTTGCTCGAGGTCCGAGCTATCACCGCCATTGTGATTCTTTTGAGCCGCTCCGCTATGTTTCTCAAGGGTCGACATACCGGATGTGATTCCACTGTCAGGCGTGGGAGGAACTTTACATGATTTACGAATCGGCGTCGACGGCCCCTCGGCTTCCACCTTCCCCAAGTCAGTGCCATTACTGTACTCCTTCCATGCAACTCTCTGGTCTTCCAGACGTATATTATCCGCGATGATAACACGTTTATTTTTGCTTTTGCTACTCTCACTGTGTCGGTTGTTAATTTTCAATTTTCTTTGCTTCCGACGATGAGCTTTGGTGGAGCTGTCCGAATCTGTTTTACAACGTCTTCGTTTAGCTGAACTAATATTCTCCTCGCTGCTGCTATTACTGCTGGTGTTGCTGTTACTGTTGCTGGTGCAGTTGCTGTTGCTGGTACGGCTCGAACGTCTTGTATCACTGTCTACTGGAGTAGCTGCATAACGTGATCGACGTGATACTACACCAGAACTGGTGCTAGGTTGGGTAGTATCTAGGAGTTGTTCGTCACTGTCAGAATCGCTACTCTTGGACACCGTGCACTTTCTACGGGCTCTACTACGACGCCCAGAGAGCCGACCGTGTTTCCTTTTTACACCCTTCAATTTGGTCTTTGACTTTGATTTAGATTTCACTTTCACCTCGTCTATCTCGCTACCGGAACCTGACGCTGAACAATCCGGAGCTGTGTTCGTAGAAGCGTTCAATGTAGCACCACCTTCCATTGCTGCTAATCTCATCAATTTTTCTCTGCGATTCGCTATTAGACGCGTAATTCTGTTCGGAGATTCTGATTGTCTTTCTGGAGCTACTCCGCCTCCTGACGAACCACGTGAACTCACTGCTGAGCCCAGGATACTAAGCATTAATTGCCGATCGGAAGCTCTTGAATCTGTAAAGTATACAAGTTTATTATTTCTGTTCCTTTATGGTCTAAACTATTTTTTCTCATGGCTTCTCCGTGGTTTAATACATACCATCGGAATCTGTTGCACTGTAAGCACGACCTGATGTCGGATTGTTCTCGGAATCACTAGGAGTTTGCGGGGCGGTTGGCATATCCTCCGAGCTCCAACCTTCAATTTCACGTTGCACAAGAGAATCGAAGAAAGCCATCATCCGAGGATCTTCCCGGGTTGATTGCTGACTGTAATCATGGGTCATGAATTGGCCACTATGTAACACCAGGTCGATGTATTCATCGTGAGTGAAGACTCTGCGTTGTTTCTCTTGTTTTCCAGCATCTCTCTGTAGAATATTAATAACAGAATTACAAGATTATATTTTATATCAAACAATTGGTAATAGTATTCCTACTTACTTTTAAACCACCCAAGCTACTATTTCCTAGTGGAAATGGACTCCAAATCTTAATAATTTTTTCAACGCCTGAGGAAGCCAGGATGCAGCTTGCTTTATTATACCGCACTTGATTCACTATTGATCTGTGTCCACGTAAAATCATATGGGCCGAACCTACCCACTTTGTTTCCTCGCCAGGTATTTTCCACATGTAGAGGTTGAAATCATCCGAACCTAAATAAAGGGACATCTATAAAAAATTCTTTCAGGTGTTACAGATTATGAATTAGTCTTACCTGAAAGAACATATTCGTCGTCTTCTCCTGCAAAGTAGCATGATTTCATAGTACAACTGTTATAATAGCCAGGATGATCAAATTGACATAAATGGGTAGGGGAATCAATTGCATAGAGTACTGGTGGCAATCTTCTTCGCAGTGCTAACAACCTGTTGCCTGCAGCATTGAATCTGACATTCATACAACTCTGAGATGGACCTTCTGATCCATATCTTAAAACAGGTCTGCAGACAGATCATAATATTGAAATCCATGCAATTACCCATTTTATTTTCATGTAAAATACTTACTCTAAGGGCTTTCGTACATCCCACATGCTGACACCTTCGTTTGCATTGGCAGTGGCAAGCATTTTAGGCTCCACAGGGTTGAACATGACAGAGTGGAAAGCAGTCTTGTACTGTGCAAGACAGAATGTCTCTGTAGAACTAGAATCTCTAATATCATAGATCAGCACCCTTCCATCATCGCAGGCACTCGAAAATACATTATCATTGTGCGGATGGATTGAAAGACCATAGACTGGCTTCTCGTGTAAGAAATAATTCAAGGGGTCTCCCCTACAAAAGAAAAACACCCCGATAAGGAATTATCAAAGTATAAAGAACATCTTTCAGATATATAAATTGTTTACTCAAGAAATCTGAAGAAATAAATATTTCCTTACGTTTTAAGATCATGTACAATAACCTGGTCATCATTTCCAGCAGAAAATATTTTGCTCTTACTTCTGTCATACCCGAGACAGAATATATTGCTAACATGTTGAGCTTTCATGACCATAGGTTTGCCCATACCCTGTATCGCCTGTTCCACTTTCCACAATAAGACTCTCCTGTCATCACCACCTGTCAACAAAAATAAATATAAAAATATGTACCAAAAATATGTACTCTAAATAAAATCACTGAAATGCTCTACACAAGAAAAATAATTTCTTTAATCTACCACAATCCCATAAACCAATTACCCCTACCTCACTAAGCACAATTATTATTAATGAAAATCCACAATAATAAAATCTAAATATACATAAAAATTCTTACCAGAGGCAAGAAGATCCCCTTGCTGAGAAAACTCAATAGCATTGACACATCCATAATGAGACAGTAGATCCTTTCGGAATAAATTTTCAGACCTGTCAAGTCTCGCACAAACAAGCCGTTTACAGTGATCAGTCCTATCGTCAATCTGCCTCCGAATAACATAAGAGATCGGATTGGAAGCCGAAGTCCGTGCCATTTCTCCAATTTTATTACGATCCTTCCAATAGCTTCCGACGCACTTCCACCTCGTCTTCACCTTTCCTCCCGTTCTTCCATCTACTATTACAAAACACACCGCCACTCGTCCCTTTGACTGGCAGCTTTCAAGAGGCAGCGGCCTATTCCAAACTGAGTATCGTATCAATAAACCCAGAATATCAACCACCGTTGTCAGACACGAAATACTAACTTCGGTCTCTCTCTGGCTACCTTCTCCTGTTCTCCTGTTGCTGACAGATTACTCTGGATTTTCCGATCGCGTTGCAGTACGATTTCACGGAAACGAGTGCTGCACGCGTATCATCTATCGCGCAAGAAGAGCGCTCCGTAAGACAAACTCAAACTATCAGAGAGAGAGAAGACCTAATCCACCTTCACGATCAGCTGATCGGCTCCTCGCCCTTAGAAACAATCACTTTGCGAGAAGAAGCTACAGCAAGACGAAACCCTCCGGGTGTCACCTCGCCGTTTTCAAACACGCTGGACACCTTATCATCTTCCTGAGCAACTCGCATTTGGACCTGGACGACTCTCTCATTCAAGGAACTTCTATCGCGGCACAACACACGTACTCTTCTCTCTCTTTTTCACCTTTGTAGTTATTCTCTTCTTGTCCAACGTGGACGCGGGCTTCTATTTCAACTAAACTACGGATATGGATGACAGCGCTGCTAAACGATTTACTCATGTACTACTTACTGGGCCACCCGGTGAGTTTTGTATACTTCATTTCGCTTTCAAAATGCATATTAAAACACGTTTCCATTTATTCATGTGCTGTTTCAGGAATAGGAAAGACCACAGTTTGTAAAAAACTGGCAACTATTCTGGGAAATTGCACCAATAAATTCGATGGATTTTATACTGAGGAGTTGAGAGGATCTGCTGGAAGTCGTATTGGTTTCGACGTGATAAGGGTGACAGATCCTGGAGCGAGGACCGCCCTGGCACGTTCTATGTTAGTTATCATTGTTTATTAATTAGGTAATAAGAAGAAGGGTGCATTTAATTTATTGCTATTAACAATAGGAACGTTGTGGAACACCCCGACAGATACAAACATCGTGTAGGCAATTACTGCGTTTTCATTGACGACTTTGAAAAAGTTGCTTTGCCAGTCTTCCAAGTCAAGACAGTATGTATATTGTATGAATTCCTTTTATATAAGTTTTATGAATTGCGCATTCAGTTTATCTGATTGTACAGGACGTATTGTTGATTGACGAGATTGGGAAAATGGAAATGTTCAGTGATAGATTCAAGAATGAGGTGAGTAATGCGTTCTTTGAAAAGAACAATAAGAAACCATTTGTGGTAGCAACTATTCCACAGAACAAAGGACGTTTTCCATCCTTACTGGAAAAGTTGCGAACTTTTAATGCCTGTAAAATTATTAACGTGAATTATCAAAACCGTGATAAATTACCAGAGGAAATTGCAAAAATTATTTCAAAAGTATTGGCGGAGTAACTGAACTATGATACCAAAAGAATATTTTACTGTTGACAAACAGCATGAAACGAGATCTGCTAATACATTATAAACATCATTTATTATTAACAAAAAAAAAACAAAATGTTAGATCGACGCAACCCCGCTGATCACAATAGATTTGTAGAAAAGTAGCCACAAATAACGTGGCAAATAGTGATCGACGAGGCCGTTGCTTGTACTACATACTCATGCTAATTCGCATTATGTATTAGGTTTGTATATTATAATCATTGTTCCGTAATCGAACCAGCATCATTCATTAAAGGACATATTGGGACACATCAAAGCACGAGGTTTTTTAAATCCTTGAGTAAATCTTCATTATTTAGGAGTAAAATTTTGATATCCTGTTCAATTTTTGAAATCGTTTTTACAATCTTTCGCTCCGTTTACCTCATTAACATCTTTGTGCATTAACAGTGGTATCCTTAATGAGCAACGTGGTTCTTTCGAGGGTACAAAATAGAAATGACTTGTTCCGTCTTCGATAAAATCAAAATCATAGTAAGATCTGCCTCGAATGTTAATGTCACTCTTATTCATCGTATTATGGATCCATTGCTATTCTATATGGATCGAATCATAGCCTATAATTAAATTGAAGGTCATACAGTGAGTAAGACCCTATTTTCAATTTCGTACCCATCGATGATTATACATTCATCGTATGTATTATGATACAGTAAACTTTTTTGTTCCTACTATGATACGGTAATTATTGTTGTGGAGAAGTATAAGCACACCTTACCTTCTCCGCGTCAGTATCAAATATATTACGCACACTTTGATTGGGCTACTTGTATTCAATTATTATTATTCATTTATTTATCAATAATATTCCTAGTATGCTCCACTAGCAAATGAAGTTTAGTAGAGAATTGGCGTACGCCATTGGCTTTACGTTCGGATGTGGCTGAAACAAGAGGAATATCATATAAATCTTGTACCAAAAGAACACATTTTTTTTAAATTTCTTAATTATTCTTACCACTGCAACATAGGACGTGAAGTTAGGTTTCATATCTTTGCCGTTAAGTGTGATAAAGGCACCTCGGTTACCCATGGTATCACTGAAAAAATGTATTATGGAATTAATCTATCCATATCCTATTTATTATTTAAATCAGTACACATCGAACTTGAACTAACCAATAGTTTGGAGCTGAGAACACTGTGATGCATTTTCCATCGTGGGCAACTTCATACCCATCATTTTTAACTTCATGGCTCCTGACAATGTAATCAAGACCATTGAGCAATAAGAATTTTTGTGTTACATCTGGACCAAACTGAACGCCAACACCACGTTTGCTGGGCGCTCTTCCTAGTTGCGGTTGAGGATCAGACCATAGTAATTCGCACATCAGACCATCATCGGGAGGCTGCCTGTTTCTGTTGATCTCGCGAATCTCTTGCAACGTCACATCGTCCCTTGAGAATAATCCGCCGTGCATCACCTGAGTGAACATCGTGAAACTCGTAAATTAGGAAACGAAAACTGCTAGGAGGAAAGGTTTGGCTATTAATAGTTTCACCGATGTTCAAGTATTAGGTACCTATGAAAACTTACAAGTACTCTATTATTGAGACAGTGAGCCAACGGTAGCCAATTGTACACTTCCGTAAATAGTTCAGCCATTTGAGCGGTGTATTTTGCTTTCACCTCGCCGTCGAATCCATACATTTGATTCATGGTTGCCGATTCGTGATTACCTGGTATTATAAGAGGATTGTTATGTAATGTGGAAGATAACAATATGCATTTATGGCAATCTTACCTCTCGACATGAAGAAATGATTTGGATAGAGAAGTTTGAAACCAAATAGAGTGAATATGCACTCTACAGAGAACGAACCTCTGTCAACGAAATCCCCATTAAATAACTGATGATATTTATTAAGGAACGTATTATTTATTATTTAATGCTGTTTCATGATAAAGATTTGAAGTTGGCACTATTAAGTAGGGTTATTATGTTTTTTTCATTGATAAAGGATACATAAGGATTAGTCTCCGATGGTAATCCATTCAATTCGAATACATTAAGAAGGTCATAGTATTGGCCATGTATGTCACCACAAATAGTAAATTTACTATTATCGGGAATGACTATATCTACTAAGCTTGGTTGTGCCATGAACCATGCCTTGACATCTAGGAGAATCTTGTAGGCATACTTGCGATGCAACTTGTTCTGGTTTCTGTACCATTCTATTAAATCTTGCATAAATTTTAGGGTGACTTTACCATCCTCAAGCTTTGGTCCAGTATATTCGTCCTCGATAGCTAAACAATAAATTAGTTATATATTCTCTGTCTGCACCTATCATTCGACGAAAAGAAGAGATAGTGCAAGTACTAACCCATGGCATCTAGATTAATTGAATCAGCTATATTTTTCTTATTCTCCTCCACTGAAATAGCTTTCTCAAATGCTAATTTCTTTACTATCTTACTGCATTCACTGTATTTGGCCTTCGCATCTTTGTCATTCGGCCTAGCCTTAGTTACTGTGTCAAAATCTTTAAGAGCTAGTTTAAACTTGCCAAGGGACATGTAAGCTGCTGCTCTACGGTAATATCCCTTCACATAGTTTCTGTCCAGTTCTATTGCTCTAGATGCATCCGTCAGTGCATATCCAAAGCATTCTGTCTTCAGGTAAGCGAAACTCCTATTTCCATAATATACAGCTACTGAGTTATTTAGTTCAATGGCTTTGGTATACAACTCAATAGCCTTGTTGTAGTCTTGATCTGATAAAAGAATAAATATTCCAAATTAAGTACATACATAAAGTCAGAAAGATATATATTCTGTATAATAACTGGTTGTAACAGAAAATTAGAATGAAGCATAAATTAATATGTATAATGATAATAATGTATGCAAATAATTTCTACTAAGCCAAAAAAACATATTCTTCTATGAGAATAAATAATGAAAAATTCCTTGATTGAATTCTATGCTAATTGTGAATCTATAGAATGTCCAAGTACCACTGTCATTCAAATAACATGCACCCATCACAGATAAAAATAATCAAAGCTAAATAATACAGGTACTCGAAGCAATGATCCATGCATTTCCGCATCACTGTTTTCCTTTCCAAATTAACATAAGACACCTAGATTCTCGGATCTGAAGAAAGTTTGGTTAGCTTGGGATGCACGTGACCCTATCACTTATGTTAATCGATGCTAAGAGCAACAGAAGTCTGTTCACATAACGAAGGAATATTGTGAAAGCAAATCGATGAATATTTTAATTTCATAGATAGACCCACTTTTGAAGTATTCGTTCGCTTCTTCTTTAAATTTTTCCGCCCTGGCAGCATCTTCGGGGGAGGGTACTCCGGTGATTTCAGCGTTTGCACTCATCCCGCGTTACTTGTCAACTAGAATTAACAGCTCGTCAGGACACAACACAAATGATGCCGGAAGGCAGACAATAAACAATGCATTAAAGAAAGGGCCTATGGTTTCCTATAAGTGCTGATTTTTGCGACCTGCTCAACGTCGTGAAATCGTAACGTAACGCTTACTACCCGTATAAGTGATTTTTCGATGTATCGAGCATGGAGCACATCGAGCAGAGTACACTCTGCTCCAAAAATTTATCACATGGGGATACCTTGTGGCGCGCATAGCGCGCTATTACAAACACTTACGTGACAGATGGCTCGATGATGTTTGATAGTAGGATTACTTTAAAAAAGGTTAGTATCCGTGAACTGTTCAAAAATGAATTTATTTGAAAAATGACTTAAATTATGATATACATTTTTCACTGATACTTTTACATACTCTGGGAACAAGAGTATGGTTAACAGTCCCAATGCATTCTTGATTTATGACATTTGTAATTTCAGAAATAACGCTTTTAAATATCTTGCTTCGTATGTTACTGTCTGTTTACCTTGAGGTATTGTGGGAACTTCTTGAATATCAAAGGGTTGTTCTACAACAGTCTGAACGTCCCTTCCATAAACTATAACAAACAATCAAAATATAAGAGGAGTATTATGAAGTACATACAATTATGCATAGGGTGATAATAGAATTTAATACCTTCACAGTGCTCTAAAAATTGTACGCATTCCTGTAGGGTAGAGTCCTTAAGTACCACTAACTGTTTAGCCAATTGCTCAAGAAGAGATAGGAAACATCTTTTTGCATAAAACCATGTATCAGTGCCTAATTTCTTATTGTATGGCTCCAAACTCTTCATTACTCGTGATATTCCAAACTCATAGTTGCCTTTTGAACAATAGAGAGTTCCTATGACTAGATTCACGATGCACAAATGGAAAAGCTTTTTATCCTGCTCTTCAAATGATATAGTTTCTTCTTCTTTTTCTATCTTTTTCATTAGTTCTTCGGCTTCAGCATTTTGGGATGTCATAATATAACTAACACACAAATTTGCTAATACAATTGCACTTACATCCAGTATCTATGTTATAAAAAAATAATAGTTTTAAAGAATAAGCATTGGTATTCTACAATCTGATATATCCTTCAGCAGATACTATATTTTACTTACATTATCATACTTCTTTTTCACTATTGGTTCATAGAATCCTGTAGCTTCTTTAAACTTATTCTCTTGCATGAATAAGGTATGTGCTACATTAAGCTTCCAAACATCATGTTCGTTACAAAATTCTACACTCTTATGGAAAATCTTTTCAACTTGTACATAATTTCCTAATTCCCAGTATATTTTTGCCTGGGCCATTAAAATAGGAACGTACCTTTCCAAAGCTTCTTCATAATCATTTACTGCTCGTTTTACAGCATGATTATCATGGTTTAATCGAGCTTCCTGGACTTGCTTTGTTGCTTTGCGTAAAGTCTCAGTATGTTTATTTGCAAGATCATCAAATTTTCGATATGCTTCCTCTGGAGAAGTTTGCTGTGTTATCAAAGCGTCCAGAAAATCATATAAATACTGAAAATCAAATAATATACTTGAATTAAGGAATATTTTTTTATGTATATCAGTTAATATGACTAGTGGCATCTGTTCAGGCACCTTCGTACCCACAGAGTACGGCCCTGACTTTACGGCGGTATCATTGGCAACCCTAACCCTACTTTGCTTGTAATGTTTTCATCGATTAAAGTTGTATCTGCAGTTTGGTTATTAATAGAACTACATATTGTAGTATAGTTTTCATAACCAAAAATACAATAAATAATTGAGAAGAGATGACAAGTTGTCAGCTAAATCAAATATTTCGGGGCGAGATTGCTGCCGTTCAAAACTATGGCGCATTTGTGAGAATTCCTGGATGTTCACAACAGGGTCTAGTTCATAGATCACAGGTATAGAAAGATAAAAAGTTAATTTTGTTTGTGATGTAAAGTTGATCATATGTTATAGTTATTAATTAATAATCTTATTGATAAATATCAGATTAGTACATCCCATGTTGACGATGTAGCAGATGTTTTACAACGAGGAGATCGAGTTTGGTGTAAAATAATTTCATTGGGAGATGATGGTAAAATCGGTCTTTCCATGAAACATGTAAACCAAGGCAATGGTTCTGATCTAGACCCCAATGGTGTTCAGCTTCAAAAAGATGAACAAAGAAGGAAAACTATAGTACCTAACAAACGCAAAGTTATAGAGCTACAAGCAGTTTTAAATACCACCTGTTCTAAGTGTGGTACTCCTGGACATTTGTCTAATGATTGCTTCATGACTCCTGATGGAAAGAAATATGAATTGCTACCAGAAATTGAAGAGGAAAGTATTCCGCAAAAACCAACAGATACTCAGCCAGAAAAGATACCAAAAAAACACAAATCCAAAAAATCAAAAAAGAGAAAGAAGTCAAAAAAATCAAAGCACAAAGGAGATTCAAGTAATGAGGACTCTGAATCAGAGGATGAAGAAAGTAAGAAAAAGCGGAAGAAGAAGAGAGCAAAGGAACAAAAGCGCAAAAAGAGAAAGCATAGCACCAGTTCCTCAGATGAAGATTCAGGAAGTGGTACCAGTACACGTAACACAAAAAGTCAAGCAAAGTCACACAGAAGGCAACAAAAAACATTAGAAAAAGTATGAATAATTTTAAACATTCCAACTGAGGTGCTGATTATTGTATTTTTTTGCTTATTGAAAACTTAGTTGACTACAATCAGTTTATTTTGATACACTTGATATGAACTGTGCGATCAATACTGTCTCGTACCACACTTAAATTGATAAAATAAAAACAGCACTACATACTAACAAATTGTAACAATAATCCACTTACCGGCGTCAAATATTTATACGTCAAATGCACATTCTCAGCGAGAACGTCTGCAGCCAAATCGTAATATTGATACTTGCAATATAAAAGTAACAAATTTGCAAATGTCTCCGGTGGAAACGGATTCTGTTGCAAAAGAAATTGAAATTTCTCAAATCCTTCACTTGGCGTTGTATCCATGTTTATCAGAGCTTGATTATGCAAGGTAACAGCATCTAGTTCCTCCTCGGAACGTGGTGGCATATCGGTCAGTGCTTCTCTAGCGGCTTCATCTAAAATACATAAAAAATAAGAATATTATTTTGCCGATAATGTATCCATAAACAAATCGTACAATTTTTTAATTGGTACTCTATGGCTGCTTTTAAATTAAATGCCTCCGTCAACGCAGTCTCGTGTAATGTCAAAGTATTGCCAACACTTCTCACTTCAATTCCTTCTGTAGTCATACCAACACTTAGTTCAGGATGTTCTCTTATTCCCTGCTCAATAATATCCGCTAAAATAATAAGCTTCTATTAAACACCATTTGTTCTCTGCAATAATATTAATAAGAATACCAGGTGAGTAATACCAATATGTTTTAGAGACAGTGCATATTCTTTGAGTTTAAAATAGCAGAGAGCAACATTATAAGACAAATGTGGTCTGAAGCCAACAATTTGTAATGCTGTAGAAAATTTCTTGAGTGCTTGTTCGTATTGTTCTTCCTGTAAGCAATAGAATTTACTGCAATCTATATAGATTCCAACTATTCGAATTTTGTATAAAATTTTGAATTACCTTGTATAATAGACATCCTAAGTTAACATCAGTATCAACATCCTCAGGAGGACATTGGTCGACTAGACTTTTTGCAGCCACAATATCTTCTTGACCATATTTTATAGCAGCCTGAAGCTTCCTTACTTTAATTTCCAAATTATGTTGGTCAATAATACTAGAGCAAACTGTCCATGCTTCCTGATACATGCATGCTTGATGTAATGATTGTGCATAGTAAAGCTTATATAAATTTTCTTCTGGGTAAAGTTGTACAAGTTTCTCATAAGCACCTGCAGCTGCGACAAAATCTTGAGTGTAGAAATAGCAGTGGGCCAGAAGAGCAAGACATGGTCTTGACTATAAAATAATTAAAGGAAATAAGTAAATTGTCCAATTAATATTAACTGTGCTAATCCTTAAGAAAACATACATCAGGATGACCTTCAAGTAAGTTTGTCAAAACATGAATAGTTTCCATGTATCTTTGCTCCTTTATCTGTAAAATGTTCATAAAAGTTAAGTTTTGCAGCATTTTATATTTAATTACTAATTCCTTATTCATTATACATATAGATTTAAATCGATGTTTTCTTTATGAAACCCTTGCACGTTCAACAGTCTTTTAAATTTATTTTTATTTTTTATTATTCAAATTTGGTCGGTGGTTCCCAATTGTTAAAAAACTTAAAACATCAAGACTTGTAACGTCTCAAAGACAAAATTACCACAGCACAAATATTTGAACATGATAGAAATTAGTGAGGATAAATATTTACACAGTTTAAAGTAAAACTCAGAAATATGGAGTACGTGCCTATCAGAAAAAAAAAAGATTATTCCCGATAATGATTCTTTGCCGAAGGCGAAGTAAATTATAATTATTATTGATTATCCCGTAATAAATAATTAACGATTGATTTAGACTGTAAAAAATGTATTGTACACTTATATCTATTACAGATATATCTATTATATTTTAATCGCGTAGCCGTACCATGCCATAAATTGTTTTAGTATATTCGCCATCTTTTATTTGCACGTTCTGGATAAAATTGCTCATCCTACTTGATTCTTGATAAGTAGATATAACAATGTTTTTCTAAATTTAATTGCACAATTTACTGTCTTCACCGCTAAATAACAATACTTGACATTTAACACGTGCAATCCAGTGTTTTGACAGGACTCATATACCATCGTCATGACAACAACTTCATATACATGCTTCCATATTTTTGAATGAAAATAATATTGACAATAATATTTCACAGTACTATTTAGTTCACATATTCCAATTAGGTTTACTGACGTTCCACACTTTGGTATTGTCAAATAAGATATGCATTTGAGCTTAATAATTATATAAATCGTTTTTAATCCATTCATGTGTTACCGGCGAGGCGCACGTAAACTTCTATTTGCGTTTGCCAAATCAAAGATATGAAAAAAATGTGCAGCCAGACGTACGTTAAACCTCATTTACAATTCAAAATAAACATACATCATTTCGATCTATTAAGAGAATACGTACAAATAGCGAATTATGGGAAGATTCAATTCATTTAAAAATAAATTTCAAGGTGTGATGGCAATTTGAATGTCCTATTAAAGTATAACAAATAATCGTAAGAAATCATATCGCCACAATGAATAATTTCAATAGCAAGAATGAAATTTGCAAATAAATATTTGATGTCTATCGCCGTATGACAAGCGTGTGGCTTATCTTGTCGTCCATACTATAGCGCCATCTGTACCAAGGTATTTGCGAGAAATAAAGTGGTAAATATGCCATACGGGCTAGGAAGCAATATTACAAGTGGCTGGCCATGCAGTGCCATTCACGAATTTCCAACGAATTCGAAGTATAATCGGAAACATAATAGACGGACGTACAGCAATCTTAATATTGATTGGAGTAAATGAACAGCTGGTGGTTCGTTGTTCATAAGCGAGGAATATCTAGGTGGCACAGTATATACAACGTCGATAGCGTAGCGTGGCGTAGCGGAGTGCGTATGTGACTTTGCTCAGCGAAGAAATGTCGTCCGCACTTGTCGCGGCGAAATAAACGGCGAAACATGTCCGCTCCGGTGGTCAGTCGTGCGCAGACAGCCAGCAGTGCTGTACCAGCGGGAATTGTCGGATGTGTTGTTTGTAAGAGGAGCGACAAGTTGTTACGGTGTTCGCGGTGTAAGATCGCAGTATATTGCACTAAGGAACATCAGAGGTTGGATTGGAAACGTCATAAAGCATTTTGCCAGAAACACCCACCACATTTAAGTGTCACGGTCGAACCTAGTTACGAAACGACTCCTGGTTCTGATAACTTCCTGGAGAACACGGTGGACAGGTCGAGCTTTGATGCTATTTCGAATTTACGTGGAATACTCTCAACAAATTCGCAACTTTTGGCTAGTTCGGAAACCTCTCAGAAGGATTCTGTCAACGGTAGGTATCGAATCCTGATTGTTGCGATTTATGGAAGAAATTGTTTATTTGCTTTTTTCTGTTGCTGTTTTTCATGGGATTAGTTTACTAAAGGATAATTTCTTTATTGTTTTGTCTCTGCAGATAGTTACCTCAAAGGAAATTCATCAATGAGTGGAGAATTTTTACGGAATTACGAATATACTGAAAAAAGTGTTGATGAAAACAGAAGACATCCTCGTGGAGCACGTGCAGACGGTTGGACGTCACCTATAACCTACGAGGGTAGCTCTGAAGATACCATTCTTGGCGCTAGAGCCGAATCCCTTAATCCTGCTCTGGAAACCTCAGCGATTTTGAGCACTGCTCAACACTCTGCATTAGAAATGCCGACACATCATCATAATGGCATTAACAACTTCCCGGAGATACAGCTCAACCGAGAAGAAGATTTTTTACCACCATTTCTGCACAGAAATAGAAATAATTTGGACGAGCGCATTATAGATCAGATCTGTCGAAATGTGATAACGGACATGGACCAATATGGAGTATGTGTAGTGGACACTTTTCTTGGTGCTGAAAAGGGCATGGCTGTGTTAAATGAAGTTTTGAACATGTATAGTGCTGGATTATTTAAGGATGGACAATTAGTTTCTAACAAAGCTGGTGCCAGTGATTTGAAGACCATTCGTGGAGATCAAATTACTTGGCTGGATGGCAAGGAAAAACAGTGCCAGAACATTGGAATGTTAATATCTCAAGTAGATGCCATTATTATGCGAGCGAACAAAATGTATAATAATGGAAGAATTGGAAATTACACAATCAATGGAAGAACCAAGGTGAGTACTCATCATCCATACACAGAGTATATTGATAATTAGAACTTGCTATTTTCATTCTCTAAAGTCTCTTTGCTGAGCAGTGTAATTATCTTGAAGACAATGCAAAGATTATGATGTATTAATAACATGACTATATTTTATTATGCATAATGTCTCCAGTGTATCATATATGTCATAATCAAGGAACTATATTAAACCCACCAAAGTTTAATATTAAAACCGATAGACATCTTAAAATAATTTGTATTCATTTAGTTGCTGACTAGCTTCTATTAAAAGAAATGGTCAAAGAAAGAAAATAAGCTGACCACACTAATATTATATACCAAATCAATTAACCAAAATGATGATTACTATTGGACTGGGAATCACGACTGTAACGTTCAACCACTGAGGAGATACTAGTAAAGGGGACCAGCCTTATGGGACTTCGTGCCTGACGTCTAATTGGCACAGTAGGTTTGGGAGATATGCTGGAACTAGTACAGACGTTCGGGAGGGGATTGAAATGCCATACAGTTTGTTTCAGGCACAGAATACACAAGAGCTGGTCCTCTTTGCCAATATCTCCTCCGTATTTCAGTTGTCTGCGACCGACATTGATTTTTCACGTTCAAATCCATGCCTACCGTCGATTAAATTCCAGACTAAGTAGTTAAAACTCTATGCGAAAATGTATAATGGTTTCTAGTAGCAGAATCATGTATTTATGACCTGATCTTTCTCTATTGTGCAACAATAGTAAATATGAGCATTCAAGGATCTTAAGAAAGGTCATACCCGTTAAGATATACTCAACGATGCAAAAGTAAAACCATGATTTAAGTAGGGCTCTCTTCAAACGACAATCCGTCAAAAATTATTAATATCACTTTTTTCAAAATGAATGTCTCGCCAATGAGGCGAATGGTAAAGTTGCGAAGTGCAGCCAGTCACGTAGGCCACAGCCGCCCCACTACAGGACGAACGAGGAGCCACCCACGTGTAAGTACGGGTGAGCATCGCTAGCAGTGTTACACTTCGTTAGTCAAAGGCGAGACGTACGCAGGCGCTTCGTGCTATAAACCGAACTAGGCAAATACACCTTGCTTTAACCTTCCTAGAGGTGAAATAAGGAGCCAACGTATCTTCCAATCCGACTCGCTGCAGACGGAACAGAAGTTTAACGTACAATGTGCAGCATTCATTGTCACAACGCACAGGATAGGTATAGAATACAACGAAAGTCATTGTATAGAATATTGCACAATGATTCCCTTTTTACTGAACAACTTGTGAGAGACATCCCCGTTGGCAATGATTATATCGACACAATTAATATTATAATGTGTGACACACTTGATGATCCTTTTCTAATGAAAATATTCACATCCACTTAGTGACGGAGACTGGTTTGATCCGTTGTCTCCTGTTCGAGATATTACATAAGGCTGATCAGAAGATAGTTTTACTGACAGCAAGGAATATTAACATGAGGTGCGACAGCGTATAGTTTTCTACTGTAATACAAATGCGTGACTGGAATATTCACAGTTCTTATCCTCTTTTTACCTGATGGAAGGTATGATAGTAAGAGAGGGGAAGGAAGGAAAAAAGAAGAATGCAGTCGGTCTGTCAGTTGTCTCCACTTTTATATCTTATTCAAGTGTTTAAACATGTTCTTGCTCTTTGGAATATTTATACCACACGTTACTTTTCCTATAAACAATCAGCAATGTCATTATTTGGCTTACCATTGGTTATTATTGATTTTAGACAAGATTCGAATCTGTGACAATCCAAGACATAGCCTTCGTCCATTCCTCGCTGGGATCACGTAATATCTTAAGCATCTTATTGGTTTACAACGGTCTTCTTTTCATTGTGCGAATCTTCTACGTACGTCAGGTTCTAAACTTAGATTCAACAACCTTGAGAATCCCAGATGAAACCTTAGTATTGAACATAACGTGTTTTCACGAGCCCAAACATTCTGCCCGGTAATTCCTCCAGTACAGCCTAAACAAAGGGGAAGCATTAAAGAATTCTATTCTTCAGTCTCTCATTCAGAGCATCAGAGTTGAAAAAAAGAATGCTTAGAGGCGACGCGGATGACATTGCTAAACAATTTTTGAAGAGAAGCTGCGAATCGAGGGCGTTACGGTCACTTCACTCGTCTAGAGGCGTGACTCGTGAAAATAAGGTACGAAGGATTCTATAATTTTGCACTAAAGCCACAAGACAGCTTATACAATTCTTTTCCTTGTTGGTTTGTAGTAATGTTTTTTTTCCTCATAGCATCACGTCCCAGTCGTATTATGTTTAGAAATATAGTGGCCCGCAATCGCAATCGCTACGATTAACGTATACTCGCATACATACGCAGTTATCGGATATACCCGACACTATTGGCAAATTAAATTTTTCAAATCGTGCCGTATGCCACGTAAGTTTTTATCAAAAGACGATATACAGTTTCGCCACGGTATTGTTAGAACTGTGTTATCAGAGAGAGGGTTAGGACACCAAGAAAATGATACTGATCAGAAGACTGAATGAAGAGACCTTTAATGAAGAAACGTTAAAAAAAGAATATTCTAAGCGTGGATTGAACAAATAGTCTGTGCACACATGCTGGTGCCACGAAGGCACGTAGGCATTTTCATACTAGCTCCTCCTATTTCACCCCTCCTTATCTTCTTCTACACTTACATCTGTGGTCCCTCCCCTCAATTTCTTCTCTTCGTCAGGCTCTCTAGAAAGCCTTGTGAACGTTTCCTCAAATGATCTTCCGATGTGGGTTCGTGCTTCAAGGCACGTGCCACATCGAACCCAACGCATCCATACATTTTTCCTCTTAAAGCGGCCTTATACAAAACCCTATTGCTCTTGGGTTATAAAGCCGTTAATGTAAAAGAAATGGTAATCTGACAATGACAAAACAAAAATATGAATTTCTTTATGACTACGGATTAATTAATATCTATATTTAATAGCACCAAAACGTAGATTCCGCACTCAATGACCGCGTGAAAATAGTCTCGAGTAATTGAGAATTTTGAAATATTTTCAGACACAGGCAGATAGATATCGTTACTGATAAAAGTCAACATACCATGCGTAATCATCTCATTATATTTTGCAAAACATTGCTCATTGAGCCTTAGATCCATAAAGAATTATTATAAGCCATGACAAATAGATTGACTTAATTAATGAATTACCAGACAAATTAGAAGAGCACTTTTGTGCGTATGCCTATTTGCATTAATAATTATTACATTGGTCGCTCTGGCTTGCGCTTTAATTTTAACGAACTTTAATGTAGTATCAAGGTGAAGCTGATAATTGGATCAAGGTTCTAAAAGGGCCTGCATACAAGGAAGCCCTTGGGTCATATAGGCACGTGGTTATTATTCCTAATGTATGTATGTAGACCGTTCTGTCTCACCAGAGTACAATGATCCATGATGAGTTTCTAGCTAAATAACTGAGAGGTGACTTCAACAGGGATTTACAGCATGCCATTAACCCGTTAGTATTTACATAAGGACAATGAGCTCTATAGCAGTAGCCGTAATGCTCACGTGGGTAACCACGATTTCTTCAACCGGACTCTTACTCCAAATCGTACTGGTGGACGCTATGGGGTGATTTATTGACATGAGTGTATTTTTCTTCTTTAACGCATCTTTATTTTTTTTGTAGGACTGTACTCCCATCATCCGGTTTGATTCGTGGGGCTAATTATGAATTTCCTGTCGATTTTGATACTTGAGACTAATCATGGAATCTGATGAGCAATGCAATTTTAATGTAACACTTGGATCACTTAATGAGGTTTTGTATTCTTATGTATACTCACAATTATCCTTACGCTGAGGTGATACGTGTCGATCGATTGTTCTTTGAAATTCTTGTAATGGCTCAGATGGTTGACTTTTTCCCTTAAGGGCGCTGAGAATCCAGATCCATCGCTACGTCAAGGGAACGATGGTCTACGTGATGTAGATCAGGGAGGATGATAAGTTCTTGGCTATGTATACAAGGCAGGACGTGACATATAGTTCACGTGGTGGATACATGTTTATACGTTTTGCGTCTAGGGAAGAAATAGAAGTCGCGTTGACAGTTCACAAGCAACAATACATAACAATGAACAAGTCCTTTCATTCGGCACGTAGTCACATAGGGGATTTGTTTATTTCATTCGAGGACACTGATCAGAGAAGATATAATTTAATTTTTCAAGTATACAGAGATTACTTAACATTGACTTTTCAATTGGACTTATATTTATACACGTCGAATAGAATATTGTATTTCTGTTTTATTCTGCAATTGATTATTTGCTTGGAGCTTATTTGGTTGAAACTACTTGTACTTGTTTTATGTTTAGGGGATATATTGCATAGGGGAGAATTGGGATTGTCGATAACCTGTTTTTCGCAAAATAATCTGTTGATGCTAGTCAAAATGATGAAGTACCGAACTCTAAGTTAATAATCAAACGCGAATACGTTCGTCATTCGCAGCTATGATAATAGCGATAAGATAACATTTACATTTATTCAATTAGTCGTTTGGCGAACGATCGTTTTTATTTGTATTCTTGCTCATAGAGTCTTCAGTGTGTATGATAAATTTAAATGACTTTATATCGCTCCATCAGACTTAACTCATTGTTGCGTTACTATTAGCCAACGTCGGTGTGATTCGTAGAAACGTAAAAGAAGAAAATGTCACTCTCAGTCCAAGTAAAGGGAGAGTTGAAAGTCATTTGTCTCTGTCAATTCCAAGAGAGCTCAGGCCATATTTTTAAATGCTGTACAAACCAAAGATCTTTTTCGCATAGACGCATAGCGAGACTGATGAATCATTGAAACTCGTTGATGAGTTAGAATAAAATATTTTAAATGTTCTCCGTGCTCTCCGTGTTATACCTGAGGGATCAATGGAATGCGGTTTATCATTAATCAATTGTTGATTTATCCATTGGCGATAATTACTGGCGCGACCATTATTATCGCATTTTTAATGCTAAATCGATTCAGATTAAACTGCTGGTGTTGCGCGTCTGTCGAATTTTAATCAGACTATTAGTGACGTCGTAGTCACTTCAATTTCTTGGAGAGACATTGCCACATCTGATACTATTTGTTCTCGTTGAATTTTGTCCTTAGTTCTTTTCCTGTTACGACAGCCTGGTATATTCTCGTCAGACGCATCATCGGCAATGTCAATGTTTTGCGTTGCTACGAGATGACTTTTTGCGTCGTGGCACTTCCAATAAGAAACTGACGACACCACCGACGACTTCATTTTACCGATACAATCTGTCATGCTAATTTTTGTATTTAAGCAAAGTTCTGACTGAATTTTACAAAAATTGCTCTTTTGTTTCAGGCCATGGTGGCGTGTTATCCTGGTTATGGTTCCCATTATGTGAAACACGTGGATAATCCAAATCGTGATGGGCGATGCATCACTGCTATCTATTACCTTAATAAAGACTGGGATATCAAGGTAAAGACGATACTTGAGTACGTAAGGTGAATAGTTTAGAGGTAATAATCTTTAAGGTCCAGCTTACCGTTTAAATTTATACTCGAACTTAACTAGACTCATGTTGTTTCTTTATCGTAGTAGATTTTCGAATGATTTTCATTATTATATGTTTTAGAAAAACGGTGGACTCCTCAGGATATTTCCTGAAGGCTGGCGCGATCAGGTTGCGGATATAGAACCTCTGTTCGACAGAATTCTCTTCTTCTGGTCAGATAGAAGAAATCCGCACGAGGTACAGCCAGCCTATAAAACGAGATACGCCATTACGCTTTGGTACTTTGACGCTGAGGAGAGAAATCAAGCTTGCCGAAGATATCAGAGAGAACGTAAGTGACATTGTTAAATGTAGGTTGAAGGAGAAGGTTATTTATCAAGTAATTAACACTTGACTTCGCTTTGAATACTCGTTAATTGTATCGTTAAATATGTCTGTTTCAGGAGAAATGCATAACCAACCGAAAAATTCGTGAGATATAGAGTCCGGAGGACCGCGTCGCCGTCCGATGACTGAAATTGTAACTTTAATTTATCGATTTATACATCTGTAAATAGTTGCGCACCCCCAAGAAGCAGCGGTACATAAACTTTATGTAATATTATTATGTATTAAGATATGCCTGATGATCCTACTGGAGGAATTGAATAACGATACGGATAACTGAAACGAAACTGTAGTCTTTAAGGATGTGCAATAGGTTTAAGTGACTTTTTTCTACGAGCAACGCCACACGATTATCAAATTTTCGAAAGTGCGTTCACGTGTCCAAATGCAAAACGGGACTGTCACGCGTATGCGCTCGTCTTTCCCGTGGGGCGCAAAAATCTTGAAAACGAAAGACTTTGGGTATTGAATTACGCCCTAGAAGTTTTGATGATTTTTTTTCTTACATTTTTTCTATTGCCTTCGTCGACTTAAACCTTAATAGTGTTGTGTCACTTGGTCGCGTTTACATCGCGTATGAATTTTCTTACTTCATAACGACGTTGGGAATGTGCGATTGGTATTTATTTCTTATTTAATGTCGTAACGATAAGCTGTGCATACGAATTACCTGCAATTGAAGATTCCTCTTTAGGAGAACGATTTATATATCCTGCTATCCGAGTCATATATGTATATATATTTTTTATTTTTATCGTAGTCTGTGCAACGAAGAGAACCGGATTCTTTATCGTATCGCATATATCTGTGCGAAAAAGAAGAAAAATAACTCAAATATACGGATGACTTAAGCCCTCAATAGTAATTATTAAAATAAGAAATGCCCCAATTTCCTTCCGTGTTCACTCTTAGGAAAATACTTGTACGCACTTCGTTAAAAACTTCTCTCTTTTATTTCTCTCAGTGACACTTTAAATTACAACGGGCCCGCGCGTCTCAGCGCTCTTCGTATCGTCGCTCGCACGAAGTTTCAAGCGCCACGCGTTTCGTATAATGGGAAAACTAAGAGAAGATAATTCCGACTGTGGCCAGTAGATAAAATCGATGCTTCCAGTGCAGTGAAGTAAGATCTTTGTGACGCACAGCCTGTACCTGTAACATTGTATGTATATTGCGAAGCGAGCGAAGCACTGTTTAATATTGTATGTAACTATTTATATAAAATAATAGATATAATAGAGTATATTGGTGTGTGTCCCACAAGTAGTAAGTTCGATTCGAGGCTCGATTAGTCAACGGGAGATGCAGACTGACAATGGAAGTGAAATAACAGATGAATTACTGTAGAACAAAACTTGGCATCGTAATCCAGTTTTCTCTGTCAACCGCGAATGAGACACGTTTAAGTTCTAAGGACTGCTACGAACTGATATTCCATAGAAAACAGGAATTCGAGAGGGACGAAAGAGACGGTTAGAAGAAGAAGAGTAAAAAGTGAACAACGCGAGGAAAATGTCAAATTGATGAAGGGCGCTCTTTCCTTTATACTCTCGGACACAGAAGAAACCCCGATCAATTACCCAGTATCCTTTGACAAGTGATTATTTTTAATGCTCGGATCTAAGTTAATTGAAACCTAATTGTTAACTTAATACTAAAATTGTTATACCTAAGTTATATGATTGGGAGTAATGCTCCTGAAGTATTGTCAAAGTGAAAGATTTTATTATGTGCGAAAAACAATAAATACTGTACAAAGTACGTCGTTGTGATCAACGTTCTCCTCTTCTGGGATCACGTGTCCAGGTTCATCAGGTCTGTGTCAACTGGTATCGCACAAATGTCTATATTATTCATTGCTGGTACGTAGGCCATGAAGGAGAAATTATTCTTTGGGAATGATCCTGGATTCATCACTTTACATTCCATGTGTTCTGTTGTATAAGATTCAAATTGGTCGGCCACAACTATGAGATCTGGTACTGGATATAATTGTAAGGCGTGATCGTGTTTCCAGTAAATTGGTATTACTGGGAGGTTCATTGGTGTTAAATGTGCTTGACAGATGATAGATTTAGCGTACTGAAATGTCAATAGGTACTTTTTTTTATGTGTACTTTATTCACTGTGTTTATTATCAATGTGTTGTACTTACATGTTCGTACACTTCACCTTCAGTGGGAAAAAAAAGTGTATTTCTGCACAGTCTGCTCACCATGTCCTCACGGAGAACCACAATTTCCTTTGTACAGTATTGTATTCTACAAGGATTGGTAGCTAGTATTGTGCCAGGAACAGTCTTTATGAAATCCTCCACTAGACATTTTGGCAGTGGTGCTCTAGGTAGAATTTTAGGTGCACCTAAATCATAGGGTGCTGGTACTATGATGAATTTACTTTCTTTCTTTATGTTTTCAAAGAGTTCCACTATGTTTGCTAGTCTTTTGAAACCTTCTTTCATCTTCTGTGTGCTTGTTGTATTTGGTGGGAAACTTAAAAATTGACCACATAGTACAAAAGCTATAGGAGGAAACTCTGCATAGCCGACAAGCATTATTTTAAATTTATCTAACACCTCGAGACTGTCTACCCATAATTCAGAGACAAAAACTATCATTCCATCTGGATTATTTTGTTCATGCTTTTGTAACTTCTCAGATGTTTTTAATGAAACTGGATGTGGTCCACCAAAGGTGTTGTGATCTCCAAAGGGTGCACGAGAAATATTTGAAGCTTCTGCAGGTGGAAAGCCTATATCTTTGACATATAATATATTATCGTCGTAATTCCCATTAGCTAGGACTATAGAACCATCCACGATGAGACCATCCTGGAATTTTTGTGTACAAATTAAGGAAAACAATTTTCATATTGTCTATTATGGTGATTTAAAGTATTCAATGAATTAAATAATACATAGAAAAGGATATTGCATTCTTCAAATCAATTTTTACAACTCCACTAATGTCCTCCAAGTAATATTGCCCTTCTACAAGTTGAGATAAAAGACCCATCACATATACATTAATTGTTCTTGATTCACTGAGCAGATACTCTATTGGAGTAAGCTTACATCTGCCTATGCTCGTTTCACCAAGCTTAGGAGCAAGAAACATTGGATGCTTCAATGTTCTGTGCCATAGTATATTAAATCTGTCTCGAAAAATTAGAGATTTATATGTTGCGTCAGGGTACATATTAATTCCAATTTTTTCAAGTACAAATTTTCTCCTTTCCATGTCATAGGTGACTTTTGGGATATCCAGAGCATTTATAACATTTAAAATGGTCTCTGTATGTTTTAAGCTATTCTCAGGCCTCATACACTCTATGATTGCTTTTTTTATGTGATCAAGCTCAATGCGTGGATTTTCCAGATTTTGTGATAGTATTTGTTCCACAATTTTAATAAGCCAGGATTCACGTTCATCTTCCATTTTTTCCATTTCTTTAGCTATAGAAGTACTTAGTTTACTGTGAAAAAGAAACAAAGATCGTTTCATTCTTAACATAATACTTGTTCTAATAAATTAATAAAACTAGTAAATAATCAGTTATATACCTTGTTATCATAAGTCCATACAAGGAAAAAGTCGTTTGAACGTTTTTAACAATTTTATCATCGACCATGATTAAAATGCATAAGAAAATAACGATATATGAGACGAATGAAAAATTATTTGGAGTACTTAAGTGTAAAAATTCTTGTTGGCGCCAGATACTAGGGTGAGTAACACAATGGAAGATTCAGGAATATTACAGTTAATTGCTGGAGAACATAACCTATATCATACGAAATGGCTGAAGAAGAGAGGCAGGCGAAGGATGACAAACTTAAACCAATTTTCCGGGATCTCACGGCTGAGGACCCAGAACCTGAAACCACTCAAATTGAAAGTCTTTGTATGAACTGTGGGGAAAATGTGAGTACTTGATTTATTATACTTTTTACGTTTTATATTTTGTGTTAGCATGTGTTACATGTGTTATTATTTTCCATATTTCAGGGCATCACAAGATTATTGCTTACAAAAATACCATATTACAAGGATGTTGTGCTTATGTCTTTTGAATGTGAACATTGCGGATTTCAAAACAATGAAATACAAAGTGGTGGGAAGATCGCTGAAAAGGGAATTAGGCAAACATTAAAGGTGTCTACACCGAGAGACTTAAATAGACAAATAGTCAAATCAGATTACACAAGCGTTAAAATTCCAGAACTTGACTTTGAGATCCCTGCTCAATCTCAAAAAGGAGGTACATTTCCAAACTACCTTAAGTAATCATAACGATTTCTCTACCTCTGATATTTTTTTTGTTCTGTTTACAGAAATCACAACAGTCGAAGGCATCATTAACAGAAGTATTGCTGGATTGGAACAGGACCAAGAGCAACGTAGGAAAGAGAACCCAGAAACAGCAATTGAAATTGATTTATTCCTGTCTAAACTAAGAGCCCTTAAACTCCTGGAGGAACCGTTCACTATAACTCTAGAAGATATCACTGGAAATTGTTACATAGAGAATCCGAACGCTCCATTGAAAGACAATCAATGCACAATCACTCACTTTACACGATCTGAAGAACAAAATCACATGCTATGTATTTTCCCAGAGAACGATACAGCTCTTCTCAAACCTCTTGAAGAGGGCGAATTTACATATGATCAGCTACAGGGTGAAGTTCTGTCCTTCCCCACAAATTGCCCTGAATGCAACAGTCCTTGCGAAACCAATATGAAAATGACCAGTATCCTTTACAATCTATCATCTACAGTAGAGTCGTAGTAACTAGGCTCTACTATACATATATATATATACTATATATATTATTTGTTCTTTTAAATTATTTTCTTGTTTCATTTTTCCTTAATCTGTCGTTTAGACATTCCACACTTCAAGGACGTTGTCATTATGGCTACCAACTGCGAGAGGTGCGGTCACAGGACAAACGAAGTTAAGAGCGGAGGTGGAATCGAACCTTTAGGCGTGAGAATAGAAGTTAAGGTGACTGGTAAAGAAGATTTTAGTAGAGATCTTCTAAAATCAGAGACCTGTAGCATGGAAATTCCGGAACTTGAGATGGACGTCGGACCTGCTGCTCTGGGCGGTCGATTTACTACGGTGGAGGGAGTCATAGCAGCGACGAAAGATCAATTATTATCATCCACAGCTTTTACCGGTGACAGTAGCGACCCAGAGGTATCAAGAAGAATGGATTACTTCATATCCCAGCTACAAGATGTGTTGGATGGCAAAAAAGAGATTTCTCTTATTCTTGACGATCCAGCCGGAAACAGTTACATTCAGAGTCTTTCAGATGATGGACCGGATGACAGATTAAAGATAACAAAATACGAAAGGAACTATGAACAAAACGAAGAACTTGGACTCAACGACATGAAAGTTGAAAACTATTAAATATCCTTTTAAAGACGTATAATAATTCTATAAATTATATTCGAGAAGGCTTAAAAATTTTAGCTACCAAGTACAAACCGAAGGATTCGATTATCAGCAGAACGTTGAGTTCAAAATGATTTGACCTAAAATTAATCTTGTGTTTCACTAATGCAGCAAGGTTTATCAATCAATTATAATAAAAAATAGTTTCATGAAAAATATATATATATATATATATATATATATATATATATATATATGTATGAAAACAAATTTTTTATTGATGCGTAAATTCGTCAATGTATATTAATCTGGCGTTTATTCGTCACCACCATGGCTGTAAATAAAAATATTTTTAGTTAACAATTTTAAGCAGGAGTCTTGTATAAAATTCAGTAAAAATAATATGGAATATCTCATACACAACAGGTATTGAGTCGAGTTTCTTTAAAGCTGGCAATCTTCTAATAACTTGGGCGCGCCAAGTCTCAGTATCCATATTCTCACAAATGGGATTATTAATAAACAACAAATCCTCAAGATGGGGAATCTCTTGAAGCCTATTAAATTCCGCCCAGTCCTTGACAAGGTTGTTACCCATATATAGCACCTTTAACGCTTTCAAAACATTGACACCCTTAATTTTCTCTATCATATTATAAGATATCCATAATTCTTCTAGATGCTCTCCCACAGCCTCCAAGCCAGAGAAGGTCTTGATGTAATTTCGACCCAAAGAGAGTATTTTTAAATGCCTCAACGAATTAATTCCAGATATTTTTTCAATCATATTCGTGGAGAGAGAGAGCTTTCTAAAAGTGAATGCTATTTAATAGGGAGCATAAATACCTCCAGGAAATATAACTAACTGAACATTGGTTAGGCCGGCTAAACTGTTATCCATTTTATCTATAGGAGGCCATTGAAAGCATAGTAGAATTTCCTTCTGTTCACTCGCAGATTCGCCGGACTTCTCTTCCCACTTCAGAATCGCTTCCTTACACGACGTTGCTTTTGCCTGAATGATTGAACTCTGCGTAAAAGTAGGCTTTTCACCCAGAATTGAAGAATATTACCATTGTAAGATTAACTCATTGGCTCTTAATATTTCTTAATTAAAATGAAAGAGTTTAATGAGAAAAGTTTTTAATTAATGTATGTACTGTGACATCAAACAGAAGAAAACCGCCTTTAGTGAAATCTGAAAATCCATCATGTTCTAAACTTTAAACAAATTAAAATATTTATACTAATTATTTAAAATGTTATCCAGAATGAAATGTGACATTCCAATTCAAGTGTTAGCATGTTATATTTCATAACGTAATTATAGTAGAATTCATGGAATTTATCTAAACAGCCAGCATTTCAAGCGAATCGAAGTAAAGTGCATAGCTTTCCATAATAAGTTGTGTAGAAAATAAGCCGACCAGAACATCCGTAATATTAAAGCGTGAATTAGATTTTCTCCTACGTATAAGGAAACTATGAAATGCCTTTAAAAAAAAAAAGGAAAGAACTAAGCATCAAATTTAAAAGAAACTGCGAGAAAATCTCCGAAGCAGTGTGCTGCCGAGTGTGTAGAATGCCGTAGTTTTCCGATTGATGAGAAGTGGCGCGCGTGTCGCTCGACGGCCAATGGCCGCCGTGAACGAACGCCGTGTGTCGGCTGGCTGGCCGCTGACTGATGTACCTTTCAACGCGTGTCCGTCTGTTTATCGTTTGATTTTCCACGATCAGTGCGCTTGATAAAATGCCGAATCGACCGAAGAAGGATAAGGTGCGTTAGCCGCATGAAACGGGCACTAAATTTTCGTACTTGAGGAGATTTATTTGTGAATGTAAGCCGTGAACCTTGGGGGAACAACCCCGGCGGCCTCAGTCAAGACCACCCAAGGGTGTAGTGTCTAGAATTCCGCGACTTTTGGTCAACTAATTTCACTCAGCATCTTCCGTATAGTTTGTATGTTTCGCGAGTAATTATTTTGCAGTATCGCGAAACCTTGTGGGCTTATAGTGAAATTTGTTTCACGAGGATACGACAGCTCTGATACAAGTGGACAAATCGCTTTTTATGTTCCAGGAGTCGGTCAAAGGCAAGGACAAGGGAAAGAACGGAAAGGATCCTGAGAGCGGTGACGAGGTGAGGTTATACTGTGGTTTATATTCTTATCATTTTACTCGTGTATTTACTTGGCCCGTTATACTACTATTATGCACTGGTCGCTACTGCCATTTGTGACTGGTATTTTTGACGCGTTGCTTAGCGCGTGTATTGCTTGACGTTTTGATTTTTACTGTGTCTAATATGGAGAGGAACTTATGTAGAGATCTTTTAATGTGTAGGACTCTTTTAATATCAGAGCAAAGTTGAAGATAATATTAAATGGACTGGTAGAATTTGTGTTCATTCGTACTTGAAGCAATGGATAGGCATAAGAAAATCATTATGGAATAAAAGAGCTATTTGCTCTTTGGGATATATATAACGTTACTTCTGGGTTGGGAAACCACTTAAGATTTTTGCAGTACATTAATATTTAAATGTCATTAAGCACATAGATTTCGTTACTTATTATATTTCTTACTTTATACCGACGTAGTACAAGTATGAAGATACTTCATGATCTATAATAATTAAGCAAGATATCAAGGACTTTGTACAATAAATCCTTGATATATTAAAACTTCTTAATATGAATCAATAGAGCTATCTTAGATTTTACCTTAAAGAACTTTTCCTTAGACACGAGGAAGTACATAGATCACCCCAATGTTTAGAATTCCAGATTCTCTAATGCTCTAGGTTTTTGGTATGTCCAAACAAGATCTTATATTTGGAGAGGGTTAGGTATATTAATAACGCTAAGGAGAGCAAGCAGAGTCAGTCTTTTCTGTTATATAAACAAAACTTCTACTGGTTAATATTTCTATTTAGGATCCATCTACCATAATCTGCCTATCATATCATGTGATGGTTTTCTGAAAAGCTTTCTCAGCTGTACCATAAAGCTGCTACGAGAAAGGACAGTAATCCAGTGAACTGAAATTGCAAGTTTCATACATTTGAGGCACACCCGTTGGCAGGATACCAGCCAAAACGGCAGGCTTGGCATTGACATTGCAACAGATTAAGATCAGAACCTTTAAATCCAAGCAATTTGATCCAATGGATTTACATTAAGCCATTCATAGGAATTCATCTGAAATTACTGGTTACACATAAATCAATTCATAGGTAAAAACTTTTTGTCACTAGTATAGTTCCACCCTGACGTTTTAATTGCGACCTTTTGTAATTAAAATTCCTACACGATTGCATAAGAGACGCAATACCGTAGGTGCATGCTATTCATACACGGTGAATTATAATAAAAGTTGATTGTTGATCACATCGTAGTATTTACCGCAGTACTTGATGAGTTAGCGAGGTTACGACTGCGTTTTTAAACAGTTTGAGAACTTTCACAATAGATGGTGCCACATGGGGTCCATCATATACAAGGTGTCATATTGAATCAAATGCCGTATATCATGAATAAAAGCACGGCGTAACAAGATTTCTCTCTGTCATTATGTGTTTCCGTCACAATTCTCTACCACGAGACGAATATTATAAGCCGAAGATGGTTCCTAGTCAAGTGGAGAGAAAAAATATTCAAAGAAGCAACGATCACATTACAACGATCGTTTCGTTTGCACGCCCACTGCTTGTTTGGTAATTCTAGAATCCAACGGATGGTCGAACGTCCTTTGGTATGACGTACAAGATCTACCATTAATACGGATCTCTAGAATTGCTCACCCGTAGCGCTTCAGCTTTACACGCCCATTTTCCCAACCGATGTTTTCCGGTAAGCCATAGAATTACCACACAAGTTCGCTGTGTACATTGATCCTCCTTACAATCATGTTTAATGATTCAGTCTCTCAAAAGTACATGAATTTGAGATCTAACGTAACAACAACAGATCGACTTTTCTTGCTGTGCTAGAGAACGCTGAGAAAATTCTTGCGGTAAAAGAAACCAAGGAAATTCCTTTTTCGTCGACCATTAACAAGTTTCAGCCAGGAAGTCTCGTGCGTGTAAACGACTCTCCAGGAATGTCAAATAAATACACTGCCATGATCCAAAATGTAAAATGGAGAGGCAAAACGGGCCAAATAAATACGATTAGATAACACGCTTTCTCACGTCGTCCGCGTCAAGTACAACGCGTGACAGCCAACAGTCAACTTCTACGAATGATTACCAATAGAGTTACTCCACTCTATACCATTAACACGTCATTGTTATATACCTAGGAGGACGGTGATCAATGAAATTATAACTGCGAATAATTCTACTCCCCACGCGCCTCCATACGGCTGGATAGGGCTTCTATTTTGAGTAGCGTGCAAATAGAAAGCAGGCTAATAATATGACCAGTGCATTCCAGACAGTCGACTGGGCCGGCTTTTTAGCGACGTTTCTTAAGATCCTGTTGAGACATACACAAACTCTGTATGGATGGGTGTATATATATTTCATCTCTCCACTCCTTCTCTCACCCTTCAATGAAATAAAATCTCTGCTTGTAGCTTGTCTCTCTGTCACATCGTACGACGACGTCCTAATCCTCTTCCAACAATTTATACCATCGAAGGTTCGTCCTGCTTCGAGTTTCGACCTTCCTTCGTTACTACCCTCAGGAATTGCTATACCCATAATAAAGACGGTGAATCGCAGGCGGTTTATTACTGTTTACCCGGAAGGATTCGTTTGTCAACACGATTATCATAATTAATGCGTGCGACGATACTGGTGGGGGAGACACTGTGTAAGGACGGCATGCAGGTTGAAGAGTAACGTATCTCCAAGAGTTCAGTCATGCCGATGGCACTTACTCCGTGAACGTTGCCGTCGGACGGATTCTGTCTTCTTTTTTTCTCTTCATTTCACTTCCGTCTGCGAGAAACCGATCCTTCACGTAATTACGATTGTCAGGACTCGTATTTCCCTCTAAGCGCCCCGGGGCCGTGGATCCTGATGACGATTGACGTATTTGTGAGTGCTGAATGTGTTTGATGTTTTTCATCACGGTTTCTTTATTTCCTGACTTACCGTGTATATTATTGTAGTGACGTATAGACACAACTTTGCTCGTCACGAATTTTACGTAACGCGCACTTCTGTACTTCACGAGTTTCTTTAGGTAAATTCTTCGTTATACCCAACATGGAATATCGTTTGACTATCGAAATAATTATAGTAATCATTTTTTTTTTAAATATCGTTAAACCATCTGCACTTTCATTGTTGAAATTCGTTCCTAAAACGGGAGACACTTTCATGTGAGTCTCTTTTTTTATTTTTATTTTAAACCAGCACGCGTTTCTTCCTTTCTATTTATTTAAAGTGGACAGCTCGTGGAAATATTTTTAATACCGATCAAGATACGGTGCCGGTAGGACTTTTATGCTCGAGACACTTTTCTCTCTTTTCGTATCCCTCGTTCTGTCTCTCTCTCCCTCTCCCGGTGAGATACGCTTGTTTTGTCTGGAGTCTCGTTTGTTCTTCTCCACACGACGACCTTTGTAATCTTTCGTACAGAGCCTCGGATTTACACGAATGTTGATACTACGGATTTTGGAAAATCATACTGGATCGAGAATCTGTGACAGTATTTAAAACATACGTCATTTCACAGGAGAAAAGAGGTTAGGATACGCAAGCATGTACGAGTCAGAGGAAAAGTTTACGGAATAAGGACTTCGAGGCGTCCCGCTTGAACCATGTGCTAAACGAATCGGTCAATTGGCTGTAATTGTTGCTATACCTTTTAGCAACGCCAAGTCTCATGAAATCTAATGCGCAGCTAGTAGCGTCATTGGTCTTTTATGTTTATGACGCTTCCCCTCCATTTTAGTGTCCGTTAATGTACGAAACTTTCTGGTATCGTAAATCAGAGGTGACATTACGAGTTGCATTCAGTCTTTGACGTTCGTACGCGACGTTTTTCTACTCGCGTAAGATACAGTCGTGCAGTAACTCTATAACCTAAAAAAAGATGTACAAGGATAGTCAATACTACGTTTAATAGCTACTAGTTCTTCTCTATATAGATCGGATCAAGCGGACTCTTGAGCCAGTGAAACAATAACCTTGCCACGGGTAGACGCGCTAAGCATTGGCCTAGGAGATGTAACGCAAGAGGACAGAGAGAAAGAGACAGACCGTACCGTGAAGAAGACACGACGAATGCGCGCGCTAAAAACGTGTCGCGTCGTAATTCGATTCTTGGTCACGAGTCCGATCGTCACTTTTATCGTCGCTATTATCGTCGCCGCGTCGCCACCACCGACGTCTCCGTCATCCAGGTGCATGAAATGTCCAACGCCCGTAAAAACAATACACAAGGAAAGGAAGAGAATAGTTAAATTTTTTGGATTCGACTAATCGAAGTGTAGTCGTAGGATTGATGTCCGCCATCTTTGTTCGCTCGAGGTAATCGACTTTTTAAACGGCTCTCTCCCACCCTTTTTAACGGTTTTTCACGTCAAACAATGAATTGTCGACAAATTGCACAGACAAGTTTTGACAAGTGTAATAAAATAACGGCTGAAAAGTAAAGGTGAAGTATTATTATTTATTTATACGTGCGTGTGGTATATATATCGAGTGTTATTTGATGTGCCAGCGGAGCTGCTGCTATTTACCATGAGAATCAACGTAGGAGAGAGGCGACAAGTTCGGAATTAAAAATATCCTCGCGCGAAAGTGGCTGTGCGCGTAAATGCGTAAATACATTTAGCGGAACTTCGGAGTGCCGCTATACCGCCTCGAATCCTATTGCTTCTGTTGTGCTGGCCGTTTGTATATTGTCATCCGGGCGCGTTGGCGCGCGAAGAATGCGGGATCGGGTGCCATCTTTATCTCCGATGGGAGCCACTTCGGATCGATGCCAGCAGCATCCTCGTGCTCTCGACCTCGGTCGTAAGACCGATCGCCTGCCAACAATTTTTCCATAGACGATCGATCGGCTGATTTCTCAGAGGCCTAAGGGAGGGCGATCAAAGCCCACAGCTATACTGGACACAGATGCAAAATAAAATGCAAACCTTAACCGGACTCGCTTTTGGCAGCGTGTTCAAGAAGAAGGCAGGTGTCTGCGTGGTCATTTACAACACCCATCGTTCGTTTATTATTGATTTACGATATTTGCCTAATATGTCGAAACGCTTTTGTAGCAAAAATTTACATTTACAGAACAGTATCCTGGTATGGTTTTTTTTTTTTTTAATATTCATATTAAACACGTGCGTGGTAGATACCATAGAATTTATTCTCGCGCCATACCCGTACACGGTCGCTTCTTTTAAGTACGCGTAGTGTTGGGCAATTTTTATTTCAGAAATAGAACTCGAGCGACTTTTTGACATTTCTCTTATTTCTTACGCGTAACGTGCTTCTTGCCGATTATTCTTTGAACTGTACCTCGGGCCAAATTTTTGCAGTGCACTAAGAGGGGAATGACGGTTACGCTTCCTCTGGGAAAATTTTATTAAACCTTAACCTACAGTGCTTTTTGCGCCTCTGTTTTCTCTTTGTTTGGTTTCGCTGGGAATTTTTTTAGTATCGCTACGCTTCAATCCCGACACCCCGTATATGTGTTACGTGTCGCCATATACGTCACTGGTAAACGAGTACGCTGAACTGAAGGAAGCGTGCTCGTTCTTACACAGAGTTGGACCTTGAATCTTATTATTAACTACGACAAAGAGAGGAGGATGCTTGTGTTATGTATGACTTTTAACATGGAATTCATTGTTTGTATATATTGAAGTATTCGGAGGAAAATTTGGATACCTACTTTTTGGTGGGAAAGGAAAAGTTAATAATTTCAAAATTATCGTATAATCGCCTCTGTCCTCAGTAATTAAAATCGTCCTGTCACTTTCAGAATGTCGAATAGACACGGGATTGAAGTTTAATGAAATTACAAGGGGAAAAGAGGATCGCTCGTGATATTGGAGGATTTCGGTAGCGTCAGCTACCATAGTCGTCTCGGCGTCTGATTTTCCATTCTTTGAAATGATACCTTCAATTTTCAAAAAAAAAAAATGTTTTTCAGTCAATGTCAAATATTCCGAGAATTTCTTTTTTTTAAACTAGAAGTACTTGACACTCCTTTGACAAGAGAGGTTGTAATAATTTTTTTTAATCCAGTCCTTATCATTGTTGATTACCGCGCTCCTCGTAACTACAGTGTGTATGTGACCTTTGGCGAATCTTTGTATGATCGATCACGCGCGATTATTTGAATCGCTGATAAGACGCCTTAGCGATTATCGAATTTACGAACCTTTTTTTTTTTTTTTTTCAAGACTATCCTTCAACGACGTGCATGAAATTACGTGGATTTTTATGAAGCATTCTGACGATCGTTTGGACATGTTATTCTTTTCCTACCGATATCGAATTGATGCATTTATTATCTGTTTGATAAGAGGCCAATGGAATCTATCTAGGTCCTCTGGGTTTTCACGTCTAAATGATTTTTTATTCGTTTGATATATATTTCTTTCTATCCTCCCCGTATTATTTGTCCCATCTCTTCTGTGTTGACGCTCATGTTTATTTTAATAATTTAAATTTGTCAGCTTTCATCTTCTTGCCTTTTGCCTTTGTCGTTACGCATTACGACGACGTGACTCTGTATTACGTTTCCATGTAGCGACAATAAGCAGAAGAAGAAGCAAGGGAACGACAGGTTATCTGATAGCGATACTTTTGTGCCACGGAGACTCGAGGTAGCGCCACGTGCCTGTATAGAACCTTTTATGACCGGCCCGAGAAAAAGATCTATCCAAAAGACACACAGAGGCGGAAGGGGTTATTTTTATTGGTTCAAAGAACAATAAAGTAAGAAGTGGTATTGGGGAAAAAAGAAAAAGAAATATTATGGACACAATAACAGTATAACAGTTTCTTGTCACGCGATATATTCTCGCGGTTGTAAAAAGATACACGCTGGTTGAAAGTGGTCTTCAAGACCCTGGGCACCATCGAGAATCATCTTTGTACCCGGTTCATATACCAGTTGGGGATTTTCGTACCGAATTTTTCATTCAAGTTTAATTTTTCAAAAAATATAAAAAAAATTTTCAACCGCCTCACTGTTCTACACTTTTCACCCGTTAAACCCCTTCAATAATTTCCAATGTTATCTTCGCAGACGAACAAAGTGGCGGGTGGCACTTCCGGGGGTAGTACGACCCCACCTCCCCCCACGCTGATCAACAAAATCAAGTATCAGCAAGGTGGACCAGTCATAAAGAAAGACAAGCGTCAGAGCAGCTCGAGATTCAACATATCGAAGAACCGTGAACTTCAAAATCTGCCGGCATTATCCGGTAAGTGGAACAAGGGATCTATTGTCATTTTTTACCTGAAGAAAAAAAAAACAAAACATTGTCTTACGAGTCTAGAACAAGGCAAGCGGATCAAGGTGCAATCTGACGTCCAATCAGCCAGCCAGCCAGCTCCCTCTCCGAGTCCAGTCCTAAATCCTCACTCGAGTCAGCCTCCGACACTCTCTAGGTAAAAAAGACCTAGGAGATTCTCAGTTGCGCACTTGCATTCCAATCAAGGATCTTCGTGCGCTCTGGTACCATTTGTCTTACCCCAGACGCGCTTGGAAGATGGAAGACACGTGTGTGTCCTCATTGGACCAAGGGAACCACTGGCGTAGCCTGAAGATTTCTGAAAAGGCGAGGCGACGGATATTCAACCTACAAGATTAGGATGTCCACGCGGAACTGCATTCTTCAAGCGGATGGCTCTTTGGAATTTCATAATACCACTCGTCACGTTAAAAATAATTCTATGGTTCCTACCCTTGACACGAAACTGTTATCTTATACTGCGGGACACTTTCAAATGTGTAAATGACAATGAGCACGAGGCATCGGCCGAAGAAATTACCTTTGACGTCTCCATTCTGTTTCGCTTCGCTCTTACGTAATTCTATTTTGATCCGCCGTATGCGCTACTGGTCACGATTTCTATAATACTACTGTATCCCATGTATCGATCGTACTTCGTTTCTTTCACTTGGTCCAGAAACTCTCTCGTTCTTCGTTATTTTTGCCGGGCTTGAAAAAGTTAATTTCAAGAGGAACTCGTTTCTTGGCCATTTCGACTATGACGCTTCGTGTCACGCGTTGGGTATTGTACATGCGTTTCCGTGTGTACGTATAAGCGACGTGTGATATAGTTTCTCGAGGACTCGCTCGTCAATGTAACACGTACGCGAGAACTCAGTAAAACGATACGACTGCATACCACAGTCCATTATCGTACTATCTTATCTGATATATTTGCACGTTTGTGGGCTCAAGCCCGGTATTGCGTGAGAAGGATTGAATAAATGTATACAGTTTTTCTTTTTCCCTTCAACGGTTATGTCATTAGGGTCAAACGGTCTCTCGATGCATCCTGAATGAGTAAACGAGAATAATGTCTTAATCGTTCATAAACACGACTACCGTCGAATCGATGTTAAATGTGTTTGTCATTGCGAACGTGACTGGCGTGTCGGGCTGCTGCTCGACTATATAATCTTTTTTCTCATTCGCTTTACCATCCCCTCCGTATAATTATTTATTTTTAATTCCGTTCCCCCGCTGAAATTACGTGTCACGGTGCCATCCGGGACGGCTACACTGTCGCGTAGCGATAACTACAAAGTTTCGATGGATCGACCGAGCGGCGGGTATATATCTACCTAGTGAGTACGATAATCTCCGGATAATCCCAATCGCCCCTCGAGCCTTCTTGTCTTTTGGAGGAGAACGAGAAAGAGATGAAAAAAAATGGTTAATACCTCGTAACGCCGATCTTACCCTTTAATCCGAGAAAAAAGTTCCGGGCGTCCTTTTAATTCCCATTCGATGCGCTCGAAATTACAAAACCGCTCGTATCTCTGAATGAAAGCGAATTGAGTCTCCTGGCCTTTCCTAACGCAGTGCCGTGTCAAGCGGGGGTGCACGAGAACGTCACTGAGAATATAATATCGATTGGCAAAGGGTCGACGCGTGCGCGCTACTTCCGACCTGCCCCTTCGCTCCGCTTTGCCCCTCTCCGTTCCTTTCCCTGTACCCGACGTAAACAGACGTGCCACCCCTAAGCGTTACCACCCCTACGATCTCACGACGCAGTTCTTACTTCCTTGCCGGGCACCGGCGTCTGTGCTCGTCCTGATCGTCCACTCTCGCGTTCTCCTCGACGTACCTACTGTCTGTTTCCTCTGCGTTATTCATTGATGTTATAACGGCCGATTCGTCGTGCGCTCGTCACTTTTATCTTGAGCTTGCTAAACTCATCCGTTCTGTGTGTTTCCTCTTGGACGTTCCTAGCTACAGGTGCTCATGATATAATCCAAAGACTTATCTTTTTCATAAGGATCAAAGATCAGTGTTTCTACTTTTTTTTCTCTTAAATCTCCTGTCTAAAGGTATAGGGCCTTTACGTGGGGACAAGTCGTGAGGGTGATTGTCGCTGTGGCGAGGGAAGCAACAGATAGCTGGGGGTAGTTGTAAACAAAGATTTATATGCGCAGTGCATTAGGACTTTTGGTTTATCATTCGGGGCTGGATACTTTTGTGTCGTCGTGACTACTTGACTGTGAACGGTGACGGTGTGAAGATCTGGGTTTTCTTATTCAGATTCGTCAACAGCTTCTGGAGTTGCAAGCTTTAAAAGAGACTTTAATTATTTATGATATGGTTCATGTGGGTGGTATGAGCCCTTCTCTGGGTGCTGGTCTGCCCAAGAGTCCTAGCTTTCATCAGGGTCTTGCCTTTGCTGCTGTTTTGCCATACGAGTCGAGCAAACAAGGACCTTCACCATCCGCTCTGCTATATCAGCCCTTACAACCTTTGCTCATCGGTAGACGAACCCTGGATATATATCTATATATATATATATATATGTTTATATGTTTGTTAATAATTGTGATGTAGATAAAGTTTTGCTTGTAATTAATTTTTAATTTTTTGTTCCACAGAGGCGCAGCAGGGCAACGAAAGGGAGGAACTGTTCATTCAGAAGCTACGACAATGTTGCGTCCTATTCGACTTCGACGATCCTCTCTCAGATTTGAAATGGAAGGAAGTGAAGCGGGGGGCACTTCTCGATATGGTCGACTACGTGTCCAAGAACAGGAATGTTATCACCGAGGCCATTTATCCTGAAGCTGTCAACATGGTGAGTGAGATATATATATATTTATTATTTTGGACTATAAACATTTTACTATTGATTTCTCTTGTTTTTTAGTACGCCGTTAATCTTTTTCGAACGTTGCCACCCTCGTCGAATCCTAACGGAGCGGAATTCGATCCCGAGGAGGACGAACCTACCCTGGAAGCAGCTTGGCCCCACTTGCAGCTGGTATATGAATTCTTCGTGAGACTCCTGGAGTCTCAGGATTTCGAACCGTCCATCGCAAAGCGCTACATAGACCATAAGTTCGTACTCCAGCTCCTGGAGCTTTTCGACTCCGAGGATCCGAGAGAGAGGGATTTCCTCAAGACGACTCTGCATAGAATCTACGGGAAATTTCTTGGGCTCAGAGCGTACATCAGGAAGCAAATCAATAATGTTTTCTATCGATTTATCTATGAGACGGAACATCATAACGGTATTGCAGAGCTGCTCGAGATCCTTGGAAGGTGATATTCATTTTTTTTGACATAACGAAGAAATTTGTTTTTATTTGATCTCAGGATTTGGTTGCTTGAACGTATTTTATTTATTATTTTTAGTATTATCAATGGATTCGCGCTGCCCCTTAAAGAGGAGCACAAAGTATTTCTACTGAAAGTGCTCTTGCCTTTGCACAAAGCCAAATCGTTGTCGGTCTACCATCCTCAGTTGGCGTACTGCGTCGTGCAGTTTCTTGAGAAGGATCCGTCCCTAACGGAGCCAGTGATACGTAACCTACTGAAATTCTGGCCAAAAACTCACTCGCCCAAGGAAGTCATGTTTCTAAACGAGCTCGAAGAAATTTTGGACGTCATCGAACCGGCCGAGTTTCAAAAAGTTATGGATCCGCTATTCAGACAGCTGGCCAAGTGCGTCTCGTCGCCGCATTTTCAGGTAAGCAACATTTCTACCGGCAGCCTCTTGATAAATCATCGTATTAGCTAAATTGACTGCGTGACAAATTGTACTCACTATTTCTTCCATACCGCAGGTGGCCGAGAGAGCTCTCTACTATTGGAACAACGAATACATAATGTCTCTGATATCGGATAATTATTCCGTTATACTTCCCATAATGTACCCAGCGTTATACAGAAATTCCCGCAATCACTGGAACAAGACAATACATGGTCTTATATACAACGCCCTTAAACTCTTCATGGAAATGAACCAGAAAGTGTTCGACGAGTGTACCCAACAATACTATCAGGTACGATTCGAATAGTTTTCTTTGGTTGAAACGTAAGAATAACATTCTTGGCCGAATTCTCAACATCGGAAACCTGTCTCAGGATCGACAGAAGGAACGCAAGCTCATAAAGGATAGAGACGAAGCATGGGTTCGCGTGGAAGCTTTGGCGATGAGGCATCCGAATTACACTCTGACCACTCTGGCCATTTCTACGACGAATCATCCTTACGGCTTACCGCAGCATCTCGATAGTCCTCCGCCCGACGAGGATGGTGACAATGACAAGACACCATTGACCCTGGAGAAAATTGAGGCCAAGGCAAAGGAGGTGAGTGCAGATATGACAATGAGACTAAGTGTGACTGCTTTTCCATGTATATTAAGTGAGAGGAAGAGAAAGTGGTGACAGTGATAACGAGAGAATGTGGTTAAGCATGGAAACCCGTGAGTGTTAATCCTCAGGCATAAGCTCCATAGGATGAACCTATCCTTCTCGTAGGCTAACGAAGTAAAGCGGCCGTTTGATTTCGATGCGCAGGCGAAGAAGATGACTGGCATGAACAAGGAGAAGCCGTTACTGCGAAGAAAGAGTGAATTGCCGCAAGATTCGTACACAATGAGGGCCTTGTCCGACCATAAGCGTACTGACGAGTATCTTGTAACACCGCCGGAGCCCAACAACTGCTAGTCCCTAGCCGACACCCTTCCATACTATCCTTTCTTTTGCTCTAGCGACACCGGAAGTTAACTCGCCCTCCTCTCTCTGTCTATCCGGTGAAAAGTCGGTACCAGAGAAGAAGAAAAGCATTACCGATCCCTTTCGTGTCTCGCGGAGACCTGGCTTCTCTCAAAGAAGTAAGAGGGTCCATTGGACACCTATTGGACGTCCCCGTGATGTGTTGAAGGAATATTTCCAAGCGAGAGAAAGAGGGAGAAAGTGTGCAAGACACCTCACAAAGAAAGTCACGATGAAATATCGTTAATGCAGATGTCTTGAAACCTTAAGATCCTCCTTGAACAATCGATCCTATCTAATATTCTCAGGATCTCCTCCGTATTTCCTTAACTGTATGAAATGTTGCACTGTGAACGCATAAAGAAGAAACAGAATGATACGAAGAATGGTCAGACAAGTGGCCTTTACTATTGCAAAGGATAGCAACGTTCTACGACCAGTCGTAGGTTCTGCATACCTACTATAGAAGAAGAGGAGAATGTCAGAGAGACGAAAGACCCCGACGAAGAAACATTCGCTCCTCGATCGCCATCTAAAATCATCCTGGAATCTTGTTGTCGCCTATTAGGAAAGCCCGAACGCGTGACCTATTTCACAATGCTGACGTTGAAGTTGTCTATGATTCATGCGATCGGCGGATCTGCCGCTACGTGCGTTTTAACGTAATAAATCCAGGGGCATTTCTATAGCGTAAGAATTCGCGCATTTCCGTTGTCATCCTCGTCGCCTAAATGTGTTTGCAAAAAATAACAACCGAAAATCACTTATACATCGTGTTCGCGTACAAACGATTGTTTTCTAATGTATTTATTTTGAAAGTTTTCTTATTTTTTTTTTGTCACGAAAAAAAACTGAGAATGACATGGTAACGTTACATCGTATGGCTGCTTTCTCGATGCGGAGGCCCAGGTCAATCCAAGACACTGGTAGCCCTTCGACTCTTCTTTCTTTAATCCGATGATCGGATCAACCTTAATCAAAGCGCTGTCGTGGCTAAGCTACGGAGAAACGGGATAGATGGAAAAGATTTTAATAATGAAAAGTCATTGATACCGGAAGCAAGCAGATGAATGGGGAGAAGGAGGGGAGAGGGAGAGAGAAAAAGAGAGAGTGACACATACACACAACTTAATATGAACATGCATACAATACACACATTACATGTAGTCTTCGCGCTGCTGGCAGGCTGTTACGTTAATATTACCGATATACCTTGTTGAAGATAAAAAAAGTACGATAAGCTCTTATATTAAATATTACGAGAAGGAGAAGAAGGAAAAAAAGATTTAAAAGAAAAAACTACAAATGAAATAAATACGAAGTTGATTTACTAATTAATTGTTCCTTCCGAAGGAATGGCCATCTCTGCTAAAAGTTGATTATTGGTAGAATTATTACGACTACGATTTATTATTATTATTATTATTATTATTATTATTATTATATTAGATATTAATGTGAATAAATATGGAGAAAACAAGTTAGTGCGTTTAGAGCTTACGAAGCGGCTGGCGACGCGTCGCAAATTTTGACACGTATCGGCATCAGTCGCCACGATAGAGATTCATCCTTTCCTGCGGCTGTGCTGCCTTTTCTTTTTAATTTTTCCTGCACTTTGTCACTGTTTGCGATATCTGAGAATGCTTCGAGTCACGATGATGAGTGTCGCAATGTTTTCTGTAATTCTTTCTCATGGTATTAATAGACGGAGGCGCGCGAATATTTCACGGGTCGTCGCTTAACGACTTCCTCGTGAATTATCGGTACAGTCGCGTACAGCAATATATTGACGATAGATCGTTAGACAATGGATTGTAATAAATGAACGCGAAGAACGAAGGCGATGGAAGAGCGCGACTAAGGTTATGCAGGCGTATGTAGATATGATGGGGAGTATATATAAAGTGTAAAGAAAAACAGTCTGAACGAGGAAATAAGAAGGGAGATATAAAAATTTGATCGTACACTTGTCAGGGAAGTCTAATTAATTGTCAACGCAACGACTGCCAGAGTGGTTTCTAAAAATCGTGGGGATGGTTTTTTTTTCCTTGTTATTGCGCAAGATGATAAGAGTCAAAGAACCGTGCAGTTGTTGGGGGGATAAAATGGAAGTGGCGAGTCACAAAGTGTAATCGAAAATTTTGGAGACTGTTTGATCGGGAAAACGTAAATATTTACAATTGTAAATATCATGTAAATAGATGGCACTGGCTCTAACTGGAAGTCCGTTTAGAATTTGGCCGTAACGATTATTCACGAATACGTCGAAGCTGATGGAATTATCTTGTTTTCATTGTTCTCGGAGCGCAATTGCTTATACAGTAAATGTTAATTGACATGGAGAAGCTAAAGCGATTTCTCGTGGACGGAATGTCGGAAATGTTATTTTAATCTGTGCAGAATTTTTGTTTTTGCACGGTGATTTATTCTGTTGGCTCTTTTTCTTTTATACATTTTCTTTCTGTTTATTGCGACACCCAGTTCAGGATGCTGCGTGTGCTGAATACTCTTGCGGCGCGTAATGGATGCACGTAGCGTTTAAAAAGTGATGTAAAAATAAGAAAAATCCGCCACGAAGTACGTAGCTTTTAACATGTGGCTACAGTATTAATAACAATGATTATCCGTGCCGAGATGCGCTAATGTCTCTTTGCGTCGAGACAGATGTGTGAGATGAAAACGTAAAACAAGGAAAGAATAAAAAAAAAACAGAAAATTGTCACACCTAATATCACTGTAGATCATTAGAAAAGTATTTCCGACGGTAATCAATAATATGGCGAATGAACTGTACGCTACGTATTTTATATAGTGTATGAAACTTATCTTTTGATTTTTCTTAGTATCCGTCATGCAATTCTGTTGATTCTTTTGAGTAAAATCGAACCTTCTGTTACTTCTGGTACGGTAGAGAATGAGGAATTACTTTGTATCTTGTAAAACAATAATAATGATATAGCGTGGGTTACGTTATTAGAAAATAATTTTAGGCAACCGAAAGAAAAGTGGATATTTTCTAAAAGTCATTTTTATGAAATTTCCTCATCTCTCCTCAGGTCTTTATACTGCAATATTTAATTTCCTTTTTTAACGAGGCCCTATATACGTAATCTACTCTATTTCATATGTGCAACAAGTTTCTGTCTGTAATTTGTTGAAAGCATAGTTTTATAGTAAATAAAGAATTACTACAAAACAACGAAGAATCTTGTGCCAGGGGAATCTTCTTGACTCGAGGCGTCTGGACAGACTGAGATGAGAGTGTATTTTTGAAAACGGTAAGATTACAATATTCTTTTTCATGATCTGACTCTGTCAAAGTAAGTATTTTACAAAGTAAGAAATAGTATAGGAAAACGAAAAACTGGTCTTTAAAATGGACAATCATGGATATGAAGAAGCAGCTCGATTTATTGTAAGTGAATGACTTTTAATTTGAACGTTCAGTCGATGTTGCATGTAATTGAAAATATATTTAATTGATCTCGTAATGACAATCCTTTATATATTATAAACATTTAATTGGCAACTTAAATATAACTTTGGACAGCACGGAATTTATTTTCTTAAACCTTAACCAAAGAGGTATTTTCGTACGACTCACACCTAAACATTGCAACCTTTTACTGGGTGCGGAGGGTGGCTTTGAGCCCGTGGGTATTTTGCTACTTTAAGCAATTACCAGCCAACTTTGACTACCCGTCAGAATATTAAGAATATTCCAGTTAGTTAAAACTATCCGGAATGTTTTTAATACATTTCTGCGTGAAAGCTACTGAAACCCACCTTATCGGTAACTTGATGTTTTTTCCCCTTGCTGATTAGGAAGAAATATATTTACAAAATATCACGTGCCTTTCACGCGTTACAAATTTAAGTGTCTCAAGATGATCCATGGCATATTAGCATATGGTATAACGCTTTAAATTTCATACACTTCAATTGAACCTATTAAAATTTATTATTCACGGAGCTAGAAATTCGTTTATCGCGAAACTTTTATTCTACAAAAGTATGAATTTCTACAAGTTGAAGTCTGATCACTCCATATCGGCAACAAATATATACAATTCATGAATCATCCAAATATTAAATAAATACTCAATAACTTATTCAAGTAAATTTATGCTATGCAATGTATCAATAACTATCATTCACTGTCATAATAAATACATGCCTTTGGTATCTTATTTCGTGATTAATGTGATCGACCAGCGATACTATTAAACGAAGTACATGAGAGACAATCTCAGGGCTTCGTATCATTCAGACTAAAGGACATAAATTTGTCACCTAATTTAAGGAGTTACACAGTCTTATGCACAGCCTCATAATATGGCTAATCTTAAAAATATGCGCAAGATATACGCATTGAATTGGTAAAAACTTAGTAATCGTAATTTTTCACATGAGCACAGAATCACTTGTTTTAATCATTTTCAAAATCTCCACTTCCTTCATGATCCAAGATAATGGTGTTGTGGTTGTCTTCTGGTAGAAGAGAATCCTGACTTAAAGCAGGTACTTGCCGTGAAAATTCACTGGTTGCCCACAAAAATAAGTCCAGGGTTTGTTCAGTACACTCGGCAATAAATCTGACAAAAGGTCTTATGTCACCAGCATTTGCTATTTGTAAATTCTCGTAGTATTTGTGACGATGTTGTTTATGAATTATTACCGGAGGGTAACCAGCCTGCATCAGGATCATGTTCATCAGTAGTCGGGACGTCCTTCCGTTGCCATCGGAGAAGGGATGAATGTGCACTAATTTGTAATGTGCCAGGGCTGCGTATCTAAATTAACAATTTGGATGAACTTTATTTATTGAAACATGAATCTACTTTTTTGTAAGAGGGAGAGACAGAGTTTGGTAGTGGAATTGAACTTTGTATTTCTTACCTTACAGGATGCATTCGAATGGCACTTTCGCTGTTTAACCACGACGCAAATTCCTCCATGAGGACATGTATGTCGCTAGGTCCTGGAGGTATGTGACCGCCTACATATACTTGTGTTCGACGAAAATGTCCACTCTCCAGAGGATCGACATGTCCCAATACACGTCTGTGAATTTCTATTATGTCCTTTATAGAAATGGATCCCACTCTGAAATTGTACAGTCAAATGCAAAAATTGAAAACCTTTGCGATTCAGATTCAAGTATACAATTATTACATTAGACAATTTTGTGACACATTAAGTTATTAAAGAATTTTTTATCTTATTCGAGAATCCAGGACTGGTGATTTTTACATGTTAATGAGTGTGTGTGAAAATGAATAATATTGAAATAGTATATGAAACATTCTTAATTAACACATTAAAATATCAAGCAATTCATACCAATGACATAACAATATGCCTTGAAACTCCCAATCACATAGAATGACACTGATTAGACACAAGGGATACATGTAAATTCTGATGTTCCTTACAGCAAGAAAACTCTTAAATTATATATAATTAATAAGATCTGTACAATAAGAGAAATCAATTACAGATATAAAATTGGAACACTTGTAATGACATGAACTTCTATGCTACAGAACTGTATAAAGCGGTTAAGTATGTAGTGCGTCTATGTTGCACTGTTGTACAAAACATTAATTATACCTAATTATAAAATAATGCGTGAATTAATTTAACGTATGTTACAACTTCTGAAGACAAGTGCTTTGATCTGTTTATCATAGGGGCTTCTGAAGCTAATAAGAAGCTGTCAAGTTGAATAACAATTAGCAATTAATTAATATATCCATGTCGCGATAACACACCAGAAATATTGCTGCAGGGAACAGAGCCCATTAATAAACTTTTGAAAAATGCTCACGTTTGAAAGGTCTGTTCACTCTCAGTACCGCAGCAAGCTGTGTTATAAAAGTTCCAGTCTGGGGCGTTTGATCTAAGCAAAAGCATTAGGTACAGCATTTAGCCACGATCAAATGATTTGTTAACCTATTGCAGACAATGCAATAATACATTAAAGAAATAAACCACTTAAACTGGTTTAAATTTTTGAATTATCTTATGACTTTGGTTATACCACGAGTAAGACATACCATTCAATCGAATGCCTTAAAGAACAAAGTATACAAAAGAAAAACCGATGTAACGAACGTGCTTCGAATATCAGATGAAAAGGTTACTCATTATAAAGCATATACTGCACTAGAGTAAACATGTTGGTCCATTGACTCACCTATTTACTAATGTTGCATTAATGTATTTCATCGCTGCATCTAAACCCAGGATTTCATTGTGTTCATCTATGCTTTTTCCAGCAACAGCTGTTCTTGTTTCTACTATGGCTCTGGTTTGTGCAAGATTCATGGTGTTGCCTTCAATACCAACTGTATGATAAATATGTTGAAAGTAAGCTTCCTTTTTGACTCGTATCAATGCAATATCATTTTCTGGAATTGCAGACAGAGCATCACGCTTCTCATCTATGCGTCTTAGCATCATTTGGTCTAGTTCTTCGACAACTCGTGCTGTCCTCTGTCTATTTACTAAGGCACCTTCATGAGTTGGTTGATATGTTAAAGCACGGACATAGAACTCATCAGCTTTTATTATATCCTTCTGCATATATTCCAAAAATTCACCATAGTGATTCAACACATCTGGATGTTTTGGTGCAAGAGTGACAGCATGTTGAAATAATTTCACAGCCTTTTTTTGTTTCCCTGATAATTTCATTTCTAATGCTAAATGCAATGAGGTCAAAGCTTCTGATACCGAGGCCTTCTTAGTTGGATTAGGTGTTTGGATTTCTAAGGTTTTTAGTGCTCTATTGAGAGTATCTTCTTCATAAATATTTAAAAAACTTTCTGATGGTAATGGACTAAATACACGGCGAAGTTCATGGCCTGAAATTGAAAAATTAAATAAATTTAATAATATAAAGTTATCTTAAATTAAAATTAATACTTAAAGGAAAAACCTTTAGAAAAAGGCCTTACCTGTAAATTCAGTGGATAAGCCCCGTAAATATTGAGACGCCAATATTCCAATGACAGCAACACCAATCCCAGAGAAGAAGACCAGAAATATTCTGAGCCGATTAGGCTCCATACTCTTCACAGCATTCTTTTCACTTGTCATATGCATGGATTGTGCGAGAGCCGTGTAACTCTCGCTTCCACAAGACGGAGGCATTTTAACAGAAATTATTTAATATTTGAAATTCTCTCGCCTTCTACCTGTCGCAGGTACTCTATCTTCTTTAAGCCACATGTCACGAAGCACATGTGTTTCTGCAGCCTGTATCGCTCAGTTATGCTCAGTTACAAATCACACCTCTGATAGCTAATAAACTTTCATGTGGTTATTGCTGATTGGTCGAATGCCTAGCCCCTACTTTTGTTTAGCAATTATCACTTTTGCTCTGACTTTTATAAATTACTCAAATAAAAATTGGAGGCTCGCTTTCGAAGAATTCTTGTTAAATTGACAGAATCAGCATTAATAAAAGAATTTATTGAATTTGATAGTTTGTTGAGAATTTCGGATAAATCCTGTAAGTAACCTGTTTTAGATGACGATATATTTTTATAGTAGCTTATCGCAATACTATGTGCTGCTTGTGGAATTACTGTACCTTGAATAATAGTAGAAATAAGTCCAGTTTTTTGTATTTTCAGATTTTTCAAATTGCCAATAAATTCTTATGAATTTAACGAATAATCGAGCGAAGCGTCTGAATCACGATCTTGTATACAAATCTGGGCACTTAGGCGAAAAACGCGTAACCATAAGGTGGGTGGACACTACCGCAAGAGGCGTTAGTGTTAAGAATCACGTGGTAGCACTACGCGTGCGGAGTTATTTTTTTCTTGAATACGTACCTGCAGCTTTGTTCGTAATGTGTAATATACCGTGATTGGAATTGAAAGAAGCAAGAATGACCATAAAGTGCATCGTGCCTGCTTGAATCACAATAGTAAGAAATTGCATTTGAAAATCTCACAGGAGTTACAAATAAATTCAGTAAAAAAGTTACGACACAAGCAAAAATTGACTGTATATGTTAGTATATCTCCTGTGAAAGATTTTTCATTGGAAATTCCTACACTCAAACCGGAGAAAGTCTTTTTACAAAGAGAATTGGACCTTGTGGAACGAATTTCATATAGTGATGCAACATAAATTCAACAAGTGCAAAAGAGAAAAAATATTTATACTATTGAACTTAGCTACGAAAAAAATTCTACTTGTGCAGATATTTCACTTTTTGTACTTGTCCAGAGGTATTTTCATCAAGTTAAAAGTTTTCAGTATATACGCAATTATAGCATCATTCAATTTCCATGACTTTTAGGTGAATTGGTCCATTTAATTTTAGTTTTTTAAATCATCAATTCTTTATTTGTCTAACTTTAAAATTAGATTGTTAAATTTTATTTAATTGGCATCGCATCGGTTTTTTGTGTGTAACTTTCTTTTTGAATCGGAGATAAGAGTTGCAGTGAATTTACGGATGCACATGCGCTGTTTCAGCTGGCTTCTTCGACACTAGCGCTTGTAGGCAACATTGTCCACGTTACGGTTACGAGCTACAAGGTGGTGAGGATAGGGAAGTGCCTAGACCTGTATACAAGACCGTGCGTTATACTATTGCGGTAACATCGGCACTATATACATATGTATATGCTGGCACGCATATAATATACATATGTTGTTCTCATGTTGATTTCGTAGAATCGTGTTGCAAATCAATTTTGTTTTTGAAAAAAACAATTGTTTTGAACTTGTAAAGCATATTTATATGCATATATACGAATTATAAATTTTTAATTATATTTTCAATGGGCCTCTTAAATACAGTCTTATTAACGGCTACTAGTTGTTTTAGTAAAGTACGTTGTTCCTCTGAAAACGGCGAACATGCCTTTGAGAAGCTTAGAATGAACTTTCCATAACTTTTATCTCGACAGAAATCAAGTGACTTTTCAAATAACAATTTAAGTAGTTTGTCTTTTGAATTGTCATCTATGTTACGAGTCAGTAACTTCTGTAGTATTAAAATGTGCCATGATTTCAGTTCTTTTACATGAGTGATAAATTCCCTGCAAAATTAAAATAAAGTTTTACAGATTACTGAGGTTGAGTCATTTGCCTGAACCACAATGCAGTTTGAATATTTTAGGAGATTCAGAGTATACATACAAAAAGAGCACGTGTTGTTTTTGACTGTCAAAACCATTTATAATTGCAAGAATCGCTGTGGAATCTTTTAAATCAGCATTAAGCATTGGCACAAATATCAGTTTTTGCATATCTTCAGGAAATTTATCAATACATTCCCCAATGGCTGATACAATTAATCTAGATGGTTCCTTCAGATCAATCAACTGCATAAAACAAAATTGAAATTGAAAAATTATAATGTTCATAATGTTTGGGTATGTTCCATTATTATACTGTTAGAAAATTATATAATTTTTTATCTTTTTTCTTACCTTTGGCAAAAGTAAATGTGTACATATCACATTTGCATATTTCATTCTTTGATCAATCTCAGTATCACAAATGGATTGACAAAGATAATAAGTCCCCTTTATACTTAATTTGTCTCCCAAACTTTGTACAACATCCAAAACTTCATTATCAGACAATTGATCCATACATAAAATATTACATTTCTTATTACTGTGCTCCAAGTCTTCATAAAAAGTGTCTAAAACATATGATTTCTGAGATTCAACATGTGTGCCTTTAAGATTATCTGTTCCTTCTGATTGTGTCAAAAAGAATTGCGTGGCAAGAAATTGCATTGATCCAGCAACAGTATTTTTCTCATCAACTAAATTGTCTTCATCGCTACTACCGTTTTCACTACTTTGTGCATCTTCATCCTGGTGCTAACAATCAAAAAGAAATACTCTATAAATATTTACGAGTTTAATAACGAAAATGCTACAAGACAAATTGTTAACAAACATTAGATTGATATATAAAAACCAAGTACATTTGAATATTATTGTTCTTTTATTGATTTTCAAATATTTAACGCTGGAATATTTAAAAATATATAAAGATGAAAAATGTTAATTACGTTAACCGTTAAACACCATCTAACCTTGCCACCTATAATCAACCACGCAGGATTCGCCTGAAAACGAGTATCACCTGTTAACCGGCCTCCTATACTTCCCAGCTTGCTTAAAGTATCATTCGATAAATGATACGACTGAAAATAACTTTTTCCATTCATAATCGAACCTATAAATTAGAAAACCTCTTCAAAAATAGACTCCCAACCAAGAAACGCGCCAAACATTCACGCTCCAGCACGCTCAGCTGTCACGCTGACGTTTACCGTACAAAAAAAAAGTTAAAAACTGACTCAATCGATAAAGGTCCCCTCACATTGTTGTGACACAAACCTATTCAAACTGATCCAAACTGATCGTGACGCAAACCTAAATGCATCGCACCACTGAAATGAAATTCACTGAATGATTATTTTCCTAAAATGCCAATGTATCGAAAAACATACCGATGCATATCATATCATGCCGGTGCATATCTTAACATATGTTCAATGCATCATTAAAATTGGATTTTAGTACTAAATATAAGGTGTGGGGGCAGTGCAAAACGTGGGTATATCCTTAACGCAAGTGTCGACAACCTGACCCCCCGCCCTGGTGGGTTCGCTGTAACTCTACGGCGGTATTTTCTAACCTACGGATAACTAATCACATTTGACGTGATCTTTAAGCATATGCTGCCATCGTAATGGTTTTGCTAGAAAATGATATGGTAATTTTGTATAAAAATAGTATAGAACAATTGTATGGTTACTGATTTTCACTAAATTTTAGTTTTTAGTGGAGCTTACGCGGCTGTTTGACAAATCACGGTTATCTGGTTCTGTGACCCTTACTATAAAAAGATGTAAGTAGACTCTGTTTTCGTTTTTAAGATATACATAATGAAGAATATAATATTAGAAATTTGTATGAACCATTTAGTTGATGGGCACAACAAACCAGAACCTCGTGAAGGCAGGCCACGTTTACCAGCACCATCAGAATACCTCTGCTTAGTACGTGCTTCATTGCGCTCTAAGAAAATTGCTACAGTTGTACGTATGAAATTACTTTCTCAATTCAATATTGCGATGTAAGAGAGTAACACCTTCTAAATGAGTCATGCATGTTTTTGCTCAACATAATAATATGTGATTAAAAGTGTCATAAGATGAGAATGTTTTTTGGACATTATTAACTTTCTATTTACATTATAGATTCATTCCAAGGATGTAAATAAGTTCCAGCAAGCATATTGGAATTTACTTAAAGCAAATATAAATGGACTTAGGAAATTAAAGAAAGTTAAATCAGCGAAACCAAAGGCACATTGACATCCTTAGGCCATTTGATGAAATACTTCTGACATAATTATTGTGCGCAGGTCCCAATCATCTTTTATACCATATACTGTATAATTGTCTATATTATGTACAAGCGATATAAGGTGCATAGGTAATAAAACACATTTTATGTAGATATGAGTGTATAAGGTTATCTCCAGTTAAAATATACTCACTTTATTTATTCTCACGTAAATAGAAATAGAAAGTTACACCGACATTATAGGATTATTCAACTTATTCAAAGATATAGCGGCTATCTGATATAAAATATTACAAGTTTTAAATCAAGCATACAATACTCAAATCCAGATTAGCGTTTGTCGAATGTCAGCAATCCAAAGACAGGGCATAGTGTTGTCCATTCTGATCCCATCACGCCGTTATCCCTTAATAAACATTCATTCGCACAGTTCAGGAGGACTTCTCCCTAAATTTCAAGAAGTGTTTACTTTATACAAAAATTGTACTGGTATCAAGGATAAAAATATAATAGATATATTCAGGAAATTCTTCGATACCTTAAAGCAATAATCGCAACTGAATAAGCATTCATCCACAGGGTCCAAGGGTTGCGCATGCGTCCAATATAAAAGGGCAATCATCATTAAGACACTTAATAGATGAATACCTTCAAAAGAATAAAAATACAAATACTGTGAAACAATTCTGACAGTTTATGACTGTTGCTTATGCATTATGAAAATAATTTGTCAGCTAAGCGACAATACTTACCTTTAGCTTGCATCATGGCTAGACTTGAAGCTAAATATCTTTGATAACAAATTATTGTAGCACCCTGTTAGTAATGACATACTTGCTAACAATGTAGCCAGTTTATATACTGTTAGACTAATACCCCATAAACCCTCAATGAAGTTTATACTGACCATAGGGGTACAGTAAGGACAAAATTTCAAAACGTTAATCCATTCTCAATTGTATCTTACATCTCTTTACTTTTTCACATAAATAATTCCTCTAAAGTAAATATAAAATATCCCATTGAAGTATTTTATTATCAATACAAATTTACTACGTTCTAAGTACAAATATCTTAGTAATAAATTTGTACAACATTTTGTTTTTGCCGATACATGCGACATAGATACAAAGATCCATTGACCACCCTATGATTTACTACTGTTAATATCGTCATACCGTGAAAATAAAATATTAATCTATCCGCCAAGCATTAAACCCTTGTTTTTTACGAATTTTCTATTATGCTTGCTAATAGTATCTTAATAATCTTAATAATGTAAGGTGAATATGTTCCTATCAGCCTACATATATTACAATAATTCATATTAGTTAAAATGTAAATTCAAATTTCCTTAGACTCGTCCGTTCGGTCATGAATAATTCCATGTTTAAACCCTATCAGCAAGTTACAATAAAACAGAGCTAAATTAAACGACGAATAAAATCAAAGTTCTGCCTAATAAGTATTGCAGAATTTAAGTATGAAATTAAAAAAAAAACAATTAAAATATTCACGTGTTGCCAAAATGGTTTCCTGTTATCAGGTGTGCTTTTCTCACGACTGACGTTAATGGCAGCTACACTTAACAGCTCAAACATTGCAATTTTACCATAAGATTAGAAAAAGTTGTAGTAATTTTTCAAATGCACCAATTACAAACATATTACTTACCAAAAATGCGTATCGGCCTCAAACGTTAACGAGTCCTGTGAGAAAGAGGAAAAAAAATGTTTCGAAGATTTGTAAAGAATCAAATGCATGGGTTTGCTGTATGAACGTGACATAAGAAGACGTATGACGATGATGAGCATTAAAAGAAATAAATGAATTCCTGGCGTTTATTGGCACGTGAAGCGGATATCGTGAGGATATTGTCCTCATGTGGATTTGAGTTCATTGAAAAATAACTAAGATTTATGGTCTGTGCAAATTTGTCATATAAATTTTAGGTGAATAATTTCGGTGAAATTCTTCTAAATTTTTGTTGAAGTTCTCAAAATTTTGAGTGCTAAAGTAATGCAGAATCGTGCATTGTGTTACCAGAATAACTTATTATTCAATGAGAATATCATATAATATTTTGCATATACGTTGTACAGAGATTACTTATCAGAAAATACTACTCATTGCTTGTCGACAGGTCTTTTCTTACGGGTGATAACAGTCATAAGGTCTCTGAAATTAGGCTTGATTAGGCTAAGGTTTAAGCTTCTTGGCTTGGAAGTAGTGTTTGACAGACAGGATTGATCTGAGAAGAAAAATACGCGTCAGAAACAAGACACCCTTTAAAATGTTGCAAGATACGAATATATTGTGTGGACCCAAAGAAACTTATCAGATTCACAAAGCATCATGTCTTGGAGAATTGTTGCTGAACCAACTTGCTATACATGGTAAACGTGTTGCTCAGGTACTAATTATAAAAAATTTGTAATTTGAAAATTACTGTGTAATTATAAGTTAATTTGTTATAAGCATGTGCATCTCACATAGATAAAGTCATATAAAGTTTATGTAGATATGGGTGAGGAATGGGAAAGACAATTTTCTGAATGGTTGACACTAATTTTTTTAATTGTCTTATTACAGGTGGATGCGGATAGTGGGATGGAACAAAGTTTTGAACAAATTTTAAATGCAAGCCGGAAATTGGCTATTTATTTAAATAACTGTGGCCTCATACAAGGGGATTGTATTACTGTTTGTGGAGAAAATAGTCTGAACTTTTGTATTCCAGTACTTACTGCAATTTATCTTGGTGTTACTACTGCTCCGTTAAATCCTCTGTATTCAGACAGAGAATTTTTGCATGCTCTTAATATTTCAAAGCCAAAATACATTTTTGTTTCTCCACTAGTGGCTGAACGGATGAAGGGAGTAGCAATAAATCTTTCCTGGTCACCCAAGCTCATACTTTTAACCGATTTTCCTGATATCAATTTACCTAGTATGAGCCAATTGATATCAAGTATTCCTGATTCAAATTTGAATAGATTTAGAGTTCAAAAGGTGAACATTGAAACACATGTTGTAGTAATTTTATGCTCAAGTGGAACAACTGGTCTTCCAAAGGGTGTAATGTTAACAGATAAAAACATAATTACAGTTATTAATCACTTATCTGATCCTTCCTTTGGATCACTAACTAAAAATGTTATCACTTTGGGTTTATTACCATTTTTCCATGCATATTCCTTTATTACAATGATTGTTAAACTTGCAATTGGTGTAAAGACAATTGTATTGTCGCGATTTGAGGATGAGAATTTTTTAGAGGCCATACAAAAATACAAGATTCAACATTTATCGGTAGTACCTCCACTTATGGTATTCCTGGCGAAACATCCTTTGATCGATAGATATGACCTGTCCAGCGTCAAGCATATTTGGTATGTTTAGGTACAACTAAAAAAGCACCGATAGTAGCGTGACTATTCATATAATACTTATTATAGGTGTGGAGCAGCACCTTTATCTAAAGAAATTCAGACTGCGGTAATGAAAAGATTAAATGTGTCTAAAATCAGACAGGGCTATGGTCTTACAGAGACCACATTGGCAGTAATAATATCACCAGAAAATAATAAGCCTGGTAGCATTGGTACACTAGCTCCAGGAGTTCAAGGTAAATTTTTTATAAGCAGGAACTCTACTACTTTTTGCATGACATAATATATAAACTTATACTATTGAATGATACAGCAAAGGTCATTTCAATTGGAGAAAATGAACCAGTAGTAAATTTGGGTCCAAATCGCCAAGGAGAGTTATGTTTTAAGGGTGACGTAATAATGAAGGGCTACTGCGGAGACATATCTTCGACAGATGCAACTATTGACAAGAATGGTTGGCTCCATACAGGAGACGTAGGCTATTATGACAATGACGGTTATTTCTACATAGTCGATCGGCTAAAAGAACTGATTAAGTATAAGGGGTTTCAAGTTCCACCAGCGGAATTGGAAGCAATTTTATTAACGCATCCTAGGATTAAGGACGCTGCAGTGATTGGAGTTCCAAACGAAGAGGCTGGTGAGTTGCCGCTGGCCTTTGTTGTTAAGCAAGTTGGATCAGAAGTTAAAGCTGAGGAAATTATTCAATACGTCAATGGTAAGTTGTAAAAAATCGAGCTGTATAAATGGATTAAACATATTTTAAAAAATTCCTTTTAGAACGTGTTTCTGTCCAAAAGCGTCTTCGAGGAGGTGTAAGGTTTTTGGACAATATTCCCAAGACAGCTTCCGGAAAGATATTACGACGGGAATTACGTAATATTCTTAAATCAAAATTGTAAATTCAAACGTAGAAAGAAATTGATTCTGTAAACTATCATTTATCGGGAAATAATATTTATTAATACAGTCGAGACAAATAAAGTGAATCAGTCATATTGCTATTTTCTGTCAGCTCGCCTTTTTTTTAAATATATAGTAAATGAACAATGTATCAACATAAATGCAATACTTATAAAATGCATAATATTTGAGAAATACTTAACAAATTTTTAATTTACTTACGTCAAAGTTCCCATTCCTTGGATTATATTCTTTGCTATATTCCAGCTTTTAATAAGCTGCAATATGTGTTAAAATTGTATATTCAATTTCACATATATAATTGGTGTTGATTGGAACATATGAACAAGAATTATTGTAGCTTTTGCTTGATTTCGTTTGGAATGCGCGAAAGATACCACTGATGTTCCTGACCTGGTGCAGTGGCCAGGACACCAGTTTTGTTAGGAAGACTCGTCTCCGCATTGTACGGATAATGCTCTCCATGCAAGTTTGTTAAAGTACCACCGACAGCATGCAAAATAGCCTCTGGTGCACATGTATCCCACCTTTTGCAGCCTCCACTCGCGAATACATAAGCATGAGCCTTACCTTCTAGAAGAAGCATCACCTACGAATATGAATAGAAATTATAAAGAATGTAGGTACAATGCAATAAATTAAACAAAAACTATAAAATTTGAAATGCACACCTTATGTCCTGCACCGCCCACTCGCAAAATTTCATCAGGTTCCATAGCATCCAAGGCTGCCTGTACAGTGGCATTCGAGTGGGAACTATAATAGATAATGGCATTCTCAAAAATACTATTTCTTTGCGTGGAAGTAATTTAAAAACTTTATTGCAAATTATACCGAGTTGTTGTTATGATTCTCTTTCCTTCAGGAGGAGGAATTGGTTTGAAACCACCATATCCAACTCCCTCGATTCCCCATAAGGTTCTGCCTAACGTGCCAGTTTCTTTGTTGTTATAATAAGGCTGATGGATTATGCCCCCGATTGCTCTTTCACCCAATGCTACACCCACGAGTACCGTAACATGTTCAACAAGACCCTGAGTATATTCCGATGTGCCTGTAAATTTAATAAATTAAGGTACAGATATAAGTATATGAAGGGAAGATTAAATTTGTTATGAAAATAATAGATCATATTACCATCTAAAGGATCAACCCAGACACAGAGATCCTTGGCATTGATGTTTTCCAGGTGCTCTGGTAATTTTAGTTTTAGAATTTCTTGATCCATGTCTGTGACTATCCAGTCAGAAGGTACTTCACAATTTGAGGGTTCTTCCTCACCAATGATTGTCACAGTTGGAAACTGACAATTCAACGAAGCTACGATACAACGCTGTGCAGAACGATCAGCTTCAGTTTGCAAATCATTCTTGCCTTTCTCGACAATATTCAAGTTCCCATGACTCATAATATCTCGAATAATTTTGCCAGCAAAAGTAGCACATTTTACTGATGAAGCCACTAAGCGTATAAGTAATGGAGCACTTTGAGCCATGTTATAGAAGTACTTTGAAAATTAATCCAATTTTCAATGTTGAATAAATCAAAATATTCAGCACAGTAAAGAATCTGGAACAGTAAACCTCGATAGTCAGACAATAACTATTTTACATTGTACATATAATACACAGGCATATTGTGAAACTATTCAATAAAAACTATTAGTGAAAAAATTAGAAACCTTTTGCTCAAGGTAAGAATACTTTTACTAGACATAAGCCATTAAAAACCTTGTTGAAGGCATTCAATACTTTGTCCTAAATTTAAACAAGAAGTAATTTCAAATGTCTTGGATTATTAAAATTAAATGAAAGGACAATGGTAAAGTTATTAATATTAATAATTACACGTAAATAATAACAGAACATAATTAAACAGTTAATTATAATGAATTATACGTATACCTGTTATACAATGTTTTTCAAATTAGAATACCGTGTATGATATAGAATTAGATAAATTAATACACACTGGTATCAGTAAACTACTAATCAAGCTATATTATAAGTTCTTATTAGTTATCTAAGAGGATATTTGTAAATAATATATATCTAGATGTCCTCAAAACAAGATCGGTAAGTGAGGTCGCGAGTGTACCAGCTGGAATGAAAAGTGAGTGGCAGAAGTGAGGAAGTGGTGCCTTTAGCAATATTGAAAAAGGTGAGAAGGCCAAGATGGACGCGACGCGTCGTGACGTCGTTCGACGCCGATAATCGTCAGTCCCCTCTCTTCTCAACCACTAAAGGAAGCGCGCCGTTATTTCATGAAACTCTCATGCCGTCTCCTAACGAGGAAAACGTCAGAAGAAGAAACGACATCGAGCGAAGGAGCTTGTACGAACATTGAAGATCCTACTAATGGCGGCCTTCCGTGCGAGAACCAACACGAGCCACGACATCGGCGCAATCTATTTCGATTTGGACAACACCCTCATCGAGACCAGAAAGGGAGACAGTCTCGCCTGCAGAAAGGTACTCGAGATACGCTAGATATAATTACGGATTTTAGCTTCCCTTTCCATATAGGTTAGCCTAGCGCGAATCATTTGAGCCACCTTGAAAGAAGGTTGCTCGAAGGGCGCGAGAGGTCACGCGCGTCAGCAGACGACGCAATCGACAGACGAAATAACCTACGTAGTAGAATTATGTTTCTGAGACACGTTTGATACGAGAGCGCGTGGTCGTGAGTTTTCCTTCTCTTTTTATATATATATATATATACTGATTGGAAACTCTGCTGTGGGATCCTCTTGCCGTTGGAGTCTCTCGTTGATTATCCCGCGTTTACACTCGATCGCTTTATTCACGGGACGCCAAGAATAGAAGCGCGTGTAACGCGAGCCGATTCCCAATATAGTGCTTTCTCGACTCCGACTATTTTCGGCCAACTACACGAGCAACGTGTTTCTCCTCGTTTCCTTGGCGTTCTATGCTTTATGCTGAGAGATCTGCTGCCTGTGGAATACAACGTTTCTGGAAGTTATTTCGCACTTGGAATTTCCCAGTGTCTTAACCGGTTCTTGGAACTTCGCTGTGAATACTTGGGATTTACGTGATTTAAAACATTAAATATGTTTGCTATGTTGAAATTATGAATAATCAGAGTATTTTCTGTCCTATGTATGAAAAGACTTTTGTAGAATCTATCAATGCTTTTCCTGTATCGAAGAAATTGTGATAGGCTTAAATAGTAATGTTGGTACGACACTAACGCTGGTGTTGAGAAAAATAAACAACTGAGAGATGTTGTTTACTTAAAACCACTTTGCAAAGCTGGGAAATTTCTTTATTGTATGTCTTTTGTATCAGAAGTGCATTAACGAAGAAAAAAAGCAGATGTATGATAGCGTTGGAAGGGCTTTACCAGCATTTTGACTCATTTCATCCATTCAGCTATCTAGCACTAAGAGGATACACATTACTTGGGTGCGCAGTGCTTCACTGTGTCTGAAGTTATTTTTGTACTTCTGAGAGAGTGTGTCAAAGGGCAAGGCTAGTACAGAGCAGTCTGCTTTGGGAGGAATGCCAGTTGGCTTTGAGCAGCGGTGTGTGCAAGGCATACCATTGAATGAAATATCACTAAGTATTGTGTATTTCTGTCGATTGCATTAATTTAAAACTTAATCAGCAAGAATCAGTTTCCTCAGCAAGAGCAAGTTTAAAGTTTGTAAAGAAGAAAGTGTAATACTGATTGAACTTTGTTAACGTTTTTTACCTGCATATTGAAACTATCACAATGAGTATACCAGAGGGAGTGAAGAAATGTGTTGCCATTTTAAAAATGGTAAGCAGCGATTCAGAAAAATTTGCTGCTTTATTTATGGTTACAAAATTGGTTGATGGAAAAGATTGTACCCCAGCTGCAAAGAAACTACTTTTCGAAGCAATTGGTGCTAAGTTTCTGAGAAAACTTCTGTCCAATGATGACGTTCCTGTGGATTGTCCACCTCAAGTTTATAAATCAGTGGCGCTATCAATTTTATCAGCTTTTTGTGGGGATCCCGAATTGGCCGCTCATCCAGACATGGTCGGACACGTACCTGCACTCCTTGAAATTGTTTCGCAAGTTGATGAAGATGCTCCTGATGATATGCTAATCATCGTGAGCGAGGCTTACACCTGTTTGCAAAATATTGCGCAATATCCACCAGGACAAAAAGCTTTATTGGAGCAAAAGGCAATTCCTAAAATGTGTGAAATTTACTCAGAAATGAGTTTCCAGACCGATGAGGCCCTGAACATTTTGGTAACTCTTGTAGGAAGGTTTGGTCCTGATGCTTGGGACGCCACAGACACTGCACCTTTCCATGCCATCATAAACAAAATTGCCCTGGACTTTGAGACGGATCATACAGAGAGAAAATTTGAGCTTTGCTCAATTCTGCAGGCTCTTTTATTTTCCTGTAGAAGAGACGCTATTTCCTCAACGGCAAAGGAGGAATCCTGGCCACAAAGTATTTACAAAGCTTTGAATGATATTCTTGGTTCAAAAATTGGAAAGAACCAACGAGATCCTGCACTCAAACTTGCATCTGTCATGTTGGATATTCTTGGAGTTGAGTGGGCTTTAGCCGATGAAGAGAAACCAAAGGTATTTTTCCTCTTGCTGATACAATTAGCTTCCATAGAAGTCAGAATGCAACTTGAGGGAAAGCAGCTGAAAACTGTGATGGGAAATGCCGAGCTAGTAACAGCATGCTTTATAATCTTGGAAATATCACTTTCATACATCACCACTGATCAACTGGATCTGGAGCAGAAGGAGAAGCAGTCTCTGTACACTGCGTTGAAGGGTGCATTTGCTGCTGTGATTGGACTTCTCACATCTGTATCTAAAATGAAGGAATTGACTGACATTAAGGAACGTATTTTTGTGTGCGCAATGGTTCGCGTTCTTGCTGCCTGGTTGGCTCAGGAAACGTCTGCCATGAGACCTCAAGTATATGCAGTCCTACCATTTATGTTAACTGTAGCTAACGATACGTTCTACGCCTGTCGCAATAGAAAGCTTGCTGAAAAAGCTAGGGCAGCAGCTAAACCTGGAGAAGGTTCATCGTCTGACGAACCTGTAACTCACGATCCCCTGAGTCAAATCGATGTCCTGAGATTGTTGCTACCGGCTCTTTGCTATTTAGCTGTCGAAGAAGACGCAAGAAAAATTCTACTGAAGCATAAGCAGGATGAAGTTCTTTTCGAATGTTTCTCCTATCACTGGACTATTGTTCATTATAAGAAACCACCTGTACCGAGATCAGAACGTCTCAAGGCATTAAAAGAACCGGAAAAGGAACTGGAGCCACATGTCCTGGATGAAATGAAGGATTCAAGGGCTGCTATGGTCTCCATTTGCAACGTACTGATGAACATCACCGTCTTGGAATCTAAATTAGTCGAGGAATCACCCACGTTCATTTCTCTCCTAAAATTCATTTTCAACAATCTTCCAGAACTCAAGCAGATTCCTGAGAATCTAGTGCTTCACGGACACCTGGCTGTTCTTGGTCTCCTATTATTGAAGCAGCAAGCTAAACGCGTAAAGAAGAATGATTTTTCAATCTGCCGTTATATTCAAGCAACAATAAGGTTCCTCTGGGATGCTTACATCATCGATGAGAGCAACGACCCTACCGTGTTAGTCGTCGCCATGGCCTATAAGGAACACTGGATGGAGATCATGGAACTCTGGTTTCTCGGGATGCAGACGATGGCAGGAGTTCTGCAGATGGTACCTTGGCTATCGGAATTCGCTATCGAATCCGGCTGGGCTGAAGGAATCATAGAGTCTCTTAAGAAAGTCAAAGTGGGCAGTCTACAGCCTAACGTGAAGTCAGCCTTTGAAGATTTGCTTTGCCACTTGGTGAAGGCTGATGAAAGCGTCGCTGGAGTCTTGAAGAAGTGCGGTGCCCTGGCCGTTTGCAGGAATCATCGTATGATGGAATTGGGAAAGCATCTCTTTGGTGATTAAAGCAAATCGCGCGTTGTGATTGTCCACAGTTTTCAATAATGTAAAATACAATCCTTTTTGTTACACGTAATTAAGAGAAAGAAAGAGAGAGAGAGAGTGAGAGAGAGAAAGAGACATGTCAAATAGAGTGCTTTTTGTACAATCGCAATCGTCAAAAATAACAGATACGATATATATTTATCTTCAATTGCATACACTATCAAATTAGAATGAACGCCCTATTGTATCAGACTTTATTTAAAGGTTTTTTATTTATAAAATCAAAAGTGTTATTATCTACTCGGGCGCGTGTTAACTCTAATGTCTTTACTAAATCACATACAGGTATGACTATAATTCGAAGCGTTCAAGCTACGTTCCATCCAACTGCAGAAGTCCTGAAGAGAAGTCAAGTTGGACGCGTTTCAGATTTACTGCGAGTATAACGTACGTCAGGCATTGCACTGGCCCGACGTATATTTAGACAGTGTCACTCCTGAAAATAGTCGCCTGCTGGTGGAAACTTTGAAATATTATTTACTATCTACAAGGATAACGGATCTTAGCCCACCGTCTCTGATTCCACGTTTATATATAGCGTTCTACTTAGATTTCACTTCATTATGCAGCTGTGCTTCGATCTCATGAAATTGGCAATTGCCGACTGGCTGACGCGGCCATTTTTCTTTGTCCGTTGCCGCTAGTGAACGACGCTAGTCAACTATAAATATATAGAACTTATGTAAAATCGAGGACAGCGTGGGAAGCCGTTTCCTTTACGATGGAAATTTTCTCTAACATTATCTTTCTGGTTTTTCTTTTCCATTTCACACATATTTTCAACTTTTTTTTTATTCCTTTGCCCAGTTCTCATCGACTGGCCGCCATCTTAGCATCGAAGTTTTGTTTCTGATGATTTCGCGGTTTTATATTTCTTGTGTGAGAGACTGACGCCTTTGCGGCTGTGTTATTCCTCTTATAAATTGATCGAATGCGATTACGATTAATTAGACAGACGATAATTCTTTATTATCCGTTTACTCTCCTTTACTATGATCAATTATTCGTGCTATACGTATAATAATGTATTAATCTTAAGCGGGGCGTTCTTCTATTGTGAAAAAAGGTAACATAGCTGTCTCGCTTTGCTGTTATGAATTTGTATTTGAAAGGAGATTTTTCAATTAAACACAAGAATAATTTTCTAACGTGATCTTTCATTTATTTTCTCATTTCATTTTATTCTTCCATCCCTTTCTTAATGACACAGTGAAAGTCAATTTAATCAGTCGGTCAGCGCGTGGATATCATCACTGACGTGTCTGATTTAATGACAAATGTCTGTGAATGATTACTGGACAGTGGCGAGACTACGTACGAGAATCACAAATTGTTATCACGAGAGTTGTTAGATAATCAGTCTGTTTTCTTCTAGGATAAAAATCATCGTAGAAAATACAACGTAGCAAGTCACTATAAACAGATAAAGAATCCTACAATTCCCTCATATAATGTCCAGGAATCTTCACGTTAGAACTTTTAGGGTTTGGAGTACCATATAAGTCCGTTGTTGGCACAACTGATTTTGTTGTGATTACAGCAGCGTCCGTGGATGCCACTTCAAGTGACCAATAATCGGCTCGAGTATTTCAATGAATCAATGCATTTTCTAGGTAATCATTAATATGAATTAAGTGTCCTAACTGACCAGTTATGTCCTTTATATCCTGACATCGCGCTTAAGTTAAGTCGTATGCCACATTCGATAAGATAACCTCTAAACGCGAGCTGTCATTAAATTTCAATTATTGTCTCCGTCTGAAAAATTATCAAATAAATGCAGAGCACCATTCCATGTGCATGATACAGAATATAAATAGCTCAGTGTTTTCGTTGTCTCTTGCCTTCTTACAGAATATAAATATTTTTTTCCGATTAAAGTTTCTAGAAATTCTCTCGAATGTGGCGGACTGCTTTTATTCTCTCTTTAGTCATTCCTGTTACTGATTTTCTCACCGCAATGCTTCCTCAAAGTCCGCCGGTAACGGGACTTACAAAAAATGGCTAAATGTTTCACGTGTATTTTTCTTTTTGTTTAAACGATAACCGTCAGCTTTCGGAGGAATTAACACAGCAGTATGGAATACCCCAAGAAGCATCTTCAAAGATTACGACAACTTATCTGAAGCAATTTCGCAAGTGTCCAGACAACGCGAGCTACACTCTGGACGTATGGAGGACTTCCCTCTGGAGCAAAGCCTTCGGCGACAAGTACTCCTACCTAGCTAAAAAGATTTACGAGAGATGGCTGTATTTAAGATACCGTTATCTGGCGCTGGCGCCGGACACAGTTTCCATGCTGCGACAACTCAGAAAGAAGTACGCCTTGGGTCTCATTACCAATGGGCCCTCCAATGCCCAGTGGGAGAAAGTACGTAAATTATCCTTGGAGCAGTACTTTGACGTAATATTGGTATCCGGTGATCTACCTTGGGAGAAACCAGAAGCTAGGATATTCGAGGAAGCCTGCAAATGTCTCGGAGTCAGAGCAGAAAATTGCATCATGATAGGTGACAAGCTGGAGACCGATATTATAGGTAATTTCAATATGTTAAATATCCTCAGTTTTTTATATCATTGATTCTTCGTTCAATGGGCTTTTATTTTTGTATCTTTCTAAAATACTAATGTTTTCATTGACACACTCTAATAACATTTCTCTAACGTATCACAGGTGGAATCGAAGCAGGATTAGCTGGTACAGTGTGGATACCGACTGTTGAGAAACCACGTTTATCGGCCGATGATCCAAAGCCAAATTTCACGATAATACATATAACAGATCTGTTGAACATATTAAATCGAGGTCCAGGTGCACCGGAACTAGAAGACTCCTCCTCGAATGCATCAGACGGTAGTTGATGAGAAGGTAGAAGAGAATACTCGCCGACCGATCTTGATCTCTGTAGAAGAATACAATTAGATCACCCCTTGCAGAAATTAATATCAATCGGTAATTATTCTTCGCCAATGTAATTGGAGCATTAGAAACATTTTTAATTAGAATCTACCCTTTTTAATCTTATCCACCCTTAAGAATTTCACGTTACACGCGTAGTACATTCCGTTTCATAAAACTACGTCGTATCGTACAAAAACTGTAATATCTCGTAACGGGTCAATATTTTTCACAAGCGATTGGTATTTAAGGATTATGTTAGATAGTGGCTTGAGGAGGGAAAACGAAAAATAATAAGAATAAGATACATCAATGAGTAACAAATTGCGTCTGATACAGAATTATAAAAAAACACGTCAAGCGTCAAGAGAAGACGGTTAAATAATCGATGTACGAACGAAATATTTTTGTTCATTGAAAGTCACCAGCTTTTACGTAAATTTTACTTAATGAACTAAGAAAAAATGATAGTGGAACATTGCCATAGTAGCAATAATCAACTAGATCCATGGAAAACCTGTAGTTGTTAAGTATTAAGACTTCGCTACCTGTACAATGGCAGTTATAGGCTTACAATCGGTTTGTAGACTGGAATAATTAGACTGCCGCTAGACGTATATATATATATATATATATATATACACGAATATATCGGGTGTGCAATAAATATGTACGTGCACCTGTAGAACGATCTTTTCGATTATGCGATCGTAGACAAACATTTTTTAATATATTTCCCCGGACACTACTAATAGTTCATTCGGATCGCTAATCTGATTACACGAATATATCGGGTGTGCAATAAGCTACCTGTACAATGGCAGTTATAGGCTTACAATCGGTTTGTAGACTGGAATAATTAGACTGCCGCTAGACGTATATATATATATATATATATACACGAATATATCGGGTGTGCAATAAATATGTACGTGCACCTGTAGAACGATCTTTTCGATTATGCGATCGTAGACAAACATTTTTTAATATATTTCCCCGGACACTACTAATAGTTCATTCGGATCGCTAATCTGATACTTTAAGATACCTCGAACGGCAAGATATATAATTCTAGCTTATTGTCAAAGTATAATTAGTTTAATTGTTACGTCACCTAGATTTGGTAATACGAAAAGCCGGGTATACCGATAGCCTAAGCAGAAGAGAAATATTTTTTTGGTGAAGCTAAGAACTAAGAGAATGTTGGACGTAGTTAAGTACCTCTTGAAAATCCCACTACAGTGATAGTCACGTAATTTTCATAAGACATTGTTTATTTTTTTTTGTTTAATGCAACTTATTCCTAATTTTTATAATGTAATACGCTGTTACATCCTTACTGTTGATTGACCATGAACTTATGATGGGTTAATCATATTCGCCCCCCCCCCCTCCGCCCAAGCACACTTGCAAAAAAGAAGTAACGTATGTACAAAGTTAAAGTGCATAAAAGAACAAAAGCTTAATACAAAACTATTATCAAAGAGCTGAACTGATGTAAGACAGGGAGAAAGATAAAAGAAATAACCTGAAGATACATAATACTATATATTTCTTGGTGCAGTTAATGTATGCTACCTTACAATTAGTCCAAAAGTTTCTGCACTGTATTTTCTGTATGATATACAACGGCTAACTGTATTGTACAGATATATATAAATATATGTATATATATCTATATATTTGGATTATGTACAGTTGCGTATGTGTACTGGCTATACATATTACATGTGTTGATATATTATATTTTTTCACTATATATTTTATTATTGTTGATAGTTCACATATATGTGAGCAGCTCTTGCATATGAAGCCTGAAGATAACCTTGAAAATAATGCATACGTCTATCGGTTAAGATCTTTTTGTCTATTTGTGAATAAAAATCCCTGATATCGTAATATTGTCACTTTTATTCTCTTTTTTCTCTATGTTCTGTATCTTCGTCTTCTATTTCATCTTCGTGCGACGACGAGTCCGACTTTAAGGTTGAGTTTGTATATCTTTTCATATACAAATTTTTAGCTGATGTTGACGCCCACAGAACGTCCGAACTGGTGGAGTAACGTCGTACGTTTCCTGGGACATCATCTTCATTAGATTTTTGTGTTTCCGAAGTTTCGAGAGCGAGCGCGGAGTCCTTTTTTGTTTGTGATAATTTTTTTTGGTCAGAGACACCTGGCTTGGTGTCGGATTCTTTGTTTTGTTCGGGCAGATTTATGAATTTTGGATATTCTGTCCAATCACTGTCGGAATGGCGGTCTCTCAAGTTTTTAGAATTTTTAGACAAAACCTGGGCAGCAGTTTGTAACTTTAGAGGATCTTTGAGGCTCGACTTTTTTGGAAGCTTTGCTGGTGATATTGTTACATCAGAGTCTGGATTTTCGATAATTGGGGTCATGGTGATTGGCTTTGTTCTTTTCCATGGATTTTTTATTTTTTTAAAGCAATTGCTGCAATCCTATAGTTTAAATCAATTGGAGTGTTGAGGTTTTAAGGTTATTTTATTTTATTTGAAAATCTACCTCGCTACTACTTGGACTTTCTTCTTTCATGTTGCGTGTTAATGCTTCTATACTACTTGTGGATTCTTGGACAAGAAATTTATTACCTAAGTACATTTAATAAAGGGGAATAAGAATTTTTCATTTATCGATTTACTTCTTGGAGGAGGACAGTATAGTTAGGAAAAAAAAACATTGTCCAAATCTAGTCTGATAATTTTATTTCAGAGACAGTTTTATTAATTATACGAATTTATGTACCTTTAAGATGATCTTCAGTGAGATTGTTAGACGCAGATACTTTATTTGAATCACTTATTATACTGTCTGAGTCCCTCTCTTTTTCAAGTAAATTCGTTTCCGATAGATTTGAGTCATTCTCAAAATTTTCATCAATATAATTGTCTACTTCTGTGTCATTCACTTCAATTTGTTCTGGCACAATCTCGTGATTCGACAAAGTTTCTGTGTGATCATTTGCTGCCGAGTCCTCCCGAATGGATTCTATTGTGTCTGTTTTCCAGCTTATTAGATTTTCACTGATGTCCCCTAATATTTCTACATTGTCTTCAATCAATTCATTCTGATCTACGTTCTGTGTTGCAGATTCCGATTTATCTTGATCAGTCAATTGAACTGATTCCTTTACTTCTGATGTGGTTTTCACAATATTCATTGTATCATCTTGCGACATTGTAGATTTTGGAAATTTCAAATTTTCCTCTGATTTCACATTATCAATTTCAATTGGTTTAGTAACTTTAAACTTTTCCGAAATCGTCGTCGTTCCTGTATTCTTATTCAGATTGATATCATTGGTTGATAACAAGGCATTTGCAGACGGATAAATAATATTATCTACAAAATAATGGATACCTCACACAATAATTTATTATTAACAAATGTTAATATCGATTAGAATTTAAAAAAAAGCGAATCATTACCTACCTGGACGTGTCGAATCTCCAGTGTCGGTGGATTCAACAGATGCTCGAAAATTTTGAACCTGACGATGCTTTTGGCAAGATTGTATAAGTGATCTAAAATGACATAGGAATGAAGTAAAAATCATAAATGAATAAATATATCAATACCTGTCATTACAGAGACAACGATGATTTTTCTTAAGCATTAAGCCATTTTTAAAATCCGATTGTGTTTCAGTTTGTACCATCTCATTTTTCTTATCAATCAAATTCGTAGTAGAACTCTTAACCTCTAATGAGATGCGTCCATTTCGTGACTTCTCAGAGCTTCGATAACTATTCGGAACATCCTGAACTATGGAAACTTCTTTTTCCTCTGTTTTAGACTGTTTCCTAGAATGTGACTCAGCTTGTACTTGTGCCTAACGAATAAACAGGTTTTTTAAAACTTTGTCGATGCTTTTCAAATATATTTATTTCTCAACTCTCTATTACCTTACCGTGTCGATAAGCGACGTATCTCTGCTCAAGTATTGAAGTTTCTTGCAAATATTCTGAGCCTGCTTAGGAGTCAAGTTCATCTCCATTAGGATGAGGAGAACGTCGCGTTCAGTAACCAGCAAGTCAGGATTAGGGTCTACGAGGACGACGTTTTTAATGCTGCCAGAAATACCATTAGAATGTCTTCTCTGATACTCGTCAAGCTTCTGATAGCTTTCCAATTTCGAGAGGATTTTATTTTCATCCAGAACCTTTGGCGGTGTCGGTGGTTTCACCACAATAAATTCATCATTTCCGTGATCGTCATCCTCATTATCGTCGTTGTCATCATCATCGTCCAGCACATTCAGAGATACTTTCAAGCGACGAATTTCTTGTAGCATCCTAGCCTAAAGTAAGAATAACGCATGTATGCTGTTAATAGTAAATAAAACACGTATAGACTCTACTATAGGTTTGTTCCAACATTTACTGACAGTAACTGCAAAACTCTAGTTACATCTCTCTCAGACACGTATAGATCATTAAAGACTCAGAGCTGGCTTGTATATACTGACAGTATATACTAGACATAAATTTGGGAACATACTCTATGTAAAAAAGAATTTAACCTTGTTCAATAGTCCTGTATTTTTTCTCAAATGTTTCCTGAACACTTTTCGCAATTCGTTATCAGTGTACAATGCATTTTGCATTATATCTTTGGTAATATCATAAGCGAATTGCGTGTACTTAGCATCCTCCTCGCAATTGCTTGCCATTTTTTTTATCTGCACAGACACACCATATTCGTCCTGACGTCTGGAATCAGTTTTACCTTTTCTTTTATTAATGCTTTCAAAATCCGAGTGATTGTTTTCCTCTCCTCGCGGAGTTCCGCTGCAGGACACATTTGGCGAAGATTCAAAACTCGATGGATAATTGTAGCAAATATTCTGATTCTCATATCTACATTTTCTCGACCTAAGTAACAAATAAATCATTCACCTTGCAAAGTAATGTGATTTAATAAAGTCGTCAATGATATACCTTGGTGCTTTATTCTGACGCGATTTATTATCAGTCACGGAAATACGCCCAGTGTGCTTTTGTTTTTCCTGAAATAAACTTGACTCCTCAAAACACTTTTTATGCCTCTCGGACGAACAGCTGGATTTACGATTCGGTGAAGGCGAACTCGATTTTTTGCTGCTTGCTCGCGAATTCCATTTTCGAGATTCAATAGGGCAGGTGCTACGTATATGGGAATTTGCGTGAGAGCAACCAGCATGGCAATGATCTTGATAATGACAACGTGCACTGTGATTTTTCCTCAAATCACTGTAACTCATTCTCAGTATATCCTGTTCGTAATAAATTCAAATATATTAATTAAAAAATGAGTCTGTAGGTTATTGATTAATTAATTAATTAATTCAATCAATGATTTTATACTCGATACACATAATACTTACGCATGGATGATGCTTCGTGTCGTAAGCAAGCTTGTCGATTATATCTTGAGAAATATTTTTCTCTAATTCCATCGAACGACAAGACGTTTTGCATTTTTCTCTTTTTTGACGAATATAATCGCGATTCTTCGTATCCACTACGCTCTTGGCTAATAATACTCGACGGAGATGCACATTCATACAATTGTATGCAGATAATTGCTGAAAATAGTTTTGTCCGGTCTGATTGTAGACTGTAAGTGAATGAAAAGAAATGAAATAAATTCAATGGGAAATAAATTTGGGAAATCAAATAAATCCAATTTTCAAATCTAACCGTTACGCACTTACCTGAACTTTTCAAGTTGAGTCTGACGTCTTCGTCATTGCATCTTGTCATTCCTGAAAGGTATCTTATTTTGTAAGATAATTAACCAAAGAAAGTATTTCCCCCTATCATATTAACGTACGTTCGAATAATCAGAATGAATGAAGCGTGATTCGTCTTGAAGGATAACAAAGCAAAAAAATAATCAAATTAATAACTTTTCGACAGTTTCGTATAGGGTAATAATCCTCCAACTAATTTGAGTAACGTTATACTTCGATATATCTCAAACAAGACGTATCCCAACGATTGGAAATTTGGAAATGTCAAATTCTCGAGGTACGGAGATTTCCTTAACGCCTCTTGCGCCGTCGTGGCTTCGCCATTTTCCTTTAGGAACGTAAAAGTTTGTTTGGTATTTCGTTGCCAGGGTAACACGTGGGTACTGATATAAATACATATGGTACCTGGGCTTGGATTCGATTTCATATCTCACTGCCAGACTACCAGCTGCTACGAGTATCGTCATGTCCCTGTTTAGCTACATGCAATTGAGTGAGACACAACTATACCCATAGGAAGTTTTTTGCCCTGGTAGCCAACAGTGAAACTGCCTAAGAGAATATAAATTCCTTTACGTTACCGACTGCTAGGCAAAGAATCTTGAAAGTCAACTAGTGTCGCTCCTATACGAGTTTCAGCTGCTGTTAAAGTTGCGAATGAGGTTACAGGTTATAAGGAGTAAAAAATAAAAACAAATTAGATTCTCTTAACCAATTTATTATTGGAACGATATTAGAGAGTTAGTCGAATAAATAAATTACATTACTAATATCTACGCTTAAAATGTTCTCTCGATATTGAAGTTATCATTAAAAGATGAGAATGAATGACGTTACAAATTTTTCATTCATCCCATTCATTTTTCATTACGAATTTTCCGCCATCTATTTAATCCACAGTCGTTCATGCATCAAAAAAGACACACAGACAACTACGCCGTTTTTTTTCCAAGTTTTTGAACCTTGACTAAATTGTGGGAAAATTAAGAAAGAAAGTAACGCAAGAAAAGGACACGAACTTCGAAGTAAGCACAACGTAAACGTAACTACAGTGCAGTCTAATATTTACAACACTCCACATACTTCAAACAGACCCTCTCTTTTGTTTTACGGCGACAGCAACGTCGATTCTCTCTTTCGGTTAAACTTCGGAGTGAAACTATTCGTAGAAATCCAGGCGTTTCGTAGAACGACGTCCGTTATAACGGAATCTTTATTTTAAAATTCCGTTTGGTTACTCTTTCCAATAAGCTGTGTATGAATGCATCAAGCCGTGAACGTGTCCCATTTACAAAGTGCGAATTGAAAAAGTATTTAAAGGAAAGAATAAAATATTCTCTGATATTGTCTTCTACAGAAACGCAAGGATTTCAGGCGATGCTTTCGCCGTATACTGGATATAATAAAATTATAATAAATATATCGATTCCCTATGGTATCACAATCTGTGCGAGAATAAAGAAGAGGATGATCGATGCTCTCATTATATACTAATTGCTATGATGATCGCATCTTCTGAGATGAGTGTGAAAGGTTTTTTTTTTGTGATTTGCCGTGTATACGAGATGAATTTACGAGAATTTTTTTTTTAAATCTAGGCTTCCACTGCAGTCTCGGATATCATGACTTTCTCCTGCATCTGCGCCTCGGCCTCTTTTTCCTTCTCGCCCTTCTCCAGGCCTGAGATCACGTAAACCGGCTGTTCACTGTATGCGAGGAAATGCTGGTCCACTGGTAACGTTTTAGTCGGATCTTTCATTTTCATCTGGAATATACGAATTGTAAAAAATTGTTAAAGAATTTTAGGAACTACTGATTAGATCGATCATTAATATTTTAATAAGAAAAATAAGAAGTTTACCTTTTTTCGATAAATCATTAATAGGATCAAAAGACTGCTAATGACAAAGGCACTGGCTGCAGCAAGGACTAGTGTAGCTGTTTGATAAAGAGGCGTTTCCAATTGCGTGAGAATTTCTCGTTGTTCCAGGGCGACTATTCGACTTTGAATCCCGCCGGAAGTGGCTTTATGCGTGAAACGCGATGACGTAGCATCCGCAATGGAACCCAATAGTGATAACTTTTGGAGTCTTATCAGCTCCTCCAGGTGGAAAGCCACGTCTACCTTGTTTGGTCCAATCACCTCGAAATCAAGTGTCGCAGAATCCTGATCTATCTCTACGATTATCTTATCCTTGATCCTTGCTCCAAAATCTTCTAGTAAATTATTAGCTTCGTTTGCGAAACGGTTAACATCGCTGTGCAGGAAGCGACCTGGGAAACGTAGAGTCACTTCTACGGCCTCTACAGGGGTTGGCACTGGAAGTAAATATGAGAAATTAATTATTGAAAACTGCACGACCAATTTGGGTTCTTTGGTTTCTCATAGACTTCCTCCAGGATACTCACGACATATTTGGGATCCTTGTAAAAATGGTTCTGATCCAGTCAATTGATTTCCAGCTTCGTCAACGCACCAGCAAGTCTCACCAACGCATTGAGTAGGTTCGAACCTTCCTTGCCTGTCGCAAATAGCGGGCACGTGACCTTTATCTTTCATAGCTTGACACCTGGTGCCCAGGACTCTCCTGACTTCCCTTCCTTCTGACCCAGTACTCAAAAAAGCGGTCTCCATGTAAGCCTTGATCTCTGGATCAATATCCATCGGACCTCTTCCTCTTCTAGATTGTCTGAAGTTGCACTTTGGCTCTGGTCCCCTGGTCAAGGAACCCTTGACAGGTTCACCACGTCTGTCGACGCACCAGCAGACGCCAACATGTTCCAAACACTGAACAGGTTCCCAGCCACCAGTGTCAGGATTGCACCTCGGTAGGAAGGTAGGTTGCTTCAGCCTCTGGGACGTCTTCAAGTTCTTCTCACGGAGTCTCTCGCACTGGGATAAAACTGGGCAAATGGTGTCGCAGACCAGACGACTCGAGAAATCATTGTGGCCAACGGTGCATTCTGTCTTCCGACGACACTCGTTACGCTCTGGATCAAAGTACCAGCTATCAGTCCCATTGACGTTCTGTCCAGGTGCACAGGCTGCCTTCTGGGGTGATTCAAAACAGACGTCTCTGGGTTTTGGACAGCAGACGGCATACTCGTCCAAGGGCGACAGTTCGCATTTATGTGTCGACGGACAGTGAGATCCGTGGGGACCGCATGTCACGGCTGTTCCATCCTGGGCGAGAAGCGGTGCCCCATTCGGACAAGGATTGTCTTTCTTAGGAAGACAGACCGGAACAGGGGGACAGGGTGGGTCACTGCAGGCAACTTCAACCATTCGACAGGCTTCGTTCTCACCACGACAGGTCACGCTTTTGCAAGGATCTCGACAGGAACATGTTGGACAGCCTGTTTCCGGATCCAGTTCCAAACCTTCAGGACAATTGAGGGCGCAGTCTATTTCGGGACAATGAAGAGGAGTGCTGCACTTGGGTACGATTCCTTCGATGACTCTGGTCCCAGCTGATTCGCGACCTTGGTCGTCCACGCACCAGCACATCCCAGCATGGCACTGTACTGGTTCGAAGGCACCATTGGCGTCGCACCTGGGAATGTACAGTCTTCTGGCTGGTTCGCCAGACTCTCTAGCTGCATGCTCAGCAAGGGCCCTGGCATGCTGGCAGGCTGTGGCTACTACTGGTGCTACACACTGCGTTCCGCATCCGGTGGAGCAGCACTTGTCACGTCCTGCACATTCCTGATCACTGCTGCACTTCAGTTCGCAACTCGATGAACTGGGTACCAGATAAGGACATTGACCTAGTTTAGCTGTCAGGCATGCTGGTACTGGTGGACAGTATTGACCTGGACCACAGTTCACGTCCACCATACTACAGGCTTCGTGAACTCCACAGGTGACTTCCTTGCAAGGGTCTCGGCAGCGGCATTCCTCACATCCTGAAGGATCCAGTTCGAACCCGTAAGGGCAGTTCAGCTCGCATTTTTTATCTTTACACAAAATCAAAAGTTCCTTGATCTCTTTGCAATCAGGCCACTTCGTTAGGTTACTCTTGAGGGGGACGCCATATTTATTCACACAGGTGCACGTGCTTCCGTGACATTGCAGAGGTTTGTACGATCCATCTGGTTCGCAAATAGGTGCTGGAATAGCTAGTGCCATTCCTTCTCTCGTTCCTTCCATTCTGTCGTTAAAGTCTCGAAGATATTCGCACACTGATCACAAAAATGATATCCAATTCACAAAATGTCCTTTATAATACGTAGCAACATTTATCTTTACTGATTGTTGACTTACTAGTAGGTGGCTTCATGGGATAATCCGTCGCCGCGCAGCATACGGACTGTCCAGCATCCGGCACTGTGGTACACTTGTAACCCTGAGGGCAGGTTCTGTTGCCAGAGCAGGTGACAGCGTTGCCCTCTTCGTCGCTCAATGGTGCACCGGTGACACAGGGACTCTTGTAGGTCTTCTTTGGCTTGCACTCTGGTTTACTTGGACACAGGAAATCTGGACAGCCATCCTCGCGACGGAGGACGCATTCTTCTCCTACCGGACATGGGTACCTGAGGTTTACGAAATTACTTAGTTAAAATTCATGGGTTCCCACGGATATGAGGAGGGAAAAATATTATATATTTTTTACCCTTCGCAAGGGTTGTCGCATTCACACGTAGGACAACCTGAAGAGTCGGTTTTGAATCCATATTGGCAGACCTGAGCGCATTGCTGCGGAGAACAAGAAGATGGCAGTGATCTGGCCTTCGCTATCGGATTGCACTGAACATTTTCGGATGGCCCCATGGACCCGTCGATTTTCCTTCCATCAGTATCAACGCACCAGCAAACCAAACCATTTCGGGAGCATTGTCTAGGTTCGTATCCACCACCTAGAACAATCGTTGTACAAAATATTATTTCTATCCTATGTCATCCTCTGCGTAGGTTTCGTTCAATATGGTATTGCTTCTTCCTCAATATGGTATTACCTTCTTCGCACTGTGGAATGTACCCGCGACCCTGGCGTTCGGAAATACTCAATAATTCAGCGAGCATTCTATTTTGATGACAGGCGCTGAGACCAGTCGGAACTGTGCAGAATCCACCGCCGCACCTTTCGCTGGCGCAGCACTTCTGCGGAGCCGGACATTCCAGGTCGTGTTGGCACGCAGAGCCACAGAGCGGAGGTTCATCGACTGGACAGCTTCCAGGTCGTTTTAGGTTGATGCTGGATGGACAGCAGACCCCGTATTCCTGACCAGGTTCCACTAGACACCTGTACAAGGGTGGGCAGTTTGGCTTCCCAGGTGAATTACCGCAGAGGAAGGGTCGTGGCGAGTCAGTGATCTGCAGAGGTTCCCCAGCTGGACATATCGTAGCAAGAGACTTGGCTTTTCGGCAACTTGGAATAGGAGGACAAGGGGGCCGCGAACAGGACACGTCAATCAGTTCACAGGATTGACTCATTCCTGGACAAGTTATACCCCTGCAAGGATCCCTGCATTCGCACCTGGGACAGCCAGAGTCAGGATCGATCTACAAAATAGACACTTCAGTATCATCCATCCATATAAAGCTACCGGATGATCCAGTACTCCAAACAATGCAGTACCTCAAATCCAAGAGGGCACAGCATGCGGCAGCTATGAGCTGGACATGGTCTAGGATTATCGCAGTCAACAAAATCCCTACCAGCTGCCCTGGTACCAGGAAGTTCATCCCCATACTCGTCAACGCACCAGCAGGACTTCTCCGTAGCGTCACATTGAATCTTCTCAAACTCCCCAGTCTCATTGTTACACCTGGGTACCAACTGAGCCGGAGAATTCGGTCCAAGTGCACGAGAGCGTCTAGTAGCTGCCAGAGCCAATTGTTGACAGCCTGTCAATTCGGCTGTGACGCATCTGAGACCACAGGCGGTACTGCAGCACCGCTCGTTTGGTGTTTGACACTCAAAATCATTGGTGCAGTCTGGTGCCCTGGCCGGGCAGACGTTTTGCTCCTGGAATGCTGGACATTTTCCGGCAAGCTTCAGGGATAGATCTGGAAAAGTAAAATCGAAGACTCGAATGATTCGTCAACCTCATCCGATCCGCCTGAGTAACATTGGGAGCTTAGGAGGACGTGACATCGGGTACCTAGGCAGTGTAGGCACGAGGAAACAAAAATAGCCAGAGTCCAGATAACGGTTCCTTGCATCCCACTGCCACACTTACTACACTTACCCAGGTACTCGAGCACGTCCGACTCGGAGGTTCGCGTTTATTCGCCGAGTAGGCGATCCTTCCGAAGAAAAAGGTCGAAAGAGGTAGGGACTAGGAAGAGAGATGTCTTAAAATGCGCATTTTCTCAGGTAGGTAACCGTAGTCACGCAATTACTGTGCCACCTTATGAATCCGCGTTACTTGACTCGTCGTCGATTAGTTTGACCCGATTAGCAATCAACGTAGGTGTAACAGTCATTTTTATAAACTGCTCATCTTCTACTGAGTTTTTACAAATTCACGGATCCGTTGGTCTCAATGCCAAGAATTGTGGACGAAATGAAAAAATTTTGAGAAAATAAAAAGTTTCCCCAGATATTCTCCGATTTGACAGCCAGGAATCAGGATGGTCTGAACACTCGTGGCTTTCTAGCGAAAGTGCTTCTACGTCGTCGGCCAAGTGTCCCGCATGTCGAGTTACTTTTTCTCTTGATTTAACATTTTAGCATTTCGAGAGTTCATGGCAAATAGACGCAGGCAATTATACAGATAATAATTTATAAATTTCTTATAAAACGTCATGTACCTCATTTCGTAGGTGAATTAACTTTTCATCGGAATGACATGAGAAAACGAAATATTTTTCTTTTACTTAGCACCGCCCTCTTATGTCTTTCCGCGCTCAATAACCGCCAACTCTTTCAAAATGCAGGACGAGTACATTGCGACGGCGAAACTTGGCTTCTTTCTGCGCCAGAGAAATTCCATATCGCTATGACGATGCTGCAATTTTACATTATGATTTCAATGCGTATAATGACGGCCATTCGATGCGCGTCACAATTCTGGGCTGGTCGATCAGATTATAAAATTCTATTCACGGTTTTCATTTTAGGAGTGGTTATGAGTATACATATACATATATATATTCTTTACAAATTATATATGTACATCATATACACATTTATCATTGTATATATATACTATCAATAAGCATGTCGTTATAAGTATGTCGATATGTATTCCAGCCTCGTATTATATACAGGGTGGGGCGTTTGTAGTGAGCAGATCGATTTTTTCGGAAACGAAGCCATATCTGTCTGGAAGTCTGAAAGATTTTTTTTACATGTGGGTTCGTTTCCGAAAGAATCAACCTGATCACTATAAATGCCCAACCCTGTATATATAAACATTTGTATGTCTACAGATATACCAGCAGCACCATTTTGTATACTGGCATAAGTACGTAGACTGTATAGATATAGTATACTGTTATAAGTCGACATCGTTTGCCGAATTCGCGTTTCGGGGACACGAGAGAGTAGACGAGAAGTGCGACGAATTTGCCGCTCGAATGTGCCAGAAAAAAAAAGTAGAGAGAGAAAGAAGGAAGAAAGAAAGAAAGAAAGAGTCAAGGATACCTCCAAGATCGACATAATGGACTCTTATGAGAAGGCAGATGTGTATAGAGTCTCCATTACTTGAAGTGAGAGAAAATCGTTTTGTTACCGATGCCACGTGAGACTCGACTCATATGCAAATATGTAATAGGAACTGTCCTCGATTTCTGATTCGCATCGATATCCTGTTGTAACACATCGCGAATCGATTAACCACGAGGTTCGAGTAATTGATCAAATAATTATATAAATAACCTAATAATTTGTTCTCGATTCTATTTCGCATACCTTTATGGAATTTCAATGCTATATCGCAGACATATACATATAGATATGTAATAGAGATCTGGATCTTTCGCAACAGGGCGAATGAGGACTAATCGTGAGTCTCATTGTTACATAACCTGGAAGCCGTGATAAAAAGATTCTTGGCTAAATTCACGTCACGTGCTCTCGGTACAATTATCAAGGCATATTTCAACACGCATAATTGTCTGGATGGATTTCCTTTTTTTAAACCCCTCATGGATATCCTTGCCATTGTTTGGTAATCCACTGCGGGGACTGACGTAGGTAACGTCAAAGCTTCGTTATTCTTTCGATAGATGTTGCGCATTACCGAGCGCTTGACTTACCAGCTACTGTTGGCCGTATCGAAGATAGTAAAAGACAAGTGGAAGTCACCCACAGAACGGCGTAGGCAAGCCCCCCGTTACAGAAATCACGTCGCATCATCAGCGCATCCAGTGGTTTTGGATAAACTTGTCACACCTGGAACAATGGATGGACTACTTAGAGATACGAAAAAGCATAGTCGGATTCTTGGATACAAAAGGATCGACTAGGTAAAATCGTAATAATTACTATGAAGCTTCTACGAGAATGTAAAAAGAAATGTGTTTTGCAGTACATAAGTTGAAGAGTTAATGGAGAGACAAGAATTTTAAAAGTTCCTTGATCACGGTGCTGGATGCTTCGAGAATCTTTTGGTTTTCTAACCTAAATTTTCAGAGTCATTTAAAAACCACCGTAGAATCTCCTGGATGACTTATTCTTTACACCATACAAAATATTCTAATGCATTATTCTACGTTATTCATGAGACACGAATTCCGTCTGCGTAAATTCTCAAATTCTGTTTTGTCTCTTCTGTATCGACTTGAGGCTCTCATGGTAACTTTTTCCTTGCTGTTTCTCTTTTTGTTACCCTTATACTAGCAGCCGTTGCTGGTACGTATCTATTTAAGCTAAATATCTTCTTACTGTGTTTCAGAAGTAAAAGTTTTTATTTATCGATACGATGAACTCTATCCTGGCAATGTTATCCGAAATTAGATATAATTGGACTGCTGTCCTGCAGAGAGAAAAACTAAAAAAGCATGGCTGCTGAAGGTTTACAAACGTGACTCCAGAATGGATTGTCGAATTGCATTATTCATAGGAAGGGTCCCTAAAGTTTGTCCCCTGGCTGAGTCTTAGGTAATGTAAATCAGAAAGAACGCAGCATGGGGATCATGCTTGATAACTAATTCAGGATCAAAGTCCTACGTTTCTCGGGGTCAACGATCGAGGTTTACTTTTTCTACCATATGAATGGGTCTATATTAAAATTATAGAAACTTCTCTTTTACACTTGAAAGTAAAAATCATCTTTCTCTTTAGAAATTCCTTCTTTGACTTCTTCTCGTCCGAGCTGGTATATACTCATCTTGCCCTAAATGTCAAGAGACACGATCGCCAGTTCAATACTGGGACCGGATGTGGGTCAGTTCGTCACTCGTGTTACCTTCCGGGTCGATGAAGCACTTCCTGGTACCACGAGGTAAGGAACTTTCTATTGTCATATAGACGAAACCGCATCAGACATCCTCGACTGCGTCATCGGCGCGCAACTTTCATAAAACACCATTCAAAAACTGCGAGGGTCGTGCCTATACTTGCTTTTCAAGCAATAGAGAGAAAGAGTCTGCATATGAAACCAGCGTCATCAGACACTTCATTCGTCATTGGATTTACCACAACGAAGTCTTCTATGAAATTCCTATTATACCTTCTACAGCGCGTAGATCCTATTGCGATAAAGTTTCTGTTCCAAATATTGTGAAACCTCAAATCCATCACAGAACCTAATGCGTAGCTGAAAATTGATTCAAATAATATTACGATGCATTCAGCATTTACATTGGCTCCTGTGGTTTTGGATTACTGCATTGTTTCAAATTGAACAGCGTAAACTAGGTAATTCTATCTATTTAACTGTCGATGCTAGTAAGGATGTTGTTAGTAGTTTTCTATGTTCTCATCTTTCCTTCGAAAGGACAGTAATACGCTTAGAATTTGATAAAGTAAAATTCGAAATTCTTTTTTTTTCAATTTAGTAATTAGTTTTTACATTTAATCAATTATACTTCCACAAATTGACTGACATGATTTATGTCACTGTAATCAAGTTCCTGGTTAGTATGATTAGTTTCCCTTTAACTAATCCAAACTTTAAGCTGATCATATTCTTTATGTCCAGAATTCAACATTCACATTATACATATATTTGTGTGAAAATAAGTTCTCACTTGAGAAACTGAAAGATGTTTTTTTATTGTCAAGATAAGTACTCCTAGGCGACATCACACTTGCCGTTATGCCTTGCGGTATATTTTATAAAACTTTAAAGCCACCAAGCTTGGAGTATCGTATTTACGAAAAGACGCCCCTCCAGCCACATACTTTGATGTTACTGATAATATCATTAAAAATGAAAAAGAAAACAGTGAAAGATGTTATAGCATTCTCTATCTTAATAAAACTTGTACAATTACAAAATTGATTGCCACGTATATACAGTTCGTAACATAGATTGGAAGTTCAATGTAATTTCCATTAACCCAGAATAGTGAATTTTTTGCTACCAAATGGTCAATTGACGAATGTATAGGTACTATAGGTGCTAATCGAAGGGGGCCTAGAGTAGGTCAAAGCAGAGTACAGAGTGTGAACATGTATGAATACAGTAGCGCGTTAAGCGTTATAGATAGAATGCGTTGCAGGGAATTGGTGTCAGTAACTACACTAGAACGGCTGTTGTTCCGATCTGGTTAACTGGCTGATATAACATCTCAATTTCCCATAGTGGGATGCTGGTTGCTACCGTTAACGATATTATGCTAGATAACGGTGGCTGGAAACTTGTGCGATTGGAAACGCTCATTGCGATACAGATGCAAACTAGAGTGAATGGTATAGCAGTAAAACTGGAAGAAAAAAAAAATTGGAGCTTTATAACATTATTAGCATTGTTTAAGACTACGTAACAATTGAGAACCAGTGGAAAGATACGAATTTGTGTAATTGGATATTATCAATGACAGTGAAATTTAATATATGAATGGAAGCACGCTCTGATTACTATAAATAAGTGGCTATTAATTTTTGATTAATGGATTATATTAAAATACGTTAAAGGTAACGAGTGGATTAATCAGAAGCAATAAAAATAATGATATGACTTACTTTAAGTTTGGTTATCCAAAAAGAAAAAGTACGCGCGCACACACGACCTACTTTCGTGTCAATCAATGTAAATATTCTCTCGATTGAATGGAATGATTGAATTATTATTTAATTAATAACTCAATGCACTGTCTTGCAGAATCAATCTGACTTTGACCACGCTTGGAAACTCTATGCTTGCTCACTCCGCATCGAATGACGGCTGAGAACTGTCCTGACTGGAAGCATCGGCAGAGCGTGCACGTATGATGACCCCCTTCTATAATACTTGTGGCTTCGTGGATCTACGCCACTCTGTTGACCGGGATGATGATACCGACCACCAGGAAGGGGATGGCTGGCAAATCTCATTCGTATAATAAAGATCATTTCATCGGATGCCATTGATGATTCCTACCTGGAGAAATTAAGATTCGTTATTAGAAAGATAAACAATTCTTCTATGATTTGATAATGAGAAAAATCTATTTACTTTAATAAACTCTTGGTCATTATTCTTTTCGACCAGGTATCTCAAGATTTATCATCACTCCAGACTGGATTTCCACGAAAGCAGGAACTTGGAATTTCCGGTTCCAGTGCTCCTGGCTTTACTGTACTCCCTGCGGAAGAAATCTGAGTCGAAAATAAGTTTAATGCATTCGTATAACCAGTCATAGTGCATTCAGATCGTAGGATCCGTTGACGTGGTCGAGGAACGGGTCTGGCTCGGCATTCCTAGATGCCTCGGGGCGCAAACCGAGAGCCGTCAAGAGGAAAGGCCCAGTGACCGACATTCCCATTCTCATTCTTCCTGATCCTGCCTGCGTTCCGATCGCGCGTTCCGATCTGCTCAAAGAATCATCTATTACGCCACGATAAGATAAATATAAGTTTTTTAAACAAAATGCTCCATTTATGTCTACATGGAAATATTCTTCATCTCCCAAGCTTGCCAGATGATGTAGCAGCTACATATGACCTCGGTATATGAGACACGATCGATAAACAATTTCCCTGATTTGATTAGCTCGGCGAGGGAAACGTTATTACCGTTAATTGCAATTACCAAAGGACTTCGTGTCAGTTGGCAAACATTGATAATTTCACGCTAACATACCCTCCGCCGTCTCTCCAATTACAGTTAACTGAACGATCCTACGACCGGAAGGGACTTCCTAGTTACCAAAAATGCCGGAAGGCACACTTCCCAGACTGCCTATTCAAATATTTACATGGCAGCTGCAAGCCAGATACAAGCTACCTGTAACATTACTGCTCCTCTGATGCGCTTCGATGACTTTTTCAGGAAGCCCAACGAGGTTCCTGATCCGACGCGATCGACTATGCTTTGCAATATCCATAGAGGCGTATAAACCATGTCACTGACGCCTCATGGAAGTCACATGGGTTATCGTTATCGGCTGAGACTTTAATCTTGTCAGGAAGCATTGAGACGTACAGACAAGCAGTAGCTGTACAACGTCAACATTACACTAACCTATAAATCAAATAAGAAACTTACAAAAGACTCTATTGTTAGACTCCAGGGAAACTGAGACAATGAATGATTTTTGGTAAAGATAGTATATTCTACTTTTCTCGGTTGGAGGATTCTACTGTAATACGGATATCGATCAATGACCTGACCGATTGATCGATGGATCGGTCAATGCCTGAGATGTTGTTCTGGTGGATGATGCATGTCGTGTTTTTTTAGGCTGTGTAGGCCGGTAGGACACGCCTGACGTCACTGAGGTGGATGCCCCCGGACACGATATGCGTATAGAAAGTGCGACCGCTCACAAGGAAAGGCTCTCTCGCTCATATAAACGAAGCTACGCATTCACGCGCTTTTTTCACCTATACACTGGTCAGAGTATCCGAGGAGACTCTCAAGACCCACGCCTTATGCTCTTCTTTCATGCTTCGTATACCTTTTTTTCTAGCTGATGAGCAACCCTAGGACTTTTTGCGGGATTTCCTAACTCTTGGTTATACAGCTCTCTATACGGTGCGGTACTCGGTACCGTTTCGCTTCTTAAGAAGGATGCGATTACGCAATCTCTTGGTTTCGTGGGCATGCAACTGTACTTCCTATTTCCGACCTGGATTCCGAAATCTTGTCGATAACGTAAATGGGAATTAATTCGGTAGCTGCTGAATTCTTCCTGGTTTGTATTTGCTTGGTGTTCATTCTGTATATGTATAATTTGCGTGACGTCATAATGTCTATTTGAAATAAGTTGGTATTTTTAATGTTAGAAATGACGTTTTACCTGTCGCGTTTGAGGTTTCAACGAAAGTAGATCATGGCTCTTTGCATATACTCATCCGGAAGGTCTCTTGGTAATCGCATTACAGCATGACTCGTGTTTTTTATTTGTGATGGACAATTAGTCAGGGTCATAGTGGATGGAGGCTGATGTGGGCACCGAAACCTTCATGGATTATGTTAAACGGATTCATGTTTGTTCAAAGTCAACATTAAAAATAATATTTCGGTTTAGGATCATTTAAATACCTTGCATTCGATGGAGTATTATATTGCTCTGAATAATAATTAATGTAGACAATGAATTTCCTTATGAGATTACTTTCCAGCAGTTTCTGGAAATCGCATGAATACAATGAATATGAGAAAGTAAGAATGGTGTTCTTGCTCATTTAAGTTGAAGTCTTCGGGAATCTCAGCGCCCTAGTGAACTGTAGGTCTTACACCGGAAATGAAGAAATTATGGATTTCTGTCAAATGATCTTTATGTGTGCGCATTAAGCATTCGCATTATGGTGGTAAATTATATGTATATTAGGGAGAAAAAGTTTTTTTTCTACTGAATTATTTGGTAAATTTATATAAATTCTGAAATTTTCTAATCATTCAAGTTGAACAAGGATGGTGTTTATGCGCAGTGCGGCCGTTTTTTGAATTACATTGCGCATGTGCTTCCACGTATGTCACAGTGTCGTGCATAACCTCCCGGGCGAAATAAAGACTGGGAGTTTTAGTCTATTTGATTTTTAACGGGTTTTTGCATTAGATAATACGAGTGGTAGCTTAAGAATTTACCAAAATGGTGTCCGTTTTAAATACGGTGGACACTGCTCATGAGGACATGATCCACGATGCAGAAATGGATTACTATGGTTTAAGGTTAGCTACCTGTTCCAGTGACAATTCTGTGAAGATTTTTGACTTGAAGAATGGCACGCAGAGCTTGGTGGCCGATCTTAAGGGTCACATAGGTCCCGTCTGGCAAGTTGCTTGGGCACATCCGAAATTTGGCAACCTCTTGGCTTCCTGCAGTTATGATAGGTATGACTCGGTGTTAATATTTTACGAAATCTTACTTCAGTATTACACCTTACTACTGTCTATCAGGAAGGTCATAATTTGGAAAGAACTTGGAGAATGGACCAAAATCTATGAACATACGAGTCATGATTCTTCCGTTAATTCCATCGCCTGGGCACCCCATGAATTTGGACTTATTCTGGCTTGTGGAAGCTCCGATGGCACTATATCTATTCTCACTAATAACGGCGATACCTGGGAAGTTCAAAAGATTCCTAGTGCTCATACTATTGGTTGTAATGCTGTTAGTTGGTGCCCTGCCATAGAGCCAAATTACGATTCGAATTCACCTAATCAGAGAAGTGGACCAGTGAAGAGGCTAGCAACCGGAGGTTGTGATAATTTAGTTAAGATTTGGAAAGAAGAAGGAGACAGATGGATCGAAGAAAATAAGCTAGAAGCTCACAGTGATTGGGTACTATGCTAATTCCTAATATGATTACTGACAAAAATAATATAATAGTTATATAAACATATTGATCGTTATTCCAGGTGAGAGACGTAGCCTGGGCTCCGGCAGTAGGACCTCCAAAAGCTGCTTTAGCGTCCTGCTCCCAGGACCGACGCGTGGTTGTCTGGACTTCAACTGATTATATCAGTTGGACACCAAATGTCCTGCACGTGTTCGACGACGTCGTCTGGAACGTCAGCTGGTCCCTTACAGGAGGTATTCTGGCAGTTAGTGGAGGAGATAACAAAGTATCTCTGTGGCGTGAAAATTCTGAAAGCCAGTGGGCCTGCATTTCTGAATTGAACAAAGGTCAAGGAAATCTGAATAACGCAGATCAACGAGCTCTATAACCCTCTATCGCTAACGCTGAATTCCACTAATAACAGTGAAATGTATCATAAAGGTTCATAGACGTAAGCAAAATTAAGATAAAATAAAAAATCATAGCTGTTTTATAAAAATTAATAATCGGCCATAATTTTTCACTATCCTCTCGTTACTTAGAGGAATGGGTCTTAAAATTGTAAAAGACATTTTGTAAATTCAATTGTAGAATATTATGTTTCGGTGATGTACTTTCGTGCAATAGCACAGTACGATACATTCCAATCCCGGATGTGTTAATATTATGCAAAACAATGAATGTACAATTACGCAAACCCGACAATACAGGGCGAATTCAATTGAAAATATCTTTACAAAAATGCATAAAGACTACTATCCTCTTAGAAAAAGAATGGGTACCGAAGACAGACGAAAGAGAGAAAAAATGATTGCAAAAGGTTAAAGAAACGATGTACAATCGAATCGTGGCTCATTCTTGAGTATATAAAGAAGCAGCGAAAACAATGTCCCGCTTAATAGCCGTCGAAGCTTCCTCCATTTTTTCTTTAAGGACAGGGTCGCCGATAATTATAGCTGCATTCTTCACGTCGCGCAGAGTCTCGTTTAGCTGCTGAATACACCTAACAATAATTCCTTCCTGTACGTCTGTTAGTTCCATAATTTTTGTAAATGGTTTTTCTCGTGCCCACTCGTAGACGACCTCCACCAAGTTAAAATTTAAAGGTTCGGTCGGGTCTACCCCAAACTCCTTTTCCACTGACACAATAGCGTCGTATACCTCCGTTAAAGCTTCACAACTCTGCAAAACATGGGCTGGTTAATTATAAGCTTTAAATTTTAATTATCCGAAATATATACCTTTTGCAATGAATCCAAATGACTAGGAAGTTTAAGTTGCTCATTACTCCTTTGCTGATAAACAAGCGCTGACAGTAGAGCAGCTATCTCTGCTGGTGGTAAAACTGTCAGGACGTTTCTGAAGACCAATTCCGTGATGAGCAGCTCGTGAGTGCCCATTTCTAACGCAACTCTACCCTTTAGTGCCACTGTGACAAAAAATTATTCAATAATGAAAGTAGTCGCAGTCAATTTTTTGAATTTCTAGATGAACATATTTCAACCTGTATGTCCATCAGCTGCGTAAAGAAATTATGTTTCCAATACGATGGATGATTTTTCAATATACAAAAATAATCATGCATTGCTGAACCTTCTTACCTCTCTCATCCTGATCAATGTATCGAAGATGTCTGAGTACTTCTACTCTGTTCTTATAATCTGGATAAAATGTTAAACTCTCATCACTGAGTGCAAATTGAAGTTTTGCTCTGCGGTCCTCAAGTTCCTTTCGCATGAAAACCAGCTCGAACTGTTCCTCAAAGTTGACAATATCTCCGTACTTGAAATTACTTAATTTTTTTTTCAAATTCTCCAGATACGTCATATTAGTTAAAAGTTCATGATCATTCACACTCATGTTTGTATAAGGTAAAAGGATTTCAGGATTCGCCACAGCGTTTAAAGATATCGTTGTCAGTTCTTGTATGGCTGCTTGACACGTAGGACCAGGTGGAGTGTCTCTTTAAAAGTAAAGATGCAAAAATTAATTATTAAAAAAAATCCTATAACCCTCCCATCGGAAATTAACAAAGTATCCTAAAACATACTTGAATCTTGGTATCTGACGTCTCTCCCAGTCACTAATTATTAAATTACTATCAACCTTCATCGTACAATTGGTAATTTCTAATATATCATCTGGAGGAATCTGTAGAACTTGATGCGAAGCGACTCCCTCAGGAACGAATAATTCCTTTTTCGTTAATGCAATCATCTTATAGAAATTAATAGACTTGAGATTAGATTCAGGTTTCGAATCTGGGGTCTCTAACTGTATATCATCGCTTGAGGGTGTCTCTTCAGAATTGTCCAGCACCAGTACCTTGTACTGTAAATCTACACCCTTTGGTACAATGCGCAACAAAAGAGCTAGCTTATTATAATGATGCATATGAGATATAATCAGGATCCTGCCGACGGTTAAAGCCTTGGAGGGTTTCTTCATGGTGAACATCCGGGGTTTCAGTGGCTTTAACTCCTGAATATATTCCTTTGCGACAGTATAAAATTCAGCAATTTGTTTCTGAAGATCGTTAAATTCTGGCAAATCTGCCAATTGCTTCTCTATCTCGTTAAGGTCTTTCTTAAATTTCTGTTGTTTTGATATCAGTTTCGATTCCTTGAAGGATCTCCTCATCATCCCTTCTACAGTAACTGCTTCACTGATTCTTCGCAAATTTAATATCATCGAATACGTAACCCGAAATTGGGACTCTAGATTTTTTGGTTCACCGCACATCATATTCTTCAATTCCAGTGGGGAAGGAATGCCGCTCTTACACATTATTATTACGGTTCCTGTAGGATCCAAACCTCGACGACCAGCTCGGCCAGCCATCTGAATGTATTCTGCAGGATACAAAGTACGAAATCCAGTTCCGTCGTATTTTCTTACAGAATCAAAGACGACGGTACGTGCTGGCATGTTGACGCCCATAGCGAAGGTTTCGGTAGCGAATAAGAGCTGAAATATCGAGTTTTAATTCATTGGAAATAAAGTTACAAATTGATTAAGTATAATTACAGATTATTTGCAGTACCTTCACCACTCCAGTCTGAAACAATATTTCTACGATTTCCTTGAGTATTGGCAAAATTCCACTATGATGCACTCCGATACCTTTAGAAAGGTACATCTGCATCTTCCTAACTTGTGGCAGCATTGTGTCCGATGGTTTTAAACGTTTTATACACCGTGTGAAGAAAGTATTAATTGATTCCTTCTCATTTTTCGTTGTCAAATCAATAGACTCCAGCGCCTCTGCATTCTTGTCACATCGATTCCTAGATAAAGTAAACGCGACTACCGGCAAATTATTCTAAGGAATAAAATTACTCTTTATTACAATGTTTCAGGGTTACGAAGAACTTGATTGAGACATTGGAGAGTACCTCACTACGAAGATGATCTATAAAAGCAAGCCATGTTGTTTTTTCTTTATTCTGAGGATTTCTGTCCTTCTTATCCATAATTGGCTTTGTGCTTCTACGAGTATCTGGGCCGTAAGGACCTTTTTTCTCTTCGGCAGCATCTTTTGCAGCTTTGGCTGCATTGTATCTACACAGAATAATATTTTGTTCTTGTCGTAACAGTATATAAAGATTATATAAGAAACAGCAACCTACCCATCCATTAAAAAATCTCCTTTGCTGTCAAGAATCAGGAATCTTTCATTTTTGGTCTTTTTATTCGTACCGGTGTAAAGGAAGTGTTGCAGTGGTACAGGTCGTTTCAAAGTACTTATCACGTACATCTTTCGTTTTTTTATTTGACCTACCCAATTGGCAAATACCAAAGGATTCGGTACGGTTGCTGATAGCATAACGATGTTGACCGTAGGTGGTAATAGAATCACCACTTCCTCCCAAACGTGACCACGCTACAACAATCCAAGTCAGTCAATCAGGCTAACTAAATCAGAACGGCTCAATGCAGACTGTATACTCACGTCTTCATTATTGATATAGTGCACTTCGTCGAATATTACGTATTCCAAATCTCTAAGAACCTCGGAAGCACAATAGAGCATTGACTGAAGAATTTCAGTAGTCATAATGAGACAAGAAGCCGTTTGATTGATTTGAAAGTCGCCGGTTATTAAACCAACGCTGTCAAATTTATTCTTAAAATCGCGATACTTTTGATTTGAAAGAGCTTTTATGGGTGACGTATAAATAGTTCTAGATGGGACGTTACATAAAGTAATTAGAATCATGCGTTTGGTTCAGTTCTATATAGATTTACCTTGTCATATGCCTTTGACTCAAAGCTATAGCATATTCTGCTACCGTAGTTTTCCCAGCAGATGTGTGTGCTGCTACAAAGACATTGCAACCCTCCTCAAGTTTGATAACAGCCTGTTTTTGAAACGTGTCCAATTCGTAATCATACTTGAATGCTAGATCTGGGACCTTTTCTTCAAAATTGGCAACCGGAATGGAAACATCAAGCATTTCCGCCCATTCCATTTCTGTTTTGAGTGAGGTACCTGTCGATGTTATTTTCAAAACAGAAACGTCGGGTTTTGTCTGCACATCCGTAACATCGTCCAGCTTTGTTAAGTCAATTTCCATGTCGTTTTTGATTGTTTCCTCTTTCTTCGTTTCCGAAGGTGTCGACCAGAGTCCAATTAAATTCTTCTGCTCGTGAACCATTGCCAATAAGTTCACTTCCTCAGATTCTACTTCAGATTCCTTGGAGTCCAGTGTTGGAGAAGCTGCCTTTTCAATTTCTTTATCCTTTGGAGTACAGTTATCACTCTTGAATTCAATGCCTGCACTGAAGCCTTTTGCTAAGGTTCTAAGATTATTTTCAAAATCTATATCTGAAGTCATGTTGTTCTTTGTTGGTTCTAATTCTTCGAAACCACCAGGCCAGAAAATACAATTGCTCGCACTACCTGGCTCACATTTTAATAATAAATTAAATTATATCATGAAACAATGCAAGGTAAAATAGTTGTTAAAAAATATAATACTACACACCTCTGACTCCTTCTTTCGGTGGTCCTGGTGCTCTACTCATCGACATAGAGTTCCTTGCAGTTTCTCCTGCTCCTTGTAATGGGACTTCCTTCATATCTTTTATACTGCCTGTTATAGGATCTCTGTCAAATCTTAAAGTCATGCCTACAGGTGCTAAGTCGGAGTGTAATAATTGAAGAATGTCAGGTTCTCTTGGCCAGTAACACTGTACATTATCAATCTGGTGAATGGGTAGCCGTTCAGGACATGTAATGTACGCACGTATTTCGGATTTTATGTCGCTCAGTATAGGCGGTGGACCAAACGGCATCTAAAATAATAAAGTTGTACATTAATCAATTATATATTCTAACGTCTATGTCTATTTACTGTAGCAATTAAACAATTTTTAATTTGAACTTTTAAATCGAAGCGCAGTTAGTGGCTTTACTATAAAAAAAATGATAAAAAAATATGCACTTGCATGCTCCATAGAGTCGTATGCTTCGTAATTTTAAGATTAATTTATTCATATCTTGTATAATGCTGATTATAAAAGATCCTGTATATTTTGGAAACCGAAAATGCTGGCATCAATTGAAATATAAATATAGGAGGTTGTGGTTCATAAAATCTGTCTTGTTGTTCCAATAAGATTAACTGGCTGTAATAAAGATTCTTTTGAATTTTTAATCTCGAAAATTACCTCGATGTTATATTTGCCTTTTGAGACGCTCATCTTTAAACAAATATATGTTGAGCGAGGTTTATTAATGTTTACAGCAGTTTGGAGTGTTCTGATTGACGTTCAGAATGACAGAAATTTATTTGATGCACTACCGCCATCTATATTTTTTGAGAAAATTTATTACTATTAAGAAATGATTAAACGTTGATACGAAAGGACACTATTTTACTAAATGATAATAAAGAGGATTATGGTCTCACACGGCTCCTTCTGAGCGTAATATTGAGAACCATTACTCACATAGAAATCAATGGAAGATTGTGTGGTTCATAGAATGTTTTGATGAATTATTTTACATTTCATAAAAGAATCGATATAGTTTTACAATTATGAGTTGTTCCGGTATCTTAACTGCATTTTCCAGGTAGAGTTTCATGTTTTCCGCATGTGTCATTCTTATTTTTATATAGAATTCATTTAGATCATATTATAACCTCTTACTGTAGAAAATAATTTTATAATAATTTCTTTCAGAAAATAATTATTTTCCTTTTAAAAACTACCCTGTCTACATAATTTATTTGCTTGTCACAGAGAATTCAAATAGCAATGAAATTTATGTAAAGCACTTCAGGCAAATTGAAATTTATGATTACTATTTTTCAGGCTAACAATATACAACCGATCCAACCCAATAAGAAATATTTCTACCAATACAATACCCGTGTTCTTCAGAATCACCGATTCTCTCCTGTAACTATAATACTTTATCTTGAGCTTGTTTGTCTAGATAGTAATAATTTCATTGATCGTGTATTTTTACTTGCTCAATTACAGAGCAGAACCTTTGAAGAAGAAAAAGAAACTTGACCCGGCAATTGTTAAACAAAGAGAAGAGAGGAAAAAAAGGAAATTAGAGAAATTAATTAAAAGACTAGAAAAGCATGCGAAACAGTTAAAACCAGTAGATGAGATGGAAATTCCTTTAAAATTAATCGATGAAAGAAAGTAAGTATCTGTCACATTATCAAATCATATTTCATGTATTAATATGGTTGCTGCTAATCTATTTTTATTTAAGGATACGTCTCAGACAGATCTCACCACTATCCCCCGAAGTAATAGATGAGAGAGTATTACTGCAAAAAGAATGGGCCAAGTATAAGCTGAACCAGAATTTAGCTAACATACAAAAGTTAGATTACATAATGTATTCTCAACAAAGAGCTCTGGATGAACTCAAGGCAGTATCCGAAGACCTATATAACGAAGCAATACAGGTAAACAAGGTGAAGCAATAATTAGAAGTAATTTACAAATATATGTTTTTACAGCTTGATATTCGCATGCTACCACATACAACGACTGGTCCTGTGAGAACTCCACCGATAGAAAACTACGACAGTCCGGATGGAGACTATACAGACATAACTCGTAAATTTGAAGGAGAGACGTGAGAATAGTAATAGACTTATATCTAGTATCTATAAAAAATTAGATCATTGAATAAAATATTTGTCACCGTACAAGATCAATCCCTTGTCTTTCCACTTCTTACTCACGATGTTACACATTGCACTGTCGACAATTGCAATCTACAAATAATCCACTACGAATCGATTTAAAATATTTTTATTTCTTGGGTAAAAAACAACAGTACAATTATATACAAATAATTTATACGATTTGCTACGTCACGAACGTATTCGTAATTAGACACTATACCAGATAAATGTATGCAGCCTTTGGATTCTGTAATTGCAGATATGACGTGTCTCTTTTACGATATACAAAATTACATAAAGATTAACATAAGGCGTCATTACGGATACGTTGCAGTTTAGGATATATCGTAGCGCAAGGATATTACGCGAAACAATAAGCTATTATGATAATAGAGTCAAATACAGTAAGCGTAATTTGTTAATTTTCCGTACAAAAGAAGAAATTAGAAAGATAAAGTCGGTGTAAGCATTGATACTAATTAATCTAGAACCTCGTTCGGCAAGTGGGTACGTGTTTCGTATAAAATGACAACCCGAATATATATATATATATATAAATTTCATATAATCAAATTTGCATTTGTATATCAAATAAGATAAAGTTGAGGAAAAAATGGGACAAACATATTTTCGTAAAGCCGACAGCTTTGAATAAAATATTAAATAATCTGATATGCTGAATCTGATGGCTTACTAATAAATATAATTGGCACGAATTCTTAATATTTTACTGATAAAATACAAAGGTCATTCACAGGCCGCATAAACAGAAAGCAAAAATAGAATAAGAAATGTAGATTATCCCTTACTTGCCGAGCGCTGTCCTAGCCATTGGAGTAAAGATACACGTACCAATCGTACCCAGCAAACGCATCAAATTTTATGCAATATATTCATTATGTATAAATTACATGCAATCTATTGATTCCTGCTGAAATATATAACACGTTACATTCACTATGTGAATAGACACAAAGGTCACGTATCTAAGTATGTATTGAAATGTGGGTATGAACAAAAAGTCTAGCAAAATTGTATGGCGTTTCTGCACACACACACACACACAATTATGTGCGGTAAGTGCACAGTCAGTGAGAAGGCAATGTTGAATTTCCAAGAAAAAAAGAAAAAATGTAACGTGTTACATTTTTGAGTAGGAACTAGTAGTTCGCACGTGTAAAAGTTAGATGCAATAAATATAAATATGTTACGTAAAATATTGTCTGCTGGGTATATACATATAGTGTTCGACTGATTACATTATCACAGTAAAATTAAACTAAAGGAATATGGGTCTGAAAGCTACGAATTTTAATTTCGTGTCTGAGAGTGATTAAAACCATAATCTACATGGTAGTCATTGCATACCATGAAATTCCAATAATCAAGGCTCTCAAAAGATGGAATACGATTAAAGATACTGATCGATGAGTAAAGATAAATAATGATTCGTGTAAGTCAATCGATCGCGTCTGATTTTCAATGTCGAAGAACTTGTAACCGGTATCGATAGAGTTCACTATAAAATGCGAAAGTCGGTTTCCATCAATGCTGAAGAGTCCTACAGATATGTATCGAAATCATTCGGAGGATTTGAATGATTTATGAATCAAATCTCAAAATATAAGGATGCTTCGTTAATGAGTCTTTATAAAATTACGAAAATTGCCTGTCTATACATATATTTAAATATACGATATGAAAAAAAAAAAAAAAAAGAAAAATCATCCGTTACTTATCAAAAACTATCATTTAGACTAGAAGCATCCGACTGATGATTTAGTTTACAATTAAAGATGTAGGGCTTGATATAATTTAAAGGACTAATCGAATTTAAGCTCGCGCTTACACATGGGACATTTGTCGCTACTTTTGAGACACTGCCTGAGGCAATCCGCATGAAAGAGATGGTGACACGGCGTCACTCTAGCTTTCTGCATGTTGCAAAGACATACGGCGCATACGTCATCGAATCGTTCAATTTCGTCCACGGTGGCTTTTCTATACTGATTCAAGATTTCACGTTCCTTTCGTAGAACAGCACCAGAGTTCTGTAGGAGTTCCTTCGACCTGAGGTAGACGTTCAAGTAGGAGGCGACAAATAGGAAACGCCAGGGTGCTGACGGGAGCAGGATGAGAGTGAAGAGGGTGGACATGCCTATGGTGAAGCAGCGCAGTATCACCGGAGCATAAAGATTCTCAATGCATTCGAGAGCTTCTAGTTGAAGGAAGCTCAGGATCGGTGGGAACATGTCAACGAAGACTTTCTCCGTCGCCGAGTAATAGGTCCAGGTGATGACGGTGTAGAGTGTCGAAGGTCTGGACAATGAGTGAGGTGTCAGTTAACAGATTCGACCTAATTAATAATTCCTAAATTGTATCCAGGATACTCAGACTTTCTCTACTTACTTGTAGTGCTGAAGACCCTGTTCCAGGCCGAAGACCAGCAGCATGAAGGTCAAGGTCACGACGAAGGTCACCGCTTTTGTCCACTCCAGGACAATCTTCGTCGCCGACATGGCAAGGTGTTTTATCTGTGATCTCTCAGTCAGGGTGACGTACGGGGACCAGTCCTCTTTCTCTATAAGTTCCTTTATGTAGCTAACGCAGTAAGCTATCACGTTGTAAAACATCAGGGTGTAGAGGCAGGTCATCCTCTGCTGGGGCAGCAGAACTTTGTCAGCGAGCATCAGGAAGACTATTTGATTGGCCATTATGGAGATATTTTTCATTTTCATAAAAAGATTCTCAGCCTTGTCCACCGGGGCGTAGAGATGTTTCAGGAAATTGTACAGAGGGTTCCAGGCCTTCTTGGCTCCATCTGTAAGAAGGAACGACGCCATGTTTTTTTATACTGTTACAAGATAATTAGTTCTGATTATATTTTTTATCGTTATATCTTAACGCGAAACGATCGTAAGTTTTCTGTAAAAAATCAACCGGATGTGCGACAGCAAAACGACCACCCGTCCTAACGGTATCGTCATTTTCTTAATAAGCGAATGAAAAACGACCGTCCAAAAAATCGGCAGGATGGTCATTTTTCAATATTCTTTTCAACACAATACCTTTGCACGATCACACGAAAGATTTTCTGAAAATTCGCTTTTCAGTCGCTAATTGAAAAAACGACCATACGATTAGGATGGATGATCGTTTTGCGACCGTCTGTGAGGTGAATTTTAGGCACGGAACGACTCATTGTTCTTTTACGCTCGTAAAGACTGTCAGACTAGTTATTTAGGAAATAAACAAGTATAGTCTCCTTATCTACATAGTTTACATATGCATCATACCTATCGTTATCAGTAATTCGGTAAACACATACGATAATAGATACATCAATCACTTTCTCTCGCAGTGGAAGGACCAGTTGTTATCAATTGACGATATTAAGCTTCAGAGTTTTTAAAGAGCTAAATCATTCTTTAGCTATTCTAATTACGTGTATATAATAGTATGCTACTTTATACACATGTATTTACAAAACTCAGATAACAGATAGTCAAGGGTCCAAACTGCAACTTTATCAACATTAGATATATGTATATACCGACATGCATTACTATTGCCATCCTAGTTGATATCTCTAATCAATAATGCACGTATGCCCTAATTTATTATAAAACTCCAAAGAGAAACAATAAACCGTTTCTTAAAGACATCAAGTCTACATTATTATTCTCGAACCATCAAACTTTCCTATTTAGCACGCGACCCACTTATCACCAATCGCATGGAGCAGCTGTGTGAAAGATAAAAAATTCTTGCACGTTCGCATGGTGATTTGAATTTTGAAGAAATGAGTAAAAATATTATTATATTATCCGACTTTGTCATATGTTATATCCAGCAACCACCAAGAGATTTCAATGCCCGTTTAACAGAATTGAACTGTCACGTATACGTAACATATGTGGTGGTACCAATTGCAAGATTAAAAAAGATGTTGATAAGATATAGAACGAATATACAGAAAATTCTGGTATATTGATTAGGTTGGATGTTTCGTGAGTATACAATTTATCCAATTGGAAGAAATCTCAGAGGATGATCATATTGGTATCAATTGAATTACAAAATAATTGGACGCTGCATAGCGGAAGGGGTAGTTGGAGAGAGAAAGAAGAACAAAATTAAGGTGAAGAAATACGACGAACAGATTATACACTACTGATGAAGATTGGTGCGGAGATAATGAGTGAGAAAGAGAGAGAGAGAGAGAGAGAGAAAGAAAGAGCTGGAAGGGTTAAGATAATAGTAAGGTGCCAGAGAACGGAGTAATTTACGATACGGTGGTCTACTTTGTTGCAACGTGCACACGCCTCTTCGGCATCGCTAATCGAGCGTAACGTAATCGTCCCGGGCGATGGATCGTCTTGATTTTTCGTATCCAAAGGATATTAGCATATTAATGGACGTCAATCACAGAGTCTTCGGCAAACAGGACAAGACGTACGTATCGGGAGGAGTTTAAGGCGTCAGGAAGGGGGTTTGGAGGCGCCCGTGAAGGGCGATATTCGCATGGCAACCGACACAGCATCCTTTGGGTTTCAAGGATCGGCTATGGGGTATAAAACCAGCCGCAGATGCGATCCTGAGCACACTTCAGATCATCCAAGGATCACCTCGACGTCCTTCTCAAGATCGCCAAGGAGTCAGGTGAGGATCAATTGCGCTGATAATTTATCTATCCTTTATAACTGCGTACCCTGGATATACAAATTTAATACGTATACTGTATCCTAATATACTGTTAGGGTGTTTAGTTAACGTTAAAACGGACACACTTAATCATAAATTTAATAATTTCAAATAATATTGATTATATATATAGAATTTCCGTACCTCTAGTAGCTGCGACCAAAGTCTTCAGGATGGCCACTGGGTATCTGTAGTTAGCGCTGAAGACGACCGGTAGGACCAGGGCCGAGTATAGCGCCGGTGCCGGGGATGGCAATAGGGGCAGGGGCCCTCTGGGACAATAGGGTAGCAACAGTACGGCACTGAGCAGACACACACTCTGAGCAGTCTTCTCTCTGTCGAAGGTCAGGGAATTCGCCCGCACCCGACCTCTCACGCGCGTTATCATCCCCATCTTCTGGTCTTTCTGAAAAATCACCATTAAAGTGTAACAAAACAAAGTGCAGGAGGATCGAAAGATTCGTCTTGAAAGACACGATAGCTTTTAGGTTTCTTAATTCTCGCTTCTTTGACTCTTCCTTTTCCCTCGATTTCTCAGTGCAACTCAGGAGCCTACTCAGCGCCAGATTTCTTGGCAAGCAACTTCTATCGCAAGAGACACGTCCCACGGTTCTATCTCGAGCTTCACAGTCTATATTCGGCACCGTGAAGTATTTTTGGGAAGGCACTCGGCTTTTCCGTTGGCTTCCCGCGAGATGTAAACAACCTGGGGAATAGGCCAAAGCCGCGTCACGTATCGCGAGAGCCTTCCAGATAGGTTACAGTGGCGAGAATACACGCGAATTCGTGAATACGTTGGGTGAAGATAAAGAGAAAGATGCTAAACACTCGTAAATCACGAAACGTCACGTACAGCGCACAGATATACAAAGGAGGGTTATGTAAAGACTTGTCGTCTTCGTACGATGCCGCGTGAACTCGATTCAAGAAATCGACATTTGCGAGTTAGTGTCTCGAAACTTGGATCGATTCCGAAAAGCATTCACGATATATTCGCTTCGATATTTTATAACAATTTCATTAGGCAACTTTGTGTCGCGTGCAATGAATATTCGCCTGCATTCTAAACGGACGTTGTAATTATTAGAGGTTACGTTATGATTTTCGCTGTCAAAACAATCCACAGAAGTGAAGGAAAGGTTGTAAACAGCTTACGGTTATATTTTGCGGTACTTTAATATGTACCATCTACCCCGAATAATCTAGGGATAATATCGTAATGGGGTTAAAGATGAAAGTAAAATAAAAATTCTGTCCGCCAGATCGACGTATTTTGAAAACAAGAAGCGAATCGTTTTGATTATTTTTGGTACGTAAAGAAACGCCTAGATGGTCTTGAATCGCGGATTTTGAACTTTTTTATTTCTATTTGTCGTCGCTAATCTTCGGTGTTAATGTATACGGTGTCAGCGAGACGATTAAAAAGAAAAGTCTGAGCGATGTTGACGCAATTCTGAAATTGTTTAGTCGTGGGCGATTGGAAGGCCTTGACCGAGCTTTCAAGACGTATTGGCTGAACCTTCAGCTAAAAGCTTGCCACGTTGAGTTGTCAACAGATTGTGAATTCGTTAATCGTCATAACCCTCGGACGGGGCTTTTTACAGTTGTTGATCTCGTTGCGCATCATCACATACAAAGCTCCTCGGTACGTCAAGACCCATTTCTATGTTTTTCAATAGGAGCTTTCGATCTTGTTTACCATCCGCCAGAAAGAATTCTATTTTTGGGATGAGCATCACAATTTACTACATACAGCTATACGCGTTATAGCCTTTCTTCGTTTTCGATTTCCGTATATAATTTTATTAGTTTTTTTTTAGCGAAAACAGCTGTAAGTTGCATCCACATTTTATATTTATGTTTTATGGAAAGAGATTCAAATCTTAATTTTCGTCGTCTAATTTTTAACCGCTTGATTCTATGTAGTAATTGTAACGAGCACAGTCTTAAATTGTCAAAATATTTCTTACCTTTGTACAAACCGAAAGGCAGGCAAATGAAGTCAATGGACCTGGCACCGCTTCACGAGTTCAGGAAGGAGTGAATATAAGTGAAAAAAAAATGCAAATGAATTTCTGGACAATCGAATTCTAAATCGACTTGAATCACTAAGTTGTGGTTATGGCGCCTGAAGAAATAAAAGGAACTTCCGGTCCTCCTAGTTCGGTGCTTCTTCTTTGTTTTTTCTTTGTCTTCCAAGTAAGTTCAAACAGTGGAACTCCAGCCAGGGATAATTGCACGTCCGAAACGGTTGCTAACTGGTGCGATACTGATGTGGCCAAATGGTGAATGCCGTGACTGTAGGAGAGAAATGAGAATTTGGCATCGGTAGCAAGCAACGCAAATCTCTCACGCTATTCTTAGAATTCTGAAGCGTGATGTCCTGCTCTCCCAATTCCCAGCACGTATACAGAGACTAGTCTTCGTCACTCGCGCGAAAACTTGTTTTGCGTTCCTGCGCCCATGTGACCACTCGGGATTGGCCGAGGCGATGTGTTCGTAAATTTCATTCATTCGTACATCGGACGATCCTGATTGGTCATCGGCGAGTACTTGAGTATAATTCGTTTACGCAGACATTATGAAAAATTTTCAAATAATCTGACAAATAGGAGACATCCACATTACCATTATGCCTTTGACTCTGGCAAAACGTTAGGATCACGTTGTTGTCAAAAAAATATATAGATCCTGTTTATCATATAAAATTTTATTTCTTCAATTGCAGACAAACAAAGGACAATATTTATATCCGTAGATTCACTCTTTGAAAATTTCACAAAATAACAATACCTGTCTACCCGATACAATTTGTTTTGGGGGTTAGGGAGGCTTCTTTTAATCCTACGAGAAATTATAACGGAGGCGTCAGTTGACTCAGAGTGGATAATAGGCGACCTGAGTCACCAAGGGTTGTACTATTTTGGAGAATGCTCGCGCCCACGGCCACGATGCCATGAAGGCGAGTCTTGCCACCCCTGCAGCAAACCAGGATGCAACGACCGGAGACGCGGGATCGTAAATGTCCGCCTATTCTGCGAAACTCCTACGGACTTTCTTGACATTTACTATCGCAAGTATTATTGACCTGGTATACGAGACCCAGAATGCACCATAGGTACATTTTAACGTGACAATGTGTGTTCGTAAATTTTGAATTTTGTGTACATTACCAACGGTCGCCCGTAACTCTTCACTTTCCGTTGGTTCATTGCTTCTGGTCTTGACGTTCGTAATTATGAATTTTTACTTTTACAGTCACTCTCTGGCGTCCCTTCTCCTCCGATCGTCGAATTTCGATTTTTTGTTTTCCTTTATTTCTTACTTCTTATTTTATTTACGCGGAAAATACTTCGGGAAAATACGTAAAGCTCGGACGTTCTTATTATTGTCTCTGTGCTGAATCAGCGTGTATTGCGATGCAGCACGAAAAAACGTTTTCGTGAAAACTCACGTGCACTTTACCACGCTCTGACGTATTAGGTCCGTATAGCATTTTCATGTAGGCGACAACGCCTCTTTCGTTTCCTGGAATACGAAAAAAGGCGGCAGACCTTCCTCGTATGACACAGCCAAAACTTTTATAGACAATTGAATCAAGCGGAAGACTCGAAATTATCGAATGAATTCACAATGGCGTAATTAAAATCCGTCTTGAATGCCAGATGCGGGAATATAAAATGAAAGGGGCGAGCAAAAAAAAAGAAAGACAATAAAACGTAACACAGTTACGAGATGGCAAGAGCTATTAATAACAAGCTCGTTAAAAACGAGTTCGACGGGATTGATAATAACAGCAGACTTACTGTCTAAGAAACGCGATCCTTGTTTCCGTTATCATGGGTGAAAGAGCGAGACTTCGATCACTCTTATCCGAACTTGAGTGAATAGTTGATAGATAGCCATTGATGAAATTTGTTTGACGGTTGGTGGTGGGGGGGCAACTCACGGTCGATAAAAAAAGGACTAACGATAAAAAGGAAGAAGGAAACTGGTGCGGCTGAAATATTATAAATTAAATTTAAGTCTGTTTTTTTTTCTTTTATGCAAAATGTCAAGGAAAATGGGATAAAGATTTTTCTTGACTTCTGGGAACGATAAGCTTTGCACTCCCCCAGTATAGTCTTTGCTCTTGGTTCTTTGCTTGGGAGCGAGAACTCATTAACCGGTAGCAGAGTGGGGATTTGTGCGATATGGGACACACCACTTTGCTCGGTTTCTCCAGACGTGAAGTGCGCGGAGAACAAGGCTCTTAGGATTTTTTGTGTCTCGTTGCTTAGTTCACTTGGTACTTAGACACCTTTTGGAATATTTACCTGACGACCGGTCCCGGACGACTTCCTGCCGGTCAAAGCGGGGTCGATGGATGCTACGTGGAACTTCCGGTATTGTTCTTGCTGCATTATCTTGGCGATTATTGATTATTCGTAATGTACTGATATCTGGAAGGTACTTTAAAGCGAGTTTGGTTCGAGTTGACGAATTTGAAAATATTTTTTGAAAAAAAAAATAAAATACACTTACGATATAGATGTCAATGTCGTTCCTGATAATTTCTTGTTATTCTGACATAATTTTACAAATATTTTATGACACTTTTAGGAAATTCATTAGAGAATATAGTCAAGTTTATGTTACTGTGTTTTTCTTAGTATGAATGTTTCTTTTTTTTCCATAAAAAATAAAATCTAACACGACTTTAAATATACGTGAAATATTGTGCAAATTGTAAATGGAAAAATTCGAAAAATTATCTAACGCCAATTACTTCTTATACTGGAAAATATATGTCAGTAATTATAATCGAGTCACTACTTTCCACAAGTTGTCCTACAAATCGATTTATCGTTCCCATCCCCCATCCAAGGTACAAACAAGTTAAGTATTATACTGCATTGGAGGCCAGAGACCTGGAAAATTTATAACGATCACAATTCATTATTTATTACACCAAGTGAGATTACGAGCGTAGTAAACAGTCAGTATGCAAGAGACCCAATTAGTCATAGGAAAAGTCTCACAATTCTTTATTATATGACTTTTACGGTCTAGAAACACACAAAATACAAAAAAGCCGATTGCACTTCAAGTGAAGGAAAGCTGCGTAAACGAATACAGAAAGAACATTGCTTAAAGAATTATAACAACAAAATCACGTTCACAAATCGTGCTGAACTTTGACTACGTAAAGGTGACACGCTGAGAGTAAGGACTTGAATCGGCTACTAGCATTACTCATTACCTTGCATATCATGCATATAAAAATTACGATAGAACAACTAATCGACAATTGTCATGTTACAATAATGATGCAAAAGTCAAGTTGTTCTCCCTTCTGCTCCCCAAAAGACACTGTTTTATGGAATTAAAAAAAATAATTACTACAATCATTATTTTAGACCATCCAATTATTACGTGAGATACGTCTGACTAGGTTAGATAATATTAACCCTTTAGGATAAGCGTGAACTTTCATAACATTAGTACTCGTGGGGGGCAGATCGCGTACAGAACCCGTTTTGTTAATTCAATGTACGATGACGAATTGAAAAATATCATTCTGCACCGACATTTATTGTTGTTACATATGATTAGGCGAATTTAAATAGAATTAATAAGTAAACATCGCCATTTAAACTCCCCGAGGAGTGTTGGAGCGTTAAAAGTAATTTCGATAAAATATTTATGAATTTCGTTAAATCTCACAGGAAAGCAGATATACGCACAACTTTCCTTTGACTTCGCAAACAATTATAGGAGTGTCAGGAAGGTGAGGGGTTTTCTGTGATTAAATGAAATAAATTTTTCAAAAATAAACTTTCTTAGACACGACATTTCTCAATTAAAGATTTTCACGGGGCACAGACAACGTGTTAGCTATAAATCAACTAACCAGATGATCCTGACACACTGAGTATCCGACGACGTATGATAGGTTAACATGGTTCACGTAAGAAGCTGGATACTAAACTATACAAGACATGGTAGACAATATATAGTAAACAAAAGTGAACAATATAGTTGTCCACTTATAAATATCATAGAACAGATCGGTCTAGCCTTCAAATAATATTTACAGTGTACACAGCCAAAAATGTATTTTTACTTAACAGACAACGATGTTTGTTCAAGAGCTCGTCTTTAATTTTTCGTACCTTCAATCTGTTTTGTTAAAATATAATAATCAATTTCACCCAATATCTACGTTTATCTTTATTCCATTCTACTTACAGATCCACAAAACGAGATGCAGCTCAGCCAGACTTACTATGTTCTCGTCCTCCTCGCCATTTTCTTACTGTAAGGCATTGAACCATTTGATTGATTCAAACAGTTCTCTAGCCACGATACTCACGAGTACGAATATATCCTCAGGTACCTTGCTCAGCCAACGATGTCCCATTGCATCCCATGTGGCAGCGAATGCGATCAGTGTAAACACGGTGTCGTCACGACGAGACTGTGTGGCATCCCGGAATGCAGAAAGGTACGTGAGACAAATAAGCTGACGTCTACTAAAGACAACAAACTTATTTCGCGACTTAAATTAAATAGAAGAGAAATAAATGTGTATACGGTATATATTAAAATAAGTAAATTAAGGTCACTGTACGAAAGCCGTTAAACATGCCTGTAATATTGCTCTGACGTATCGAAGTACGTCAACTTAGGCATATAGATATACATATATAAATAGACCTCGCACAGTAGTTCGCCGTTAAGAACACCGATGGCAGCACCGTCAAGCGATTTACCGATAAGCTACAGGAAGCAGCTGTCCGAGTTGATCATCCGGGATAACAATGTCTGTGCTTCGTTTGCGTGCAGGGACCCGGCGAGATCTGCGGTGGACCAAGCAAGAACTGGGGAATCTGCGGAGATGGTCTTACCTGCAATTGTAGCCAGTGCTCCGGCTGCAGCCTGGATACCAATGAGTGCTTCACCAACATGAATTGTTTTCCTATGCGCTCGAAGTCTCGTCGCAGCGATTTCCTCAATCGACTCAGCCAGAGCCTCTAAGGGGAGAGTTTAATTATGATTGTCACGCCCGTACGACCCTTTATATATATATATATTTATTTATTGTTCCATTCCATTGGAAAGATCTCACTAGGTAGGCTATCATGATTGTGATTTAATCATCCGCTCTGATTAATCCCGCCGCTATAAGTAGACTATTTGTTAGATAGACCTATATACATATTACGTATATGTATAAGGTAGTTCATTGTCGCTTCGTGCGTTATACAGGCTGTGCATTGAAGTTTCATGCGGGCATAATCGAAGTTTTGCGTTTAGACTTTATTAACCTTCGGGTCCTTAATAATGGCGCACTTACAAAGCTGCTTTTTCTTAGCTTTCCAAATCCATGTGTCCTCGTGTACTTTATTTTTTTATTTTTTACTTAATTGACACGAGTCAAGGACGTGGTGTTTGATACTGATTTGGATATCTGACGAATAGACGGACGGCTAGTGCCGTGCTGGCTTGTCATTAATCAGATAAGGGGTGTTTTAATTTATATACTCTGTGTATTTTCTGGATTATTTTTTTTTATATCATTATACGCTATATTTAAATTATATTATTGCAAGCTATACTTGGTGAACCCTGTCACTTCGATTGGAGTTTATTCGTATTTATTTTTAGCATTTATATTTTTTAAGGATTTCACGTCCTTTATGGGTTCGGAAGTCGCATTATTATTACTACGTAATATTTTTATTTTCTGTATTAGGACATTCAGTATTGCGAATCGGGAGGGCATATTGGTGTTCTCCGTGTCGCCCCTCGCTATTTCTTCCTTTGTTTTTGTATATCCTTATAATACTCTTACTAGTCAGCCAGTGTGCATTTGTAATCGACGCTACGTAGCAATTGAAAGAAAAAGAAAGAAAAGACAAAAGGAAATAAAAATCATTAAAGGAGCGGGTTTTGTCATCGAGTGTCGTGTCGTCGTCAGTTCATGATTTCACTCGAAATACGCCTTCTCTTTTTTGTATTTAGTGTACAAGTGTATACCATATGCTGTAGCAAGTTCTGCGAATAGAACAAATAAAATCTTGACGTAACGAATCTCCTGATTCTCTAAAAAAAAAAACCACAAGTCTATATTTATTTCGCGAACTCAATTATTTTAAATCAACGAATACTTTGGATCATCATTTTTCGTCATATCTACTCTTAAAATTTTGGCTCGTACCCCCAAACCGCAAAAGGGCGTGAGTCACGTTAAGTTGGCCGGGTGGTCTCTCATTTTTTTTTTTTTTTTTTTCTTAAAAATACTACAGCAGAAATATTCACGAAACAGGAATGTGGAACAAGGTTCAAGTCATTTTTACATGATCCATGACGTAACGCGTCGTATGGACATCATTGAGTCGACTGCGCATGCGCAGTTACACTTCTCGTTCACCTCTGACGTCACACAAAACGTATGATAAATGCAAGCGTACGTCACTTCCTATGTATACATATATATACGTACGTATTAGTCTTTGCCAAAGGCAGAAACGTCATTCGGTAATTTGCGTTGAATACTGGGAACTCTATTTTTTTTTAAATAACAAAATATTTATTTAACATTTAGTCAACGAGGTAATCGATTTTATGAAAGTATTCAATCTTAACAGATATATGCTTTATTCAGTATTAGCATTCCTTAAATATAATACAAAAGTATGTACAAATTCATGGATGGATATTGGGGCCAAAATTGATCCGTCACAAAGAACGACCGACTGATCTCTTCTTGCTATCGAACGGACTATCGTTATCTCTTTATATCTCCTTTCTCTTCGTTCTTCGATTACTTACAATTGTACTTCATAAACACAACCAGACGTCAAGCCTACCGATATTCGCCTGTATACATATGGGAATATTCTTACGTATTGCTTTTCGAGCTGTTCATTTTTTTTCCTCAATTTATTCGTGCCTGCATATTCGTTGAGTTTCAACGAGGATCGATAATGCAATTCAATCGTGTATTCAAATCGTGTATAGTCAACTGATTCGTGATATTATTATCAATTACATTATTTTTCTTTAGGACTACTGTCCCATGATACGTTAGATGCGATTTCTACGGTCTCCGTGCTTGTTTTATAGATTCGGTGGAAATTTGTAATTATGCAATCAATTTTCCAAGACGGATACTTTTCGAAATTGGCATTTGCATTTTTTTGTCTTTAAATGTAAAATCACAAGATCTTGTAAAATTCTACACACGGTATATATCGACGTATGTCGATAAGGATGAATCATGTCCAGAGAGAACGGTAACGATTTGCATCTTTCTCACTCCAATTTATTCCACTGCGTTGACGGTCGACGCGTCACAGGCAACTCGGAGGCTCGACGCAATCAAAAATTGCGGAACCCAGTTGGGAAGCGTTCCTGGTTTTTGCTGTTGCCGCCGTCGCCGTGGTCGTGTCGCGATTATGTTAGTGGGATGCCAAGAAGGTCTTCTTGCCCAATGCATTCTAAGTGGGTCAATGCCACCATCTTGGACGTGATTCTCTAGGTAGTTTCCTTGAAGAAGTTCTGTAAATTATAATAATGCCCTTTTATGTTGACTGTTTACCTTTACTTAGTTTGATTACGTGTTTGTTTGGTAAAGTGGATTTGTTTTCTGGTATTTTCCATGCGCCACTGACAGACGAAAAAGTGGTTCGGTCCGGCGCCATATATAAATTTTAATTAAATTTATAAAAAAATATTAATCTGCTATCAAAATTAACTTTAAAAAATTTGCAAAAAAGAATGGATAAAACTATTCGAAAACGAGCCGTCCGGAACTGACGTTATTTTATGCCGCTACCACAGATTCATAACCGTGTTTATATACAAGGCCGGAAACGACAATTCGCGCCATTCAGGCGATTTAACTGCGATCAAGCGTGATGATTATTTATACCGATGTTTTCACGGTCCGTTCGGTACCGGCCGATCGTTACCAAACGATCGTAATACCATTAATTTCGATCAGGCAGCAGCGCAAGGAATTTAAATGGAATAAGCTATCTTCGAATTAGACCGCGAGTCAGTCGTATAATTTAAGTAAACGAGAAAGAACGCAGATCCCCTAAAAAATACATACTAAATATCGTGAATTAAAAAAAAAAGGAGGATGGTAGGAAAAGCAGACCCATAAAAAAAGCCATTTGGCATACATACCGAAGACATACTTCCCAAATACGATTTATAAAGCACTGTATTCCCAAAGCATATGTAATCCTCTAGGTGAATAACGATAAACGATCCCACAGCAATGGCTTATTATTCCCGTCTAGTCTAGCGCCAATACAAATTTATTAACGCACGTAGAACATACGAGTCTCAATAATGCGAACAGCAGCCGCGTTTTATTCGTATACCACTATAGGTTACTTCACTGTGTAACGAAGAAATGACTGACAAGCAATGGATAGTATTAATTTCTCAATGCTTCGCAAAGTTTGTCTAACGTCCAAGGTGAAAAGAACTGTAGCCGAAGCTCCGCCATTTATAGAAAATGTTTGACGCTACGCAACCCACTTCACCATAAACAACATGAAATGCAATTCTCTTACGTGTTTACGAAGCGTATCCAACGGTTTCCGTGGCAAGACCGGTCCTTGTAGCACTTCCATAATCGTGTCGGTTCAGGATATAAAGAACGAGGAAGAAGAAGAAGAGGATGCGATACGATGACGACGATGAAGAAGACGTGCGAGAGAACGAAGCGATGAAGACGATCTCCAAAGGCGAAACTTAATCTAATAGAATGTATCTCGGAGTCTATTCGTAATTTCTTATCACGTTCCTTTCTCCCAATCACTGTCCGTTTTGTTTGAGCAGCTTCCTCGTCCTGAACCCACGAAAACCGGCTTGAATCCTCGTGGCGGCTGCCTGCGCCGCCTGCTGTCTCTTACGCACCAGGAAACCCCGTACGCCGGCTTGAATTTTCGTAGCTGATTTCTCTTCGAGAGCCGCCCTTGTGTCTTGCTTTTTCAATGGCGGAGGACTTGTCGCGTTACCTTCAACTTTCTTATCGTCCTCCTTCGATTCCTTGAGCTGCTTGCGCACCCTGTATCCCCGAAATCCAGCTTGGATCTTCGTAGCAGCCGTGTTAGCCTTCATTACGTTGTCTGACTTCTGTGACATTAGCTGTTCAGACACTCTTTATTTCTGATCCTCACAGAGATCAGATATATATTTAATCTCTTAGTCTCCCGCGTCCCGGAGACTCTTCACTGATTCTTCGATTTATCTTTTTCTCTTTTCTCAAATATCTCCCGTGTATCACCACCGTTCCAACTCGCGTAGTGTCTCGTGCGAAACTGAAGCAACAGTTGCGCTCGACTTGAACTCTATACGGACGGAAAATCCTCGGCGCATGCGCAGAGACCGTTTCACCTGGTTTACGCGTCGTTGAACCACCCGTCGCTTCGCTTTCGCTTCTCCCCGATGACGTTGAAAATTGGCAGAATTCACTGCTGTTTCCCTATTACCACCACAAGCAGTATCCTCGCCATCGTCATTAACATCATCATCATCCTCGTAGTGGTCGACGCCGTCAGTGTTACCACCCTGAGAAGGTCGATTGTCCCTGACTAATCACTACCGGGCTCTAATGTTATTCTCACGTCGCTTTGTCTCAGCGCGAAATTATTGCGTAGCAGCGTCGATCTCGACGACCGACCCGACGCTTTACGATGACTAACATCAACACATTGTCATCGGCAGACTTCACGGAAACGTGCATACGTGGTTCAATCAAAATACAACACTACTCTTTGTCCCAGCTCCCGTACGTACATTTACTCGTATCTTGACGCCTAACTCCACTTATTATTTATGCCCCGTTCACAGTCATGCATTACAATACGTATATTACCCGATCTTTTTGTTTGTCCAATAAGACTGAACATGCATTCAATTGAATCCTGGGCCAGATTACTGCTCCGAGACATAATAAATTCATCGACTTGATCGATACTAATTGCGACTCGAGACACACACCAGTTACACACACGATACGACATACCAATCGTGGGATACGAATCGAACGATAATTGACACGTGACTCGTATGAAACCTTTTTTTTCAACTAAATTTTTTCAACGATCATTAAATTTGAAACGTGCTTGTATTTTTTGTACAAATATCAAACTCACCAAACATCGATCTTCCATGATATCAATACTTTGTACGTAAGTACTAGAGGACGCTCACGGACTCTTTGATCAGGACAATTGATTTACTCTTTCTGTCCATAACGTTTATCTCCCTCGATAATGTTTACAGTTTCAAAATAGACTGCGTGTTTGATCGGAATGAAAAATAGCAGCGGCAATTACGATGACGAGCATCGTCGAACGTTTGTCCATATATCGTCAAGCTTATTACACTCCTACGCAAACAGCCTCCATTATGCTAATCCTTATATATTAATATCCACTGTAGATTCTATGGGCCACCGGCAATGGATGCCTATACGTATGCTCGTTCACATCGCACCCCAGTTGCATTATTAAGCCGCTATTAATAACGACTACTTTATCTTCCTGTTGCTCGTGCGTCACCGGCAGGACGTTCAATGAGAATACCTCACGTGAAAGCTTCATTTTTCACTTCTACTCGAGTATATGCGTACATACAGAGATTATTGAATGAAAAGGAAAGTTGATTGAAAATTTATCATCATATCGGTATGTGATATTACTTTGGATAATATTGCCAGTGAGTATATACATATCGTGTATACAATACGAACTTCTAATTTATCGTTAACCCGAAGTAGTCGTGACCTTTGACCTCGAGAAGTGACATGAAACCGTCGTGCTTCGACCGTGACAGACTTTAAAATTATCGTCGTGTAATATTATCATCGCGTTCACGTACACGGGAGTAACCAGACCTAACCTCACTTTTGCATGTTGGTTCTGTAAAACAGCCAGGAAACAGTGTGTACTCTCGAAAACGAATATTCTGCTTCCTGTTTATACTGTACTTCCCCGGTCGCAAATGATTTTATTCTTTTTATTTTTCAACACTCCTGAATGTTCATCTGTCCGAAGTCAGATACAAACGGGGAGTTTTGTAATTTGGTTTTAACCTGTTGGGATGCTTGAAAAAATTACATAATAATACTGTTACTCGTGACTCTCGACTTTCTGGCTGCCCAAAGGCAAAGGTGTCTCGTGTTTCGGTCTGCTACTTTTTTTTGTGGTATTTTATAAATTTGCAAAATTACATAATCTATGGTAGAAGGTTCACGACGTTGACTTTGTTGTTCTTGTACTATCTTTGGTTTTTTTTCTCTCATGAGTCTCAATTATTATTCCGAGACACCACTTTCTAAATACGTGACTTTTCTCATGTCGATTCACGCTAACTTCATCCTTTTCTTTGAGCTCTGTAATACGTTTCTCTCTCTCCCTTTTTCTTTGGCTCATCCATTCTCCCAATGTGACATAATTTCTGGCGTGACGCATCGTTCCCTCGTGACGTAGCAGCTTGCTTGGGAGCAGCCACTCTGGCCAACGTTAGCGAGAGTGTACCGAAATACGACCCAAGGTCCATTCCTGAGCTGGTGATCGTCGCATTCTTCGGCCAGAAGGAATGCAGAACGTGACTCGTGATCGTTTCGTCGCCCGGTCACCATACCGATGATCAAGATGACGATCATCCACACAAGGATCATCCAGGTTATTAAATGGTCCGTTCAGAAGAGCACCCGGGAACCAAAAGACGATCGTTAGTGAATCTTCCCTCGAGGAAACTAATGACTCGTCCGAAGTTAGCTGCACGGATGGGCGCGGCAACTTCAGTTTACCTGGGCTCTGTCCTAGTTTAGCATAACTAATCTAGCGACATGCCTTAATTTTTGGCAAGCTTCACTCATTAACTCTGCCCTAGGTATGACGTCAAGGTGTCCTCTTCCAGAGATACTGATAAGAATAGCTCGCCTTAATAGGTTCGGCCAGGAAACTCGAAAACGGCTTCAGTCATTTCCCTTAAGCCCAGGTTGGGCGTTGACGTCACTTTTTCTTTTCAACTTTCACTCTTACTCTGAATTTGGACTACAGGTACTGGCGATAAGGTAATGCGCTTTGTTTTGAATTTTCTTAAAGCGGAAGCTAACTCTATTCTTGCTTCTCCTCGTTGTGAATAGAGTATGTATTGTTCTTCTCCGTGGATGAAGTTTTAGGACTTTTTTCCGATTCATCCGTGTCTTCCGTGGACTCTATGGGTGAATTCGATATGTTTTCTTTGGGACTGGCTTGCTCCTTTGTTTCCGTTATTTGATTTTCTTTTAAATTTTTTCCCTCATTCGTATCCTCACTGGAATCTTTGCTCTGACCTGTTTGACAGTCTTCCGGCTGTCCCTGGTCGTTCTTGGCGTCTGACTGTAGGACATCCGGTTTGGCTTCTGCGATGGATGCTGATGCATCGTTATCAATTTTTGCTTCTTCTGCCTTCACCTGGTCCTCGTTCGAGGAATTGCCCTCCACTTCAGACTTATCCGACTTCTCTTCGACACTTTTTGGAACTATTTGCATCATGGTCACAGGCGACTCCACCCGGTCGCCGCTAAGCTGACTTTCCTGCGACCTGCTAGACTTCAGCAGATCCCTAGGGGTCACTGTGACCTCGAGGATCGATTGTCGCTTGGATTGAATTTGCTCGTTTTCTTCGCCAAAACCCAACATGTCATCCACGTTCATGGAGAAGGAAATTGTTGCCAAGGAAGCATCTGGCACCATGGACGAAGGATCAACAGGATGAGCGGAATCGATTGATTCACCAGGTCGATGATCTGGGTCAAGCGATTCTAATTCAGACTCCAAATTAGCCAATGGTGGCAGCGCTTCCTTTTCAGTCGAATCCTTCTTCTCCTCACCAGGAGCAGCTTCCTCTTCGCGCACCCCCACTAAACTCATCTTAGACGTGCCTGCTGATCTGTTACGTCTACCGGATGAGACTCTGGATGTCTCTGGGGACGTAGGATCATCCAAAGAGATAGGAGAGCTTTCCAGGAAGGCGTGCTCGTCGTCAAAGGAAACCGGAGAATCATGAGTAAGCTGATGAGTCTCAAGTGAAGGATCTTCGACTTCCTCCAACGTTTCCGGTTTAGCTTCAGCATCCGGTAAGGTCTCTGGAGTTTCCGGATAGGAGTACGGTACTGGAGTTTTCTCCAAGGATCCTTCCTCCGACCTTGGCAACTCCTCGATGATGACGCCTCTAGAAGAGTCAGACAGTGCCAATGGTCCCCAGACTTGACTTCCACCGGAAACGTTGCTAGGATTGTCCAATGGCAAACTCTCAACGCCCGCATTACTCCTGAGACTCTGCGTGAGGTCCAACCCATTGATGGAATCTGCCCGAACAGCAGAATCATCTTCGACGCTTGTTATAAAGTTCAAGTACCGACTTTGCAAAACAGACTCATCCTTGGCTATCATGACGAAGTCTACGACCTGGTCCATACCAACATGAACCACTGGGATGGATGATTGGCCCATGAATATCTGACCCACGGCACGTTCCAGTATCTGCCTCTCGCTAAAGGACTCCAAGGACTCGCTAGGAACTTGGCTAGCCTGATCAGGTTCAGTGCAGGACCCACTTTCCGCAATAGTCGATGACTTCGTCACGTCACTGGTAGAACCTTCCTCCTTCGAAGAAGATGCCGAAGACTCATCTGCCCCAACATCCTTATTATTTTCCGTCATCCCATCAACTTCCGGTTCAACCTGATCTCCATCCACCACCCTTTTGTCTCCTTGGCCTTTATCGGAACCTTCAGCTGCTAACTTCAACATCAGACCCAGGTCGTCAAAGACCGGAAGTGGGATGCAATCATGAAATTCTCCCGTATGCTGAAGTCCGTTCTCCGTAAAAGCGTTCTCCATGCTCAGGGTCATCTTCTGGACGGCGTCCTCTCGTCGTAACCTCTGCCTCGCCTTGTACCCACGATAATTACTCTGAATAGTAGTGGCGGCATTGGCCAGACCCACTTCCTCGATTGGCGACAGGTACGCAGTGTCGACCTGCTCAACAATTTTCACAAAGACTGCTTACGCAACGTCAGACCGCTCCTCTCGGCGGATGCACTCTCGCTAAAGAAACTTCCGGTCCAATTGGATCATCCGATCATTGAAAATCTATCATCCATCTTACGAGTACTTAAAAATTTTCTTTGTTTACAACCCTGATTTATAGATATGAAAAAAAAAAAAAAAAAAAAGAAACACCCTTTTCGATCAAACCCCCGGCATCCGTAAACCGAAAGTTTCTCAACGTCGAAAAGGCATAACTCGTATTGGTTGAAAAAGCCAGTTTAGTCTGGCGATAACTAATCTAACAGCCATTCACGTCTCTACGTAACGTCATTCAATAAACAAGGCATCCACTACAAGAAACTGACCTATTATTCTTCAAGTATGTTATATACCACAGAAAACTAGGCGAATACGTAAGGCTATGGTTACGTGCAGCTGGCTCGGTTCTTGCTGTGTTTTCACGTGCCAAACGGTATACATGCATTTACATATTACTAAGTAATCTACATACAACTGTGTGCGCGTGTGCAAATATGCATGCTCTAATCTATTGGCAACTCTTTGAAGTTTCACTTGGTTTCTTTCTTCGATATTTGTTTGCGTGACAGGGAATGTCGCGTGGCTCAGGATTGTACAGGTAAAACTGGTACCAACCTACCAGCTGCTACGAGGATTCTCGACCTGCTTCAAGGAGACTCGGAACGAACGATCGAAATGTTTGCAGCTTATACCGACTATGGTCGTAAATGACCGTGGGAACTACGCCATTGCTTCTTGGGATCCTACCAAAGATTTTGGATTTATTAGCGACTCCTGTGTTTTCAAATTGTGCACGCGAATTTTCAGTCTGTCAACGTTTCTCGTTTTTCACTCGTGTCATAACAGTTTTCAGCTCGACGCTTTTAAGCGTTAAGATACATATATCTACATAGTTTCAATTGGTATATTTATGAAGACAATTTTTTAAAATTATTTTTACATTTTTTCGGGGGGGTTAAGCTTACGCACGCTTTAGTGTTGATTCTAAGAAAAAATGTCACCCTTAAAAATCAGAAGATACCCTTCGAGCCGAATTTTCAAGGTAAAATTAACGTCGCACGGGAAGCAGGTTACAGTGGGAAATAATAATGATAATATACAAAATAATCTCCCCTTATTTATCCGAAGGAGCGTCACTCCCACTCGGTCCGTGTTATCGGAGGCAGAATAATATTTTTTTAATTGAAGGGCTTCTCGAGCCTCTTCTCTCCGTTTGTTATTTTCATCGAAGCGAAGCGAAGTCGAGAATTCGATCCGAACGATGCTGCTTACGGTGGATCCTTAAGACTCGAACGTCGCTACGGTATTCTACGTCGGGTGGCACAGCGCGATCCTGAGCTCTAGAAATAACCACGTGGGAAGGGTGGCAAAGCAAGCGGGTATCTTAGGAACTCGAAGTGAACGTCGAGTGAATAATTGCCGAGTGATTACGGGATTTATAATTATACAAACAGCGAGCAGATCTCGGGCATTCGAGGAACGTCTTGTTGCGCCCTTGGAAGCGCCATTTAAAGATTTCGAGGGGGTTACAGAAGGGGGGAAAGGGGAAAGGAGGTACAGAATCTCCTACTCCAGGTATGTACGAATATATCTGGTATAAGATTGGAAGACTTTTTTTTCATTAAAAATTTAAAAAATGTCATTTTTAGAGAAAAAATTGAAAATATTAGAGAGCCTGCAATTTTATAAAGAATGTTTTTAATGGATGCTTTTGTAATTCATCGACGCACCGTTTGTGTGAAATTTTGGAAAATGCACTTTTTTTTAAGGGTTCGTGATTTAATGTCGAGGCGTCAAGCTGGGTTCAAGAAGATATTATTTTAAGAGGCCAGGTGTCTCTGCCAAGGTTTGACCGTCAATTTGTCTTCTTCGTATGACAGCTCTGACGTTGCCGGCCATTTCCTCTTTTACGTAATACCCGCTTTTCGATGTCGGCCGAGCGAATCGAGTTCGTATCAATTAGAAGAATTCTGGGGATTGAGTAGAAAAGTGGAAAACAAATGTCTGACAGTCGATTTGAGAAAACGTCAGTCCCGAATATATATAATGGTATTAATATTATTTTTGAAAAATACAGGATAAAAGTCCTTTATGACATTTGCCGTAATACACGGTGTCCATTTTTATAAGAGACCACAGACATTTCTTTCGAGTGGCGAAACATGCAATAAATTAAAAAGATATATGTCAAAGAATTTTTAAAGTCATGTTTGGGACAACGGCGCATGCGCACGACTGTAGAGAAAATGTTTAATGCCGTCATCGAAATATTCTCTCTGGTCAAGGATCCAAGGACGAGTTAATACACGAACCATGAAATAAGACGATTACGTGCAATAATACGTACTTAACGACGTTCAACCATTTAATTGCAATAAGCGTTGATCTAGTGCTCGAATGATTCAGTGACGTAACATGAAAGATCGTGAATTTCATGGAATTTCATAAATATAGAAACCCACGCGTCTTTAGGAACGGTAAGTTTATTGACATTTCCATCGACGGATAATAATCTCTGACATTGAAGGAAATACCCATAGATATAATATAACAGGAAATTATGTAAAATCTTACAAATTTTTCATTCCACCATTTCAAATATTCCCGCCCTTGGCTGTGTTCTTTATAGGCTCTCTATACAAATGACGTCCATCTTGAAATCCATTCCTAGCAACATCAACCTCTCGTCCGACCTCTATTAATTGTTCTGTTACCGAGTGAAAGACCCGTTAGATAAGGAGCAGAAGACGCCTATCAGCTGCGTCCGACGTGACGATGCGATCTCGAGACGCGAGGCTTAGAAAAATACTGCTGTAAATCATGGCGGCCTTCTGATCGAAATAGATTTGCGAATATACTTGTGTGACGTCACAGGAGACCCCCGCGTGGCAACATGGCGACCGAGCGTCTTGCGTCTGTGTCTCTTTAAAAATAAAACTTCCTAGGGACGTAGACCGATCGCACGTGTCTCAGAGACAACCTGGATCCTTTTCATGATCGACACTTCAATCACTGTCTGTGCCTTGTCCAATTCACAACGTCGCTGTGGAAGCACTTTTCCCTTTGACTATTAATACAATACTTAGAGACGCTCTGTAACCTTATTCGTGAGCAATTATTTTCATTCTTTTTTTTTTGACACACACTATATGTCCATCGTAACATATGGCGTTAGGTATTTATTTTTGTTTTATAGATTCTCAAAGGAGAGAAGCGGTTCGTCGAACCGGGAAAGTGACTATGAAGTTTAAAGGTCCTTTGCACAGGATATAATGGCGTTCTATGTTACGCGATACGCTTGTCGCATGATTAATTCTTTCGTTTTGTTTTACGCCCGCAGATTTCCAGCCTTGATATCCTTGGGTGCTCATGGGAGGAAATACAAATAATTGCTAATTCCTTGTTTGTTCTGCAAGGAGTAGGACTGAGGTCGATTTTTGTGATACGTATTAAAGGCGGGTACACAAGTAAGTTCGTGAATTATTTTTGTGCTGCGGACGTAAATGGCGTCGTGTTTTTAGTTACAGAAAAAACAGTGTGGCGCTGCTGTCGGGACGTGTAATAGAAAGCGGATCATAAAAGCTGTGATGGTGCCAGAGAAACGTTTTATTATTAAACATAATAAACGTCATACGGTATAAAATTATTTTTTGAGGAAATAATCGTTAATTTTTTTATTTTATTTATTAGCGAATTTTAACTCACCGCAAAGCTATCTTGAATGGAGGGAACACTGTCTAGGGTAGAACTGCGCTTTTGTGCACTCTGAAGTCTTCTGCGGGTTAGAAAACCTCGTACTCCTTTGGCGATAGGATAAATGGGCAGATGATTGTTGTGATAAATTACAAGTGACGACGAAGATTATTTTTGAGTTTTGAAAATTTTAGTTTTTTTTTTAACTCACCGGCTTGAATCTTTGTGGCTGCTGAATTGAAGGTGCTACTCTCTGTTGTTGTACTTTCCTGACTTCCGGCCACTTCCGGTACATAAATGTGATATTCTTGTTTCTCGCTGATAGTTGCGTCATCGTCGAGATTATTGGTAAAGACTTCCGCTTCCGGTGGACTCGAAACTTTGATTACGTTTGCTTCGTCAGTTTGGACTTCATCTTGTTCCGATAAAATTTCTTGAATTTTTATTTTCTCTGATTCTATAACAGTCGAATCTTTTGACTTTTTCAAGTCATCTGAACTTTCAACCGGAAGTGATTGTTCTTGTTGATCAGGTTCGACAGCCTCGTCTTCCTCAAGATTTTTATTGGGTTCTGCTAAATTTTCTATATCTTCTGATGCCACTTCTGTCTTTTTCTGAATCTTATCATCAGTATTGGTATCGGAATGGTATTCTCTACCGACGGCTTCATGATGATCTTCGTTTTTGTCTTCGGTATCTCTCTCAAGTTCCGATGACGCGTTTTCTGCATTTTTCAAAAGTTCAACCTCGATTCCTTCTGACAAAGCATCGGTAACAGTCGTAGCTTCGAGTGAAACTTTATCTTCGATATCTACCAGACCATTTCCGGTTCCCTCCTCAACTTCCTGCTCCTCCTTCCCTGTTGTATAAATCTGCACTTTTTCACAAGGTTCTTCCTTAATCTCAACTTGGGTCTTGACAATTTTTTGCTCAATAATTTCTTCTGCACCCATATCCGGTTTCGTTTCGTCAGAAGTCAGGGGCTCCACGAATGAAGTTGTACTTTCAGATTCTTGTCGACTGGTGTCACTGGCCTCCTTTGCTGACTCATCATCAGTCATTCTAAACGAGGAGACCGTAATATCCTGAAGTGAATCCAAATTTAATTCTGGAACAATTGGCATATTATTACCCGGTTCAAAAGAACCGCCATTTAAAGTTCTATCGGTTATAGTAGTTTCTTTAACCTCATTGGTTGACTCCGAGGATCTTGGTTCGATACTTTCGATTTCCGGTGTATTTTCAGAAGTATTTTCCAACGGGCCATCTGTAATGCTCGTTTCCTTCACTTCCGTTGAATCCGAATCCGTATTTCGTCCGTCGGTACTGATCACAGCTTCCGCTGGTGATTCTAAATTTTCATCTTGACCTTTGACACGATTTTCCACGTTCTCATAATCACCGGCAATCAAATCATTATCAGCTTCTCTACTTCCGGTTACTTCGTCAAATTCGTCTTTCTCCTGTATATTTTCTAATTTTAATGTATTTCCATGTTTATCAACATTAACATCATCAACTGTCTTTTCTGCTTCCTCTACTTCCTTGTCTGCTTCTTCCTTAATTTCTCCTAGATCCTGGTGTGATATCATTATTTCATGATTGGCCTTGATACCACGTATAAAATCAATGTCTACCGTCGAGCACTCGATCACTTCCGGTTCAACAATTTCTCCAAAATTGTCCATAATATCTTTCAACTTCATCATCTCATCTTCCTTCGACTCTGACGACAACTCATTCGTCTTCAAAGCGGAAGTATCTTCATTCTGACCCTTGGATTCTGATGAATCAAATTCGTGTCCGTTTTCTAATAGGATTTCCATTGTTTCGGATTCGGACGACTGGAGTGGTCTTTCCGGGATAATTACAGTAGTCACGGAATCCGGTATATCGCATGGCGAGCCTTCTGTCAAAATATAGGAATAAGGAATTGCCTCTGCGGTTGCTAAATTGGTCTTATCATCTTTTTTTTCTTTTCTTTTATCATCTTCCGCCATGTTTGTTTCATCATATTTTTTTGGATTCTGCAGCTTCTCCACAGACTGAGTATTATTTTTTACTGGTTCCTCAGCCATTTTACATATTTCCATTTGCTTCTCGGCTTGATTTTTCGGGCAGTTTATTATTTCCACGTCATCCTTAGGCTTCGACTTCACTTCAGCAGGAATTTCTGAAGTGTTTTGTAATTCTTCGTCCAGTTCCGCCTCGGCGGTTGTTCTTAAAACTATTTTCAATATTTCCTCTCCTGCCGACGTCGTTTCCCTTGAGGCAGCTGAATTATTTTGCATCTCCTTCTCGAGTTTATCCCCCTCATTTTTCTCTTCATTTCCGATGATGGTACTCTTCGTGGCTTCCTTGGCTAAAATATCTTCAATTCTCTTCTCGGTGTCTTCAACTTCACGAAGTTTATCTCTTATGTTAATATTGTCCTCGTCCTTAGGTAATTCGGAATTTAAAATGTTTGAAATTCTCTTCTCGCTGTCTTCCACCTCCTTTAATTTATCTTCGATATTAAAAATTTCGTTAATTTTTTCATTTTCTTCAGGAGGCACTTGCATTTTTGGACTTTCACCTGGCTCATCCGGTCGACTGGTGTTCGCATTTTCTGAAGTGAGAACGTTCTCAATATTTCTCTCAACACTTTCAATTTCTATGAGTTTCTTTTTAAGCTCATCACTCGTCCCTTTCTTGATTTCCATGTCAACGTCCACGTTGACGTCCGCGTTGACGTCCACGTTGACGTCGTTCTCCAAGGAATCCGGTCTCTGTGGAACTTCAGCAGCGTCTTCCGGTGTAACATTCAAGCTATCCTTGAAGACTTCCTCAGTTTCCGGTAGATTTAATTCAACCTCAGGAGTATCCTCCAAGAGATTCTCATCGAGTTCAGGTGTTTCAGGTTCCCTGGAAGTTTTCACCAAGTCAATAACATCCGGTGTGGACAGTGCTTTTGACTCCGTGGTCGATGGAGCTGTTCCAGAAGGTGACAGAATAGGTAGAACAAGATCCTCCCGAGGCTTGGCCGACTTGGGTGCTTCCGGAGATATTGGAGGTAGGACCAGGTTGTCCGAATCACTCCTAGAGACGCTCCTGGACGCGTTCCTGGATGAGGCTGACCTAACAGCTGGTAAGGAGAGATTGGTAGAACCTCCAGGACTCTTTGGAACGTCCAGATATTCTGAGACATCAGATTCCCCAGACACGCTGCCATTTTTTCTGGTACCCTTGGCTGATCTTGATCTTCGAACTCTCTCCCTTTCTCCAGCTTGAGAAAAAGCCGAGGATAGACCTTCTAGAAGGTTTCTGGTTTCCGTCAGTCTAGTCTCCAGGCCGTCTTCCTTGGTCTTCGGTGTTGCAGGCTCAGAGGCCAGAGTCTCAATACCATCCAACGAATCGTTATTCGTCCTTGCGTCAGTACCGGAAGTCTTAGCCAGGCTCTCCGACCTTCTGGACTTCCTGGACTTGGACATGGCGCTGCGGGTCCTGACATCGTCGGTCTGATTCGACTTGTTCGACCTCTCCGAGGTACTGGTCGATTCATCAACGGACTCGTATCCGTGATGCGACCTTTTTGATCCAACGGCGACCAGCTTGAGTTCCTCTACCTTCTCCCTGATGAGAGGAGCAGTCTCGTCGATAACTTCCTGGACCTTCTCAACATACCCTGGTGACTGAATTTCCTCAAGACTCTTCGTATCCGATAGCCTCTTCACTACGAAGTCCTTGACCCTGTCCATGCTCATAGCCCTGCTGCTTCTATACGAATCAGTCTTCTGCTTTTGATTATCCGTTACTTCAGTCTTCTTCCGTCTTCTCGGCTCCGAATCTTTGCCGACGCTTTCCTGCGACCTTCTAGAAGATTTTACAAAATGATCCTTACCACTTTCACTCCCCTTATCATTGATCTTATCACCAATAGATCTTCTCTCTCTGCTGCTGATACGATTCTTCCTCAGTTCCGATTTTATGTCCTTTGCCAACATTTTTGTACTGCCCGGTAAGGTAGGAATCTGCGATATAATTTTCGGCGTACCACGTGACTCTGCTTTCTGCGACTTTTCCCACTTCCCCAAATCTACATTACTAGTACTTTTTCTAATATATCTTTCGGACGACCTACCATGCTTGCCAGGCTCAAACTTCCTGAGCTCTTCCTTCGACCTGATCCTGACCACCTCGCGCGTCTCTTTCGACAATTTATTTATTTTATTTTCCTTCTCCATAGCCAAAGCACGAATTTCCTCCGTACTAATCTTCCTACCGCTATCGCCAAAGATACTTCTGTGCTTCTCCAGGACCTTAGCCGTCTCGGTCAACGACCATCCGCTCTGGGCCGCCAGCTCTCGCTTAGTACGTTCAATTCGACTTCCTTTTTCACGTTGCTTAACAGCTTTGTTCATCTCGCGCAGGGTTTGCGTATTGTTACTCCTACCAGGCAGGTCGGCACAGTTTCCATACTGATCTCTAAGCTCCAGCAACTTCTCAAAGTGATCAGCAGCAAATACGTAGATGTCATCCGGCCGATGACGTATCACCTCCCTGGTGAGACCTTCTACAGCTGCTGCCAATCCATGAGGAACGCGAGGAGCCATTATCAGCCCGCCGGATTTCAAATCTTCCGGCCTGGTAGCCATATCCGGTATACGGGAAGCTAAATCGCGTCCAACTATATCAGATTAATTAAACATTTCAATAAGGAACAATGATAACTTTAAATTTTATCAATTTTATCAATAACATACATACACAGGACAGTTAATACTTATGATCGACGTCACCGTTCAAAATAGAATCTCTTATCTATAATAACAATTCTGTTATCGTAGACTTATTGATTTTTACTATCTATTTGTTTCTGTGTAATTGACAGGAATCCAAGAAAAATAAAGATACAAACGTCACGAATACGGTTTTCAGATGAGTCATTAATTTTCCTTTGTTCGCGACAACTTTCTACTCTTATCATACCCGCAGATACTTGATTCAATTAATTAGGAAATTTTTATAAGACAATTTTAATTCTCAAACTGTTATAATAATTTTTGTAAAATTTTAAGAGATCTCGAATTCCTTTTTTTTCAGTGGCATTCTCCTGCAAGACGCATGCAAAATCCTCTCGGCAAGTTCATCGGATAATTTACGTCCATTCGTATTTATAATATAGGCTCGAAGTGGGAGGTTGGACGCGTGTCGGTTTGGTTTTGCGTCACTTGAATTTAGGCCAGAGAGTTCGGCTACCAGTAGTAGCCCATCATCTACCACACACCGTCAGTCCTTGTAACAGTCAACGAAATATCTTATCTTTTTTCTCCTACAGTCCCTCGTTCTCTCCCTCCCTTATTCCCTCGCCACGATCATATCCAAGTTGAAAAATATTGCAGTAGAAAATTTAGCCAAGAAAAAGGGAATTGAAAAACACGAAACCAACTATCAATCGACGCAGTGTATACATACGTATATGTATATATACGAAAAACTCTTCCATAAATCCATTTGGCAAAACACGCATAAACACATCATGTCTTGTATCGCAGCGTTACAGTACGTAATAGAATTCGAAAAATTTATTTAACTAAAAATATAATAAGACCGCACCAAATTTCTCCCCACTTAAATCCGACCTGTATTATCCTTCTCCTTTGTCAGTAGGTCATTAAAAATTATTCAAAAACATTCCTAAGGTTAACCACGGGAAAACTAAGGGGTTGCGTATTTTGAATTTTCGCGCGCGATACGTGCCTGTTAACGTACTCAGTACCTGAGTAACTATGGAAGATCCTCGGGTAAAATTTGACAGTATCAGACGCCTTCGCGGAGGAGCCAAATTTGAAAATAAGAAATTTCGAGAGAACGGCGGTGAACGACCCGTGCTCTTCTTACGGTGGGGAGTTCACAAGCTCGACTGAACTCCGCGAACGTTTTCACCTTCTCCAAAGGGACGATCGATGCTTTTCCATTGATTACTTAAGCTCACGTGACTACCGGCTAGTAACTACCTATACCTGCCTACCGTCTCCGCATGCTATTGCACGGGTGTACCCTAACCTATAATTGTAACGATTTCTAATGACATATATACATATGCATAATAAATAACGCAGCGTATGTTTGACGAAGCCAAAAAATTCATCAATCTCTACATCAGGGTCTACCGATTCTCATTTGATATGCTAAAAGATTCATAAGATTCTCAGGACTGGCCGGATCGAACATCGCGTGTCTCGAGGATACATAGGAATTCACGGGGAATGAGTGAAAAACTTTTCTGGATAGCCAATCGATCTCCAACTATTAAAGGTGAGAGGGTAAACGTTCTCTTCCATAGAGATACTAAGGTCAGATAAGCTACAGTCCTTGAGGACGAAGTAGGGATATAGAGATTTGCCTAACCTTTATTTTATATATATGCTACATATACTATATCTACTATCCTGCCCAGCTGTCCGTGATAAAAATACTCCTGTAAAGGTCGTGGGGCTTATATATGTATACATATAAACTTACTTTATTTGAGAATATCCAAGCAAAGATCCGATAACGTCTTTATTTTTTTGTACAGCTATCTTCCTACAAAAATAGATGCATACTTGGATGAGATATCCCTGGTATATACTTATAATAAATAAATAATCATAATTAATAAGTAGTATTGATCCTAGATCAACAGACTGTGTCAAGGACTTTCAAGAGTAATAGACAAACAGTATCCAACAGGGATGCTGCAGTTATTCAAGTTCAAAGATTAGCAAAATCTTTGAGCACGAATCGCAAATCGAGTATATAAATACATAGTGTTTTTAGTAAAAGCTGCCATACCCACAGGAGGAGCCTTAACCTTGCGATCGACATAACCTCTCATAATAAAATCTGGCATATCATATGAAACAGTCTGTATACGCTACGTGGTACGTATACCGGCCACTTAAGTGTATATAAAACTTCTTCATGATTGAAGAAACCGAAATTCTTTGGAGAATTGGTCTGCTCGAATGAAGCTCGTCAAAGGAATATGTGCAAACAATTTGAAAGATGTTAAATCCACTTTATTTATCAGCTCGCCTTGATACCGTCTGCTAGCCAGATGCACAGAGTGTAAATGCATAACCACGCATCAACTATAAATACAATAGGATAATAATAGACTGTGACAGATATACCCAGAGATTATTCAGTAACCTCCGTTAATTATTTCTTATTAGAGTCCAGCACTCATTGTTGTTTTCTATTGCTGTAGATTGCACAGAGCAATCTGTATATTTGAGCGAGGAAATTTGAAAGCTCAAAATCATACGAATTTCATCAATCCACACGTGGCTTTTGTGCAGGCTGTATTTATGCACGCGATAACGAGGGCAATAACGTGCTGATAGTAAGCACAAGACTTTATAATGCCTTTCCAATGACAAAAACGTGACACTCGGTATACAACTTTTTTTTCAAGTAGCTTATCGACTCTGCTTTGTATAATTTTACTTTCTTTTTACTTGCCAGTTAAAAGGGATATACAAAAATATTCGGTTTCCGGTGTAAACCATTGCGTTTTCTTTCGTGGTGTAAATCGATCAAGATCCAAAAATGGAAACATTTACGAAGTGGTTCAACGAATGTTCTTGTAATTCTACACGTGGTTTTCAATGGCCAATCAACGATATCGATTTTCACTGGCTTGTTATTCTGGCTTATACGTATTTTCGCCCTGAAAAATAATCCTAAGCAGCATCGATCCTTTTTATTGAAGGGTCTGTGTGCTTTTATGTATTCACGTACATATGTAACGTATATATACTACGTGGTCTTTTTTCGCTATGCGCTTGAAGCTTGACGGCCTGCTTAACGAGAGCTTCCATTTGGATTGTAGTACTTTGTGAAAATTACGTTGCTCTAGATCACAGTAATTTCGCATAATTTTTATTCTCTGTTTCTTGCCAATGTCAATTGTCTCATACGCTCCCACACTCGTTACGTTACTGCATTGAATTACTAATTGGGCAATTGGAAACGTCCACCCACGTGTTACCGAGACACATTGAAAGACTTGTGTTCTGCAGTTTTGCAAATTTTCATAGAGAAATGTCAAACGGGATTGAGTGTATACTGATGTTATTATAGAGAATATAATTCTTTGGATTTTTCAGACACGTAATACGTGTCGTGCAGTGTAGTTAGTATCTCGTTTCTATATCGTAACGTACGGTTTCAAGTATGTCTAATCATGAAAAGTGAATAGAGCTATCGATCAGTTAAAAAGAGCTTTATCATTCTGGAATGAATAATAAAATTATACGATAATAACGAATACTCCTGGAACAATTATACAGTGAAAAATACTTTTGTAAATCAAATGTGAATTTCGCGTGTCAGATAATAAATTTACCGACAGTATATTCCGATCGATTTCAAGAGATTATATATTGTACATACTCAATATATCTGTGTCAATGACTTTCTTTGCGTTTTGTCATCTCTTCAAATTTTTCCTTATCCGTGGCATATTGCAAAAGATATTCGATCTCCAGTGGATGCAGGGATTCCCCTGGGATTATCAGACAGTGAAGTGGAGCTCCAAGATCAGTCTCCTTCATGTCCTTGAGGGAGCAGGCGACTATCCTCTGATTGTCGGAACCAACACGGGCGAGACCTACTGCAAGACTTTCGGCTGTGAAGGCTACAGAAAGAGAAAAAAAAATTAATTGCTTTCTTCGTAAACTATATTTGATTAATTCTCGTTAATCATGAGTTCCCACCTACAGGAACTACGCAACTATCTACTCCAAGGACAAGACCAATCTATAGAAGGATTACAGATGCCGTTGAGCACAGCGTTCTCGAACTCGTTAAAAAGAATAACAGAGTTTATTCTTTTATGATGTTAAAACGTACTGAATTCGTTGCGGCTATCGGAACTTTGATTTGCGCGCTGTTTATCATACAGCAAAAGCATCGAGTTAATTGAGAAAGGTCAATGATTGGCCACTTTTATTTAGGACAGTGTTATGATTCTACTGACCTAATTCTTCTGCTCCAGATTCCAGCATCTTCTCGAGTATCTGTAAGAGTTGCTCGGATGCCTCGGCAACACTCATAAATCTTGGTGGCATGTACTCCTTGCGCTTCTTCAGGATACTCTCCAGGGTCGGCTCCTTGACTTTGATGTCCAAGAGGCAGAGAGTGTGTAAACCTCGACGTCGATTAGATGCGATTTTCTCGTAAAAGCTGTCTGGCTTCCAACTGTCCGTCCAGTATGGAATGGAAACTACTTCACCGTAGGAATACAGCTGGAGGCCACAGCATCCGATGGCATTGAGAATGGAAGCATTGTGGACGACGTGGACCTTTACGCCTCTTTCTCGAGCACGTAATACCAGGTCGGTGTGCGTAGTGGCACCGAAAGGATCGCCCACCACGAGAAAGGCTACATTTTCATTTTCGGTATTGTACAAGATTTCTTCGGCGCCGCTTTCCACCAGCTCGCGATCCGCTACTATTACAGGTCGGCCATAAAACTCTTCCTAACCGTTCGAAAGACAAAAAAGAACAATATAATATGAAATTTGGTATAGAGTCGAGTATTGTTCGTTATGAAATTTGAATTTAATTGATAGTTGCTTACTGGCGCCATCTTGTGAATACCCGGCTAAACCCACAGTCAATGCTAACATGTCATTTTAGCGGTAGTTCATTTAGATTTTCAATTGTTTGTGCGTAATTGTAATCGGAAAGTACTTGAAAGAGGGTTGGAATGATTCATTTCAAATGGGATTAATCAATTTCAATATGTACTTACCAATGATTCTTGTCCAACCGTTAAAATTGACGTATATGCCTCTAAGTATACTCTGTCACATTTCTTTATGATTTCAAGTCCCTTCACCGTGACATCTTTTGCGTCTCCTAGTCCCAGTCCAATCACATAAAACATCGTAATAATAAGAACACTTGTTAATGATTCTTTGAAGAAAACTCGATTTATGAGTGACACACGTGTTGCTTGGAAGACACAGTTACCGCCATGATGAATATCCAACGTGTTGAGTATTGGCGCGGAATTTTTAAATGAATACAGCACAATAATGTTCTGCAACAGTAAAAGATTTTGATTCTTAATCTTTAATCGACAATCCTTGTTGAGATCATGAAAAAAGTAAAAAATAAATTATTGTTAAAGGACAACGGAAAAATGAGAACATCTAAGGGACATTAAGATAATGTTATATCCACCAGGCATGTTTTTCTCACTTTTTATTTAATCAAAATATTAGTTACTTACACGTTCTACAAATTCAGCAAATTATAAAAAGAAAATAAAAGATCGACATAAAAAGAAAAAGATCAGGATGCAAATATCCAGATTGAGGCACCAGTTACAAATAACGTTTTTCTTTCATGTTTACATAGCAGCAGCGGCTCGTCTTCTCAAGACTCAGCGTAATTTTTGTACTTCATTTCATCCCAATTGGCCATGTTGCTCTAATATAGGAAGGAAGGAAGGAAGAAAAAAGAAGATGAGTAAAGAAAGATAAAGAAAACGATTTAAAGAAAAAGTTAATATAAATAAAAATACCGTTATCCATTTTTTCACTTTTAAACAAGCACGAATGCTCTGATAGCATAATTGTTAGTGATCATAAATCTTAAACTCTAAAACATAAATCTATCTATTGAAAAAAATTGATTTTCGATCACGATTCTTGTTCTTCATTGATGCAAATTGCGCGACTTCATCTGCAACTCAAAGCGCCGATTTGTGCGAACCCCTTTTAAAAGCGTTCGATTCTCCTCCTTTTTTTTCTCCCTAAACAAGTTTTAGAAAAGCTCGATTTTGCGAACGGGCTCTATTTATTTGAGAATAATTATTACAAGGTATACTTTGATCCCACCTTGGTCTTGCGACTTGCCGCTTTTTAGAAACAACCTCCGTGGCTTCGGGCTTCCGCAACTTAAATCCGAATCTGTTGCAAACACCATTTCCAACGTTCGACAAGGACGGTATATTGATTGCCACTGCGAAAAAATTTGAAAAATAAAAGTGTTTAAGAACGTTAACGAGCGCCTGTCGATAGTCAAAATAAATATTAGTTCCCCTACGTACATTTCGAGGTATTCCCAACGAGGTTGTTGCTCAGAACGATGTGTCGCTCCTGAACTCGTTTTTTCGCATCCACGAGAGACTCCATCTTCGCGAACTTCTTCTGATGAATTTCAGCAAAATTTGGTGCTTTTCGTGCAACAGGCGTTTTTAAATCTATAAAAGGAAAGCGGGCACATGGACGATGAAGTTACAACTTACTATAAAATATTATTTTACCTCTCTTCTTGGGGGAATGAGTTGAAATTTTTGGTCTACTGAGTCTGCTGACTGATGCATTTTGTGCCTTCTGACTCGTTCCCGGTGTTCTCGTGTTGATGTCAGACGCTGAGACGGACCTCCTTTTCAACTGTGGTTTTATCACAGCAACTTTTGCTTCGACATTTGTCATGGAAGTGGATCTTCGTAAATTTTCACTGGCTTCCTTAAGAGGTGTATAAATTTTTCTACTTTGAATAGCACTGTACTGTTTTATCGAAGTGGGCAATCTCGACTGTACTGTTTTAAGGGACGGCGCAACGGATGACTTAGATCCACATTCCGCTGAATCAAGACCATCTGCGACAGAATCATTCTCAGTAGTTCGTGCGAAACGAACTCGGCAAGTCCGCTTAACCTGACGGCTGTTTTTGTCCGACTCGTCATCCACCATTGAACGTTTCCTCCTCTCTTTTTGAAAATTGGGGGTCTTTGGTTCAGTTACTTCGTAGGTATCATTATCCAGGTCCTTGTGAGTTTTCAATGCGGAATCATCGTTAGTAATTTCAAAGGTACCGTCCTTTCTAGATGAATCCGGACTGAACGTGTGGCCTCCATTTATCAATTCAGTTTCATTGGTTAAAGGTTTTTCCTCGTTCTCGATTAAGGAACAATTTGTAAGGAAGTCGTCCATGTTTTCACGTAGAGTAATCGTGGACAGGAAAGAAGAGTTTGAGGGAGACGTTCTGTCATCTATTCTAGAAGATGTTTTTAATTTCGGTGATAGATGCATAATTCGGGCGATCCTGTCACGTGGTGTCGAGGACAACAGTGGCTTCTCGATGTCTATATGTCGTTCTTGCGGAATCGTCAGACTGCTCGCATCTAAGCCCGGCTTGGATGCTGAGCGTTTTAAACTTATATTCTCCGGGGTAGATATGGGTCTCAGTGGTGTCCCGGAGTCAGTAATCGGTGATCGTTTCTTGTTCAAAGATTTGGCCCTTCGCGGGCTGTCTCCACCGTGAAGCGACAATTTCATCGTCACCGGTGTCTTTAGAGGAGTCCCGGGTGGCGTTGAGAGCGAAGGACTTTTTGCTGTAGATTTTCTACCTTTTGGCACGGGTGTACGCACCTTCATCTTCTTCGAAACGATCTTCGGCGTTCTCGATGGCGATTTGATCGGTGATCTTGATGCGGCTAGCTTAATGGGAGACTTTCGAACTTTTGATGCTGATACGCTAACTCTTTCCCGGGATGTTCGCGGAGATGTTCCTGAAGTAGGAATCTCCAGTCGTGTTAACCTCACAACAATTTCTGGTGAGGCTGTTGATTTTGACAACGAAGAGTGAACGGACGTCTGAGGTGTCTTCGAAGACCCGCGTATCATGAAGCTTCTTTTGTTGTTCCCAGGCGATATCTTTGGCGATTTTAACACGATCTTTGGAGACTTTGAATACTTTGGACTGGTTTTCAGTTTCGGCGATGTGGAGCTTCCTCTTGACGCTCTTGCTAGCGACGGCGAAACAATCTTCTTGACAACTCCAGTCATGAGGTTCATCGTATCCTTAGTTTGGTTTGTCTTTACTTTCGGGGAGTTTTGCTCGGAAACTGTCGAAATGTCAGACGCAGCTGGAGAATGTAACGTAATCGGCAACTTCCTAGGACTTTTGGATAATCTCAAAGGCGTCTGGGAATGACTCTTAGGTGACCTCAAATTCAATGGAGACCTCTTTGGCGTCTTTGTCGATCTGTGGGGCGTCAGATTTACTACAATTGGACTATTCTGTGGTGTTACTATTCCGTTCGGTAATCTCTCTCTGCGTTTGCGTAATATTCGTGGTGATAGCGGTTGTGGGGTCTCATTTCTATTCTTCCCGGTTGGCCACTTTTGCAACACGTTTAAGAATTCATCTGTAGTTAGCTCCTTGATCATGGAATCACTTTCGTCATTTGCTGAGGAACTATTCAAGGTACTTGATTGAGAACTTTTTTTATCTTTCAACCCTTCTTGGGGATTTTCACTGTCATTCTTTGCAAAGCTACTTTCATATGTTATTTTGGATTTTGAATTTCGAATTCTCCTCAAAGGAGTTCTTTTTGCTTTTGATACTTTAATTGGTGACCTTTTTTTTGCCACCTTCTTTTTGACAATAGATGTATCACTTTTGTCACTTAATTCATCTGTACCCTTCTTTGCACGTTTTCTTGTACGAATTGGAGAATTTTCTACTACAATTTCCTGCGATGAGTTCAATTTTTCTTCATTAGTATTTAAGGTTGTCTTTTTCATAAATCTGGTAGTAGCCCTCTTGTGAATTGCTTTGTTTGTCTCATCTTGTTTTGAAGCATCCAATTCGGATGCAAAACTAGTATCAAGATTTGTTGTGTTCTGCAAATTTTTAGTGTGATGTCGTCCTGTTGAAACATTATAAGTTATGTTTATATTTATAAACATATTGTCAATGACTAAAAAAATATTATGAAAAGAGCAAATAAATTACTTGTTCTCTTTATCCCTCTTTCTTGTGCTACATTTTTTAGAGTTCTCTCAGATTCTTCATCAGCAGATGGTTCATTGCGATTCTCAATCTTCTTGGTAACTAGAATAATTATTAACATTAAGATATCTGTAAAGTCTTTTTTCCCATTGACAGAAACAATTTAATTTTTAAAGTAGATATTACTAATAAAAGAGAAATGGGGGATGGTAAGTACTAATAACAAACACTAGACATTAATATTTTAGTATGCAAAAGATCCTTTCACCGACTGTAATACTACTACAATGATAAAATAACATATTCAGTTAAATAATCGTAACACGATGCCAAGAATTACTTTAACATATATTTCAAATAATACATTTATTAGTGCAAACCGCCAATGAATACGCCATATTTTCTGTACAGCCCGCCCAAAACCGCAGCCTCAGAATGCACAAATTTTTAACAAAAAAAATAGAAAAATATATGAGATTGAAAACCTTTTACTTACTTTGACGGGTTTGCCTTGGAGAAGCGGTATTTTCCTCACTATTTTTCCTCTTACGAACCATGTTTTTTTTCAGAAATTTGGCTTGTTTTGTACGGAAACAATCACGTTAGAGGAAACATCGGCTTACTTTTGAAACGGCCGAACGTGGCGCTGTCGTTTTGAAATTGAACGGTTGTGATCAGCTTGTTGATTCTTCCAGCCAGCCAACCAATAAGTGGTCTGTGCAGTCGACCAAGGACGTTTTACGACGGCCGATTCACATCAATTCCTCAAACTCTCCATATTCGGCAATGCCCATAATACCATACGGATTCATATGTGATAAGATTGTTGTAGCACTGCTGTCACAGGATATTGAAAGAGTGACACTTCATTAAAGTACTCGAAAAGTCATTTAGAAAATTCACCCGAAAGTTCTTTTTTATTATCTCGAACATTCTTGAAAAGATGTTCGAGAGAAAGTTAAAAGCTCTTGACTATATAGATTGGGATAAGGTAAACGGAAATGGTAAGCCGGCATCTGCTTTTCGAGTGATTTCTACGTATTTTAATGTCATTAAGTAATAAGATGATCATTCATAATTTGTATGATAATAGTAAAGTAATAATGACATTGGGTTTTAGATGTTCAACACTTTCGAAAATTGGTCACATGGTTGGAGGATCAGAAGATTCGACATTATAGAATAGAAGATAGAAAGGAACTGCGTGATATTAATTCAGAGAATTGGCCACAAACTTTTGCTAAGTACTGTAGTGATGTTGCATGTCCAATTACAACTTGTCCCCTAGATCAGTTGGAATGGTTACTTGGATTTGCTATCAGATTGGAGTTTGAAGATGACCGTCAGTATTTTTATATAAAGATATCTGCATAATTGAACAAATAGCTTTAACTCTGTTTATTTATAGACAAGAATTACCAACAAGCTACAGGCAATAAGGCAAAGAATAAACAAGAAGCGGCAGTACCATGCGTAAAATCTTCTAATCCCTTAGACAACTTAGATTGTATGTATTGCTTAATCATCTTTCTTATTCCGATTGAGGAAAATCACTATATAAATTTCTGTTTATTTCAGTTGAAAGCAATGACTTTAAGAATGGTGTCAATGTCATTGCAAAAATTCTTCAGGTTCCTCAACATCCTAATCACTTAATAACATTGGAGGCCTGCAGCAAGATTGTATGCAAGAGATTGAATCCTAGTGCATTGGAAAATCCAAATTCGGTTATAGTAAAAGGTAAAGCATTTCCAATTTTGGAGGCTGACCTTGGTTTTGATATGGGAGATAAAGTATTGAACACAGCAGCAAAAATTCTTCGATTACTATACATACACGATATTAGGGACCTACAAACGAAAATTAATGAAGCCATAGTTAGTGTACAAAACATAACTGCTAATCCTAAGACGGACACGAAGTTGGGTAAAGTTGGCATATAAGTAATTCTCCAAAATCCATGATAATTTACACTGCAATCAAAGGTAACTAGTTACTTGTAAAGTAGTTATTTGTACAAATTTTCTTAAAAAATTTAAATAGTACTTAATTCCGTGCGACTCATGCTGCTACCATAATTGAAAATATCTTAAAAAGAACTCAACAATAGCGTTTCATTTATTGGACCAATCGCTTGGTAAACATTATCTCACATTTTACATAAGACACATCTGATGTATAATCATTCTAGAGTTGGCTCCAAAATTGAATGGAGATGTCTCCTTCATTTTCAATTGAAGTCTTTCAGCCTTTGATCTACTTACTATCCGTATACTAATTACTCTTAAAAGTTTATCTTGCCGAAATCTATGTCAAAGCACATCACTATTATTAAAAGAACAATGTAGTGTATGTTGTACTTATAGTAAATGATTGCTTCTAAAAGATTGGTTAGACTTAAACTGTCGGTCGCAAGTCGAGGAACGCAATTTATACACGAGAAACTTTTGACACTAAAGCTAATCAAATTAGGTCAAAGAGAATAAAATATAAGCAACTGAATTTTATTCTCTAAATTTTCAAATATTTTTTACTACCAATATATGGATCTGTAGAGATTAAACACTGATTCCAGATGATCTTAAGGGCTACAGTGAAAATTTTTTAAGAAAACCTATTGATTCTTGATAATGTTCGAACTAACGATAACTATACGATACGAGATATGCACTAACATAAGTTATACTAATAACTTGTAATCACAATTACTCTTAATGATATATTAGTTAAGGACTAAAAAATGAACATCACGTGTTGATAATAAATATTTATTAAATGGATAACAATGTGAGCAAATTATAAGTTAACACTGTGTTTACAATGGAAAATGTTTCTAGGAATGTATGGCAGGCAACTTCAGCACACGACAAATCTTTCTAAATTTATATTACAGGACACTTGAGATACCAAAAGTGTCTTAGTAATTGAAATTCCTTAAATGGATAATAATTTACTTGCTGACCATAATCAAACATTAATATTTTGATACTGTGAGAAACTCTCATGGGGACAAGAAATATAGATGATACTTTTAGATATATATATATGCTTTGAATAAATGTAACTGTAATGATGAATCATATCTAGAACTGTTCATTGATTGTTTAAGTTTAGGAAATTAATCAGATATATCGTTTATTATCACAGAATTTGTTGATTCTTTTTGTTTAAAATGTGCATTTGTACAATTATGTCCCTCTAAGCTGCAATGCTCAAGGTTTCTTTACCATAGTTCACTTCATCAATGATCGGACAAGGACTCATTCAACTAAATTCGGATGGTTTTTTTCTTTTTCCTATAAAGTATATGCCATTAACGTTTTGCAAACCATAATAGGGACACTTTGAGTGCTCACACAAGAATACAACTGTGTAGCATTGAATTTCTTAAACATTTAGATACTTCAAACATTTCCGTCCGACATTATTTATTTAGTGTCATCATTCGAAATTTAACGAGTAAGTGTTAATTTTTCATTAAATAATGGAGATTAATAATTTTATAGTCATCTGGCTAGATGTTCTACTCTGGCAACTGGACTTTGCTGAGCAAACGCTTAAAAATTTTTAGTAATTGACGTTATAAGCAGATTCCATAATAGCAAATTCTTACATGTATTTGTAATATTATGACAAAATATATAATATAGTTGACGCTTGTATGAAGCTGACTGCGTAGTAAATGTATCGATGTAAATATATATATGTATAATGTATGTTAAAAATGTTATACTCCGACTTACAATTATGACCACCGAGAGATTGTTCAGATGAAATGATTTTATGGAGGAACAGCGTCATCCAATCCTTTCGTTCGTTAATTCTTCATGCTCTAAACGCACGTAGAATCAGTGACTCATAAGTAGTGAGTATATTTTTCAGAATAAAAATGAACATTCAAAACGGCTTGTAAACCTCAATTTGTCTACTAAGGCACTCTCCATTGAGTCTGCCCAGTGAACACTTAATGAAGCAATTTCAAAACACGAAATATTTGTGCTAAAAAGACAATTCTAAAAAGAATGTAAGCATCGGTGCTGTCGTCAACGACCTTCATGGGTTGTGTGTGCTTTAGCAATGGAATGTCACTGGCAAAAGTGCTTCATCATTGTACATTGAAAAATTAGGACAGTCTACATCTATCTTTGCTGCTTGAAGGCACCACTTGCAATCCCTGTCTTCTGGGTGGCTGCTCATCCTGTAAGGATGCTTGAAGTGCTCTGGCTAGGGCCTCATCCTCACTCAACGTTCCCTGTATATTTCGGATGTTTTGAGAATCATTTGTACTACCCTGCACTGCTGTTTTACTACTTGTTTGTCGATTCAAAGCTTCGAGTCTCCTCAATCTGGTGGCCTCTTCTCTCCCGATGCATGCGTGATCTGTTGGATGTCTATGTTTCAAACAAAAATTGTTTCCACAATCACTGCATTTTACTTGTACAATTTCCTTGATTTTACAGCCCTTTGTTGAACACTTATTGGTAAAGACTTTCCGACGACTCTTTCCAAAGTCTGCTTGACAATCATTATCCATATGTTGCCCAACAGCCAAATCTGGTGGATCTCCACGTTTCGATGGAATTGGCATATTACACAATGGACATACTGGAACTTGTACATCCTTCTTATAAGCACTTGGACAAGAGTGGGTAATGTAAGATATGTGATCAGTACAAAAAATTGATTCACAAGCATCACATTTCAGTGGGAGAAAATCAAGTCTATTGCAAGTTTGTTCAGAGCAGTGCTCTCCCAAGTTTGGAAATTCCATCGTACACCAAAGACCAATATTATGTCTGCAAAGAAAGAATGAAACTTATATTCTCAATTACGTTTTGCATAAGCTATGTAATCATGCCGAACAATATCTATATCAATATTCATGCTCTAAAATTCAAAAGGATGATGCAATCTTGTTAAATGTACGATATAAAATATCTAAAACATATTTAGAAATTATTAGATCCGCCCAGAATTTAGAAACGTACTATTCTGTGCTAATACACTGGAAAAACGAAAGCAAAATTTAAGATATGGTCCAAAATTACTCCGAAAATACTGTTCTATTTATTATACAGGAATAAGTCAAGAAAGTAACACTCACCAGGAACGACAGAATATCTTGAATACGAGGAAATGCTACTAGTTAAGTAATAATCCGATAAATATTTAGAAACTTCTGAACGGACGTATCACGAACACTCTCCCGCACAGACTAAAATTTGAATAAAAACACTCGGACACTTTAACTGACGTAAATATCTTTTACGTAAAGTAACTTGTACCGGAGCTTACTCGGCACAAAGTGATAAGAAATTTCAAACGAACATCCTTTTTATATAGACGACAGTTAAATTGTAGAACATTCTAAATTTGTTGCATCACGAAATTACCGACAGGAAAGTGAATAATCATGACGCTGCTGTTTGAGTGACTTGATCGTAACACCCTCGCACGGGATCACGAGGAAAACTCAATTTCCAAAATATTTTTAAAATATTTATACAAACATAATTATTATAGTGGGGTGTTACAGTTTTATGGAAAATAGTTAAATTATTATTTTTTTATTAAATATAAAATCATTTTACTTGTGGGTATTGCACATTTCTTGAAAATATCTGTTATAAAAATTCAGTGAAAACACCATAGGTAAAATTATGCGCTTATATAAAATAGTATAGTCTAACAGTTTTTACATATGAAAATTTTTATTTATCCAAATTGATCTTGAAATGGAGGTAAATTCAATATTCTTGCAGAGCCAAGAGCCATCAACCCTACAAAGTCAAAATTATGTATTAAAAATTCAATAATGTCTGTTTCTAGGTTAAAGCAATTTTATAAATATTGAATAGTCAGATTCCAGAGGGTGGATAGTGAAAAATTATAAATCTTTATTTACCGCATGCGATGGAAAACATGATTGATTTGCCAATAGTTTTATTAAACTTTTTTCTATGATGAGAAACGTAAATTCCAGCACCAATCAAGCCAGCACCGCTTATAAGTCTACAAGCTATGCAGTCTCGGTTTCTATTAGTTAAAATATTGTTTACTGTTCCTGACATGTTATCAAAAAGCAAGTCAAGAAATTTTGGAAATGTTAAGACAATATTTTGCACTGATTTAATTTTCTGTAGAAATACTCTAATATATTGGGGCACTAACAAAATTGCTCGTATCGACCGCATAGATGGCGGCGTACTAAGCACGTGGCCAACATTAAAATGTTTTGACAAAAAAATTTAATAAGTATAACAGAGATGAGTAGGGAGATTGCCAATGAGCCTGTTTTTGGTGAAGGCAATTTTTCTCTGGTTTCGGCGCGCCACCTTAGCGGAGGGCCCTCGAAGCAGTTCCACGTTTTTGATTGGTCGTGTATATATAGTAATACTACGCGTGATAATCTGGAGCTGTGTTTTGGCGTGTCGACGCGCCACCTGAACGAGACTCTCGAACTAGTTCCACGTTTTTGATTGGTCGAATGAATTCGTATGCTATTAAAAAAGGAAACAGCCTACCATAAGTGTTTGTCACAGGTAGGCTCTCGGGAAGAAGAAACGTTCGCTGATTCATGTACCAATTTATTGGATGTATACGATGTAATATAATACAATATTTGTAGATTAATATAATCATATATTTAATGAATCTTAAGTTAACTAGGTGAACCAATAAGCATAGTTGATAATTAAGAAAAAAAATAAAAGGGTTGAGACGTGAGTTTCGAACTCGAGACTCTCGGACGTTAATCCAGCATCAAGCACGTGTGCTATCGTGTCATTGTGGTATATTATTTAGCAAACTTGTATTTGTGTAGTTACCCACGTTCGAGAGTTTTTGTTTAAGTTTTATTTGGTCACTCTATTATTTACAAAGCTTCATATGGATATTAAGGGAATTAACATCGGCAAAATTTACTACCTTATTACTACGGTTTATGTAATATGCAGTAAGAAAGGGTGGATTCAAGTCTCCCTATTTGAGTGTTCACCCGGTTTAAAATCATAGATCTCGAGGAACACACGAATTCATTGGACCAATCAAAAACGTGGAACTAGTTCGAGAGTCTCGTTCAGGTGGCGCGTCGACGCGCCAAAACACAGCTCCAGATTATCACGCGTAGTATTACTATATATACACGACCAATCAAAAACGTGGAACTGCTTCGAGGGCCCTCCGCTAAGGTGGCGCGCCGAAACCAGAGAAAAATTGCCTTCACCAAAAACAGGCTCATTGGCAATCTCCCTACTCATCTCTGAGTATAAAGTACAATGAAGACGGTGTAAAACCTTCGAACTGAACAAACATTTTATTGACAATAGAAATCCAACAGATTGTTGAAAATAAAGTTGTATACCAAAATAATAGTTTCCTTATACAACTAAGTTCATACGTGTAGTTTCATGTAAAAAAGAAGCATACCTTACACCAAATTTTGTTTAGTAACTAAATAACGTTTGTTTACTAAAATAAATAATTTAATTGATTTACAAAATTATTTCCTTAATTGTGTTTAATAAGCCTTTCGGATTGTGTACAATACAAAATATTGGGTGGCATAGTGAGAAAGATGGTCGAGAGTTCCTTTGTACAATATTCTTACAATAAATATATGATAATCATATCTTGTTTTTCAAAGATTCCTGTAAGTCTTTGTTACTTCATTTTATTTCGTTAATTGTTCATCCTTTCGACATCGAGCAGTGAAAGGGTCTCCTAATGACATCACAAGGTGTATCTGAGACATTGATGAATGTCCGAATACAGGAAGGTAGAAGTATTCCGCGTTCTTCTATTCTATGAGTTTCTTTGCCTTGAAGAAACGTCTTAAGTAAAGCACCTGCCAAGTAGCCAAGCCTAAGAGGCAGCACATTGAGAATATACTGAAGTAAAGAACGCGGCTGTTTGTCATCTCTAAAATGCATAACATTAAACGTAAATTACATGTCTTTTTATATTGAAGCAAAGTAGTAACAACAAATTTTACCATTTGTATCTCTCATTTCTTCTTCATTCTTGCGCATTCTTGCAAAGTCTTGTACAATTGTCTCAGATATATCCTCGAGACGTTTCAATTCCACTTCAATTGGTTTTAATTTGGCAGCTTCGCCAATCTAAAATATGCATATTACAATTTGTTAATCCTGCTCTGTTTATGGAAAACAAAAGATGTGCATTACATAAATGGGTAATTAATAGAATTATGGCACACTGATAGTTTAATTTATTATAGTGAACATATTTTGCAAATAAAACAATGTACAAAGTTAATTGAAAAGTGGAGGAAGGGACAAAATGAATGCTATGCTATTGACATAAAATAAAAATAGGTATTGAAAGAAGTCAAAGGTTCATGCCAAAAGTACGACACTGAAAAGGCTAAATATTTCTTTACCAGCTGTATGCCCAAATAAGCCACATATAAAAGAGAAAAGAAAGAATGTTCTATAAGAATATTTGTACTTTACACTAAACTAAATATAATTTATAATTATACTTACACCCTCATAATTCTTGGCTTCAATACCTTTCTTAATAATTAGAGAAACCTCCTGCTTTATACCACGCTGATCTAAAATCCATTAATATAATAAAATAAGTTAGGACACTGCCAATATAAATAGCAAAAATAAAAACACCATTTATAAAAACATACGGCTTGGAACATGTGAGATGAAGCAAATTTCAATCTTATCGAGCGTATCAGTAACAAAAGAGAATTTTTTCTCTTTCACTCCATGCAACACATCCTCCCTTTGAAACAGAATATGCTTCTTGGAGTCTTTGACCTAAAAAAAAAAGACAAAAATTATATTATAATCAATATTCATACAGAAATTATACCGATGCAATGGAAAAACTTCTTTAAATTTATTACTCTCCTAAATGTATTTTTATCAATAAACATTGATTTAAAAAAATCATCGAAAATAGCACAACAGCCATATTGCAGGTTAGTATACATAACCTAGTGAATTACAGGGAAACTTAAAATAAATGCATAATTACCACAGTGTCGACTTTTTGACCTGGTGCTTCGGAGACTTCATAATCTCCTGTGACCAAGACATTTGCTTGCACTTCTTCCTTCAGGCACTTCTGAGAGTTGGGCTCCAAATAAAACATGATACCATTGACACGGGCGGCCAGAAGCACAGCCAAAAAGGCCCCGACACTTGTGCTCTTCGTCGTTTTCATTGTATCGTGAGTATCTTACGCGTTTTGACAAGCACACCTGACAGTTCTTTCAAGATTACGGAATAAAAATCAACACACGTTCCTCAACATTGCGATGAGTTGGCAGCCATTCGGAACATTGGCTCGTTTGACGTGTACGTCACCTCCGGAACTGAATGTCACCCGGAAACATCCGGAAGGTACAAGAAAGAGCCAATCCAAGCAATTTTGCTTATGCACTCATTCTCTTTATCAAACACCAAATCATAATTTTCCACGCACAATTCTTTTCTGTATTTATCTTAAGAAAAGGGAACAAAATAGTCTTCGCTGTGAATAGTTTAGTTGATGGCGATATAGACGTATAAATTTAATGACAATAGTAAATGTACAGCCAATCCCCTTTATCGCGTATCACAAAATATATAGCACATATAAAAATAATATCAAGTTTTGCGAGATATTTTTTATTCGCATTAATGCATCATTAATGTTATAATTACATGTGGTATAGATTTTTCCATTTATTTATTTAAATATTACATGTTCTTAATTTATTGAGTTAATTTATTTTATATTATTTAAATTAACCACGCCCTCTGTGTAGCAGTTGCATGTACCATTTGAAATTTCAATTTCAAATTCAAATATTACATGGTAGAATTCGAATGTTATACAATTCTTTTTTCGAAGGTACGAGAATAAGATGTTTTAGGTACTAATATCCTTTTCCCCTTAATTTTCTGTAAAATTGCATGGCTCAAGTCGTTATTGCTACAAAGAATTGAGTTTAAAATTAAATTCTTAACCTCTTTGATTTGTGGCGTCTGCTACAGGAACCTTATAGCTTTGAAAAATAAATTAAAGATTATTAAAATATCTCATAATTTTATTCGATATTAATACATAAATGCAGACCTTATATTATAAAAATGTATAAATATAAAAATTAACAGCTTCGGAAAAGTACTGAAGCACAAGTAAATTTGTAGTATCATTCACACACTCAGGAAAGGACAACATAGGTATAATAAAAAAAATAACGTATTCTGTGATTCTTGTGACAAGCAGCTTCGAGCACAAATAATTCAGTGATATAAAATATTCATAAAGAAATCTGCGAAAAATGTCTGAAATTAAGGGTGTGCTATTTTATTTTACTAACCTTTGAAATTTCGTAGTATTAAATCAAATATATGAGTTTAGTCTAAAACTGTGCATATACTAAAGATAAGAATTCTTTTTCTTTTCAGAAATGATGTCAGTCGTGTCTTTGGACGATATTTTGACAGAGCAGTCCATTAAGCTTGAGCAGCTTACAATGGCAACATTATTTTTAAAAGGTATGTAGGACAATCTATCAAATTTGATTTATTTTCGATAGGATTTAAAAATCATTACTCATTATTCTAAAGATAAAAAGGACATTATGCACCAATTAATTGAAATACAGCATGAGGTCTTTGGAATGAAAAAAAGTTTAGATACAATGCAGAAGGATTTAGAGAAGATGAAACAGCAAAATGTACATTGCCGTGTGAGTATTTCTATTTACTGTCTTTGACGTTTGACCAACTTGCCTTTTTAATATGGAACCTCGTTATCTATAACAACAATATATAATGCAGGAACTTTCATCAATGATAGAAACACTTATTCAAAGACTTACACATATGGCAGAAAATGTTCCGGAACAACTCATTCCAGCATTTCAAAATATTGAACAGTCAAATGCTAATTCGTTGCAGCTGTCTAATGAAGATAGCAATGTACCAAATATGATAAACAAATTTAGCAATTCTGTAAATGTCACAGAAGACCGATATGATGAAAATAATGAAAATAGAGTACTGAACTGTAAAAAGATACTATTTGATGAGCCTGAAGTTTATCGTAGCATCAAGCTACTTACCCAGCAGGAATTTAATAAAATACCAAGATACATTATTGGAAGACAGTCTTTGGAAGCTGTGAATAATTTAGTAATGACTATCAATCAAATATTAAAAGCCAAGTACACCCTGCTTTCTTTGGGAAAAAATGGGGCACGAAAGAAGGGTGTACTAGATCTTTATTTACACTACAGAAAACAGGAGACCATTGAACAAGGTATAGCACGCTAAATGTAAAAGTGCTTTGCATATAATACCATCAACAACTAATTTTTATTTGGTTCTATTAAAGGTAAAATGTATTTTTTCACAAGCGAGGATTATGAGAGGCAGACAAAATCAAAACTGGATAAGATGAAACTGAACCTTCTAACCGCATTACGTCATTGCAAACGGTTGCGAGAAATGCGAGTTGCGAAAACTTTGCAATACATTGTAGTTCAGTAATGCATCACAATGCAGTTTTGAATAAGGAAGAAAGATAATAATAATGTGTCAGTAAAAATGAGAATATGCATTTTTCAAAACTTGTACGGAGCCAACAGTCTCTATGAATATCGAAATAAAACTTATCAGTCGCGTTGCAATTATCCTATCGTTAATCATAGTATAATGTATTTTTCTATTGCTTTTATAAATAAAATTAAGATTTCCAAAAATCATTTTGAAATTTGTTTTGATCCTTAAAAGGCCTGAAGCTCGTCGATTATTCTTATCTTCGTGTTCTTTCCTCGGAGGAAAACGAAATAAAACAAACACAACACAATTGTTCCCTGTTGCCTAGCCAACTTGTTTAGAGGATCCAACATTCAAGAAGAAGCTGGATCTTGGGAGCAGCAGAAATTCTGTCTTAAGATTATTGAGTTTGCCATGAAAGTATTTTTGAAGATTTGACTTCTTTCCAAGGATAAGGTAATCTGCTCCAACGTTTAATTGACACACTCAACAAATACGGTTAGTGAACGATCAAAGACTCATTGAGATGATTGAATAATGGAAAAAAAACAATGTCACGACACAATACGAAATAATGTTTTTAAATAATATAATATATTTTCTTAAAGTTTATCTCGAATAATGAATTAATAGTTCTTTCACTGTTCAATTAAATATCGCAATAATACTAATAATTCTACCAATAGCCAAAATGCTGAAGGCGGAGTCCATAAGCACGATAAGTGACAGAGACGAAAACTTGGAAGACGACATAGATGATCTCGATGGATCCATAATATGGTCGCAGGACGATCCTCTGTCCTGCAATGAAATTTTAGATCCCGAAACGAATATTGGTCCTGGCGGAGATGCACTAGGAAGTCCAATCACATTGTGCCGGTTATGCGCCGGTCAAACTGTAAACCCAGTATACATTTATTCGGAAATCGGAGAATCATTGAAGCTTGCTCAAAAGATAAACACCTGCTTGAGTATTAAGGTATCAATAAAGTCTAAACTATTGAGCATCAATAAATAATATTATTGTAGTATATTGTAATCCATTAATAGGTGAGGATGACTGACCCTTTACCGAAGCAACTTTGCGTCACTTGTGTGGAGAAGATTAACTGGTGCAACGAATTCGACAACGAATGCATAAAAGCCGAAGAAACCTTAACGACGATGCTTCGCGAAAAGAGATGTTTTGAAGTATCGGAAGTGATAAGCAAGGATCAAAATTGTCATGATAAGTCGTGTCCTTTGTGTCTCGAAGGTCACATGACGACGACCCAGTTGAACACAAACGATCCAACATTCGAAGAATTATACGATAGCGACATTGTACTGGACAGTAGTGACGAGGAGAAGATGTTTAACGAATTGAAAATGGATAAGGAAGTCGGGAGCAATGCGATAATGCTGCAATGCCTTGGAAGCAGTCAGCAGTACCTGAAGTGCGGTGCCTGTATGAATCTCTACCACACCAAAGAGACTTTGGACAATCACAAGTGTAAGCCAAACGTTCAGAATACGTCTAAGCCGTATAAGTGCGTCATGTGTAATGCCACCTTTACTTTCGAAGAGCGATTGAATTTTCACATGCAGTTTCACGAGGGCGCCAAAGCCCTGTACTGCGAAGTCTGCAAAATTACCTTCGGTAAAGAGTTAAAGTTGTTTTACCATTACAAAAGGTATCACTGCGAGGCCATGACTATATCCTGTCTGCAGTGTGGAAAACTTTTTGAAAATCAGGAACAACTGAGGATCCACGTGTGCGTCGATGGGAAAACGAGGCCTCACGTTTGCGAGGTCTGCAACAAGGGTTTCTCCGACGGCTACACCTTGAAGCGACATATAGTAACTCATCTGCCTGAAAAGCCATACAAGTGTTCTCAGTGCTCCAAGAGTTTCACCCAAAAATCAAGACTCAATAAGCACGTTGCCGGTCACGGGATTGTTATCGAGAACACTCAAACCGCATGGAAGTGCGTTCAGTGTGGTGAGACCTTTAACAGCTGTGACGACGCAGACAGTCACTACAGGATTCACGAGGACAAAATCACCTTGATAGAAGAATTATCCACGTCGAAGATGTACCACTGCGAGTTCTGCAATAGCCACTTTGTCGATCCTGACAATTTGAAGACGCATCAGAACCAGCACGTTGTCGAGAGACCCTACAGTTGTAATCTTTGTAATACAATTTACAAATCCTTCGCCGAGGCGGTGCTACACTGGAAGGAACATCCCAGAACGTTCAAGGTGGTCACGGTATTTCTCTGCGACCTCTGTAGCAAGGACATGAAGGAGTTGTCCCTACTGTACAAGCACAAACAGAAGAGACATCATTACGTGCCGAGAAAATCCGATTCCGGCAATATGATCTTTATCTGCGAACTTTGCGGTAGCACGTTTGAAAAGAGCGAGGAGATTCAGGAGCACGGTAGAGATCAGTGCTCAAAGTTTCCTTGCGACATATGCGGCAGTTTGTTACCCACTGCGAACTCCCTGAACGCCCATAAAAGAAGACACAGCGGTCTGCGTCCTTACGTTTGTAATATTTGTGGAAAAAGTTACACTCAGTCTAGTCATATGTGGACTCACAAGAGGTTTCACATGGGCGTGAAACCGTACGCCTGTCAGTACTGCGATCAGAGATTCACGATTAAGCCCGACCTCGCTGATCACACTAGAAAGAAGCACACCAGAGAAAGACCCTTTAAATGCGATGTCTGTAACAAAGCATTTCTCACAGGTTCGGTCTTTTATCAGCACCGACTGATTCATCGGGGAGATAGACGATACAAGTGTCACTATTGCGAAAAAGCATTCACCAGGACTGAAGCTCTGAACAATCACATTAAGATACACACTGGCGAGAAACCCCACGCTTGTGACGTTTGCGGAAGATGCTTTAGGCAGAAAGGCGACATGAGGAAGCACAGACGTACCCAACATGCTGCCAAGGAAGAACTTTCTTGATTTAAGCTTCCTTGTGCGATGAATCGTTGCGGGCAACTTCGAAGTAGTTTTGTCCGCTTCAGTATTATAACTGTTTGAAATAGATTTATGGCTATATAATAAATGTTTAAATATCACTGCTCGTCTGGCTATTCTTTTCATAAAAGCTGGGCAATCATTTATTTGAGCAGACCTGTTTATGACGATAACAATGTATATTCTATGTGTTATCAGTGTCACAATCAACAAAGCTGTTGATGTACTCTACGACTTATTGATATAGCACACTAGGCCTTCGAGTAACATGACTTAAGATTAACAAATCTTTTCTTTGCGACTGCGATATAAATCTTGATGTTTTAACTTATTGCTGGATATCGGAATAGTGACTGCAAAAATTATTTTTCAGATTCTCTCTGAAGCAACACTTTAAAGCGGTGGGTGTAAAATCGTTTAGATCTTTGTACAAAGTTTAAACGTATTTTAAGAGGTATTGTTATCAATTGTTGATTTAACTCTCGAGTTTAAAGGGACACGTAGGATGTTAATGACAGGTGCGCAATGACAGTTGCGCAGTGAATGCTGCAGGGAACAGGTGATATTCCAAATGTCTCATGACTTCCATCAGATATTTCGACATGTAATTATCGCCCTGGTGGCTATCGATAATACGCGTTGAATAGGTGATTTATTTTCCGTTGATAACAGCCTGTACGCCGTGGGACTCGAGAGAATGGCGGGTTCGAAATAAATTTGCTAAAGAGCATTCAAGTAAGACCTCGGAACAGGTAGGACTTGTACGGTATATACGTCGATGTACAGCTGTCAGGGAATTTTACACTGGCTCTTTTTACGTAATCTTTTGTACACGATGACTCGTTTGTTTGGTTAATGTTGCGTCGATCGCCCCTGAATTATGACGTTGGTAAAAACCTGTCTTTTTATTAGTGGACACTCAAACGAAAGTTAACCTACAGTCGTTTGACGTATAGAACTTGTGCTTAGGAATTCAATGGACAAGCTTCTCCCTCCCTTTCATGAATAGTTTAAGAACAAGTAGTAGCAGTATGTTAACAGTCGTTAGTCGTAAAGACTTGACATGAATCTTTCTGCAAAGTGAATTTGATGTGGTAGGTATTTTTTTAGTAGCTCAATGACACTGTTGTTTGTTAAAATTTTAGAATAATGCTCAATCAGCTTCTTTGATTTTATAGTGATAGAATATTTTTGGTGTAATTTTTTGTTTTAATGTGTAAGATATGAAGCATATTGTATTTACGAATATATGCATAGCTGGAGGATGTATTTGTAATTCAACCTTGGACATAATTACGAACCTTAGGCTTTTTATTAATTCTGTTTAGAATCTTGGGTAACTATGGCCTTCCCACCATTGGTTAGTTCCACACCGCCACCCTTGGATAGTTTTGGGGAATCGGATGAAGATGAGTTTGGAGACTTTACGACTGGTGGAATTGATGGTACACAGCTTACATTCTGTTTTTAGCATAATAGAAAGCTCTAGTGTAATTTGTCTATAGTATATTCTTGTAGCTTTGTACCGTGCACAAGATAATTGACCATATCCAACTAAGATATTGTAAATTTTTTTATTAGCTGCAAGTACAATGTAATGCAAGGTTACACTGCTGTACTATCGTTATTGATAAATAAATTAGAATTACCTTTTCAGGCTTATCAATAGCTTCGGACTCACCACAGAAATTACTGACTCCTATACAAACTCCAACGCCATTGCATACAGTGTCGCCTAAAGTGAATGGAGTGACAGAACATTCATCAGCTACAGAGACACCAACAAAATCCGAATTAATCATAAAAAGTTCCTTTGAAGAAGATATACTGATTGTTGAGAAGACAGAAGACAGAGTGAGCTGCATAAAGTTAAATAATAGGACAGATAGTGGTAGTGTAAATAACAACAATCAGAAAGAGGCCGATTCCGTTAAGAATAGCGAGCTAGAAGTGTTGGAGAACGATGGTCTAACGAATGTCAAAAGCAATAGCAATAGTTCCAATCATATTTCCATTCAGGATGATTTAGATAAATCAGGTTTCGTTAATACTGATGTAGTTAGTAGTAACAATAGTAGCTTAGCAGATAGCACCAAGACTGGTAGCGAGCAAGAGGACTCCTTGCACAACTTGGAAGTCAATGAGGATCCGGAACCACTCAGTCTGGTCTTGGATGATCCTAGCAGCATTCCCGAGACTCAAGAAAACCTTGATGATGACTTCTATGATTATCAAAATTTCAAGGACACCATAAAATGTGACACTCCTCCCTGCAATTCTACATACGACTCTAAAGATTTAGATCGTAACGAGGACTCATCCTTGACTTTGAAAAAGAATACCAAGGACGTAGAGGAGCAGAAAAAGTTTTCATTCACGCAGGAAGAATACACATTTGATGGTTTTAACACCGTAGTGGATTCCAATGAATTTCTGCCAGTCTCAAAGGAGATCGATTCCAGTAATAATGATGAAATCAATGTAGAGAAGTTCGAGGCAGACTTTGCAGATTTCGTTATCGCCGACGATGAAGATGAGGATGCCATCAATGTAAATAATTGTGCAAGATCGCAAATAGAATTTAGCATCGATTCTAAAGGAATAGATAGAGATGTTAGTGAATTGGACGATAGTCAAGATAAATTATCGAAAGACGTTTTAGACGATGATAGTAAGTTAATTCAGAACTCTGACGAGACAGTACAAGATAAATCAAAGTTTCAGTGTAAATCTGTAAATACCGTTGGCACTTGTGCCATTAGTGAGTCGATCACTGGTATACTTGCGAATGATTTCGATGACCTCGATGACCACGATGAGATTAAGAAACCCACGGCTACAGGAGCTGAGGACGGTACTCCATATGCACAATCAAAAGACATAAATTTCGAAAACTTAAATACTGCCAATCCCATTAAGGTACATCAAGACGTAGATGATGGATTTGCAGAATTCGCAATAGCCCAACCTGATCTGCATTTAGAGATCAATTTAAATACGAGCGATGACAATGATACGAACGCCGGAGTCCAGAACGTCGTTATTGCGGCGGTCACGGATGGTTTTTCAGAATTTGCAGAAAATCACGAGTTTCCTGAAAAAGCAAACCAGAATAAACACATAATTCCAGAAAATGATTCCTGTGAAGCGAAATTTCAGGAAGCCAAGTCGGCAAAGCTTCCTGAGGAATTCATTGTCGAAGCCATTCTTAATGACTTCCAAACTGCGCTGCCTCCGCTCGATGATGAATCGCCTAAGAATATTATAGACGATTTCACTGATTTTGCTTGTCACGACGTAGCAATGAGTAATTTCTCGATTACCGATGAAGTCAGCAACTTGGAAACTGCTTCCACGGTTCTGAGGGATATGCCAATGGAAATAGCAGAAGTTACAGCCTCTGAAGATTTTCGAAATTCTCAAATGCAGCCAGTAAACGTGAATGAGGATTATCTTGACAATCTGAAGACGACAACAGTACAAGAGGATGATGACTTTGGTGACTTCGCAGACTTCTCCGACACACCTGCAGGTCCAGCGACAGAATGGAAGCCAAATATAGAGGAGCCCAAGATCCTCTTAACTGAGTACAAGAATAACGATGACAATGATGATGATTTTGGAGATTTTGGAGATTTTGGTGATTTCGAATCTTCCGCCGCCATCGCCAGCGTTGCCGCCGTAGTAGAGAAACCTCAGATTAGTTTCAGAGAATCTATAAGTCGGATAGAAAATAAGAACGTGAGTTTAGTAAATTTATTATTATAATTACTGTAGATCTTCCAGTTTGTAACTTACCGCTTCCTAGATTCTTTGCATTTTCAAATCTTTAAATATATGTCTTTTCATTATGATACACATGAAAATCTAAGTGTCCTGTACTGTATACGAAAACGAAAATACTTTCAGGCTGCCAACAAAATAGAAGACATAATAACAAACATGTTCCCCGTGGTCCCTGATACTCGGGAGGTTAATCTACAACCTTTAATAGCGAAGTCCGATGACGTCTGGCAAGGACTGAAGAGCGTCGAGGAAACTAACGCCCTTTCCTACCAATGGACTAATAGCACTAGTAACAATGTCCTACTGGGGGCCCTGGGTATAGACTCACGCAATATTGTAAGTCAATAAAATATGCCTGAGAACTCTAAGATGATTTAACAAAGTTCATAAGGTTATTGGTTGTATTATTATTTCTTGTAGCTATTCGGACCAAGATGGAATCCAAACATTCCAAGGTTTGCCGCGAACCTGGGCTTCACGCCTTTAGAACCCGTGAAGGCATCAACGGAAGCGCAACAAGCATCAACATCAAACTCTAGCAAGACACAAAGTTCGTTAAGCTCAGAAGTATGTTGATTTAATTAGTCATTAATTGAACAGAATAATTGATAAGGTTTTATTGTATGAATTAACCCGCGTATATTTCTTTCAGGAAGTGCCTGCCGCTCAATTTGATTGGAATAGTTCGGGCCTTGTAAATCCTTTGGATTCCAGTAAGTAATTTGCATTAATTGGTTCTAATGTGATTCATTAGGTAGAATTGACACGTGCTAATGTATATTTATCTGTTATTGATTTTGTCCCTGTCCTTTCCAAAATTCACCGCTTATCTTTTGCTTACGTGATACATTTCTTTCATCCCCTCCACTTCCCACCCTTGTACCCCGCCCCATTGTTCCTATTCTATTTTTTTTCCATACGGTTAAACAAAGGTGGTGGATTATCTGTTCTTCTGCCATTGGATTTATTGTATCCCTTCGATCCTCTCCTGACACCTCATTGCTCAGCACATTCCGAATCTTACCACCACCATGCTGCTTGTACAAGGAGCTCCATATATTACTGTAAGTCTGCAAGCCAGAAATTCCCATGTAGCACACGCACCAAATTTCAATGTCCACGCATCGATTGTACAGCAATTTTGCAAATGGTCGTGGAACTATATATTTACAAGTATATATTGCAATCGTGACATCCTTGATCAATTGTATTTTTAAACTTTGACAGATCCTTCGGACTCTAACAGCACGCATGAACATGGTCATCCTCATTCGGTAAAGAGTTATCGGTCAACGGAACTGTTTAACAGTTCAGCAATATCACAGAAGCATTCTCAACAGTCCAAGATCATAGAGCCCTTGCCAGGACCAAGCACAGGAGAGTGGAAAAAGAAATCCGAATCCGAAACTGGAATGAAATCAAAGAGCAGCGGACAGAAGTCATTAAAAAGTGTTGGGCATGTAAACAATAAGCCGTTTTTGATAAGCAATATTAGCAGCAGAGGAGAAACGACGAGGACGGAGACAGCCAAGTCGGATGTAGCGAAGCACGAGCTACAGCAACAGCGAAAATCCTCCTTGAACAAGAGGGAACATCTACAGAGCCCGGAACACTTGGTGCTGGACAGATACGGCAGACCGATGACCGTCAGGGCAGAGACCATGAGGGTGCTCAAACAATTACCCGATCTTTCCTTTCTCAGTGCCAGAACGTTACTGTACAATCCCGAACAGAAGCAAATAATACAGGATCTCGGGGCGATGATAAATCGGAAGATGCCTGGCTGAGTAACGTCGGTCTGAGCGCTAGTTTGAAAGGTCAAAGCAATCGAAACAAATAACTGGTATGTACTTTTTAAAGCGGAACGATACTTCTAACAAATCTAATAGCATCAGAAAGCCAAATCCTGCTACCTTTCAAACCTGTGTTCAGACCAATCTCTGAATCCGTCTTGGCTCTTCCAATTCGATACGCGAACGAGCGAGCAACCAATTTTATCTACTATCAGTAAACTGGCACTCTAGGAGTTATTTAAGGTTAATATGCTTCGTTGCACCCAGCGACTCATCCTGACATTCCCAAGGATATGGAGACACTACTGTTTATGCGATTCCATCAATGAGAGAAAGAGTGAGAGTGCGTGTGTAAGTGTGCAAATATAAAATTAAGAAAGAGAAAGTGATAAAGTGATCTTGAAGGATGCAAGAGATTATTCTTAATTGTCTCACATCATTGGATACTATACATCCAATGTTCCCTACGTGCGTTCATCCTTTACATGAAGCGTTCATGGAGACGCAACGACTTCATTCGTTGACTTAATATTGCTAGTATTATTTGTTCGTAAAACGCGGTAGAACTCTTATTGATTTTAACTAAACATTATGATAAGTACTCGAATTCGGCCATGTTCTAGTCGTAAATTTCTACTGCTAATAAGTTTCACACGTCCACGTACTTCGACAGAGTCCTCACGCTTATTCTTTTTTCTCTTCTTTCTTTCATTTTCTTTACCTTTTTTAATTTTCGTCACGGTGACATCATTTTGCTGTAACGGAGCTACACTTAATGTACCACGAGGAGAAAAGGAGTACAACTTTTTGCCTAGGGAATCTTTTTAAGTGACATAGACATCACATTTTTATCTTATTTTTCTCTTTTTTTTTTGTTCTCACTAAAGCTCGTGTGCATTTCCGACTAGGCGGCGTCGATCAACATCGATTGGCTTCGATCCGCTTTAAGGTTTAAATATAGCCCGTCTCAAAGACGGATATTCAGTCCAATTGATGACTTAATGACAATTGAAATATCCCAGTCGAACGAGAGCCGACAATTAACTGAACTAAACCGATTAATAATCATAAGTCAATTAACATTTAGATTGACTAGATGACTTTATAGTTGATCTTTACATGGGAATACGCTGATTCACTTGGGGATTTTATCGTGCCACTTGAATTTCACACGCGAATCAAGATGCATATGTACTTAAGAATTTCATAATAACGACTTGCGATGATCATTAATGTTTAAGACTTATTAATTGCTATCGTTAAGTTCGTTATTTATTAATAACAATATTGTAATATATTTTATGTAAGATATTGTGGATATTAATACATAGATCATGTTCGACAAGGTAGTCCTCTCATTTGAATTAGTCGACAGATGTAATATCATTTTTTTTTAATTATCTATATGTGGGGATCATCATTCATAACGAATGACCGGAATTACGTCGTCTACCTGGTTTTCGTTAGCAACAGTTGACATTACTGAGGGAAAGAAAATGTGCTCCAGGCGCACCACTACATTCATTTGTATATTATGCGCGCTAAACAAAATGGCGCTTGTGCTGAATACTGGTATTGTGCGTGTATTGTGATACGACGCAAAATCCTTATTTTATTAAAACTACAGTGTTTTTTGAAATATTTTACGATTTTAACAGGACTCTGGTCCCTCGATAACGCAGGTACGTTCCTATCGATTGGGGTCTATTCAAAATATTCATGAAATAGGTAATTGTTGTCTACCGGAGACTTGTACTAACGCGTCGTAATTATATTAATTGTCACATATTGTAAAATTATTTCACTAAAAAAAATTGAATTCTGTTCTACATACTTAGCATATATATTATTATATTAAACAGGTGTAAATTATATTTCATATTGTCAATTTTAATCTAATCCACGTGTGGTCTGTCATTTTACTCGTAGGCCGTGTATACTAACAGCGGGAGACATGAAATCCGTGAAGACGTCTAACACATCATCAACAAGAAAAAAGAAGAGTTCGGTTGCGTCGAGCGGGAAAACAGTATTGGAGACGGAAAAGAAGTTTTTCAGAATGCGTGGAAGAGGACAAGTGAATGATGATAAAAAACCAACAGTTAAGAATGCTGCAAAGACTGCAAGTAAAGTTACAAGTAAACAAAAGAATATTAAGGCTACGAAGAGGAAGCTTAACACACCGGATAAACCATTAACCTTACGACAAATGTCTCTGACAGAATCCTTTGCGGCACAGACTGTGGCAAAACGTTTACGACCCAGGAAAAATACTAAAAATTATTTGGAAGAATCGTTGCTGATCGAAAAATATTTATCACCACAAAGAAGAAACAGTATTGTCGTTGTTGAAAAAATGGAGCCACCAGTGGCCAGAAAAGCACCTGTATATAAGTCTATGCGAGTAACCGATGAGCATCTGAAAAATGGTGATGAGATATATGATTTCAAATTTGATATTAATGACTCTACTGAAAGAAGAAATATTAAGAAAAAGAAACGTATTAGAAAACCAGCTGTCAAAAGAGCTAAGAAAACTGTAACATCAAATGGAAAATCGTCAAAAGTTAAAACGAACGTAAACTCTGAACAAGTAGCCCGTGTTCCTGAAGTGATAAGCAATGTGAATGCTAATGAATTGGAGGAAGATATCAATAGTCCTCTAAAAAATAATGTTGAAAATGTAAAGCCTACAGATATACTTGAAAGTGAACAAGAATCTGTCGCTGTGCATAATGCTAGAACACAAAAAGAAAAAGTGCCACTGAAAACAACGCTGACAGATAATGCCAGTAATGTAATAAAAAAGCCAAAAGTGTTATCTGTTCAAAAATTAGAAAGCAGCAACAAAATTCAAATACATAATATACAGGGGAATCCAAAAGCAACTGGTACAGAACAATTCAAACCATTCCGGCCAACAAATGCATTCAGATCAATGTACACAGTCCAAAAAGAAATGGTTAACCACTCTCTTCTAAATAAATCCTTATCTCCTATAAATAAGTCTTTAATAGATTTTGATCCTTCGAGTCCATGGAGGCCACCGACATTTAATACATTCTCTCAAGTGAAACAAATATTCCAAAGCACACCGCAGCCAAAAAAGCAATCGGGTGTATGTACTCTGCCAGCAGTAAATCCCATCAAAAAAACAACAACCCAAGGAACAAAGATAAGTGAGATTACGAAGAAAAACAGTGAGAATATAAACTTGAACATAGAGAAATTGGCATTGTCAAAGCAAAATCCCTTGAAAGAAAATTCTCCCTCAAAATCACCTAGAGTCTTTGGCACAGACATAACAAGTAAAATCACAATGACACAACCAACGGCGAATGTACTTGGTGTCTCGAATAAAAATTCAAACGCACAGTCAAGGAGTAACGTTTCTCTCGAGTCAAACAAAAATGCAGAAGTCCAATCACCAGCGGCAAGAGTATCAAACTCCAGTACTAAACTGTCGAGTGTAAACAATATACCTGACTTCGACGATTATACAGAGGACAAAGAAAATAGTATCCCCAATTTTCAAAGTCTGAAAAAATCTCCAAAGAAATTATCTAAAAGGCTTAATTTTCCAAGTCCAAAGCGTTCGTTGCAGCAGACTCAGGAAATCAAAGCAACTCCAGGGCCTTCTGGTTTGCAGAAAGAAAACCTTGAACCACAACCAGGACCGTCTGGTCTTCAAAGACGACGTCTATTTGACGAACCAAAGAAATTACAGCAATCAAAATTAAATAACTTTTTGAATTTGGACACGATGCCAGAAAGTACAAGGATCAGTACTACGCATGGCATCTTTGACGACGCTCAATCGACACCAATCAATGGAAAGCCGAAGAAGACTTATAAAGAACCTGACATCAAAAACGCCTTTGGATTTGAGGATTCAGATTCAGAGCTGGAGACTTCGTCGATAGCTAATAAAGAGAACGACGTGCCTCCCATGAAACAACCTGTATCGAATGAATCGATACGCAAGGTGGATGATCTGCTGAGACACAAAATAAAGTCAATTGCGAAACCAGCAAGAGTTTCTCTAGGAGAAGTGAAGAAAGTACTTCATCCAAATGTCCTGAAGGAAAAACAAAATATAATGAATGCTGAGAAGGGAGATGGTAAAATAACGAATTACTTGAAAAAGTCTGAACTGCAAGATAAAGAAACAGTGAAGAATAAACAATCATTCGACGTCAATAGTTTCTCTGATACTTTTGATATGATGTCGGACAATGAATATCAGACCGATAAAGAACAGACGACCGACCCGCCATTATTTGCTGACTTGGAGCCAAGTCACTTTGTAGAAGTAATTACTCAAGCTTTGATAAACTTACTGAAATATATATTACCTTAAGTATCGTAAGTGCGATCAACTACTGATTGAATTCCTTTGCTTTCAGCCACCCAGATATTCCTACAAGCGAAAACGTGCAGCCAAGTACAATTTCTCGGATGACGAGGAGACGGAGAACCTGGATGAGAGCTTCGAGAAGAAGCAGGTAAAGAAAAAAAAGGTGCAAAAAATGAACAAGAAGGAAGAGGAGAGATTACAGCAGTGGGTAAAGAATGTAAACGAAACCTTCGAAGAAATCGATCACTACGATTTAGTCGTCGAGTAAATCACCACTTGATATATAAATCCGAACAAGAACACATATTTCCCAATGACGTCCAAGAAATCATTACTTCGCTACTTAGCATATAGAGATTCGTTAATTATCATCTAATTCTTAACTGTCGGTTAAATGAGAATTCGTTAATTTATAGAAGAAACTAGAACGTAGCTCTCAGCCATGCTTGTTGCTCAATGAAAAACACGCAAAGATAAAAATATTCTTTTTCCAGTGATCGTTATCGGCTTACGTCAAATTTTAATCCTAGTTGGTAATGCTTCAAAATAGCCAATTACCGACAAGTGATAATGAGTGTGTATAGTATTTTTAAGAAATTTATATACTTTTATAATGTACATTTTACTATAACGATACTTCACTATACTATTACGCCACGATTCTCCTAAACACTTTATTTTCACTGAACTTTATCCCTGCTTTATGAAACTGTCTAGCTTTTTACACAAGTCTAATTATTTATGTAGATTAAGCGTTTGCGAGGATCTTTATTATTTATTACTATTAGATAGATTTATTATTATCATTATTACTATCAAAGCATTAATATTAAGAGGACTTATATGGAATTGGATACTAATTAATTGCCTTGGCACACGAGATACATTAATTTCACATATATCTTACGACAAAATCAACATAGAAACTTTTTTTCTTATCATAAAGAACATAATCTATGCGTTTACTTAGATTTTACTTTGAATATTCGAGCACCGCTCCACGATCGACATATTAGTTATGTAACCAGAGATAACTCATAACTAGAAAGCTACAGTCATTCAAAATTACAAATGCAATAAATGTATAAAAGAAGATCGAGCAGTCTTTGTGTTAAGAAGTATTTTGACCTTTCCTTCTCTAATGTGTATTCATCTAATATCCCTCGCTGAAGAATCGCATTTCCTCTAGATACAAATTCTGACTCAGAAATTCATGTCACGAGTAACTTTTTGTCTTTTACGCAACAACCGTCTTGCGGTCGGTCATCCGTCGATTTGCATTTTTTGTTTTTTACATCCATTTGACTCAACATTGAGGTCTGATGGTTCGAGTCTAGACGATATCATAGCGGTAGGTATTGAACGCATTAAGTTATCTACATTTAATTTAACTTCATTGTTCAACGTCTGACAAATAAGAGGGAAAAGAAAGTCTCTATTACATGTTTTCCTTTTTTTCTCGAATTTTCCTTTGCCGTATTTTCAACGTCGCGCGTGTATACATACTTGGAAGATAAAAATATGCAATCTGCTCGTCACATGTTGTAACTAGTTAATAACAATGCACGTGTTTACTTACCGTGTTAATTGTTATCGAGAGATGCTATCAATCTCGCGATAATAAAATGGAATAATAAAAACTCATGTCCCATGTGTCAGGCCGTGCTTTATCGTTCGCTGGCTGTTTAGAGATTCGATGCTGCGTCCCGCGTAGTTTATGGCTGGCAGTGCTTGGCACACAAAGCCACCAGAGGCCTCCAACCACTCCGACGTCGTTTGTAGCTCAAACATTTTTTGCCTATCTCGAGTCTTACTCATTTCCGATAGCGATATGAGTAATCGCAAGAACAATCATGCAAGGATAATTAGACCGAGGGATTCCTTTTCTGGAGTGTAACAAAGGGAAATTAACAGCCCCGTCAATATGGCTAAATTACGTGTTAGCGTGGAGAGCTGTAAGAAGAAAAAAAAAATGTCTCACAGGTGTTTTCATTTTTGTGTATTTACCAGTTTTCTCTGGTATGACGTCACACTCAATCGTTCCGACGGGTAGCATCCTTTGCTTTGTATACTGCACTTTGGAGACGTAAGAGTCTTCCGGCATCTTGATTCGTCCAGTCCGAGATGATCCTTAAGATTGGACGAAGCGTGAACTTCTCGTGTGCGAGAAGACCGATAAATCTGAAATTACGATCACGAACATTATAATTTTCAATTTACTACCTTTGTCGGGAGTCCTCGTGGTCGCGTGACGACGACGCAGCCTCTCGACTCTGGGAATATTGAATGATCGCTGTAAACGTGTTTTGCATACAATGGATCCGTAGGATTAAAGAAGCCTGCACGCGAGAGGTATACAAAAGAAACGAGGAGGGGGTGCCATCATTGTTCCCTTATCTCCGACGTTAGTTAGCCGTGCCTCGTAAAGGAGAGGAAGTCAGGAAGAAAGAAAGGAAAGGAACGATCCTAAACGGAGCCCTCTCCTAAAATGTATAATTCAGTTGTAGGCGCCAACGCCCATGTTCATCTCTACAGTCTGGTCCTACTGCTGTAACCTATATACTTTTTAAAGTCTGATTCCAAGTGACGTGGCCGAAGTGAAAAAATAAATATTTAATGATCTAAATAGGTAATATCAACGTGAAATAATTTATTGCAACAGAAGTATCCCGTGTCCCATTATAACACGTGCCTTCCACCATATGAGTTGTGTAGAGAATAATAATACGCAAAGCGTATAAATAAACTACTGCCCATATAACCTCACTCCTGGTGCACGCTTTGTCTGCCCTGTGTATTTTGCAAGTGGCCGTCAGCTGAAATACACGTGCACGCTGTAGCACTTATGTAGGTTTGACTCATTTGGTCCCACGTGGTCGAAGTTGAAAGCTAAAACATTACGCAGAGCGTAGCTGCGCCTGATATACGAACCAGCAATTCTGCAAGTGAGTGCAGAGTCCACAGATTGATAGCTGATATTTTGCATTGTTGCTAATAATATATTGCAGTTGCCCAGTACGAATTCAACGCTCGTTTCTCTCCTTTGTTCTGGAAATCATTGCAGCTTGTCCGAGTGACATTGTCAGGGGCCACTGGCGATACGGAAGAGACTTGCTTACGTCAGACGTCAAATATCCCTCCCGACGTGCTCCAATACTAATAAGACCGCAGTTGGCCGCATTCAAGATCATAAGGAAGCTCATGCGTTGTAATGAATAGCTATCTCCTTAGCCAGCCATTTCCTGCTGCAGCGTACATACACTGTAAACAGCATATTTATGTTTATTAGGATATGTTTTCCTAGTTAGACATTTGATGCATACGTAAACGAGTGCGCGATAACTCTAATGCCATATGTAACTCGTTAGCCAATTATACGTGAATCGAATGTCTGCTGCTTTGAACGCGCTACGAAGATGACGGATTCGGATAAGATAAAGCAGGAAGTTAACGCCTTGCGTGATAGTCCATTAATTTTCTGACAGATAATAGTAGACTGGTATAACAGATGCGGTTTTAGTGGGACGTCAATCCCGAGGCAATAGATTGATTAGGTAGGCAATCCTTGAAGACGTTGCGACGAGCAGTTTCTCAGCCTCGAGATGAGCTTCCCGAGGAATGAAGGTTAGCCTATTTGTTTCCGTAGGACACCAGGATGATGAAAGGCATCTCGGTTGGGCACAAGGCAGTTACATCGTCACGCTTTTCCCATCGTTGGGGTACAGCAATGTCTGCCGTAGATGTAGAATGATTTACAAGGTGGCAATGACATTCCTCCTGAGATTTTTCTAATCGCTGCTAACCGCTGGCCAGATATGGTCCTAACCTACCTTGGTTGCTAGCTAGGAGAAGCTAGCCCAAGGACGCCGAGCGCCTGTTCATTTAGATTTGATCGTAGATGCGAAGCTAAGCAGGTGAATGTCATCCTCTCTGAGCATTTCTTTGATACCCTTCTTATCTGCAAGATAAGATACTGTAATTTTGTTATTCTTAAATATGTAAGTATTATTTTTAGAAATTACATTACAGTCTTGTACGATTCTGACATAACGTACCTGTCTTCAGCGAGTTTTATTTAATTCTTATCAGTAAAAGTGTCATTCCTCATTCGTATCTCCGATCGGGAGCAAAGATCTATTTACTACTAAGCATAGCCTTTTCCGAGGTCTGTTTCTCAGTACATCGGATACTTGGGGCACAGGCGACACCTGTAAAGTACAAGGCGGGGAGCAGGGCGAAAAGTGTCAGGATCCTGTGGCTGAAAGCTGCTGAATGAGTAGGGGAATCAGATGCGGCGAGACAGGTTAACGTGCGAATATACGATGTTCCCAATCGGTGAGTCACCCAGTCGTTTGAAATGTTCCGGCTACTCCGTTCACCACCCACGCGACCTACGCCGTGACTCATCCAAGATTCTCAGTAGAGTTCTATAGTTCTCGTTTAAATTTTCGTCCATGCGTGATACGTTGAACACCACGGGAGTCACTAGACTCCGGTTACCCTGAGCCACTGGGGGGTGCGTGTTTTTCTGAGAGAAAAAAAATCCTTAGAAAGTACAAGACTGAATGGTATTTCCAAAACATCCTCTAACCTGTCCGCGTTACGATCAAATCTAAGATTCTTTTTCAATTAACAGATTCAACGATGCTGACGTCCATTCCCCCTGCCATTTTTGGCAATGACAGTGGTCATGGACGCGTGGAGGATGACCCCGGCGTCAATCACTGTCCAGGTTAACGAGTGTTCTCTACCATAGTTTATAAATACAAAGTTACGTAAAATCCCGAGCGAGCTAGAAAAAACGTAAACTTAAGAAAAAGACAAACTTGACGAGACAGTTGTCGAGTCGGAGTGAAATGTATTCAAGTAGTAGAGGTCTGCTTACTCGATGTCGTAATGTTACGTGACAGATAATCATACCAGTAATTCCCAAGTTTCATCGTATTCTTCCCAATCTAGATCTTACTACGGCCGCTCATGTTTTTATAGTAAGATATTGTTTGCATCGGTGCGAGCAATCAGAGAAATAGAACAGAATGAAATAAAGTTGAGGGAATACATGGCACGTATTGCGCCGTCCCTGGTCTTCTTGGCGGGTTATGTCGTCAGTGAGCTACCTCGGGCTCTGTGATTGGCTGAGGCTCAGCCGGGAATAGCGAATGACATCATCCGAGCCAGAAGTGCCTCGGGTCTCTCGGCGAGAACCCGAACGTATTTCCGAAGTACGAAGGCACGGGCCGAAGATACACGAACCCCGAGGTATTCCCCCACGTTATGAGTCATCGGGCACAGTTTCACACACAGTTTCGAGAAGAGGACCCGCTACCTCGGAGCGTCCCGTTCGTGGCTCGAGGAAAAAACTTAACCCGCGGTAACTCGTATTCACGAATATCCGGTACGCGATTACTTCACGAATCCCGAGGCTCGAGGAACCCTCGAACGATTCGACCATGAAGCTAGACGTATCGGACGTTCTCTACGACAGCTCGAGTGTCTCCAGCGACAGCGGTGCCTCGCAGAGCTCTCGCGTCAGCCATGACTTTCTGTCGAGTATTGCAAACTCCTCGACAATCCCTAATAACGTGAGTAACCCTTCCCCGTTTAAGGTTTCTTTTCACTTTTCACAGCCATTATGCACAAATGACACCTTTACGACAGATGACATCAAGATTAACGTTAATTGATTGTACATGGCATTTTAGGTTAACTTGTACCTATAATAAAAGCACAATTCATAAAGGATCAGTTTCATAAACGTCACTAGGAACATTTAATTACACGCAGTTGATTGCTCCTTGTGAATGAAATTATGTATCAATCGAAGAACTTTTTTCTCAATTTATCAGTTACTGCTGAATGAAAGAAACGCAATATGATGAAAGTGACGGATTGGTCGATGCTTTTTAAAAAAAAGTACGGTTACGTAAGGATCCTACGATTATGCATGGACAAGATATGACCTCTCGTCTGTGCCTTCGGTCGGTTCAGGATGATTAGCAATTTTCGTAATCCCGTGTAAATACGTGACTGATTGATATCTCCTGATTAATGTTTAATCGCACTATGTATATTTTGTTAAATATTTGCGTGGCCACTTAACGAATCTTGAAGTAGTATGAATAATCTGACGTCTTAAAGTCTTGACTATTTGAAAGGGGAGTGTATCTTAATAGAAGTCCGACACTGCTGAAACTGTGAAAAGAGTGAAAGATACCTTGACAATCACTGATTGCGTTATTACAGTGCCACGTAAACGGAACGCTCTATAGTGACTGTCGAACAGAAACATAAATATTGTTGATACCTTTATTCAAGCGACACTCTAAGCATTATCTTAAAGCTCAATACGATTAGAGGATCTTCTCGAAATTAAATGGTTTAGTGGTTTTAAATCATGCCGTGATTTTGGATCCAACCACGCATTCGAGCTGGCCAAAAATACACGTTAATCCGCGGTTGCGTCGACGAAACGTTAAAATAACATGGCTCGGTCGCGTCACCGCTAGAAACACACTTTTAATTGCGCGCGAAAATGAGGTAATTCAAAGAATCCTGACACCGACGTCAAATAAATTTTACGAGACGATTCCTCTAATACATGGTACAAGTAAATGTACAATATCAATATGATTTTGTAATTGTTCAACTTACAGCCGCGTCCTTGAATAAAAATATAATCCGCGACCTCAATTGCTTTCGGAAATCATTCTAGCACAGTGCGTTATCTGTGTACACGAAATATCCGAGAATCTATATTGTGCGCTAGAGTCTTATTTATCAGTTAACAATTGTATCGTGAACCATGACAATTTCGAAGGAACCAGACCGGTTTCCCAGACTGTAGTAAAGTCGAGAACCGATTGAACAACTTTCATTCCGGTCCCCAGTTGTCTGTCCTTTTAAGGGGACACGCCACGTGCGATCCGCCGACGTTACGAATCCTATTGGCCGTCCCCTGCGCCCGACCAATGAGAAGACGAGCTATCGAAGCGCCAACCAATCAGCGATCGGCATCAGGAGCATTATGGGTAATCGCGACAAAACCGCTCGCTACGGGCTCTACGAGTTTTCCTTGCGCAATCGAGCTGCAACCAAAGTCTTGTTTATTTCTCTTATTCTCCCTCCGTCCTTCTCCCACTCAAGTTACTCGGCTACTCCCGATCAGCCCCCTAACCGAGCCTGGAGTCTCCGCAGATCTTGAATGAATCCGCAGCCGGTTATCGCGTCACGACTTAATATCGTAAAATCTTACACATATCTTCCTGGACGTTCCTGAAAATTAAGCTTCCGTAAATTCCTCGCGCGACTGTACCCCCTTGTATGTACGTCCTATATGTATTTCCAGCACTTGGGGGGTTTCTGCGTACCCCCTATCCAAGAAGAGTACACCCCTAACTCCCTGGCGCCTCCAGTGCTCTAATAGTATTGATCTAGGGTTCGCCCTGGCATGGCTTCTGTGGGGATAACAGCTGTTTTTAATTCTATTAGGAACCCATACGTCGCCCGATAGCTTCTACCACGGCAATTCAAACACGTTCATACCTGACTGATAGCCACACGTTACCCTACTCTGTTACACGTGCATTCTATATCTATACGAAGTTACACATACAGCCTAGCATTAACGCTATAAGCAGACACGCGGCTTGTGCCCAGCTGTTGCTATCTAATTATCTCTCCAACGTTCGCGGGGGTCACCTTCCTTTTCGACTGACGCCCCTGCTCGCCATTGCCACTTTTATCTTCTCATCTCCAAAGGGAACTTCCCGTAGACGTCCCTGTCGCTTATTGCGCGCAAACCTCAACGTCCACGTCAGACTACGGAGAATGAGCTTCTCGCCGAAGAAGCCATCCAGCTTGTCTGAAAAGTAAACGCTGCCTCGATGCGATCGTAAAACTATACTAACTGTACACAAAGAGGAATTGTCGCAGCTTTACGATCACTTTCAGCCGAGCGATCTTCTTTGCTACTGTTCAATAGCTTAATGTTAATCGAGCATTCAGTGCCGCATGGTATATCTGTATCTTTTTTTTTTTCTCTCAGTGATTCATTTTGTTGTCTATGAAATTATTGAATTTCTCATACGCACAAGGCGACCTGCGGTCGATCTAGCCGGATAGCTTGTTAATTCCTGCGTCAATTTATTTTATCAGTCTGGGCACGCAGTTATCGTGAAAACTTGACGACTCTCTTCCTTTATATGCTCTCCCGACCAATGGAGTCACGTGCCGTCGGCAGCTGCGACACGCAACTGGTCGCGCTCCACAAAGAAAGGAGTTTCACTGACTCACGGTTCTTTGCACCTGAGAACTCTGACTTATCTATCGAGACACGCCGACGGGTCTACCGAGAATTCTACGGATTTACTTGACTGTCCCAATTGAATTTCCCGCCGCTTAAGGGACGCCGTAAACTTTCTTAAGAAACCAACATGGTTACTGTTTGACGTCTTTTTTTCCCCCTTTATTACGCCCTCCGACGACCGGTACGTTTCTGGAGGAGTGTGAACCCGGTTTTATGGGACTGCTTACAAGTGTATTCAATTGATCAAACAGTGATAACGTTAATCGTTAATTCGATACTCAGTAGCCAGTGTATGTTTAACTGAATATTAATTTGTATTTTTTAATATTTTAATTTTTTAAGCAATCCTCCGCAGCCATTGTCATTATACCGTACGTCTGGCATTCCTACAGTGAATTGTTCTTGGGCCCAATTAACATACGACTCTTTTCGCCGGCTTATTTATTTAGGCGGATTTTATATGCACGTTGCGTACCATCGTGGTTGGATTACCCACAAACATTCGATTAACCCCGGGACTCGTGGTTTCTCATTAAAGTATCTCTTTGTAACGAGACAAAGGCGGCCGCCTTTCGAAACTACATGCGCAGGGCTTTCGAGGTTCCTTCGTAAGAACCGTCAGGGAGTTTTCCTTTGGAATATTTCATAACCGATTACTTGCCGGACGTAAACAAGAAACCGTTAGGTTAGGGTTATCCCGGTACCTGCTTTTAATGGGTTATCGTTATCTCCTTCGGAGAACAATGTGATCTCGAAGACTCGCCATTATTTATTTCGACTTTTATCGCAATTATTTATTTTTCATGCTACAACACAATCACTTGGGTACTTTACTATCGATAGGCCTATAATGATTCATTTCGAAAAGGTCTTCGGCCTAATCCTGATTTAGGGTTTCCTTTGATTAAGGATAGCAAAACAAACTCGTAAACAGGAAGAATAGGTTGTTTTTTTTGACAATTACGAAAAATTCGAAAAATATGATTGTGTCGTTCAAAAATAACGTTGTAAATCAAATTCGTCGTTAAAGTAGCCAGTAAATCTGTGTGTAGTAGTTTCCTCTCTATTTATCGAAATAGCATGGGAAATACCAAGAAAGAAGAAAAAAGTGTAAAAATCCAAGCAGCGTCGGTAATTATGTTGAATCATCCCGTTTTTGTTTATATTCAGTTTACTTTCCATCGCGCCACTTTTCATCCACTCGTGTGTATTTTCGGACGGGCTCCATGGAGTTTCCCACTGACTACTACGAGTGTCCTACTCGCTGACACTAGACGTCTATCCCTCTGTCTGTCTCTTTCGCTCTCGCGCTTTCTAAGTATATCTCTTCTCCTCGCACTCGACGACTTTGTTTTAGCCGCACGGCTCACTCGGTGAACTCGACCGCGGCGAACGAGACGTCGGCTTCTATTTTATTGTTACATAAACAGCCAGGAGTGAGCCAGGAGTGAGCCAGGAGTGAGCCCTGAGTAAATAACTCGTTGCACTTATACACTGTAAACGGAGGCGAATGGGTTCGGTAACAGAACCGAGAAAACCACATTGACCGCAGGATAAATAAATGTTACCACTTTATAAATTCGTTTTCTTTCCTACCGTTCGATCGTTCCGATGAAAATACGTCGATTAACCTCTTGGCTGTACAAGCTTATTCAAGAGAAAAGGTACCGCTCGAGGTTGGCATGTCTATTCGGTTTCTATGGTAGAACCACCCTCAGGCGGTACGCTTGTCTCAATGACCATACGTGGATACTGACAGTGCAGTTACGTGCGTAAAATATTAAATAAAATCCATAAACATTTCACGCCTTTAGGAATATATCGTTAGCCGAGCATCGGATATTCATGAAAAAGAAAGATCGACTTACTCGTTTCGTCAGCTCGTACGATCGCGCGCGTGCGAATCCGCCATGCGGAATCAAAACATAAGAGAACAAAGACTCTCGGCTTAGGTATAGAGACGCGCGCCACGTACCCGAGGGAATCCCTGAACTTAAATAGACTAGGAACAAGTCTTTATCTTGTCAGCCTCCTCCTCGTGCCGGTACGCCATGGTTCTTAACCTACAAATGGCAATTTTGAAAATGTAATCACGACAGTGTCGTCCACGTTGTAGACTCGGTATTTTCCAGTGCTCTTCGCTTTCACAGTCCCTTCGTTCCGTGTCTCGCTAGTCGTCCAGTGGATAATATACACGGATAAAAGACACGTGCAGTCCCGTTACGAGAATGCCTTGGCACTCTTCGGGATACTTGGCCAATTCGAGAGGAACCTCTCCTTGACATTATACCCTTAGTTATATCAGCCGTGTTACACAGCAACGGCAGTCGGCACAGAAATCATAGCGAGGTACTTTTATCAAGCATTCTTTAATCCGTTCGAACTCTTGTATACATGCTTGCTTTGCGAAGCGTCACAATCCCTCGGTAGTTTATCGTTCATCTATACACACTGTATTTTAATGATAAAAAAAGTTGTTGCTCCAATTGGCGAATCGCTAGCAACGGGATACCTGGAAAAACGTATTTCGTTCCGACTGGCATTGCTCGTTCCGCGAACAAGGAGCACAAGCGGGTACTCTGATTGGCTGAGCGCTATCGCGCGAATCGGCAATCAAGATGGCGATGACGTCATCGCTCGTGCTGCTACCTCGCGGCGGTGGGGGATAGTTGTCAGCTCTTTCTATATAGTTTCCTCGATCACGTTGCCCGCCTCAGTCATACTGTACGTGGCGCGAACGACTGACGTATATCGTTTCTTGCCGCTCATACGGAGTGTCAACCGCCACGAGTTCTGACAGCTCTTTGACAGTGTCTGTTCCTCGTCCCGAGCTCTTTTACTCGTAAGTGGGAGAGACTCAGCAGCAACAGTAGCAGCCAAGTGTCGCATCGAGCAGGCAGTCTATCCAGAGACGCGGAGTGACGGAGTTCGCGAACGGCAGTGTCGGAAAACACTAGTCCTAAGTGTTTCATCTGTTTGTTTTTCTAACGCGATACCCACCCGACGTTCATTTGAAAATTATTCATTACGGTTTAACTACTTTTTCACCTTTGTTTTATCGTCGTTAACGATCTTTTACGGGGACTTGTACGTTATTGGCAACTCGATGACGCAACGCGTACCTTCAGCGGGCTTTTACGTCGTCGAGGATCATAATTACAACATGTTCTCGATGTATTCGAACGACGCGGCCGCCAATGACGTTTGGCAACTTACGAAGGAAGAGAACGCTATGGTAAGAAGACGATACATTTATTTTAAGTGGAAATATATTTCGTTGTGTCTGTATGGGCAATTTGGACGCGTGCACGTGCGCTCGTTAAATGCTTCGAGCGAGTCCGTGCCTGTCCGAGACGCAAAGTAAACATTGAGAGGTCGTAACGAACAATGTTGCCCGATAAAGCATGGCTCTTTTTTTACTTTACGGAAAAGTGACAAGGACTAATTGTAAGTCTAGGAAATTCCGAGAAAATGTTTCATACAGTTTCGTCAGTGCAGACTAGCTGATTGTAAGTTGATCCCATTCATCCGTGGCGATTGGCGGTTTGGAGAAAGTCGACAGCTTTTCAGTTGTAGAATAATTTCTAGGACAGCAGGGACTTTGGATTCGTAATTTTTTTTTGAGAAATCTACAACTTTTCTACTCTAACGCCAGACTTTGGCTAATATTTGAGCGTAAGAAGCCACGGTTAAGATTCTCGCACAGGTATCGACGATATATGTAGAACACGTGTCACCAATAAAAGAGAAGAGGAACGTCCAGCAAAAAAATGTATAAAACGCTACCGGAATATCTGATTATGCAATTGTTGGATTTCGTGGAAAGGAAAAAATATACGGGCAAGTTTTTATAGACAATATAATTCCCGTGGTCGTCCGTCTCCTCACAGGTATCCATTGAAATCAGTGCTCGGTTCGATTCTTCGTGTAGAGCACCCTGAAGCATGTATTATTGTTAGCGTTATCGTCTTGATTCTTTTTCTCTCTCGCTCTCGCGCAGAATGAGGTACTCCAATGTTTCTAAGAAGGCCTACCAACACGTGCACCACGATGCCGTGCAATGTTCACAAGTCGTTGAAAATTTCGAAATAACGGAACTGAAGTATCGAGCGCTCTGTTTGCGTTATGCACGAAGCTTAAGGTATCCGATAGGACGAATCACTGAAAACGAGTCGTTTTAAGAATTAATTCGATCCGACAGTCGATTTTCTTGGACGAAAGGAAAATTTTGATATCGTTTATAGTATCTGATGCCGAGTTCCTTGAAGCGGTAAGAGACAACGTTGCGCAATAGTTAGTTGCTATTAAGTTAATTGAAGTTGCGTTTGGCGACGGTGGGGTTGCTTGAAATTCCTAAAACAAGAACCGTTATCTCGACGCGCGATAATGACTACACGATACCGACTGACATCACCCGCGTTCCTTAAGTCTGTTTTACACTTTAGGTAAACTCAGCTCTCTCTCAGTCTCTGTCTTTCTCGCGTCCTTTCATCGCTGACACTCGATTCGGTATATTGCTTCGTTTCTATCGGGCGATTGACGTTAATGGCTTTGAAGTAGAAGCATTATACGTCGCTCGTTACATATTCGCCTATACAAGGTCCTCGCCTCGTTTGCCATTTGTCGCCGGCCTTTCGTATATTTTAGTCACGTGCCAACCTCTTCCAAGAAGCCCATATGTCGGGGATTTACGCAAAGGACTAAATGGAGAGAAAGACGCGAATTAAAATGAAGGCTGGCTACCGTTTGAAACACGCGCCATCGATGCTGTACTAAAAACCAGTATGGATGTTGGGGGAATTGCGCGTTTAGTTTGGCCGTCCGTTAAAATTGCCTTCCTTATCGACCGAGAAGCTCTGTCAATTTTGCATTTGGGTAACGGTTACTTTTTCGAATTTTTTGATTTACCAAGATTCACGTTGCAATAGACTCAAGTGCAACGGCTCGTAGTCCGATTAATTACTAACGTAATTAGACGCGGTCACGGCCCAGCGAGAGAGAATGGCTTTGAGCAAAAAGTCCGAAGGGGAAGAGTTGCCTGTCGTTGGGAAACGCGAAAAATGTCGATGTGAAAAATAAAAGTTTGTGCCCCACCCCGCAGGGCATCGCTCCTCGAAACCGAAGAAAAGCGCCATCTAAATCCCGACAGGAAGCCCAGAGTTAACGCTCGTTAACCCGCCAATTAGAGGGTTTAGTTAGACAGCAACAGGGTTAAGTTTAGCAGTCCGACATTCGAGCCGGGTCATCCGAGCCAAAAGGTGTCATCCTGCCTCCCCGTGCACTTTGCCACCCTCGTTGACACGTGTCTCCATCCTCATCTCCACCAACTTTTATCCGAGTCGTAACGAATGACAGTTTCGATTCGTCATTCCTCAAATCATTCTCGAATTTTCTTACGTATCCTTCGACTTATTTGTATCCCGTTTCAATGCCGCCCGTCATGCACCGGGCACCCTACCTTACCGACGGTGCAGTTGGTAACAGCTTGTCTCGGGGATCGGACGGAGAGTACGGATAAAAAACACGAATAATCACGACACACTGTGTGGCATTACTTGCAATTAGCCTTTCTTATACGTAACACAAATTATCTGAAACTTCTCGAGCCGCTGATTAGTATTGCGTAATCCGAGTGACACGGGGTCGCTCGATTTTTTGCCAGCGGGAAAATTACACTTTTTTTTTCCGTTTTCTCGACGCTTCATGGAAAATTCACGGAAATGTTAACGAACAAGATTCTGGAAACGAGTGACGGCAGTCGGAGTGTCTCGTTACACGGGATACCAGTGTTCACTCAAGATCCTCCGGCTGAATCCTTGACGCGGTTGGTACAGACCCAGTCGTAACCAGTCTGCTTCTGGTAAACAGGAAACGAGAGATTCCACGCGACATTATTATTCTTGAACGTTGGCAATTAGACGTGACTCGGTCGGTAACATATTTTACAGTTTACAGAGTAACGACGTGCCACAATTTTTTTCTTTCTGCGATTTAAAAAAAATATGTTTCTCCTTTTTCCTCCTATAAATGATATTTTTGTAATGTCGATTTTCTTGTTTACATCGATAAGAATAAATTTATCGGCGTAATTCTTGACGCGCTATCTAGTGCTCGTGCGTGTATGTATATACACGTATTGGCACACTCTGTACGAAAACGACTTCGTCATCGTTTAAGGAGGAGGAACTGACACAGAATCTATACTCGAGGCGAGGCTGTTTTATTTTCGAACGACTTACCTCAGATTCGCTCTCGCTGACTCATCCGTCGATTTATGAATGAAAATTCTGCCGCTGTGTATAGTACGTTACGTCGAGTACACTGTCACGTACTCGCTTTCCGCGATCATTATTAATGGTTATTTCGTTACATCGCGGTAATAAACAAGTCGCATTACCTTGCGGCCACGTGGGCTCTTGCGCTCTCATTGCTCGGAAAAGATATATGACGATGGTAGGAAGCGGAATAAAATGTTTGTAAATTGACGAGGCTCACCGAACGTGTCTGTTGCGTATTCGTGGTACTGATAAATAATTTATGTAAATGATCGAGGAAAAAAATTAATATTACATTTACGAAAGATCGTGACTCCTTCGATACCCTAGGCTTATATACCGAGAAGTTATTGGATTTTGAGAATCTTTAAAAATCTCTCCTATTGCCTTAACCAAAAAATCAAAGACCCAAATCGTCACGGTTCCGTGTACTGCCGATATCCTGTCTTGATCTTATGACGTCAAAGAAACACTTTCTCCTCCGGGACGGATCTTGACGCGATACGAGAGAGGGGAATCCCCGCCCTGTCCTTCCTTCGCATAAGAATCCTATAGGGTTCTGCGAAGAGAATTGGGACTTGCGCAAGAGGCGCGAGTCATTCGGTGGCCTTGGTTGGCTGGGTTATGATCTGCTAAAAAAGAAATTCAAGACTGGTATCTAAAGCGGAGATTTGAAACGTTGTCCCGGTGAAAATGGTGTCGTCGAAGAAAAAGGACGGGGCTAAAGGCTGAGCGAGCGAGAATCAGACGCTGCTTTCTTATTGGTCGAGTCCGAGCAAGCGGCTACCTGAAAAATGACGAAAAACATTTAGTCTCAATTATCGTTGTTACGCTATTTGAAAAAGAGCTCGAGTTCGCGCGACATTTAACCCGTGGATACGTATACGCGTGTCGGCTGAGTCCATAGGGTGGGGGATACGTGACGTTCAGGCGCCGTAATAGACGCCATTTTCGTACCGTCTCGCGACACGCACCTGCCAAGTCTCGGAATTGACTATCCGATGTCACGCAATTACGCACGGCGCAGGCCAATACACGAAATGTGCCGAGTAACCGTACCGAGAAACGTCCGGGCGAAAATGACACTGGTTACGGCACTGCGCAATGTCGCCCTGTTTACAATTTCTGGTAGGAATCCTCAAAATCTCGAGAATCCTATAGGACACTATGGCGATGTATCTTCATTTATCATCAGGCCGATTGTTTCTCTCGTGCGTGAAAGATTGGTTTGAGTTTACGTAACGAAAAAAAGAAAATTGAGTTTTATGCTCCAGCATTCTTCGGAGGGCAAGCGAGCTCGTAAGGGCGATAGTGACGAAGTGCTTCTTCGAAAGGGGGGGTGCACATTTTATTTATTTTTTACTCTCAAGGAGTTCGGGGTGGAACACGTGTGCTCGGTGCGGTCACGCGCAGGCGCTTCTCGATCGTGTCTCACTCTGACACGCAGGTATTGAATACATGAATATACAAGACGAGTTCAGTCCTGTCCGTGGTGGTAGCACGTGCGCGCCAGTCTGCACCTACGTGCGTGTTGGGAGGTTGTCCGAAGTGCAAGGCGTCGGAAATGCCTTCGAGATTACGTCATTCCTAAGGAATTCACGGACCGTTGCGCCCCGAAGGAGAGACGATGCTGTTTTTTTTTCCTTCGTGGAGGTCCTTGATACGAAATTTTTCATTTTTCGTTCGCGATGTCTATGCGTATATAGAAAAATTGGTTGTTGCCGTCAATCGCTCTACAGCTGTTTCTGGTAGATTCTGTCACGGGACTCGAGAGTTTCAAGAATAGTCGTAGACAGTTGTAGATGCCGATAGATGGACTCGCTGGGCAATGGGAAAGAAATGAAAAGAGGAAACTGGACTCCTGATCGGTTAATACGGTTAATACGACCTTGGGATATAGAACGTCGTTTGGCAACGCGTTGGCGACTGGCGACCTTGAAGGACTTGGAAAGCCTCGCGC